AAGCGGAAGACGGAGGCGACGTCGGCTCGATACGCAAGCACCTGGCCATAGCACTGTGCAATTTGTCGGGGCTATCGGGAAATTTGGAGCCGCTGAGTCACGGTCGAATCCTCGAGGAAGAGCTACTCAAGTGCGAGAAGCCCCGAGAAGTTCGTGAAATGTGCGCGGTGACCATCGCTAACATCTCGTCGCACCCTCCGTCGCTCAAGAATCTAGCACTGAGCGATGCTGTGGCAAACCTCGTGGAGCTCGGTACTCATCACACTAATGCTTCTGTGCGGGAGAATACGGCGCTGTGCCTGTCGAATATGTCGGCTACAGCTGACAGTCGAGCGTTGCTCGCTCGGTTCGGCGTGGTGTCGTTGTTGCTGCGCTTCGTGGAGGAAGAAGACGTCAGTGAGTCAGGAGGCAGCGCCTTGGCCCAGCAGTACGCCGTGCTCACCTTGTGTAGCATGCTGGCACATCCCGCGTACTGCGCCGAAATCCTCCAGAGCAATCTGCCCGCAGCTTTAGCGAGACTAGCGATGCGTACGCTGCACGACCGCGTACGCGAGCTCTGTGCCAACGCCCTCTTCAACGTATCCTGCGAGAAGAGCCTCCACGCGGTGCTGCTGCAGGACGACACTATCCGCGCAATTGTTCGGCTCTGTAGACGCAAGGAAGAAGCCGACGACGATAATGCCCCCGGAACCTCAGGCCCAACGCCCTCGACACCTGCACAAGCATCAGGACCACCGACTGTGCTGCTTCGCTACCAGGAATGTGCACTCGGCTGTCTGCTCAATCTGTCGTTCGCAGCGGAGAGCAGACCCGCACTGCTACGTGCTGATGTGGTCGCCACACTGTCCAAAGTCTTCAACAAACCCCCAGTGCGTGCTGACGAGCTGCTGCGTCAGTGTGCCGGAGTGCTGGCCAACTTGTCGTTCGACGCGGAGGCGCGCGCGCGTATGGTGGCTGACAACGGAGTCCGACTAATTCGTCGCCTCATGAGTGCCGCGACGTCTTCCGCTGCCGCCGCAGCAGCTGCAGATGCTCCGGTAAGCGCGTCTGCCGCCGGGATCATCCGCGAGACACTGCGAAGCTGCGCTACGGCGTGCTGCAACCTCGCAGCAGACGCGCTGGAGAAAACGCCAGTACTGGACATGCTCATCGACTTGTCTGCTTCATCGTATGCCCCCACGATCCTTGCGTGTGCTATCGCGTTCGCCAAGCTCGCGTCTAGCGCCTCCCACCGCGTCTTGCTCACGCGCTGTGCCGAGCTTTATCCAGCACTCACGCTCATGATGCGCTGCGGTGTGGAGGATATTCAGATCTACTCGGCTGTCGCGCTCTGCAACCTGGCCGTCGAGCCTCCAGCTGCAAAGCCCGTGGGTGTCCGTCACGTCTGGAAGGAAGGCACAGTGCCAGACTTCATCGTGAACGCACTGCTACGCATCAACAGCGACTCAACCAAGGAAATCTGCGCCCGCGCGTTGTTCAACTTGCTAACGCACGACGAACTCCGAGCTATCCACATCAAGGACGGCGTGCTGTACGCCCTTGTCAAGCTCGCGCGACTCGAGAGCGTCGAGATCCGCACACTCTGTGTCACAGCGCTTTACAACCTCAGCTGTGATCCAGCACTCGCCGAGACGCTCATGGAGCTCAAGGTTGCTCAAGTCATCACCAAGCTGTGCGAGATGGAGTTCAGCAGCCAGGAGATCCACCGCAAGCTCGCTGCTTGTCTGACTAATTTGGCGTCCGAGCCCAAGCCTCCCTCAGGGAAGAAGGTGGTGGCTACGAGCGACTCAGCGGCGGGAGGGTCTTCCAGCATGGCAGTCCGACTGGTAGAGAGCGGTGCACTCGTTGCTCTGCTAGTACTGTGCGAGCATGCCGATCCATCCACACGTCACGCATGTGCCGCAGCTCTGTGCTTCCTGTCGGCGTATCGAGTCAATTGCGAGGCCATGGCCACCCTTGGACTCGTTGACGTGCTCACGAAGAAGCTGCTGCTCGCTCCACTTGACGCGGAGACTTCAGAGTCTGAGAGTGACAGCCCCGACATGGAGCTCGAGCAGCGACAACAGCACGAGTTCGCACTCAACGCGCTCAGCAACACTTCCTGTTTCCCTGCGCTACACGATCGGATCGAGGAAGCCGGCGCTGTACCGCAGATCATGCGCGTGCTTGCTGCCAACGCCACCCGTGAACGGAGTGAAGACAGCGAAGATCAAGAGGACGAGACCATAGTGCTCGCGTGCGCACAGACGCTCGGGAACTTGACGTTCCACGCGCGACATCGACGAGCTCTGCTGACTCATGGACTGCTCCCGACGTTGCTCACGCGCCCACAAGCTCTGCGCTGCTCGCAACGAGTTGGTGATGTCTGTGCGGAGATCATTGCCACTTTGTGCGAAGACGCCTTGCACTGGAGCGAATTGGTCGCCACAGGAGCTGTCCAAGTGCTGCGCGAGATCACGGATGTCCACGAGAATGACGAAAGTCCGTCACCACCGTCCCAGGCAGCACTTCGCGCCTCCGTCTACGCCCTGAGTCAGCTTGCTCGCTGCGAAAAGTCTGGAGAAGCTGTCATTGCTGGCGGTGCGCTAGACATTGTGGCGCGCGCGCTTGATCTCGGCAACGAAACTCCAGTCCCAGGTGACGATCCAGCGAGAAAAAAGGCTCACGAAGCTCGACAGGAAACGGCGGAGCGGTGCGCGGTCGTTCTACGCGCGTTGTCGACGCAGGGTGAACCAGTTTGCTTGATGCTCATGCGTGACGTGCGTCTTGTACCGATGATGCAGTCGATAGTCAGCACTTGTTGTCCTGGCCGGCGCCAAGTTCAGGCGTGCAAGCACGTCATCCTGGCGTTCTACAACATCACTTCATGCCGCATTAGCATCGACGAGGACGACACAGCCAGCGTTGAAGGCGGTGATAGTCCAATCGATAAGCTCAACGAGAGTGAAGCCATGAGAGGCTTGGACGCGATGGTGATCAGCGGCGTGGTGTCGCTGCTTATCAGACTCTCCACGGATGGCGGCAGTGACATGGCGCCGGCTTGTGCTGTAGCATTGGCTCACATCAAACACCGAATCAAGGAGAGACTCGCGCTGGCTCAAGCTCAGGAAGCCGAGGGCTCGGAGCAGGCTTCAAACCTCCGGGAGTTCGAAGAGATGGACAACTTGATGGAGGCAGGGGTCGTAACAGCGTTGCTGGCCATGTTCGAGCTGGATCCGGCCGGCATTCAACGCGTCGACCGCTTAGCCGCAGCAATGCCCCCAGCTCTGCCCGTACTACACGCCGCCACGGAGAAAGACTGGTCGTTCTTGAAGGGCAATTCGACGCTGCATTTTGAGACGCCGTTGCCCGTGTGCTGGGACTTCCGTAGCTCCGCCATCGACGACGCGCGCTTCATCCCTGCTGAGCCCCGAACGTTCCTCGCAGTGCTCGCTCCAGTCGTGCCTTCATCGGGCGCAACAATCCAAGACAAAATCTACGGCCGCTTCCAGACCCTTCGAGTGCGTCCCACCAAGTGCTTGCTGCGGCTCGAAAACTCGCGGTTCGCGAGACTCGCGTCCGCATTAATGGGCTCGACTCAATCTGGGTCGGCTGGGAGCAGTGCCAGCGACTTATCCGACGCTATAGCGTTGGCTATCGGCGACGATAATGGGGGCAACGACGACAGCGACCTCGAGCGTGAGCGTAAACACTCTCGGCACGGCAACAGCGCGCGCAAGTCCAACGTCGGGTCCAGTTCAAAGTCCATAGCGGGGTCAACCAGCACCGACGAAGACGACGCAAGCAGCGAGACGAGGATGCCGTCCCCCGTGAAGAAGAAGCCAACGGGACGATCACTGATGATGAGTCGCTCTCCCAGTCACCGAGGCAGTGCAGCCTTCGGTCTCGGAAGCAACAGCAGCAGTACGAGCAACAACACTGATAGTAACACGTCGCTCCTGCGTCGCGCCACCAAAGCTCCGTCCTCGAACGCCGTGGTGCGTCGCCCCAGTCGGTCCATGACCCACGAGAACACGCACAACCACAGCACGTCGTCCATGGTCAGCAGCAGCACGCGCCACCTGAGCAACGCCCGCAAGGACTCGCTACATCGACTCGCCGGCGACAGCTCCGGCGTCATTTTACCTAAAATTTAAGCAGTAAACGCTCCATTATCTTCGTCTACAGTACCTCTTCTACTCGAGCACGAGCTTGGCTCGCAGTTGCTCCGACATGTCCAGCGTCTCGAGCGATCCAATCAGCTCGGCGTTCCCCGCCACGCGCAGTGTCTTGAGCTTGCTCAGCGTCTCCAATTGCTGCACCGGCAGCGTCTTGAGTTGGTTGTGGCTCACGTCCAGCGCCTCGAGCTGCGCGAGCTGCTGCACCTCGGGCGGGAGAGTTGTGAGCCGGTTCTGCTGCAGGTCGAGCGTCGCGAGGTTTTGCAGCGAGAAGACGGCGTCGGGCAGCGCGCGCAGCTGGTTGGCCGACAGATCGAGACGCCGCAGTCGCGGCACGCGCTCCAGCGCCAGCGCTAGGCGGCAGGCGCAGGCGTCGCCCACGTGCTCGCACATGAGCTGGCGGCAGATCAAGTCGCCCGACTTGGACAGCTCCAGCTCCTCGACGCGGGCACCCGAGCGCGCGATATCACGTAGAGATGTAGCTAAGACACAGGTAGAGCTGTCGGAGAATTTGCAGCGCTGGAAACGCTGCCGGAGCGGAGTTACGACGCGGCGTAGCAGCATGATGCACGTGAAGAGCTTGATGAGCAATGTGAGGTGGCGAGATGGCTACGGCTAAAGTACTGATATTTAATAACATAAACCAATGGATTATTAACTGTTGTGATCCTGAACACAGTACATTTTGTTCAATGCCTGTATGCTGTGAGCCACGACGCTGGCTGCGTGCCTCTCCATTATTTGTAGCTGCTTCTTCCTCTTCGTCTCAAGGCTGGTTTCGAGCTGGCAACCCCATTCAGCGGATTGCCAACTCGCACACCGCCACAATACAAACTCACAGTGAGTTGACCATGCAGCAAAGCACGTAGCCACGAATTCAGGCATCGAAGCCTATCGGACAAAGAGCGAGCGAGAGCGAGCGAGTGCTCGGAGCGCTTTATTTCGCCGAGTCGGTGAGAAAGGCCCCCGCGAACGAATTGAAATGGAACGGGCAGGCTGCCAGTCACCAACAATGGGAGACGGCAGCGTGTGGCTCTGTGGGCCCTCTAAATACAACTTACGTCTTGGTGCGAAGAACACTGTAGTCTAATAGCACACTGTAGTGTCTAAAGCCTACACTGTAAGAGCTGAGCTCAATAGGGCCGCAATGGGCAGCAACAAGTTGCCTTCAAGGCGCGGTGCCGGGGTCCTCATCTCGGTCGTCGCCTTGTAAAAGCATGGTTCCCGCGGTATACAAACTCCCATACATTCTGACCACGGCCTGTCTCTGTGCCTGGCGGACCGAACTTTAATACCCTGCAACTTCCCCCCATACATCCCCCAAAACCACAAGGAGTAAAGTGGCAGGGCGCATTCCGTGGAGCGAGTCACGCTGTGACTTGTGTAGGAGACTGGCTCAAAGCTGCTTCGAGGTCCCCAGTGCATGAAGCCCCAGCGGAGCAGAGCGGAGTGTTGCGTGCGATTAGGACCCTCCCCCACTACACTACACGGCGCTCTACCAGCCTCCTCCCCCTTCATCGGCCGCACTCGGCCACGCGGCCCACTCACTCGCTACAGAAGTCGACGCTCTACAGGTAGGGGGGCTCCCGCTCTTCCACTATCAACTGAAGGTAGAACGGCGAGGCTCACTCACGTGGTTGTGCTTGCTTGTCATCATCAGTCTCAGATACAGTAAGCCAGCGCAACAGGTAGAGAGGTAGAATGCAGAGCGAGCGGTCGTCCAAGAGCTACAGCTTCATCTCCGAGGGGTCCTTCTGCGCCGAGAGCAGCGCGTACGACTGGGACCGCATCGCGGCGCAAACTGGCGCAGGGGACGACGTCTACGGCCTGCGCGTGCCAAGGGAGATCAGGGCGCAGTCGTCCACCCCCACGGACAATGTGGACGACATACTGAGCGTCAGTCCGCGCTCTCGAGCCGCCACGGGAGGCAGCAACCACGCAGCAGCAGCAGCAACAACAACAAGAGCAGACAAGAAGAATCCACTACAGCACTCCGGCATCGCCTTCGACCGGACGTGGATCGACTCGGACATCCCCGTGGTAGGGCGCTCCAGCTCCGCCCCACCCTCGATCCAGCTGCTGCAGGAGGTTCTACGCCCCTCCGAGAGGAGGAGGGCGGCCACCGCCCCACCGTCCGGATTTTTCAACCACTTGCTCTACGGTAGTCTGCGAGCAGGAGCGCTGGCGGAATTGTTCTCCCAGCCCTACTGTGGACTCGCCATCTCGGCCGCTGCCACGGGCTTCATGGTGCCATTTCTAGCGGACGCCTTCCAGCCGCTGCTCTGCGTGTATCTGAGCTTCAACAGCGACCAGTGCACGGCCACGCTGCGGTTTCTCAAGCTCCCGGGGGTCGTCAGCTTCTTCATCGGGTTATTATCCGACTTCTACCCGATCTGGAGCTTCCACCGCAAGTCGTACATGCTGGGAGGCTGGATCTTCGCCTACATGGCGCTCATGGCTCTAGTCATTGTGGCGCTGATCGACGGCAGCACGGGAATGATGAACCCCAGCGTACGGACGTTCTACGGCGGCGCAGTCTACGTGTTGTTGATGATGGCGGCCAGTCTAGGAGTCACGGTGGCGTCCATAGCAGCGTTCGCGTTCCTGGTGGAGCTGTCACAACGTGAGCCCATTCACGAACGCGGGACGCTGGTGGTGCAGTATTTGCTCGTGCAGGAGGCGGCGACGCTGTTGGCAGATATTATCGTGTCGTTAGTGGTGGGTTACAACAAGGAGTCGGACACGACGCAGGCGGTGATCTCGATGAAGGTGATTATTCTACTCATGGCGGTGGTGGCGCTCGTACCGATCCCTGCGGTTCTCTTTCGCCTTGATGAAGAGCCGAGACAACTCAAGGTGGACTCGGTAGACCGCTCGTCCCTCACACGCCAGCTCTGGAGCATCTTGCAGCAAGAAGCAGTGTGGCGCATCATTCTGTTCGTCTGCTTCTCCGTGTTCCTGTCGTCCTTCAGGTTTAATTTCGTGGATGAAGCTGTACTGTACTGGGCGGACGCGTCGCCGAATGCGGAGCGTGTGGGGGTTATTCCGAAGCAGGTTCTCATGATCCTAGCGTTCCTGGCGTTCCAGCTCACGCTCTTCAACTACAGCTGGATACGCATCTCTGTGGCGGGCTTGCTGCTCGGTGTGGGGGTGAATCTCCTTGCTGTCGTCCCGACAATATTCGATGGTGTTCGCAGCGCCTGGTACACGATGTCAATTTTATCGTTGACTGGCATCTCGCGTGCTGCTGTGCTGTTAGTGACGTCGCTGCCTATAGTGGAGATTACAGAGAACTGTCTGGAAGGAGCCACTACAGGACTGGTGTCGTCGTATAACGCGCTGATAAGCATGGTAATCCTCACGTTTTCGGACGCTATCAGCACGTCGAGCGCGCAGTTGAAACAGGACTTTACAGATGATGTCATCAAGCAAGACTCGTACGGAACGCGCATGCAGGTGCTGTCGTTCGTGATGACAAACTCGGCGATCAATCTGCTGGCGCTGGTACCTATCCTCTATTTATTACCGCGTCAGAAGCTGGAGGCCCAGGAGATGCGCACGTATGGCGAGTACAGCCGTCCCGCGGGTATCGCCATTGCTGTGCTGTTCGTTGGGCTTGTCGCCTACGCAGGAACGGTCAACTTGTTGGCGCTGCTGAACGATACGAAGTGATCAATCTCGTCAACGGAGAATTTATGGAGAGGATTTTTATGATGATGTTGGCCTTCTCTGCTGTCTCCGAGGGGTCAAGTATGAACAAGTTTTAGGTGGATTTTTTTGTGAATGAGGCGAGTCTAGCGGGAGTTTTGAGGAAGCAAGCTGCTTCAGTCTCCACAGATGCGTACGAGCCATTAAATGAATAGTAAGAGGAGAGCATTGGTTTTCATCCAAATTTCAAACAAGGTGTTGTCGATCATTGCGTGGATATCCAACGTGCTGATTGTATTCACGGCAAAAGCAACAACTAAACCTACAAAATCGAACAACAAACAGTACCCCAGCACGTGGATCTTCCTCGATAACTTCACAGAGCAAGCCACAACTTGTAGCGGGGGTGTGGCGGCACCACATTCACCAGCGTCTTGGTGCTAGTTTCAGGCACAAACAGGTTCGCGAGCAGCAGCACCTTGTCAGCTCCTCCGACCCCGACGACGTGCACCACCCACGGATCCAAGTTCGATCGGTCGAGGCTAACCACCGCCTTACAGGACTCGTCAATTTCTCCAGGCAGGCACGTCGTCCCCAGCGGACAGGCCGATCCGTGCTGAGCGTAAGCCAGCAGCACTCTCTTGAACGAGTCGGTCGTCAGAGGGTCCGGCATTGGGAATGGAGGCGGCGGGACTGCGGTGCCTCCGTCAGTAGCCTGGACATTGGCGACTGAGATCGCCTCCACGAACTCGTGCACCTTCTCCCAGCCGAAGATGATGGTCTTGTCGCCACCGCGCTTGGCCAGCTTGAGAATGTCTTCGCACAGGTGCAGCTCGTTGTTGCTGCGTAGCACGTCCTTCAGAAACACCTTGGAGGTCATAGTGCTTTTAGATTGCGCTCTTGTTGCCGACCCCGACCTGCTTCGCCTTCGCACCGACTTTGGTTGGCCCTTGAACTTGTCAACAACAAAAAGAAGCGTCAATCCAGAACTAACGGGGTTGTAGGTCCCAGAGGTCTGTGCTTCTATGTGGTGGTGTGACCATCACTTACATGCGCACGGGGCACGATCAGGCCTTGCAGTGACGGGAATGGCTCCTCTTCGAATATAACAAAAACATATCTCTTGTGAGGAACTAGAAAACAGTAGGGATATTATAATATCAAAACTTCGCAAGTGGAGCGGCGTTTGTTCGTCTTGCCGGTAGTTAGTTAATCATGAGCGCAGGATCGTGAATGCAGAAGAATATATTCAGAAGTAGTTTGCTAAGGAAGTGTATAATGATAACCAAACATGTATCGAATGTTTGCAGTTAAAAGCTGGAACACTCTCCGTTCCTAGTGTATGTACTTAGCTTTCAAGATTCGAGGTGCAGCCCATCAGATAAATGGGCTAGCCAGCTTACGCAGCTCGGCTAGGTAGCACACGCACAAGCACGAGAAATTGACAAGCATCACCCAGCAGAAAAGTATGCTCGTATCCTAATTTAGTCGTGAAATCCAATTGGGGACCCGGGTGGTGGACGCGGAGGGGGGTTTCGCAGTTCGAAGCTAGCTTGTATGGATACTCGTACGGGGAAACGATGCACTCGAGCACCTCCTCCGCCTGCTTCGCAGTCCAGCATTAGCCTAATCTGCCACTGTACAACCAGGTGTACAAAGTTTGATCGCTTCTGTTCGCCAGCTCACATAATATGTTATCGTCTACTTGTTCGTGATCACAGTTTTACTGCATTCGTTTTTGAATTTGAATTTGTTGCGGTTTAGACGGCTAACTACACCCAATGCCGCGCACAGTTTTACTGCATTCGGATTAATTGAACATCAACACAGAGTCATGAATATGGTACATTCGGCTTAATACAGACAACGACGGATTGATACGGCAACGCAAAATCCGGCACACAGATGTTGTACTTTTTACAGTAAGTAATTCAGAGAGCCAATCAAGTTCGAGAATCACACTTGACATTTGTATTCCGTATGATTTTCGGTATTTTATCAAATTTATTGTGTACTTTATGTTCCTTTGCGTGAACTTTATGTCATTGCCTTGTACAATCTCTATCGTTCCCGACAGAGAATTCTGGTACATTTGAGACGGTTTCAAACGAAATGATGCTTAGGCGCCATTTGGAGTTATCGAGATAATCGCGTTTGAAGTTGACCAATCAATTTTCGGAAATAACCGGACATCAAACTTTCGAAAGTGAAAAGCACACGTAAAAAGCGTAAAACACTATGATTGGCTTGCTTTTAGCGCGAGCTTTCTGATAATATACAGTACGTTAAAATTGAAAAAATATTGAGGTCACACGCCCCAAATAAAATCGTGAGTTTAGGGGGTCCGAAAATGGAGATAATTTTTCTAGACCGATGCCACTCCGCGAGTTCTTAACATTTCAAAGCATTCGATAGCTTAAACGAAGCACAAGACACGCTTCTTTCGATTGATGCGGTTAAATCGCGATTCGTACTTAGGTTCGTAAGCATCTTTTCGTTTGAAACCGTCTCATTTACTATGGAGGATGCCAATCCGTCGTTGTCTGTACTCGGTAAATGGCAATAACACACTTGAAGATGACACGCTTTTTGTGTTGTTAGATGTTCAGGCGATCCGGACGAAATATGTGAGCGACTGCACCATGTTCTAACAAACAGTGTTTGAATGCTCTGGCGTCGTCGCTGCGCGTCCCGGATTCCTGTGTGAGAGAAAGCCCAGATAGACAGCGTCAAAGCGAGGGACAAACACCCGGTGTATCCTACTCCTACACGCGCTGATTGAAGTAAGGCTCGGAAGTCGTTTCGCGAATGGTGGTACTCTTCTTGCCGTGGTGCTCGCGAACAAAAGTGTAGACGACGGAACTGACTTGCTGATGAAGACACACAGGAAGTTCAGCACCCAGATATTGCGTTGCCGATGAAGTCTACAGCTTCGTAGTGATGGATAAAGTGGTGGTGTTGTCCTGTCCGGGCCCACAGCACATTTCAGTGGCGGGAAGGAAGGAATTACGTCGATTAGCTAGCCTTCTGCTAACTACATGTACAAAAGAACTAAAGCTAAAACTAAATCCGTGAAATCTTAACCTGACAAGCAAGGAGGAGGTAGAATCACCGCGGTAGTTTTGTAAAAAAAGCCAAGCGTTGAAGTACAAATTCAACTAACATGTAGCATTAGGATGATCTGAACTAATATCGGTAACAATGTACTTCGAAGTTGTTTTTGACAAGAACAGGGTCAAGTAGTACATAATTCTAGACCACCAGTAGTAAATGGCCTTGGTGGATTCGTGCGGGTCGAATGTAGTCTCACACAACGTAAACATAATATCATCCAAAGTCCTCGTAGATAAAATGGCTGAGCGCGTGAAGCTGGCTTTTATAACGGACCCACACGACACATTCATATTTTGACTAATTTGAACTAGGCTTCGGTTTCATACACGGTCGTCATTCTTTTTGCACTAGTTTTTAGTTTTTTCTCCGGAGAAGACATATCGCCAGGTGCAGCTCTTTTTGAGTCTTCGCTAAATGAATTCGTTCGCCGCCGTATAGGACGTCACCGCGTTGCCGGCGGATAGAGTTTGCAGTCAATAAAATACGAAGTGGAAAAAATAAATTCCATCTTGGATCGTACAACCTTAAAAACTTGAAGAGTTTTTTTTGCTACGTTTTAGTGGAATATTTATCTTGTTTCATCAAGACTCATTTCAATGAGTGTGGGGGGTCATACAATTGTGCCACAACAAATTTAGATGACCACACGATTTTCAATTGATCTTTCTGAGAAAATATACATGCAGAAGAAAAAAATGTGTCTGATGAGGAGGGAGTAAGTTATGACTCGTGTCGAATCCATAGTTTTAACGCTAATGGAATAAGTAGTGCTGGAACTTCATGTAGTATAATTCGATGCAGTTATGTGGTAATGGCGCCAGTTGTGCTCAAGGTCAGTACCATTAACGTCGATGCCTCTGATTGTCAGCACCATTACTACGACGAACTGTGTAATAGATGTATTTTAATACACTACATAGATCGAATCCGGTTTTTAAACCGGATTCGATCTAGTGCTGTCTGATGTTGTGTGAATGTTGTTCGATGACATCCAAAAACCTTCCCCGCGAATTACTTAAGAAAAAAAAGTGATGCATCGTAGCTTAACCCTTTCGTGAGCAAGTCACTAAGTATACTATACAAACTCAAGGTACTTGAAAATCAAAGGGGGCATTCTGCTCCGTTCGAGCAGGTAGCCATCCCTGCCTCTTGTTGGGTACACAAATGGAACAGGGCAAAATGTCACCAACGAGCAGGACAAACCTTGCGTCTTGATAGGCCAAAACAAAATCTTTATGGAGGGTCGCCTCGCTGAAAGGGCGCAAGCCTCACGCGATTGGCTGGGGTTGCAGAGGAAACGGCACCTTGCTTCGACGGAAGCTGATCTGGAAAGAGTTGGACTACGAATATCTTCGCTATATCTTACGAGGGATGCGCTTGTTTGGAAGTATCCGAAGGTGTCGTCGAAGGTAGTGCCAAGTTGGCATGCACGTTGTAGTGGGTACATGTAAAACAAGTAAAAGGCGCTTGTTGTACATGTAAAAGCTTTCTGCCAGGTGGGGCGACCGAAGGCCACGATGTTGCCGTGTCAGGCTTTATTGGTAACATTGATGAACTTGAGCGAGCCCTTATCCTGAAGTCTACGCTACTCAGTGTGGACTACGGTTGGTCAACAGCTGCGATGAGTTGAACGCCCGTACGTTGGAGATCGACTGAACGAACCTGACCTGTTAGGGGATATACCTCCTGCGCCGCTCAAGCCAGTGCAAACGTCGACAACGATCCGTCCATCCGACGGTACAGCTCCCGCTAAGCTTGCACGTCTTCACGCAGCTCGTGTGGGCATGCTCCAAGCCGATATTTTCAGGGCATGACCTATCCATATAATATCAAATCTACTACTACTTGTGCTGTAAAGCTTGAATTTCTGCTGAACACCACTCGGTCATGTACACTAACACTGCTGTGTTGCATCATGGTGGGAAATGGTGCCGACGTCGGATACTATGAATATACATGTACTTCAATGTGGGCACTCAGTAGAGAACTGGTGCCAAGCAAGCAATATTTGTACGATCCAAACTTCTACGTATCATTTTCATTCACATTTACCAGATTTTTGCCTAATACCATTGCGCTCAATAGTAAATCTACCACTCTCACGACCCAAAGCATGTTGGTAAGAGTGAAGCACCATGTCGCCATTGCTGAAGCACGATGTTGGCGTAGGGTTCAAGTAGCGTCCCATCCATGCTATCGTCGAGCGTGGCGTCTGTATCTAGGTTCGGCATCATGCCCCCCTTGCGGTCGTCAACCGTGGCGTCCGATCAGCGTGCCCACCTTGCCAGCTCCGAGCATGGCGTCCAGGTCAGGGTCCGGCATCATGCCCTCCCAGCGTGCCGACCGAGCGTGGCATCCACGTCGGGGTACGCAAACGTGCCGACCATGCCGTGGTCGCGCGTGGCGTCCACGCCAGGTTCCGCCATCGTGCCGTCGAGCGTGGCGTCCTTGTCGGGGTCCGGCAGCATGCCGTCCGTTCAATCGTCGACCGTGGCGTCCGTGTCGGGGTCCGATAGCATGCCGACAGTGCAGATGTCCAGCGTGGCGTCAACGCCGGGGTCTGGCAGCGTGCCCTTCGTGCAGATGTCAAGCGTGGCGTCCAAGCCGGGTCCGGCAGCATGCTGTCCGTGCTGGCGTCGAGCGTGGCGTCCGTGTCGGGGCCCGACAGCGTGCCGACCGTGCGTGTCGTCCGTGTCGGGGTTCGGCAGCATGCTCTCCGTGCCGTCAGCGTGGCGGGCCGGCAGCATGCCGCCCTAGCCGTCGGCGAGCGTGGCGTCCGTGGCGGGGTCCAGCAGCATACCTCTTGTCGGCGAGGTTTGTTGACGGAGCTGGGTAGCGGCTCGCAAAATGGAAAGTGAACTCGAAGCCGCGAATTTCAAAACTGCGCGCGGGGGGGTCTGCAGGCGCGATCTTTGCGTCGTCCAATCACATGACGGTCTACAGTTCCGCCAATCACGCGCGCACCACGCAGTATTCCGCCAATTATGCGACGGCAAATGCAGATCTCCGCCAATCACAACACGAAAAAGCCGAAAAAGCGAGCCCAAAGGAAAATAGCCTGGGTGCATCCTACTTTAACTTCAACACCAATTAGTACCCCTAAAAATCGTTCAGATGCTGGCAAAATGGAGGGGGATGGCGTATTCGGTATTTTACAAAACTACGTGACTAATGTTTCATTTGTAGGCACTGGGTCGGGATGACCACAAAACGCATACCTATCGGCGTCGGTGGCGACGGGCGAGTCCGACCCAACGACACTAATCCCAAGCAATAATGGGTTTATTAGCATATAAGAATGGAAGTCTGGCTGCGCTGCGGTCAAGACTCGCAACTTCATAGAAAGAGGTGCTAGTTTTTCGAAGTAAGTGATTTGGTAACCAGGTTGGACCAGAAGAACCGCTGTACACGTCTCTGCGATGTTGCATAGCGCGGAAATGCCAATTGAGTTGCGCTAACCTGAGTAGTCACAACCTGCTCATGTTAGCGCAACTCGGCTGACATGATCGCGCGGTTTAGGTACCCACGGGATGCCAATCTAGACTAAAAAGTAAGTAGGGGTTTGGTGGGCATCATAAGATCACCAAATCACGATGCCCACAACGGTGTAGACCTCAGCTAAGTAGCCATCGTGATGACTACGACATCAGACGGCTAACACAGGTTTATACGCGATTGATACGCATTGTTTCAGATTTGAATTTAATCTGTACTGATTGAGTACGTAATCCTGAGTACATAGTAAGTTGGTATAGCGGGCATGATTGGCCCTTCCACCAAGCGCTACGGTCACATTAATACAGTGTTCTCACAGCGCTACGTCGGTCACAACTGCCCCGAGGCCGTGTGGCCGGGTGGTAGCGACCAGGTTACATTACTTGGTGGGAAAATGCCACCTGCAGCGGTCAGTAAGTAGTGTAGGGAAGGTGCCGATGCACGCGTGGGGTGCGGGTGTGGTGGGCACTCGTCGCTGCATTACCTAAAGCACGGGCGCCTGTATCATGAGCTCTGCGATCCCCCATGATCGTAGCGGCGGGGTGCTTTCACGTGCTGCGCTTGTTTCGGACTTGGGTGCAAATCTGGGTCGTGCTCGGGTCGTTGGGGCCAACAGCCCATGCCTGTTCACGGCCGCGACGAGCCAAATGTGTGAGGACTTCAGTTGAAGCAGACACTCGTCGATCTCGGCGATGGTGGTCTAGAGCTATTCCGTGGGCTGCGGACGCACCACGACGCGGCACGAGCGGAACTACTGAGGGTGGCGCTAGTACGCGTAGAACCACGTCTGGAATATGAACTAGAATGTACGCAATGGCGCCAAGACCTCGCAGGCCATCCCCCTCCATTTTGCCAGCATCTGAACGATTTTTAGGGGTACTAATTGGTGTTGAAGTTAAAGTAGGATGCGCCCAGGCTATTTTCCTTTGGGCTCGCTTTTTCGGCTTTTTCGTGTTGTGATTGGCGGAGATCTGCATTTGCCGTCGCATAATTGGCGGAATACTGCGTGGTGCGCGCGTGATTGGCGGAACTGTAGACCGTCATGTGATTGGACGACGCAAAGATCGCGCCAGCAGACCCCCCCGCGCGCAGTTTTGAAATTCGCGGCTTCGAGTTCACTTTCCATTTTGCGAGCCGCTACCCAGCTCCGTCAACAAACCTCGCCGACAAGAGGTATGCTGCTGGACCCCGCCACGGACGCCACGCTCGCCGACGGCTAGGGCGGCATGCTGCCGGCCCGCCACGCTGACGGCACGGAGAGCATGCTGCCGAACCCCGACACGGACGACACGCACGGTCGGCACGCTGTCGGGCCCCGACACGGACGCCACGCTCGACGCCAGCACGGACAGCATGCTGCCGGACCCGGCTTGGACGCCACGCTCGACGCCAGCACGGACGGCATGCTGCCGGACCCCGACACGGACGCCGCGCTGGACAACTGCACTGTCGGCACACTACTGGACCCGACGTGGACGCCACGCTGGACAACTGCACGACGGGCACGCTGCCAGACCCCGACGTGGACGCCATGCTCGACGACTGCACTGCTGGACCTGACATGGACGCCATGCTCGACGACTGCACTGTTGGCATACTGCCGGACTCCGCTCCTGGATGACAGCACGCTCGGTGGAATCCACCGCCGAGGTGAAGCCAATTGACGGCCAGGGCGACTTGCTGCTCGACTCCCGCTCGACAACGACTCGGAGGGCCTGCTTACAAAGCCCAACGGGGGTGGCACGCTTGACGACCGCACGCACGGCATGTTGGCGGACCCCGCCGCGGCGGACCTCCCCGCGGACGTCATGCTAGTCGATGGCAAGGCCCCCCCTGCTTATTAGACTGCACGGATGGTATGGTGCGAATTCTATTGCGGTCGGCACGCTGGGCGACTGCTGCTGCCGATCGCGACGCCAACGGCAAGCTTGACTCGGTAGGGCGGCATACCGGGCCATAAGCCGACACCACACTTGCCACGATTGATGATGGCATTACCCGCATCCTGCCGTCGACCATCGACGGCGCCCTGGTTTTACTAGTAGTATTGAACTTATCTGAGACGAGTCGGTTAAATATGCTGTAAGATATTTTATTAGTTAACCACCATGGTAGCTGACACTACTACTATCACTTCAACTACTACTTGTAACACTCGTAAAAATGCTACTATCGATAAAGATATCCATAGTATTAGCCGTAATATCCAGAGAACGCATCTCACTGTGGAGATTGCTGCTCTTCTCCGTAGATCAGTCAAGTTGCCACACGCGTCAAACATGACCTCCATAAGCTTTTCTTGGCAATGATGTACTAGTTACTAGTAGACGTTGGTGAGGCAAGCCTCGGGCGTGAAAGGTCTTTTGCAGGTAGAGCTGGGAATATGACTCAAACAACAGCGCCTTTCGGCTCGGTCTACCTCATCTGGCCGAGCCTGCGCCAAACTTTCTGCAAAATTCAGTGCACATCGCCAGCGAACACAAACTCCTGCTACTATCACGAACTCCGGCCGCTAGTGAATCGACGGGAGAAGCAGCCTGCTTCGCGTGTGCACGCTGCTTAGCAGCATGCAGAGATCTTTCAACGATAAGTACTGTACTACTGTAATACTACTGTAGTACATGTACCCGAGCGGGAAGTTGGAACTTCAAGCAGATCTTCAACGGACGCGGTAAGATATTGCGTAAGTTTCATCAGCTTTAACGGGTTTCAAACTGTTTTCACAGGGAGGCGAGCAGGGCCGGCAACATTACCCCTAGCCTTACCCGAACCTCCCGCGATATGACTGGCCAAAATTGAAAAGGTGCAGTTGAGCGACCCTTCGGGGCATTATGCCCCGAACGAGGGGGTCTAAACACACCGTGTTTTGAGAAGGGCATCGTTTGGGGCAGAATGCACCGGTTGCACACGAAAGGGTTAAGTGATAAACTTAGGTTTTAGTGCGCTATTAAGCAAACAATCCCTGAACTGTAAGCTGTAGGCAATAACAATTCGTAGATTTTATTAATACATGGAGTCGTACATGTACAAATGTAATGCCAAACCAGTACCAGTAACAAATTACCCCGTGGACTGCAGAGTAATGTAACAATTTGTAGACTTTAAACATAATTGTTTAAGTTGAAAATACCCTATTTTGGAAACAGATACCCGGTTTCAATAAGTTTCAGTAAAGTGAAATAGCGTTGCAGATTTCTGCAGTAAATTACGTATTTGGTCCCGGGCCCAGAAAATAGGATCAGAATCAACTCACAGCAGCACACATCAATGGCGCCTGCGCGGAGCTTGTGTAATGGACAAGCTCTAAATAAGTGTTTTAGAAGCAGACAAACACCCCCAACGAGCAACCTGAGCCAATCTGTACAACACCATAGAAATCCGGTCTTTATTGGGGACGAAGTCCCCCCTATAATCATGAGACTCCGTTTTATGGAGTTTTTACGTCTCTTATCTACACTCCGCTTTACTTTTACATTAATTCTGCGAATGGGTTAGGGTCACAATTTAGAACCGCTCACACGGGGACGAAAAAATGAAAAAAATACCTCGGTTAAACAACATTTGGATGCTTATCGGAAGGTGGTATCGGCACGGATTTTTATTAGCTGAACCGACGTCACTATCTTTAGATGCCATAAAACCAGAGGGTCGAAGTTATGAAACAGCAAATTCGACCGTTAGTATGGAGGACATCAGAAATAGACTTAAACGTGACATTTTACCCTTATTTGGACCCGCTTAGGACCCTTTATTAAGCCTATTTTCCTTTCAAACCTTATGCTGTCGTACGAAGGGTCGCTCTGCGGCCGTTGGTAAGAAGTCTGCGGCCCTTCGGGATCGCTTGACCAGCGCACAACAGAGAGTCCAAACATCAACAAGCAGAGCCTCAAGGAAGCGCCAACGCTACGCCAAGTAGCAAGCAGCTTTGCATGCTGAGGACCGGGTACTGTCGAGCAGCAACTTCCCTAAATTACATTGAAGGCTATGCGCGGATGACGAGGTGGACGATGAGCTGGGGTGTACGAGCCGGAGTCCGTGTCGGTGCTTCTTGGTAGCAACAATGGCTCTCTTTTGGCCCGTTCAAGCTCGCCTGCTACTTCGCTTTAAAGAAATCAGACGAGGATCCGCGCACGGCACCAGTAATATTGGACGTAGCACCAAACGTTTACGGAAAACCACCAAATAATTCCGGACGAAACACCCACCAAGCGTCACCGGACTTCCACCAATGAACACCGCAGATCGCCACTACCGTCGCACTAACCCATTCGGTGGCTTGCAGCCCGGCGGGCCTTCATGCAGTGCCCACCCACGTACGACCAACTTACACAGGCCTTGGTATCTCTCCTGCGGTTCGATTCTGTTTCGGTTCGTTGTCGATTTTTCCATCCATTGAGCAGCTGAAGGCGTCATGTCCGACGTTGACAACGGGGAGTTCGAAGACTGGCGCTTGATTTGGCGGACGGATCGCGCTCGAGAGGACCGCGACGAGTACTTAAGTACTGTTCTTCCGCGTTATGCTACCGATAAGCACAACAGGGTCCCGTGTACCATCGACCATCTCGCGAAGGTGGACCCGTCGGACGCTGACATCGACTTGCAACTTACCACACACTACATGGGGTCTATCCTAACGCTGGAGCGCTGCCGAACAAACGCCGACGGCGAAGACTGCTGGTGTCGATACAAGATCACCACATACGAGGATGGCAACACGACAATCGTTTTTCAACAAGGCGCTCACGTGATGGACGACCTCTCTGCTCTGCCACCTCTCCGGGCCCGCATCACACCAGCGATGAAGGTGGTGCTCGAAGACCAGCTGGAACGGCATCCTAGTTTGACCCCTTTGCAGTTACTGTCAACACTGTCTTACAAGATTGCCAACACGGAGCTTCGTGGACCGGGGCCGAGTGGAATACTTCTTGCGAGTGTGGCGTGACAACCATCCTGGAGCAGACACGCATCAGGTCTCGAGTGCGATCAACCCGTCATTGTATGATGAAGTTGGGCTACACAAGAGATCCCCTCGCGCTGTTGTATATTTCAGCGAAGCCGTTCGTGATGAAGGGCGATGGGTATCGAGGGTTGGCGTCGGTACTGAGGACGATCCCTACCGTATCGGTCTCACCTGCTATCAGCTGCTGTACGACTACGTCCAAGTGCAGACAAAGCTGTCATCGTACACATTGACAGCACGTTCAACACAGTGAAGCAGAAGTACCCACCCTTTGTGATCGGATACTCAGACCGATGTGGTCAATTCTTTCCGCTGGGCTACTTCTGTACATCCAAACGCAAGAATGCGGACGTGGGCTGGTGCCTCCGCCATCTACAGCGTGCGATTTTGGATACGTTTCATGTCCACTTTCAGCCTGAGTGTGTCATGACCGATGCCGACAAGGCAGGCCAGGAACGAGCTTCCGTCCTCAAGGGTGCTCATGTGTTGGTACCACGTCACCGCCAACGTGTACAAGCAAGGGCGGAGCAGAGGCGTGAGTCTCGAGGAGACCGACAAATTCTTCGAGGACCTGTACGATCTACACTACGTGCCCAAAGATGAGTTTGAAGACCTGAAGACCAAGATCCTTGCGAGGTGGGCTGCCCTTCCAGCTGGAAGCGCGGCTTTCAAGATGGGCTGCTACGTCAAGAAGTCGTGGATCGATGGGAAGTTCTGCGACTGGCAGGCTTTCCTGACTCCAAAAGGTTGTGTTGCAACAAACAACCCGCTTGAACAGTACCACAAGACGTACAAGATCGTGAGCAACAACCCCAAGGCGAGCCCACTGCAGATGCTAGAAGGGATGGACGCGTCTCTGCAAGCGTTTATTGCAACAAACAGGGGGTTCCAGACGGCGGTGGAGGCGTCTGCACGGCTGCTTAAAGCTTACGCGCTACTGAAGCCACATCAACCTGTGCGGCTGCCGTCCGTGGGTGAGCTTCGTACGCTTTTGTATCGTGTGGATCATCTTCCCCTCCCGCCAATTGAGCAAGCCACACGCGACAAATTGAAGCGCGTTGCATCTTCGAACCACGTCCGCGTTCACAGAGAGAGAATGCCCCATGGGGGTTGGCTCGTATATGTTGTCTCGTTCTCGTGTAGTTGCTTGTACAACTGCAAACACGGTATGTGTTTGCACGTACTAGCGGCGGGCTTCGAGGCAGGCGTTCGTGTTCCTGGTGCCGCACCAATGCGGCGTCCATTCGTGCCTAACCTTACTCGCGTTCGACGTAGTGCTGGCCGTGCCCGCTCACGCGCACAGAATGGTAGCGGGAGGGCCGATGACACGGGTGATGCCCAAGCTGCACAAGGCCAAGATCAAGCTGACAACGCTGAGTTGACGCCAAACTCGGGAAACCAGGATCCGGCAGTCACAAGTCCGACCTCAACGCTGTCCCCATTCCGCAGCATTGGCACGGGCACTCTCCTTGAAGCCATGGACGCTAGCACAACGAGTGAATCTGGAGACAATGGCATTGCAGCGTCTGGAAATTCTGGAGGACTCGTGGCCGGTAACAATGATGCTGGCCCTCGACAGGCAGTGACGCATGAATCCCGGGCCATTGGATCTTCGGTGAGTCCCCAGCCGGTACGCCGTAGCTCACGTCAACGGCGCCAAACGCAACGCGCGAGGGAGTCCTCCGCCCAATCAAAGCGCCTTCGTCGTTAAATGGGCTTCATGGCTGCATCCGGATACAGTCACAACCTGCATCCAACACTTACATTTACAAGATTCAAAACAGGAACAAAAAAAAACACTAGGCACAGCAACATCATGAATGAACACCTACTTCTCGTTATACATGTTATTGCCTTGATGATGGTGACTTGAATTTATGCGCACGCCGGTTGGGTCCAGTTGATACTTCGCATGAGGTGTTCGACCTGTAAGGAGGTATTCAGACATGACCACACGCAATCAGTATTGTTACTTCATGAATGCGAGTAATTGTCTCCTTACATTGTCGAGAGGACAGCCATATGCGCATCTTCTCCATGAATGGAGCTCGTCGTACGAAGCGGGGTTCACCAGACGAGCAGTCATGCCCACCACAGACACGTCAGCCGTCGGCGCGCGGAACGACGTGCACGTCAGCTTACCGTTCAGGTGCGTCCAGGTCGTCCAACAACAGACTCGCAGCCGTCTTCTGCTGCTCGCCCAGCGTCGTGCCGTAATCGGACACGTAGTACTTATCGTACGTCTTCTGCAGCAGCTCTTGCGTACGACTGGCATCTCTCTTCGGGCTCGCCATTCTTCTCAATGTAGCGGTAGGCCTCCAGGTCTCGCCGTCATGGTGCCCGTTGTTCTTCTTTTCGCAGTTGAGGATGACCTACGGAGACAGCACCACCACTCAGCACCTCCATCGACGGCTTGTTGCCCAGGTGGCGCTCCTGAGCGATCATGATGGGTCCGCCACCGCCGAAGTCGCCATTGCAGAGCAATAAACAATAACAAAAGAATAATAACATAATTAGAGAGGAATGATACATTGGAGGAACGATCCGATCAGCTTCAAGGTGTGTATGTGCTTACCGAAGGACCAGAATGAGCTTTAATAGTGCGGGATGTGCAGGTTGCGCGAGATGGTCATGTTGTTGGTGTTGTCGACGTTGCGCTAGTCGAAGTTCTTGGGCAGCTTGGCCAAGTCCAGCACGCCATGCGGCCGCAGGTACGAGGCTCCGCGGAGCGGCCGTTGCCGTAACCGCCGGTATTCGTGCGCACGGCAGCGTCTTGATGCCGAACCTCGTTTAGGCTTAGGTGGGTGATTTGACGGAATGAGTTGGTGTTCTTCCGGGATATATTGGTTGGTGAAACGCAAGAGTAGTTGGTATTTTTACAGATTTGTTGGTGTTTTGCACGAAATTATTTGGTGCTTTTCAGGAGAACGTTGGTGCCCAAGACGGGTACTCGCTGTCTGATTTGAGCACAGCTCCAAGTCCTTCCTGCACGCTAAAGGCGCCGATTATTTGCTCCTTTCTAGTCTGCGTTAATTCATTCATTGCGTTGCTCATGAAAAGATGTTCGATAAGCAAATGCATTAGCCCACTCAATTACAGTTCTGTTGGGTCGATCTCGGGCGTCACAGCTCTGCTTTGATACCCTACATGCATGTGTGATGGTACGATATCGGGCTCAACTACATTATTTTGAGCTAGCTATCGTTCATTATATATGTTTCCTTATTGCGCTCAACGTGCATGAGGATATCTACCTACGCGTGCAGACTAACAGCTTTGAACAGCCGTGCATGTCATAGTCGCGGCAGCAACATTGGTCATTGCGACTGGGTGTAGATGACATCTGGAGGAAGAATTTCAACATGGATCGCGAAAGGTTACTGGAATAATTCGCTCGTATTTTCACTCTGAAAATGAACACACCACGAAATTGAAACATCGAAAGATAACCCCTTATTCACCTTTCGTTGTGCCAGTGTGCACATTCTGCTATTACACTTACCTAAGTAAGTAAAATACAAGTGTTCTGGCATCTGAACCACAGGTCAGGTGTATCAGTCTACCGTTAATAACAACGTATGAATGGTACTTATGTTGTTTGCAAAATAGCCAGCAAATCGGGGAGCGTGAAAGGGGAAATAAAGCGCTAGAATTTGCAAGCGGCTTTGTACTCAAATTCCTCAAGTGGGGACGTCGTCCAAAACTCTGTGGTCAGCATAGTTTTGGGGGTCGACCCCTAAAAGCAACATGAGCGCAGCGACCATGATGCTCCGCTAGTTATACCTTCAACTATTGGCACAACACCGCTGGATAAGAATTCAGAGGGATATTGTGCCGTTAGCCGCAGGGAAGGTATTCTAAATCGAGGGTATGTTGTGCCGTTAGCCGCTGAAAAGGAGAGCCGAATCACGCGACAGCAATAGCACTCGAAAACCGCCATAGATCTTTGCGAAAATGCAAGGATTGTTTTACATACTGGGCGCTTGATACAAGTTAGCGCGTAGTAAACAATGTCGGTTTTTCAGTAACTTCACGCCGGTCCGTGGTTGCCGACCCAACCTGCGCCACCCCCGATACAAATCCGGGTTGCGAGGTGGCTCAAGTTGTGTGGCTCAGCAACCTGAACCACTGACATAGGTTATTAGTACGGGCGACAATTCCGCAATGGGCCTCACATCAATGGCGCCGAGTTGCGGTGCTCGGCCGGGCTCGGCGGAGGCCATCGCCGAGGCACTCGAGGCCAACCGCGCGCTCGTATCCGAACTTCAGGCTCTGGAGCGGTCGCTGGCGGACGCGGAGGCCAAGCTCCTGTCCCAAACGCAGTCGATCCGGCGGCGGATGGCTCTGCGCAGAGCTCAGCAGGCGATGGACGCGCTGCTGCCGCGCTCGCGGCCAATGGGAACCGCTCTCAGCTGCTACGAGCGGGACCCGCGCTCCCGCCGCAAGCAGATCGGCGGCGTGCCGCGCTCGTTCATCCGCCCGCAGCCGTCCTTCTTCACGGACGAGGAGGACGCCCCGCGGAAGGTCGGGAGGCCCAAGAAGAAGCCCAAGCAGCGCGCAATCACGGCTGAAAACGACCAAGAACTAGAGAGGGCGGTGCTCCAGAGCCTCTCAGAGCCGCCGCCCAATGCCGACATGGAGTTCCTGCGCGCCCAGAGCCACGAGGCGTTCATCGCGACGCCCGCCACCATTTTCTCGCCCAAAGAGCGGAAGGTGCTGAAGGATTTCGTCGAGGATTACTTCATGACGCGCCCCCGTGGGTACATCCCGCTGCAGGCGTGGAACGGGATCCAAGCCTGGCAGAAGACGAGGAAGTCGAGGCAGCTGCCGATCGAACGCTCGGGCTTCGCCTGCAAGTTGTGGTACGAGCTACACGACTCGCCCAAGCTGCGGCTGGGCGCCTGGACCAAGCAGGAGGACGCGGCGTTGCGGCGTATGGCCTCCGGGGAGGAGGACCCCAAGCTGGTGAACCAGTGGGAGGAGATCGCCAAACGCATGCCGATTCCGGGCAGACCGGCGGTGCACTGCCTCGCCCGGTATCAGACGGCGCTGCGTGCGGACAATGTCAAGTCGGGCTTTACCCCCGAGGAAGACAAGGTGCTGAAGGAAGCGGTCCCCGTGTTTGGCGAGAAGTGGAACGTGATTGCAGACTTGCTGGATGGGCGTGTACCCGAGCAGATCCGTCACCGGTGGCAGCTTACGCTGGCTCCAGGACTTCGACGAGGCAAGTTCTCGATCATTGAGGACAGACGCTTGCTGCTGGCACTGCGTGCGTACGTGGCCAAAGACAGCGAGTTTAATCTGGACGAGGTAGCGTGGAATGATATCTGCCACCATCTTCCTGGGCGGACGCAGCCAGCTGTACGCGATCGATACGCGACGTGTCTGAACCCGGACCTGTCGTTCCGCAAGTTCACCAAGCAAGAGGACCAGATTATCCTCGCACGAGTGCGCGAATGGGGCGTCGACGCTCCCAGACTGTGGTCGCGTTTAACGACGGAGCTTGCGGATCGCACGGACTCGCAGCTTGCGAGACGCTGGAGGCACTTGGACCCCCAGGGCTACGAGAAGCGGCGACAAGCGGTGGAAGAAGCCAGTAAGGCGCAGACGACCGCTGTCTTCCGCCGTCGATCCATCCACCGCCGCAAGCCTCGCCTCGCACAAAAGAATACTTCACGAATCTCCTACAACGGTCTGGGTCTTGATGAGGCTGCACAAGCGGCAGTCGCAACGGCATCCCGCCCTGTATCTCGAACCCCTGTAACCAATGAGCCACCAGCAGGTGAAGCCCTGGAGATTCGCCAAGCGGAAGGAGAGGACGGTTGGACCGAGTACATGCTGTAAGCTATTGTTATCGAGAAATGCAGCGCCGTTGCCACCAACGCCACGTCGACTCTGCTTTCCAAGGAGATGAAAGCTATTCGAAGAAGACTTGGGATCTGCCCACGCCCCGAAATACTTGCCAGCCTTTATCTCGCAGACGTTCTCCATTCCCATTCACACATTGTGTACTGGCCGAGCACAGACACCAAGACGCCCAAGGCAGTAAGTAGCAGCGTCAGCCTAACGCAATGGAGGTGCTGTCGATCAATGCGACGTCTTTGAGGCGTTCGACTCTTTCGTCCCGAGGCGCCTCGCGGAGCTCCACGGTGCGCAGTCTGAACACCCAGTTCAAGATGGACGAAGAGTACTCATCAGGCAACAACAACCACGCGCAACCTCAATTGCACCCTGTGATCACAAGCACCAAAGCCACGCGATGCTGTCGTCCAAAGGAGTGGAGCCCCGAGGCGGAGGAGGCGTTCCGCGTGCAGCAGACCGGATGGCGCGACATCAAGGAGTATATGGAGACGTACGGCGAGCCGGAGCGCTGGCACAATGGCTTCATTCGCTGCACTCGCGTCAAGGCCAACGGCTACTACACCTACTGGCGCCCACACCGTGAGTGCGATGACAAGTACCTGTACACCGTCAAGCTCTTCGAGTATGCCTAGAGATGCGCCTTGTGCCAAACTGCAGGAACTGTATTAACCCGCGTCAATAAAATCAATTGAACCGCCTTGAACCACGTTTACTCCACGAAACTGAGCTGGCCAAGCGCCAGCGCGATGCCGATCAGCACAATGGCGAACATCCACAGCGCATTCGATTCACTTGGCTTCTTCAGTTGCCGCTGTTGCTGTTGCGCCTTGCCGATGCCCTTGCTCTCACCCGCAACCTCCTTCTCATCCAGCAGTCGTCCACCCCAACGCTCCTTCTCCTCCTGCTTCTGCTCCGCCAGCTTCTCCTTCAACGTCGCCATGGTCTCTCTGATATTCCGATCCGTCGGGTGGTGCTTCGCCGCCTTACTCAGTTTCTCCTTAGCTCCGTCCAGGTCTCCCGTCAGCAGCAGCGCCTTTCCTCCACGGTACAACGCCTTGTCGTTTTCCGGGTCGATCGCCAGCGCCAAGTTCGCGTTCTCCACCACTTTGGCCAGCAACTCGTCGTCTTTCTCCCCAGTTTTAGGCGCTCCTTGGGCCAAAAAGCACGCCGCCAGGTTCAGATACACCGGCAGCCGCACCACGTTCACATCCGCTCGGTTCTTCTTGGTAAACTGCCACGCAATGACCACAGTAAGTGCGAGTTGCCAGCTCTCCACGGTTAATTAATGGGGTCCTTTGCTGCGAACTGTACCTCGAAATGCCACGTGCCCTCGTCAAAGTCCACGTGGTAAAGTGCGCGCTCGTACCACGTCACAGCTCCTGCAATGTCGCCAGCTTTGAACTGCGCGGAGCCTCGTTGGCGGCACAGATCTGCGCGCTCGATGCGCGTCTCGAAGATGCAGGAGCGTTCCTACAGATTAAGCGAGGAATCAGGGGGCGTAAACTTTAGAGGGCAGTAACTTTGCGAATTCTGCGAGTTTCGAGCTGGGGAGGGACTCACGTCGTGCATCAGCATCTTGGTCTCTTGGTCCTTGTCGGGTGTCGCCTCTTGGGCTGGCGGAGCGTCGGCAGCAGGCTTAGAGGCAGCGGCATCTTCCGACGAGCCCATGGTGGATTGGCGATAAATTGTGAAGTGACGTACGTGGCGGCGCTTTACTTGGTATTTGTATGGGACAACTTTTGACCAATGGAAGGCGTGTAAGTTGTAAGAGACCGCATTGAAGAACCTGAGGAGCGAAGATGGAGACGCCGCCACCCCTCACGGAGCAAATGCGCGCGGCGACGCGGGAGATCCACAGCGTCTCAGACCAGTAGGTCGCTGCACTCGTAGTAGCTTTTTGCGCGAGGACTCTTAAATTTTATTGGTGGTTTGCTGCTTCAGTTTGGTGAACCTGAAGCTGGTGGTGGCGCTGACGGATAAGACGCTGTACGGTCAAGCGCTGATGCGGTTTTGTGCGTGCTAGAAGGACTCTTATCTTTTATACGGATGAGGCTGGAGGTTGTTAAATTTTATACTGGTGTTGGTGTCGATAGACTACGTCTACGCGCAGCTGGAGGCGGCCATCGAGACGCACAAGGAGCACGAGGCGTTCAGTGGACTCAACGAGATCTTGGGCGAGATTGCCAGGGTAATTGTTATGACCTTCTTCTGTAGTTGTTGCAACAAATGTACTGATCAAGTGTGCAGGCTGACGGCATTGCCAAGGACCTCAAGTTCTATCTCGGCGAAGACTGGACTGCCAAGTACCAACCGCCACAAGCTGTGCACGACTACGTCAAGTGCGTCGATATCTAGTTGCCTATAGCGGGTGTTCATAGATTTAATGATCTGGTATTGTCTCGCTACAGGCATCTGCAGGAGCTGGGCAAAAAGGTAGCACGAAGGGAGAGTTGTTCATGCGGACTAGTGATGGTTATTTATCTCTTCGCGCTGGCGACGAAACGCACTACGCGCTATAGGACCCGCTGTTGGTGCTGCCGTACTGTTACCACATGTACATGGCCATGCTCGCGGGTGGTATGATGATCAAAAAGCTGGTCAAGAAGAGCTTCAAGCCGCCAGAGGGAGAGGGGCTCAATGCGTTTGCCTTTGACGTCAAGAGCAACAAGGTAACTTGAATTCGATGGCTATGCGACGAGTTTGGTTGGTGAGCGATTATGTCTGCTGGACCTGTGTGCTAGTCCCTTCGTGATACGGTCAAGGACAAGATCAACGCTGTCCCGCACGACGAGAAGACGAAGAAACTCATCCTCGCCGAGTCCGTGACGTGCTTCAAGCTGAACAACCAGGTGCGTCCACGGTGTATTATCATTAATTGAAGCGATCACCGCCCACCTAAACGTGCTGATAACTCCCTTTCTTTCCTTTTTTTGCTAGCTCGTGCGGAGCCTTGACGGCACTGGAAACCACGTGATCAAGTTCGTTTTAAAATGGGTCATCATCATCGCCCTTGTAATCGCGGTACGTCGGATACGAACCACATACGAGGTACTCTCGGCGTCCTTACTGGCAGTTGCGTCTGGCATCATGTTTTTTGTCAATGCAGGCGTACTTTGCTCTTTCACGGAATTCCACATAACGTGCGAATCACGAGGCTAGGCTTCGAACGCGATTCTTGGGAATCTGGTACTGCACTACTTGTGGTGTTGCAACTTGCAACTTGCAACTCCATACTCCCGAGTGCAAACTCGGCAATTCAAAAACACTTGCAACTCGCTCGCATTGGGCTGTGCTTCAGTCACTCTTGGCTACAGTCTCTCCTTTCCACTGCGAGAGACCTACTTCAGTTTGCTTTCTTCAGCAACGATACGTACAGCTCGAAGTCCTTGAACGCTGGGTCATCCTTCGAGTAAGCTCTGCCTCCCACGCCCAGCCTCTTCCTGACGTAGGAAAGCGGTCTTTTCTCCGCAATTCAAACACGAATCAACGCCTTGGTCTCGCCGCGATACGGACTGACGATGTTCATGAAGGGCTCCTTGTTCTTGAAGCGCTGGAAAAGCACGTCGTCATACTTGGTCGCATAGCTGATATAGGTGTTGTACTTCTTCCGTCTAAAGCGTGAGCCCAACTTGTTCAATCCCAGGTGTAACCAGACGTGAAATGTGGGGCGGCCTAGTTGTCCCTCCTTCAACCAGTTGTCCACCTTTTGCGCTGCAGCTTCCTTCACAACGCTGGCCTTGGCAGCTTCTTTGGTCTTGGCAGCCTCGTCGGTCTTGGTCCTATACACGGTATTTTGTTCTGACTTTTTCCCTGCTAGGCGTCAATGAAACATTGACACATAATTTGCGCAAGATGCCTGGGTAGAGGGAATGTATACACCGCCGATGAATAGAGCTTGGTCGGTGGTCTCGTAAAAGTGTAGCTTTTCAACGAGAATTTCAATGGGGCATGTTGAAGTGCTTGGACAACTTCGCTGCTAGTCAACTCTGCAGCTAGCGATGTTGTCCGATGTCAAGAAAACAAAGAGCAACAGATTCCATCCAACGAGGAAACAGCCTGAAGATGAGCGACTGTGAGGGCGCGACCCAAGGCGAGGTGCTCGTGACGTTCTACGCAGCAACAACGAGCGCATTGAGGATGCGTGCTATGCCGAGGCAGAGCTCGGTCGATTGAGCTCCACCCCATGCGTCATCAGCGTGGGGGTGCGGACGAGATGCTGCCTGTTGCGGACCTGTTCATTCCTCAGGCAGGAGGACCTGCTGGAGATTGCGATCACCCCGCGTCCAAACGGTTGGTGGAATGCCGCGTGACGAGACACAAAACGAAGCGTTAGCTTCTTCTCTAGTGTAAGAGGGGTTTTAAGCAGCCAGTATACCTATCTCCATTGGTGTTGCTTTGGTTGTCATTTGTTTGCGTCTCTTCGTGGCACATGGCTACAGTGTCCTTGTTATGGCTACACTTCTCTGAACAAATATAGCCCTTATATACTCCCCAATAATGACGCGCGGGGACTTCCAGGGGCGTCGTCCTCCCCGCGATCGTCGCGGTCGAGGGCGAGGTAGAGGGAGAGGCCGCGGCAATGGTAGTGGCAATGGCAGCTCTGCCCCCACTGCACGCGCGCCGCCACCCGCCCCTGCCCCACTCAACCAGGAGCCGATCCGCGGTGCATGTGCAGCTCTGTGTCCCCCGAAGGAGGCCGCGGACCGCGCGCGCACCCAAGAGCTCAGTCGCTTCGAGCGTCCGTCGTCAGCCGCCGGTGGTCAGCGCCTCGAGCCCGTGAAGAAATACCGAAGAGCTGCTGCCGGCCGCGACGTGTGGGGCCCATCGGAGCTGAGGCCGCCCTCCGTGCTGCTGCGCACACTGCGCCACCTGTTCACGGCTGTGCTGCCCTGGCCCAGCAGCGGCTTCGACGCCTACGAGCAGCGCGGGTCTGCGCGCTCTGCGGAGTTCCTGGCCGTGTATCACTTCGTTAACGACCGAGTTCGCAGCGTCCGACAGGACTTTACCGTGCAGGTGGGCAGGCTTGAGGACAGATGATGGACACTGGAGGACATCGGCTGACTTTATGTTGTCGTTGTGTCTTGGACAGAGAGTTGAGGACGGCACGCTGGTGACGGCGCTGCAGCAGGCTGCACGGTTCTATCTGTTGGCGGGGCTGCGCTCCGTGCAGTTGTTGGACGGCGTCAAGACGCAGCAGGACTGGAGCGACAAGCTCAACGACGAGCAGCTCGCGTCGGCGCTGTCGCAGCTGCAGGCGCTCTACGGCTTGCACGAGCTGGCTGGGTTCGACCATGAAGACGTCCCCGAGCTGAAAGACGCGGGGGAGTTTGTGGCGTACGACCTGCTGCTGCATGCGGACGAGCCGCAAGACGTGGCGTGGATGCTGCTCAAGCTGTCGCCCAAGCTGCGGAAGCTGCCGATAGTGCAGCGTGCATTGCGCGCGTTCGTGGCGCTTCAGACGGACGATTTCCGCGCGTTTTTCGCCGAGTTTGGAGCCATGTCGCTCCTGGAACAAGCCGCGGCGTTGCGTCACCTACCGAAGGTCTGGGATCGGGGCTTGCGTATGATGAACAAGGGATTCGGCAAGCAGGATCGATTCCCGCTGGAGGAGCTGGCACGCTGGATGCACCTCGCTGATCCAGAAAGTGAAGGCGAAGGTGAACTCGCTGAACGACTCTGCAACGCCATGAAAATCCAAGCACAGCGTCATCCGCCGCCCCCGCCGCCAGCCCCAAAAGAAAACGAAGAAGTTGCTGACTCTTGGGAAGTCGTCGATGACCTCACGGCGAAGGTGTCGTCGCTATCGGTGAAGAAGGCGCCGTCCTCAATTGGCTTTGCACAGTTCAAGCTCGCGCCACTGCTTGAGAGGATGGACTCGGGGGCGGTGAGGTCACTACTTCGCGATGTAGTCAGCCGCATCGAAGCAACTTTAGCGGCCGAGGGCGCGCTCTTGACGACGACGGAGCTGATCATGGGCAAGACACAAGAAACCAGCACAAGCGGTTAGCACGCAGAGCGCCTGGGAGTGAGTGAGTTTGTGAGAAGTTTGTTTTGGTCGTTTTTATTTGTCTCTCACATACAACAAAGCTTTTCCAAAATGCAAAATCGCAGCAGCTTACCTCCGTAGCCAGCGCCGGCGGAACTGGGAAGAGACTGTCTTCCCCCGTTGCTCGCACTACGTTCGACTGCTGCGCCATAGACTGATTCTGCATGCTGCCTCATTTAGTCGCCACTTTCGACGGTACTTGGTTTCTGTAGTATGTCCCCCCCTCTCTTGTTACAGCACTTGGCGAGCTGCGGCAGCTCTGCAACAGGTATCTGCCCTGAAGTCGGTGGAAATCGCACAATGGTATCACACCTTAGTTTTCTTCTTGGGAGGCGGCAAGCTGTCCAGCGCGTCGAAACTCAGCTCCACCTTGGTGTCCTGCAGGTTGTCCAGGTCGCGGTACGACGTAGACACTTGGCGAGGGTCCACAGGCAGCTCGCTGTCTGGAACGCGCGGTGGGCCGGATGGAGGTCCACGAGAGGGAGAGCGGCCATAGCCACCGCCGCCATTGTACCGAGGTGAGCGCGGCGGGCGGTCAAAGGAACCTCTCCGCATGCGGTCGTCACGCGGTGGGCCGCGACCTCGGTAGCCATCATCGCGGTAGAAGCCGCGGCCGCCACCACCTCCGTTGAAGTCTCGGTCGGGTCGTCCACGGTATCCGCCGCCATTGCGGCCACCGTTGGAGCCTGCACGACCTCCGAGAACGGCACCTCCAGGGGCATTATTGCTGGTCTCGAGAGGAGGCATCGGGTGCTGCTCGTCTTCGCGGTACTGTTCCCACATGTAGCTCTCGCCCACTTCGGCAACCTTATCCACCACCAGCTCCGGGTGCTTGTTGCGGATGTGCTTCTTCACGAAGTCCATGGCCTTGAAGAGTTTCGTGCACAGTCGGCAACGGTGCTTACCGTCGTCGCTGGCCTTCTCGCCGTAGTTCGAGTAGGTGCTTTCCAGCGCAGCCTCCTCGCGCGTCTCAATCTCGTCGACCAGCGCACGGTCCTTCGCTCGCTTCGCCTCCACAACATCCGGCGCCAGCTCCTTCAAGTACGCCTGCACCTTTTCATCCAACGCTGCAGCCCATCCGCCGATGGCCTTCGCGGTCTCGCCTGCGGTTGTAGCCTCCTTGTCTCCGGCTTCAGTGTTCGCAGCATCGTCCTTGTTTTCCTCAGTCGAGGCATCTTCCTCCGGCTTCGCAGTGTTGGCAGCAGCTTCCTGGCGAGCCTTCTCTTCCTCAATGTCGCGTGCCGACGGCGGTGGGCGGCAGAAGAGCGCAGGGTGAGCATGCATGATGTCACCCATGTCGAGGCACTGCACACCGGCATAATAAATATAGTGGTGCACGCGGCGCAAGTAGGCCACGACTACGTCCAGCTTCTGCTTATCAGTCGAGTAATTTTGTGCCACCTCCTCCGACGCCAGCAGCGCTTCAACTCCAAAACGTGCAAGCTTTTCCTCGGCTCCGTGGAACAAACGATCGTCCAGCGCCTTGGCCAGAGCGGTAGCCTGCTTAAAGTCCGCGGTCAGACGCTCAGGCACCGACAAGTACGACGGCGTCTTGAGCGGTGCACGAGCGCGGTGCGGAGACACCTGCAGACGGAACGGCGGGAACAGGTTGCCGTCCTCCACGAAAGTGTTGTGGATCTTGGGCATGGCGTCACTCGCAGCGGCCGCACTCTCGTAGATGATGTACGCCGAGCGGTCAAAGTCGAACGCGCTCTTCTTCACCGGGTCCGACAGGTACAGGTGCACGAACGGTCCTCCCTAAGAAAAACAAAAAGCCTCATCAGTCCACTACTACTTCATCGTCCTCCTTCCAGCATCTAAGCACACGCACCGCCTTCTTGATCGTCTCGCTGAGCGTAGCCACAGGGCACGCGCAGGGCACGCGGCGCACATACAGCACGCGCGCGCTGTTCTCGAGATCATTGGCGAAGTCCTCGCCCAGCGGGTTGACGCCGTTCACCACGGGCGGCTGCTCGTCCAGACAGATCTTGGCGGCGCCGGAGCGAACGCGCTCGCCGAACTGCTTGGCCTCGTTGATCTGCTGCGTGGTCTTCTGCTTCTCCACGCGGTGGCGCAGCGCCGGCGAGTAGCGCTCCTGCAGCCACTCCTCGCGCTTGTGCAGCTCGAAGAAGGCGCGCAGCACGCGCTGCACGTGCTTCTTCTTGTACTCCTCGTAGCGCTGCTGGTAGACCTCGGGCGACACCTCGTCCGTCTGCCGCATCATCCACACCTTGTACGACACGAGCGGCTCGGGCAGCGACGACGACGGGCGCGCGTCACGGCGCGGAGGACCCTCCTCGAAGCGCGGGCCCGAGTCCCAATCCCTGCCGCGGCGCGGGGGGCTGCGGCTGCGGCTGCGGCCGCGCGGAGGTCCGCGGAACCGCATGTCGTAGTTGTCGCGACTGTCACTGCGGTGGCTACGAATTAACAGGTAAAACGTTAGCTTTACAAGCTCTATAAAGTAGAAGAATACGACAACCGACGGACGCCATAATTTATACGCACCGGCCGCGGAAGTCGTCACGCCCGTACGGCGGCCGCTGGTCCGGATACGGCGCGTTCATGGGCGGGGGGCCGGGCGGGTCGCCCCCTCTTTGGTCCATGGGCGGGAAATCCTCGCGTATCGGAGGCTCCGCCTGCAGTAGAAGAGAGATACAGTGGAGACGACAGAGTGAGCGAGCTTTATCGATTGATTTAAAGCCCTCCGGGGGGTTCTACGCGCGCTGCAAGACTGCGGCAGGTAGCGGAGACGACGAGGAAGGTGATTGGATACGTTGGGACGCACCATTCTGGGTCTAGAGTCCACGCGTTGAAGGGGAAGCTGACGCACGAGACGCTCGCACTGTTGACTGCGTGTTGGATGGCGATTCGAAGACTGAGGCGCCAACCACCAAGGACGCGAAAGGGTTGTCATATGTTATACATGTACCGAACATTTGGTACAGTGGGACTGTCTATTCTTATAATATCGGGCGGAGTGGTCAAGTTGAAGTGAGCGCAATTGTCAATGGGATGCAATGTTGTATTATCCGAGTTGGTTAAACCTCCGCGGAACCTCGGTTGGCCGCGGCCTTGAGACTGCGTGGGGGGCCCATGGTGTTCTCTCCAAAGGTGAAGTCCTCGGCGGGCGGCTCGCCATTGTTGACCGGGATGGCGCCCGTGGTGAAGAGGATGTCGAACACGATGCAGACGGACGCCAGGAACATGGTCACGACGGCCGTGACGATGTCGCGGCACTTGAAGTCGCACACCTCCTCCAGCAGCGTCTGGATGTCCTTGTCCACGCCCGAGCAGACCGAAGTGCCCACTGGCGCAGCGGCCACGGCCACAGCGCACGCGAACGTGAAGAGGAGCCACAGCGAGTCGAAGAGCACGAGCGCGCGCTGACTCGGCTGGCGCATGCCGCGAACGTCGAAGAGCAGCACTCGGACCGTGTACGCGATGATCACCAGCGCCCCGACGGTCATGAGGAAGTAGACCTGGTTGCCCGACCGGAACATCTCCTGGCCGTAGTCGCAGCTCTTGATGCCGCCGGAGCCTGCGGTGCCTGCAGCGATCAACGCTAGGAAGATCGTCAGTAGCCGACCGACCATCGGAACGCGTGCGTGCACCATCTTGAGAGTTGAAAGCTTGAAAGAAGTTGGCGGAAGCTTGGAGTGGGGTCTACGAAGAGAATTCGTGAATGAATGAAGAAGGCGGAGTTTGGCAGTGCTCCAGCGTGCATTCCAATCGCACGAAGGGTTATGACACCACCTTTCATGCCACTAAGAATACCCTGTCGATCCCTCAATGCGATGCTGCGTGGTGCAGGTTTGGGAAGTACCATCACATCGCAGCGTTGACCCGCAGCACCGCACCGAAGTTTATATTTACACAAGCTTCTTCTTGTCGGTCTTCGAGAACCACCTCGCATGCTCAAGTTGAGACCAGACCTGGTCTATTTGCGACGAACTAGCGTACTAATGACGCGGTGTTGGGTGATTCGAGGGTGCTGGGGTTCTCCTTTTATGAAGAGTAACGAGGTCGCGTTGACACAGAATGTCTACCGCATTACAAGTCACTACGACCACGGCTAGCAAACCTATCGATATTGTTGGCATCGATGGGAGTCCTGAGCGTGCGGAATCGCCAGCGCAAAACGAAGAGGACTATTCGTCCGATGATAGTGAAGACGACGACGAATATGAAGACGATGATTCAGACAGCGACTATGACTCGGATGAGGAAGACGATGAGGAACCGGCGCTTGGTCCCTTGCAGCGCTTGTCCAATGCGTTGAGGACCAAGCAGCAGAAGATGCTAGCCAAGCGGCGTCACCCTGTTCTCGAGTGGAAGGCAGCAGCTCAATGGCACGCCGACAATGCCGCAGGCTTGGCAGCTGCCGAGCAAGAGCGAAAGGACCGTGAGGCAATGGCAGCCGAGAAGGCAGCACGTCGAGAACGGAAAGTAAAGCGCAAGGCTCAACGCAAGTTCACGAAGCAGAAGGAGGTCGAGTTCCGCACGCTCCTGGAGGACTACAGCCTGGCGATCACCAAGAGCGAGAAGCGCACCGCACTCATAACACAGTTCGCGATTGAAAACCGCTCGGTTGAGAAGCAGAAACTGGCAGCGATCGAGGCGGCTAAACGTGCCGAGCAATTGCGTGATGCAGCGGAGAAGATAGCGCTCGCCGAGAAGCGGGATGAAGAGGAAAAGCAGGCCACGTTGGCCCATCTACAGCAGTGCATCGAAGTCTCCAACGAAATGGGGAGGCGGTACGGTATCCTCCCAGCTATCACCACACCCGTCGCTCCACCGCCTCAGGAGCAGGACGAGACGTCTCCAGTGCTCATTCTTCGGATCAACAGCGCTCCGATCACGAGTCCCTCAAACAACCCCGAGTTATCTTCACAATTTACTCGGGGGGCGACATCGCTATCCTCCTTGCCACCTCAGAAGCGGCAGTTCTTCACTCTCAACTTGAAGCGATGCAAACACGTTGAAGAGCTTCGTGGAGAGCGGATCGGGGATCGAGGAGCCAGGGAATTAGCACGATCACTACTAACCGGGGCGTGTCCGCGAGTGAAGAGCATTCACCTGGGCTGGAACCTCGTCAAGTACTCCGGAATCGCCGCACTGGCAGATTGCTTCACGCGTGGGGCCTGTGCACAGCTCCAGGAGCTCGATCTGCGCTGCAACAATATCGACAGCAAGGCGTTCGCGGCGCTACTCGCCGCTCTGGAGAAGGGGGCGCTCCCTGAACTGCTGGACATCGGACTGCAGGGCAACGTGTTGGGCGACGAAGGAGCGCGAGCCATCGCACACGCGTTCTTCCGCGGCACGCTACATGCTCTGAGGCGCATCGACATTCGCCAAAACAGGATACGCAACGACGGCGTGCTCGCACTCTGGAACGTGTTCACGGCACCAAACTTCAGACGCTTCTGCCCGAAGCTCGAGCTGCTGGATATGCGGCGGAACGACGCCCACGGAGCTCTCACGCGCTCGTTTTGCCCGTGTCCGCCCTACCTCGAGTTTTAGTTGGATGCAGCAATGTTGGCACGCAGATATATTGTCCACTTAGTCTTGCCGTAGATCAACGTCGCTCGAAGGTCGGTGTTCAAGCTAATGCTTCGTCTTGCTAGTCTCTTCACGCGGCATTCCACAACGCGTTTGGGCGCGGGGTGATCGCGATCTCCAGGAGGTCCTCGTTGTCCTCCTTGGGAGTGAACAGGTCCACGACAGGCAGCACCTTGTCCGCGCCACCGAGGCTGATGACGTGCTTGACCCATGGGGTGGCGTTCAATTGGCCGAGCTCTGCCACGGCACAGCACGTATCACCAAGGTGGCCCGACAGGCACGACGTCCCCAACAGACCAGCCGATCTGCTCTGAGCGTGAGCCAGCAGCGCTTTCTTGAAAGACTCAGTCGTCAGCGGGTCTGGCAGTGGGAACGGAGGCGGCGGGACGGCGGCGCCTCCTGCATCAGCTTGGGCGTTGGCAGCAGCGATCGCCTCCACGAACTCGTGCACCTTCCTCCAGCCGAAGACAAGGGGACTTTCCTCGCCACACGCCCGCTCCAGGATGCCGGCGTACACGTGGGCCTCGTTGCTGCTGCGTAGGACGTCCTTCAGCAGCACTTCTTCGTCTTGTATGGTGCTCTTGCTGTCGTTCGACTTGGGGCAGGTCTTTCCTGGGTGGCGTCTTGTTTGTTGCTCGCTTGCCTGTTTGCTTTCCTTTTCGGAAATGACTCGAAAACTGCTCGGTTCCTCCAGAATGCGCAACATAACAAGCTGCTTCAACACACCCCAAAGCGATGCAAGCGTGCCAAGAGCTCTGCAGTGAACGGATCGCGTGCACTATGCGACTGTGGCAGAACAGAGTGACTTTTCTTATGGCTATAGTTTTACCAGCCGCGTAACTCGTCACATGAAGGAAGCTGAAGCGTTCTTGATCTCTTGCGTCCTGTAGCGTATTGTATTGAGCAAGAATGGAAAGTTAAAACATAGCACGCGTAGGATATCTGGGTGTTGGTTAGGCACGTACACGCTGCGGATGAAGAGAGCTTGGTTGATGGTTGACGCGGACTCGGGCAGACGCAGTGTTGGATTGTCGATTCCGAGGTTGTGTAGAGCTGCAGGTAAAGCACACAGGAGAGAGCTCAAAGGATTGAAGGCCACCGATATCGCTTAGTGCTGCGTTGTACCTCGATCATACTGCGCTGGGGTGATGAAGCCCTGCTCTTTGACATCGAACGCAGCGAACATGGCCTTTAAATCGTGCTCCTCAAAGAACGGGATCTGTTGCCACCAAAATCGAGTTGATGAATCAACTAAATGCACCACGGATGACAAGGTTTATCTCCGCTCGTACATGACTTTGCTCCTGCTTGGCTTTCCGCATCTCGCCCAGTTGCTGGATGAGGAACTCGCGAGGGTTGGTCGGACGGTGGTAGAGTAAAAGAGTCCCCAGTCCCTCGAACAGCTCCTTGATGCCGTGCGACGCCATATAGAGCTCCGCACGCACCTTCGGGTCCTTCGTGTTGATCTCAGGCGGCATGGAGCTTGCACGTCGCGCCGATGACATGGCTCCGGCTTGCCTGCTCTTCGCTATAGAAAAAAAATACCCGGGCTGCCAAGCGACGCCCAAACTAACCGTCGCGGTGTTTGTATCTAATAATTCGTCCTCGACACACCACATACCTTCCGATTGACGTCCCTGCGCCCGCGTGGCAACCCGAAGTGGCACAGATAAAAAAAATAATCGTCCTCTATTGGCACGACTAATCCATCGTGCGTAAGACTACGCGACGAGGATCACTTACTCGTAAAAGGACTGTGGTCAGTATAACACTGGTCAAACATCTTGTCGACTTCATCGCGCGCTTCGGCAGGGAACATGGACTGCAAACAACCAGCCCTCCGTTAGAAAAATACATGTTATCCACACCATTCTACCCAACTGACTTACACTGGTAGAGCGAACCGCGTGCTCACGGACGCAGCGCGCGTTAAGCCAGCGCGCGCTCTTCTGGAAGAACTCGACATCGGGCAGCACGGTCTCCAGCAGCTTGGCCTTCTGGTAGCACTCGGACTCGCGCGCCGACCGGATCTCACTTCAACAACAACACGATTCACAGTCAGTACAATGCCCATCACTGCATTAGCAGTAACGTAATGTGGCGCACCTGCACGCCAGCACGTCCGACTTGGTGATGTCCATCTTGCGCACCGTGAACTGAATGACGACAGCCACACGATGCCGTTAGCATTGATTGACGTATCACCGGAACTCACCTTCAACTCTAGAAATTAGGTCAGTACGTACGTCGTAGGCGTGGATGAGCTCGTGCACCATGGTCTCCTCCACCTCGCGCGCCGAGTGCAGGCGGTTGGCGCAGAAGACGACGGTGGGCGGCGGCGCCGAGAAGAAGGCGCGCGCGTTGCCCTCCGGGCCTGCAACACGTCACAACAAAATGTAAGAGAACTTGAGCTGCGGTCTCTTTAAGTTAGTATCCACACACGCAACGCACCGTCGTCCCGGCAGTCGAGACACACGAAGTCGATGGCCGGCACAGGGCTCTTGCCCTCGCGGTGCTGCTGGGCCAGGAACTGTAATATCAACATACAAAGACCAATTAGCCCCCACCAATATGGATAAACTATGAGAGACCGTCACGCCTGCCTTGTTGATGATGCCCACGATGTGCTGCGGCCGCCGCTGCTGCAGCGCCACCTGCACCGCGTCCTCGCACTCGTACAGCTCCATGCCGGCCCCACTGTGTGAACCCCCGATCTTACACATATACACACCATATAATGTGGTGCACATAATCCCACGCCACTTCAACCACGTCTCGCTCACTTCGCAAGATGCGCTTCGACCGTCGCGTGGCCATCGTGACTGGGGCCGGCAACGGCCTGGGCCGCGCCTACGCCGAGCACCTGGGGAGGCTGGGCGCCCACGTGGTGGTGAACGACCCGCAGAGCCACGCAGCAGACGCCGTGGCCCGGGGCCTGGGAGGGGGCGACCGGGCGCTGGCCAACTACGACAGCGTCGAAGAGGGGCACAAGGTCGTGGACGCAGCGCTCAACAAGTGTATGTGTATGGGTAGAACAGAGTAGAACGGTGGGTAGAGTGGGGGTAACAATGTGGCATTGTGTTCTACCGTTTTGTGTGTGTGTAGGGGGGCGCGTGGACATCCTCGTGAACAACGCGGGCATCATCCGGGACAGCTCCTTCGCCAAGATGACGCAGCAGCAGTGGGACGACGTGTACAAGGTGCACTTGGAGGGCACCATGAGGTAGAACGAGTGTAACTGAGGTAGAACAAGGTAGGACGGGGAGCTGATACTGTTTGTTTGTTGTTGTAGAATGACCAAGGCAGCGTGGGACGTCATGAGAGAGCAGGAGTTCGGCCGCATCGTCAACATCGCGTCGGCGTCTGGGTTGTACGGAAACTTCGGCCAGGCCAACTACTCGGCCATGAAGCTGGGCATCGCTGGGCTGACGTTCACGCTCTGCAAGGAGGGGGCCAAGCGCAACATCATGGCGAACGTTGTGGCGCCGCTGGCCAAGTCGCAGATGACGGAGGGCTTGCTGGAGAAGGACCTGAACGACAAACTGACGCCCGAGAGCGTCGCTCCGCTCGTTGCGTGAGTCAAGCAAGCGGATTTTAAGGCATACAGTGGGGGAGCGTCTTCATTGATGTCGTGGCTGCGTATTGGTTTTAGGTATCTGTGTCATGAGAGCTGCGATCGAACGGGGAATGTGTACGAGGTGGGAGGTGGCTGGGTGGCCCAAGCGCGCTGGCAGCGGTCGCGCGGAGTTGTGTTCCCGAAAGACAAGCTCACGATAGAGAACATTGCGGCGCAAATCGACGAAATTGAGGTAAAGTGCGGCACTGCAGGCTTGGAGATTGCCGTATTTAGCTTATTTTTTCTCTTTTGTGCCTAGAATTTTGATGTAGAACCGACGCGGTACCCGACAAGTCTGCAGGACACCATCGCCTACGTTCAGCGCATTCTCAAGTAGCTCATCCACGCGCAAGCCTCATCAGTTTGGCAAAAAATCGCTCAACGTTACACATAATGAAGGTAAAATCCGGCTACCCGAGGCTTTGGTATTCATCTCAGAATCCACTATACTGTATATGTTTGGTCAACTTCGTATGCAACCATGGTTCACGGTTACATGTACTTCCAAATACTATCCAGGCACAAGGGTTACTTACCTGGTACGCGGACAACGTACAGCTGCAGGGGAAATGGGTGTATTGGTGATCAATCGTACAATCCGACATTTCAACAGCGGCAACAGGTGGTTGAGAGCGGACACCGACACCAGCAGATTATTGGAGATGACGGGCCTCGAATCTTACGAAGACATGCATATCCCCTCTTAGCATCGCGCCCTAATCAAAGCGTAAACGTGGTATAACCCCAGACTTACCGAAAAAGTGGATTTTGTGCCCGACTTCGACCACCCTCTGCTGCATTCGGACAGCGAAACGAGTTTCTGAGAGAGCTGTGCATGTATTTCGTTGGCCCTGCGCACGTCACAACAACGACGCCATGCAATCGCCACATCAACAAGAGTCATCTGTATAAGCTCCGCTTGGAGCGTTGGACACAAGAAACAACGACACAGACTTTCGTCAACTGTTACAAAACAACTACTTAAGTACTTTTATTTACAGACCGCGACAGCATCCTATAACTTTTCCGGATTACATGCAATTTGACCCAAATTTTCAGAGCTGCTTTGGATTGTGCTGTGGAAGAGCTATGGATAGACCGCGTCTTGCGACAGAGCAGCAAGGGTACATTTATCGTCACCTACCCACACCTGTATATTATCCAATGATATCCGGCTATTTTGACTGGATAAACTTGTACCCCGCCAAATTAGATATTGCCTACAGTATCCATTTTTCAGATAAATCGGGGTTACCGTAACCTAAATATGGGTTGTGTAGTTCGATGACAACTGAGCCACTTTACCGCTCCAAAGCAAGCACGCTGGTATCGAGATGCCTCCTTCCAAAAGAGCGCGAACTGAGACTCCTGACGCCGAGGCGGAAATCATCGCAGAAGCTCAAACTTACACAACAGATAACCGCGGCAGAGCTCTCACGCTCCTGGAACGTATTGGCGTCCTCATCGGCACAGCCAACTTGAAGTCTGGCGCTTTGAAATTACGTCAGAAAGAGCCACTCGCAGTCAAAGTGTTGGCCGTCTGTTGTCGCGCTCAGCCAACACAGTCCGTCAGATTTGGAATGACTTTGCCAAGTATCGGTCTCTACCCGTGGCATCGGCGCCATCTAACCGTGAGCAGAAGCCGTCCCGTATATTGGCGACTGTTGATATGGAGAGGTCTGTGCGCAAGTTTATTCGTGAGCGCACGGTAGCCAAGGACGCCATACACCACCTCATACAGCAAGGGTTGTTAGTCGTCGACGTCACCGACAGTGCCGCTACGGCCTCAGCGCTCCGCACCGTCCAACGCTTCGTAAAACGATGTGGTTTCAAGCGGGGAAAGCGGAAAGGGTCGACATATCGGTTGTTAGCTGAAAACGAAGCTAAGCACGGTAGCTACGTGCAGATGATGGCATGTGAAAGTGCCGATCGCGTTCGAACGGTGTATCTCGACGAAAGTTGTATATATCACAACTACTCCAGTCATAATGACTCCCTTTATGACCCGACGGACCCCAACGTGATAAAGGAGAAACAAAAGCGTCGCCGATTTTGCTTCATCGCTGCCATTATCGACAAAGACCGTTACCTCCCGGATGCCGATCATACTGAGGCTGACAAAGCACAGTTTTTGCCGGAGACGCTTGGCATTTTTGAGGGAGGCAAGCAAACTAAGGATTATCACGGGATGTTCAATCATGACTACTTCAAAAATTAGATTGAAACGCTGCCCGTTTGTCTGGAAGACCGCCAACTGCACCACTGCCGCATCGTGATGGATAACGCAAAATACCACAAGAAGTTGCCGCCCAACACCCCCCGAAAAGGGAGTCGGAGATCCGACATGCAGGCTGCTTGTAAGTTGTATGGCTTGCCTTACGCTGAATCTGATACAAGCGCGATCATGTGGGGAAAGTTGTCACGGCACATTGCTGAGCACGTAGAGCCAGAGATTGTGACTATGGCGAAGAAGAAGGGCCACGAAGTAGTGTTCACGCCTCCACACTACTCTGATTTACAGCCGATTGAGTATGTGTGGGCAAATGTAAAGGGAGAAGTTGGGCGCCAGTACACCAAGGATACTACATTCCAACAGATCAGAAGTCGGCTTGATACAGCTTTCAAAACTCGTCGAAAACTGTTCAAGGCTGCATTGACAAAGCAAGAGCCCACTTGGTGGATCTGAATGCTCAGATCAAACGTTATGATAGCCGCAGTGAAAACGAGGATTCGGACAGCTCCGAGAGCGACGAAAGCAGTGCTAGTGATGACGACACTAGCTAATATTTTAGATAGCCATAAGTAAGTCTAGACACTGATTCTAAGAAATATGATCCGATACATTTGTAGCCCTGTACGGCATCTTTCGATCTATCGGTGGAAGAATGAGGATAACGAGCATCCGTCCAGAGTATCATTTCTCTACGATCATGACTCTGCGACTAATCCGCTGCCTTATCATTGGCCGAGAAAAATCATAGGGGTGGTAATGATTGGCCCAAATGCAAGGCAGATTATAATCAGCGCACATATTAAGGGGTGGTTATTATATAAATCAGGGAAAATTGGACTGCTGTTTCTGTGGAAACGACGCCGTGCTAAACAGTGAGACGCACATTTTCGCAATCAGGGAAGCGAGGAGGGGTTAGAAAAAACCTCTCGATCGTGTCGTGGACTGTTAATTTCACTTCTTGTTCTGCATTCCATTCGCATAACTTTTTTTTCTCAGCCATACCTCAAGGTCAAGCAAATGAAAAACGTGCTTGCATGCTGTTTGTTGACTTCCTTGCTATTCACGGCGACTTCGTCTGCAGCAGCATTTGGATTCCATGACTTGGTTGGTACCTCTGCATCAGCACCTTCTCACCATTGGACTGGTTCAGCGGGAGGACAACTATCGCCCATGAAGACGTCACCACCAGCAACATTTTTCTCAATCCGCCCCTCAGCAGTAACCAGCACTATCGAGTCGACGTACAAGAACTGGGTCGGCCCCTTGACGAAGTCCCCAAACACCGCGTGCTACCGCGAATCGCACTTCGGTAAGACATGTCCGCATGACTTCACCGCTAGCCTACCCGGTCAAGTGTGGAATGGAGTGCATCCGACAGAACGACGACTGCGCACTCGAGATCGTCACCAAGGTCGCAGTCGTGGTGCAAGCCACGGTGGCCATGGGCGCCTTCAACCTCTACGGCCAGTTCAAGCTCATGGCCAAGGCCGTCCAGACCGCCTTCCGGTGCGTCAAGGACCTGTCCATCTTCGTGCGGCAGTTCGCCAAGTTCATCCGCAACATCAAGGTGAGCGACCCGCAGACGCCGCAGGACAAGCTGCTGTCGATCCTCTACTACTCGGACAAGTTCATCTTCGACCTGCCCGTGACGATCGCCAGCTGCATGGGCATCATCGTCAAGCCCAACGTCCGATTCGCAGACAAGATCCTCAACACAGCCGAACTCGTGACCAGGGAGGTGATGGTGAACGCCGACTCGATCCTCGATAGCTGGGACTCGTTCAAGGGGTTCATGAAGAGGGTTCTGCTGGGCCAAGTGATCGCCAACGTGACGGAAACCGAGATCACCTCGCTGACGTCTGCTCTCAAGTCCAACACGACCTGTGGCTACGACCTCAAGCGTCTCGCAGACCGCACGTGGATGACCGTGCTAGCTCTCCGCAAGCGGAACCCAGACATGTCCGAGAACGAGCTCCGAGTTGAAATCAGCAAGTCGAGCCTCGTCCTGAACGAGATCCCGATCGCCACCAACAACTGCATGAAGGAGCTCGTGGCCGAGTCGGACGAGACGACGGCGTACGCTACTCGAATGACGCTGCGCAAGACCTTCGGGGTCATCGTCGAGGACCTGATCAAGTCCGGCACGAGCGACAACGGAACTTTCTACACGGCCGAGCAGTACGCGTACAACGTGGCAGACAAGGCCTTTGCCTTCTGGGGCGTGTGGGACATCAAGGGCATCACCAGCATGATCGGCGAGTACTTCCAGACGATCTGTGGGCCGACCAAGTTTATGGGTGAGATCGACGACGGTCCGGCGGCGGACGCGCTGGGGCTCTCGGCGGTGGGCAAAGCGTTCAACGGCAGCTTCGGTAACTGGACGAAGGAGGGCGACGGCACCGTCACCATCAACTTCCAGAGCAGCGACACGGAGGACGTGACTGTGAACATCCTCTCGGCGGGAGACAAGGTGGACGAAGTGGACGTCTCGGCCGGTGGCAGCGCAACGTGGAGCTCCAACGTGAGCGCTCTGGGCGGCAAGACGCTGTACCTGGACCGGTGGCGTCCCGGGTTGCTCGGTCTGCCGGGCACAGGCGGTGGTTCGCTGCTACTGTGGGTGCCTCGAGCGAGTCAGGGCGGCAACCTTGAGCTAAATGTCAATGTTAGTTAGGAATAGAGTAAATGAGTCTAGTATCCTAAATATACATATGGATATGTCCATGGGGTACATTTTTTATTGTGAGCACAGCCACACGCGAAGAATGGAACGAAACTTGTCTTCGAAGCACCGAAGCTGCAAAAGCAGGAAGCTTGCCTTTGGAAGCGTTAAAGTTGACGCGAGCGTTGCCTAGTAGAGTTGCGTTGAGGTACTTGTGCCGACGGTGGTCTTGGGGGTGCAGAGAATACGTAGAAGCTGCAGCAGGTCGAGGGAGGGTGAAGCTTTTGCTCCAGAGGGGGGAAGTTGATGCTCCAGAGGGGGGAAGTTGATGTGAAGGCCATGGTTGGAAGCATCGACCCCAACGATGAAGATACCTCACGTACTTGTGGCCCAAATGCAAGTGGTCCACTCTACTTCGGATTACCCCAGACTGGTATTGTGAATTCTGGCCAATATTGCCGATTCGGGTCGGTTTGAGAAGGCCTGAGCGACTTCTTATTTCGTACTTTATTGCGTACATAGTAAACTCAAGTCAAATCAAAATCTCGGGCGGTTTGCTGGCGATTTGGCTCGGTCGATTCAATCAATCGACTTCGGAAAGTTCGACTAGAACGCGCAATACTGGTTTTGGGAAAAGCTCAAGAATGGAACGCCTTTCATTACTTTCACTCTGAAGTCACATGTACACATAAAGCGAAAACACGTGGTTTAGGATTGCCTACCTACGCTCGAGTACGCAAACTAATATGACATACTGTACATGCAGCCATGTTCCGGTTGTAGTTCGCTTGCTATATCATAGGAGCACAGTACTTGTATCACTTCAACTTTGCCTATTATCCTTGTCCAGATTGTGAGCTTTGGGGTGTTATGTGCTTGGATTGCTCTCTTGCTTATTTTGGTATTTTGCTGTTTATTCTTCTGCTCATGAGCTCCCGTGGAAGAGCTGGAGGTGATGCTGCTGCTGCTGCGTTCGTGCTCGCGCGTTACTGTACGTGTGTTTGGATTGTTTGGATGTCAGGGCGTTTACGAGCGTGACAACGAGATGGATCGGGCGCCATTTCGGGGCTTCAGTACTTCAACTGCATCTGGCACACTGGAAATGTACACACGCCTCTAGCGTCGTACCCGCTCTAAGCTATCCGCCCTCGGAATAGCAAGTGGAAGCACCTGGAAGGCAGCAACCTGAGAATCTCGAGTCGAGAATGATCACTTTGGAGTTCTGCATTGCGGGGTAAGAAAGTCCCAAGCTACTCTTGGCGATCTGTCCTGCCTCATCGTTGTGCAGTCTGAAGTTGAAGGATCATGGCAGCAATGCCTCCGAGCCAACAACCGGACACATCAAGGAACTGAAATGGGCTCGGCTCAGCAGAAGCTGAAGCTGAAGCGCCCCTGCTCAGGCTGAGCCGAGTGCGCGCAACTGAAGCATGACACATCGAAAATCGATAACATCACTTTTCATTCGCCTTGGTGCTGGAGCTCCGCCACTGGAGGCAGATAAATGAATCGCGTGGTCTCGTACGTTGTCTTGTTCTCTCTTCTCGCCACCGCGGCCACTTCCTCCCCACAGTTTGGATTCCACGACATCTTGGGGGTCTTCACATCAGCTCCAACTACCACTTCAACTTCACGACAAACCGCCTCGGCAACAACGACGCTTAAACCCACGGAAATACCCCAAAGAAATGAGTCATCAAGCTCCTCGGGCTCAAATGCGGCTTCAAAGTCCGCAACTTCGACGCGCATTTCGCTCACTGCGGTGACAACAGCGGTCAGCACGTTTGAATCAACTCACACGAACTGGGTCGGACCCCATGCGACACCGACCGACACGGCGTGTTACCGCGAATCTCACATTGGGAAGACCTGTCCGCTCGAGTTCAACAGTGAACTAGACACGTGCTGGGCGCAGTGTCCTCTAGATTACCCGGTCAAGTGCGGAATGGAGTGTATTCGACAGAATGACGAATGTAAGCTCGAGGTTGTGTCCAAGGTTGCGTATGTATTTCAGTCCGTGATGGCGCTTGCGCTGTACAACATCTACGGAGAATTCAAGCTGATGGCCAAGGTGGTCCAAGATGCCTTTAGATGCGCCAAGGAGATGGCGAATTTGGTGAAGCAGCTCTGCAAATACGTCCGCAACGTTATGGTGACGGATCCAGAAACCTTGAGTGAGCAGTTGCTCGACAAAATGTACCAGACCGACAATGTGCTCTTCGACGTGCCCATTACCGTCGCTTCTTGTCTTGGAATTCCTGTCGACCCGGAGATCCGAATTTGGGACAAAATTACCAATACCGGCGAGCTCATCGTGAAGGAGGTGATCGCAGACAAGGAGCTGATCGTCGAGAGCTGGGAATCTTTTAAGAAGTTCATGAAGAAAGTCGCACTTGGCGAGTCGCTTGACGGCTTGAACAAGTCCGATATTACGTCGCTGGTGTCAGCGATGAAGTCGAATACGACCTGCGGCTTCGATATGAAGCGTATTGCTGATCGTACGTGGATGACCGTGTTATCTCTCAAGAAACAAAACCCGCAAATGTCCGAGAACGAGCTCCGAACATACATCAGCAAGTCGAATCTGGTGTTACATGACATCCCGATCGCTACAAATAATTGCATGCACGAGTTGGTAGCCGAGTCCGGGGAGAAGACGGCTTACGCTATCCGTGAAACATTGCGGACGACGCTAGGGGTCATTGTGGAGGATCTAATCAAGACCGGTACAAGCAACAACGGTACTTATTTGTCTGCCGAGCACTACGCGTATAAAGTCGCGGACAAAGCGTTGTCCTTCTACGGGGTGTGGGACATCAGGGGCATCATGAACGTCATTGGCGAGTATCTGCAGACAATTTGTGGCCCTACTAAGTTCATCGGAGATATCGATGATGGCCCAGTGGATATGTCATTGGGTTTGAAGACAATTGGCAAAGCTTTCAACCACAGCCATGGGAATTGGACGAAGGAGGGCGACGGCACCGTCACTGTTACGTTCCAGAGCAGCGATACGAAGGATGTGACGGTCAACATTCACTCCGGCGGGGATAAAATCGATGAAGTTGCGGTAAATGCTGGCAGCTCCGCGACGTGGAAATCGAATGTGACAAGGTTGGGCGGGAAGACGATGTACTTGGATCGTTGGCGACCTGGAGTGTTGGGTCTGCCTGGAACCGTAGGTGGGTCGCTGGTGCTGTGGATCCCGCGCGCAACACCGGACGGTGGGAATTTGCATCTTACGGCAAAGATCAATGTGAGTTAATGACTGACGTGGACGACTTTCATGTTATAAACTAGAGATAGAAAGTAGATTGTAAACTTTTAAATACTGGCGTGAGTGAATCGGGTTTCAACATGTAATCGATAAGCTGGTTGTACGAATGTTAATTTAAAAAATCGACACTCGTACAACTATTAAAAACATTGATCTTTATAGAAAACACAAAAATCCATTTGATCGCTTGCCACGTCTAGAGATAGGATACTTATTTTTTTTCGTTTCAAGGTTGATGTTTAGATTGAGACGTTTATCCTAACTAAGATAACGGCCACCGAGCAATAGGATACTTACTCTCTACAACTATTTATTTGCCAAATTTATACTTCTGTTTTCCGAATACTGCCCTAGCATACGGTAGTCAAATTCATTCGTTTCGTTTCGCATTGAGGTACATTGATGTCATTTAACTACTTTGGCTAACGACAACGGTGACCTTGTCGAAGGTCGTCTCTATCCGACCGCCCTGCTGCGTCGCTCGGTGCAGTGCTGCTACCTGAGCCTACCCCACACTGCTAAGGCGTGAAGGCCGCGAACTTCCAAGTGTTACTACTCTACTTCAGAACTGAACTTGGTAGTCAAATTCAGTACTGAAGTAGAGTAATAGCAGCCCTTCGAGTGTCCATCTTCTTCCTAAACTTACTTGTGCAGAATTCACCGCTAGACAAGCAACTGCACGGTACCTACTGTACATGCAGTATTAAAATATTCACGCATAAAGATTTGCAAGTGTTGGTTCCTCCTTTTCGAGCATGGATACTACAGTAGTATATGCAACAAAATCCTTAGCCGGTGCTATTCGTCCGTGACATCGAACTGAGCAGATAACTTGGTGTTGGCTGCTCGAGTCAATCCCTTGTACCAAAATGAGCACGATTGATGATTCTTACAGTCGTAGCGCTTCCTCGAATCCGTGATCTTGAACTTCAAAGGGAGGCGAGCGCCATTTTCCGTAGATGACCGCCCAACGTCGCCTAAAGCATAGAAGGGCTCGACTATACTGTACATTGCCGTTTAAGTGTCTGCCTTTGGCAGGAAGTTGTTGCAGAGTTCAACGATGAGCAACTTCACTCCGGAATCCGGATATCCGGAGTCCGGATATCACTTAGCTGCAATTAACTTGCTGCGGGCGGTAAAGCACGTTCCATCGAGTACCGCGAGGACGGTAGAATCGCACAGACAGAACAAGGAAATCCACAGATCTGAAGGGGAACCGCACAGAAATACCGATATACCTTCCACCGCCCACTATTGAAGGTGTGCTGGGGGTTGCACCCCCAGACCCCCGCATAAAGAAAAGGCTCTTGCTGCTGATACCGCAAAAAAAACACCCCAATGCAAATCGTTGTTTGAGACGATCATTCCCCGACCAAGCCCTTACCACGCTGCGCTGCAACTTGAGTGCTGCAACAGCGCGCTCGCCGTCGGTGAAGGACTGGTCTTGTAAGTTGCAACCACACATCCAGAGCAGCCGGACCGGCAGAAAGCACGAACAATGCGACTACACAAACCTCAACAATGTAGTACCGCTCACCACCGGCAAGCTGGAAGTGGTGAGAGCAGCTCGGTCGCAGCGCGGAGGATCGTCTCCCGAGGACATCGAACAAGATGTGGCATTTCAAGACTCCGAAAACTCGTACCTTATTATTATTACTTAATAACCGGTAGAACGCCAGTTCCGAGATATGGTTTCCGGGAGTGAGCTCGATCCTGAAGGCTTGGAAGGCAGCGTTACGAGCCAAACGATCCTGAGCCGGGTTGGAGACGTCCGCGTGCCTCCACCTGGCGTTAGGCTTGCCGAGGTAGAAAGGGCCTCTGTATTCTTGGCGATCGGTACTGGCTCATCGCTGCGCGATTCAAAGTTGAAGATCGCGACGACAACACCGGCAACCAACGACACATCACAAAACGCCTGGGGGCCGCTAGATCAGCTCACGTTCCCCACCGTATTAAAACGACAATGCTGCAGGATGGCACAGTAGTCTCAGTTCTTTATTTGCCTCGTCGGAGTCAAGTAACATGAGCCGTGTGGTCGCAATCTATTTAATCCTCTCGGTTCTCGTGTCTGTGACAGCCTCCGCGCCCGAACTCGACTTTGATGAATCGTCAGATGATAGCGTTGACCTCTCCACTCCAGCCCCAAGCGCTACGATATCTGCGACAGCATCCAGGTCCACAATCGAAGAATTCTTACTCGGCCACAGGACAACCGCAGTCAGCACTATCGAGTCGACGTACAAGAACTGGGTCGGCCCCTTGACGAAGTCCCCAAACACCGCGTGCTACCGCGAATCGCACTTCGGTAAGACATGTCCGCATGACTTCAACCACAAAATGGGCATGTGCTGGGCGCAGTGTCCGCTAGCCTACCCGGTCAAGTGTGGAATGGAGTGCATCCGACAGAACGACGACTGCGCACTCGAGATCGTCACCAAGGTCGCAGTCGTGGTGCAAGCCACGGTGGCCATGGGCGCCTTCAACCTCTACGGCCAGTTCAAGCTCATGGCCAAGGCCGTCCAGACCGCCTTCCGGTGCGTCAAGGACCTGTCCATCTTCGTGCGGCAGTTCGCCAAGGTCATCCGCAGCATCAAGGTGAGCGACCCGCAGACGCCGCAGGACAAGCTGCTGTTGATCCTCTACTACTCGGACAAGTTCATCTTCGACCTGCCCGTGACGATCGCCAGCTGCATGGGCATCATCGTCAAGCCCAACGTCCGATTCGCAGACAAGATCCTCAACACAGCCGAACTCGTGACCAGGGAGGTGATGGTGAACGCCGACTCGATCCTCGATAGCTGGGACTCGTTCAAGGGGTTCATGAAGAGGGTTCTGCTGGGCCAAGTGATCGCCAACGTGACGGAAACCGAGATCACCTCGCTGACGTCTGCTCTCAAGTCCAACACGACCTGTGGCTACGACCTCAAGCGTCTCGCAGACCGCACGTGGATGACCGTGCTAGCTCTCCGCAAGCGGAACCCAGACATGTCCGAGAACGAGCTCCGAGTTGAAATCAGCAAGTCGAGCCTCGTCCTGAACGAGATCCCGATCGCCACCAACAACTGCATGAAGGAGCTCGTGGCCGAGTCGGACGAGACGACGGCGTACGCTACTCGAATGACGCTGCGCAAGACCTTCGGGGTCATCGTCGAGGACCTGATCAAGTCCGGCACGAGCGACAACGGAACTTTCTACACGGCCGAGCAGTACGCGTACAACGTGGCAGACAAGGCCTTTGCCTTCTGGGGCGTGTGGGACATCAAGGGCATCACCAGCATGATCGGCGAGTACTTCCAGACGATCTGTGGGCCGACCAAGTTTATGGGTGAGATCGACGACGGTCCGGCGGCGGACGCGCTGGGGCTCTCGGCGGTGGGCAAAGCGTTCAACGGCAGCTTCGGTAACTGGACGAAGGAGGGCGACGGCACCGTCACCATCAACTTCCAGAGCAGCGACACGGAGGACGTGACTGTGAACATCCTCTCGGCGGGAGACAAGGTGGACGAAGTGGACGTCTCGGCCGGTGGCAGCGCAACGTGGAGCTCCAACGTGAGCGCTCTGGGCGGCAAGACGCTGTACCTGGACCGGTGGCGTCCCGGGTTGCTCGGTCTGCCGGGCACAGGCGGTGGTTCGCTGCTACTGTGGGTGCCTCGAGCGAGTCAGGGCGGCAACCTTGAGCTAAATGTGAAGCTCAATGTTAGTTAGGTTAGAAAACTACTACAAGTACCAAGTAACAACTAAATAGAATGAATGAGTACCGTGAATGAGGTACTAGCACATGCAACACACCTTCAGTTTGCAGCCGGCTAATATGACTAGAGTAGATTATGGTGGTGGTTACTGTGTTGGGTGTGCTGAGAGGTATGGTGAAGGGGCTGCATGGTGACGGTATATTGCCGCTCACATGAGCTTGGAGCTGGCGACGTTGAAGGGGTTCTTCTTCTTCTCCAGCTTCTTGCCCGCCTGGGGCTTGCTGGGGCCCAGCAGGTACTCGAGCGAGAACTTGTCCGTGACCGAGGCCTGCGGCTTCTTGTTGACCTTGAGGAGGCGGTTGCTCGACACGACGAAGGGGCTCTTGCCGCCGTTCAGCGCGGCCAGGTTGAACTTCTGCGCGAGCTTCGGGTCCTGGCGGCGGCGCAGCGCGGCGGCGGCGGACGAGGCTAGCCGGGAGGACATTGTGCTTGGCTCTAGGAGCGCGGGCTGGAGGCTTGAGCTCGAGGCGGCGGATTGAAGAATGAAGGCAATGGTGCAGTCAGACCTTATCAGAACGATGGGACGGGTTGTTAAACTTTCAGCTCGAGTGATGTAGCCATGTATCTAAGAACAGCGATTTGTATAGATGTTGAACTAGGATAATTTGTATCCCCGTGAAAAACGATGGGGGGATGGACTTGTCGAGTTGAAATTTGCATGTTTTTTTTGTTTTTTGGGAATGGCTACACTAAGCAGGAGCCACGAGCGCGTTCTTGTCGACCTGGGTGTTCATGAAGTGGTGCGCGAGCCTGGAGGTTGCAAGCAAGGTGGTCGATTAGATGCCCCTGACTCTCTGACGCGTAGGTTCTGTAATGATGCCTGTGGACAGTCAGGTGCCACATGAAGCTCGTCGTCGATCCGGCATTTGCGGATTTGCTTTGTGTATGCACGCAAGGCAAGCGAGTCGCTTGAAGCGAGGTTCCAGAACGCCCAGCATGGGCTTTAATTAATGATCTTCAAAACTCGTGGCAATGATTGAGGATAACGTGCCTATTAGACCTCCTTATCTGAATCGATGATCGCAGATCAGAGGAATACCACTCAGGCTATTTAGCAATTGTGGCGTAGCAACAACTAAGCTTACGTGGATGGACGATCAAAGTGTACAGTGTAAGCTGGATAAGACATCAACGTTCCTAGTTGTATCGTGTGACGACACGGCCGTTCAGAGGCTGCACCGGGCGCGCGTTGTTGCCGTCGTCCGTGATGTGGTACTCGAGCAGGTCCTTGTGGAGGCGGGTGAAGTCGGCAGACGAGATCTGGATCGGCGTCTGCAGCACCCACCAGTCCGCCGTCTCGTCGCACCCCGGCGTCGTGAGGCTGCCCGGGTAGTTGTAGATGCCGTCGGTCTTGCTGGCCTTTCGGATGAGACTCGAGTAGGATTTCCTGTGCAGTTAACAAACAACACAACACGCGTTAGAGCTTTTGTCGCAAGTCAACGCCGCAGCTAACACAAAGTCTCGACCCACAGCTGCACAGTGATAGCCTCGTGCTTGGCGTGGGCAGAGTTGACGTTCTCGAGGGCGTCAAGCACCGGCCCCAGCCAGTCGTCCGACTGGGGAGCAATGTCCAAGAAGATGCCGACCACCAACAGAGCGGCGCCGTCGCTGCTCTTGTGCACGAAGTGGATCTCGCCGTCGTGGGCCTTGCCGTCGACCGTGTGCTCCGACGGAGCGTGCAGGTGGAACTGCGCCATCTTGTAGCTCGCGCTGTTCACCGTAGCAACGCAGGAGCCTGAACACAATGTCATTGACGTTAACAATCTCAAACCAAGTCCAACAATCTTTAGCCAAGCCGAACACTAAGTGATTATTGCTGCACGAACCTCCGATGACGTCCACCTCGAGCGGCTCGTGGGGCTCCGTCAGGTTGTACTGCGAGCATTGGCCGCTGAAGCTGAGCGGGCTCCTCTTGCCCTTGCCCGCCTTGGCGACAGTCTTGATGTCGATGGGCGACTGGCGCACCCCTCCACAGGCCTTCCAGTGGTCAGCCCACTTGGACGTGTGCACCATACTGGCGTCATTGGCGCGGTAGCCCCACGCGGGGCCCGTCGACACGTCGGCGGAGGCGGTCAGCGCGCAGGCTGCGATGATGGCGGAGATCGAGGCGATGAACTTCATCGTGTTGTGGTGTGGGATCGAAGGAGGCTGCTGCGATGAGCGCAAGTTGAGGAATGAAGACCTTGTCGTCGCGATTACCGGTGATGAGCGATCGATCGTCGTGCGACGTGAAGACTGAAGAGGCCAACTGGGATAGGGAACAAACAGCTTATGGGAGTTTTGTGGTGGAATGATCTCGCTGCGGTAAGGACGAGGTGTCTTCCAGGAGACAGAAGGTTTACCATGCTGCCGTTTACGACCCCAATGTTTGTGCTACGGTAGCTTGCCTCAGGCAATGCTCAGTGGAACACCAAGAAATAATGCTGCATTAACTTCCGTCTGGACAAGTGTTTCAACAGCCTGCACACCATCTAGATTCCGCTTCTAGCATGTGCCGCCGAAAGCGCTCATTCACGTTCGTTGTTGTGACTTTGACGCGGGGATTCTTGACTGTAACATAACGCAATCTTGGTCTCCCGGTTCCTGGGAAGTTGTGATCAACGTATGTTGTTTTGCCCTCGGGAATATTGGGGAAGGGAAATCCAGTCGCGTCGCTCGTTTTGAAGAGCATCACGCGGTTTCGGTGTATCCTTCAATTGACTTGCAGCGGCCGGACTGTATCAATTACTCGCAGCCCGACCGCCGGATACCGTCGCAGAATCCATCTTACGTTTTCGCCAAGGCACAATTTGATTGGCTAAAAGTTTATTAAGGTGCCACGGAGGTCACGTGCAGTCGTATCGAGCCCGGCAGGCAACATCGACTAAGCGGTGACTGCAACAGTCGACAGCCGAGTTCTAGGCGGCGACTTCACGAGCTACCAGATTTGTGTTTGTTGTTGCTAAATGACTATAAAACTTACGCTAACAACTTTGGTTTTAGGATACCCTCTACGCCAGCAAGGTTTGCTAGCTTTACACTCCGTCGCACTACTGCGATCAGCTCGACTGCACTAGCACGAATGTAAATGTGTGTACTGTTTGAATATAACTACTACTAGCTTGCCAATCTCGGACAACCGGACTGGCTTGTGTGTCTCTGACGCTTGGGCGGCTGACTGTCTTCTTCGTTTCGCTCTTGATCGGCTTGTCGGATGAGTCTCAAAACAGTTGTAAGCTTAAGCGGTTCAGCTCTTCGCTTACGTTTGCTTGGTTTTAACCGCAGTGTACAGTATCCAATGTTGATAAGCTCAATAGCGTGTTTCTTGTCACGGATTTCGGGCATAGGTGCGTCCAGCTTGGCCTCGATCTTATTCATAATGTGCCGCATCATAATTGACCATTCTGACAGCGTCGCTTTTTTCTGCGATGTATCCAGGTCGTCCGATGGTATTCCTTAGTACGAGGGGTAGTTGAGCTTTGGATTTCCGAACCACCATAACATCCATGCCCCAAGGGGATCGATACTCGAAAAAAAAAATTATCTAGCTAGCACATAAAATTTCCCGCCCCAGACATGATACTGGTGCACTGGAACTGGCGCTGGCACTACAGCGTTGATCGACGGACGTTGGTGAAGCCCAACTCCGTCTAACAACGATCGAATTTCCTCCCGCAATAACTGTCTCGTAATATTGCCCGCTGCCACACCCTTTTGCTCAAGTACATGCTCCATTCTCTGCTCCTGTTTGCCAGGCAGCTCATCAATTGACCTTTGCTGCTGGTCAAGCTTCTTGTATAGCTCACTAGAAGGCGGTATCCCCGTCGGTCGCATCCAGAGCGACTCTCCAGCAACTAGTTGGCCTTCAAGCGTCCTATGGACAGCGGGGCTTGTAAACAAATCTGTCGAAAGTAATCCATGGGTGGCCGGTAAATCCTGCTCCAAATGTTCCGCGTGATGCACGAGTGATGCTAGGCACAACCGCAAAATTCCTGTCATATTCGCTTCGCGAGAGAGAACCGGAACATAGTCTCCACGCACAATTGCACATTTTTATCGGAGCCATCCTGAAAATGGGGCGGTAAAATAGCGAACTTAGAGTCATTTACGGGAAGTCCAGCCACTACTCGCCCCAGGAATTGATCTCCTGCAGCTTCATAACGGAAATAGCGATCTTGAACTCCACCGAGGCTCCATCCGCAGCGAAGACACACACTCACGATCGAGGGACCTCAGCGGGTTCGCTTACAGGTGGCGTGTATCACGGGGCCTGAACCCTCCTGGTTAGTCGGCGTCTTCACAAATATTACTCCAACGCTATCGTCTTTCGCCACGAGATGCTGACTTTGGAGAGTCTGGACCGACATTGAGCGACACATCAAATTCCACTGCGAAGTCAAAAAAAGGTGCGAAAACCCGCCATCACCCGCCACGAGAGTCGAATTGCACAACTCCTTATAAAGGGAGTACGTGAGTGGCTGCTTTCCTAATTTCTTTGGGGTGCTAGTCTGGTCCTGATCAGCCTCCATCCGCTTCATACCGGAGAACAGTTGCTTCATATCATCACCGTACTCAGGAGGCAGCGCCACGTGCTTCACGCGATAAAGATCCTTGATAGCACTTCGGTACCCGCTCAGCGTAGCCGTCTTCACAGAAGCACTCTTGAACATCAGAAAACGCTCAAAAACACTCGGTGTAAACTCACTTAGATTAGTGTCAACATCAGCGTTGGAAAACCTGGCGATATTCTTATCCTCCTTAGCGAGCTCGCTCCTGATCCACTTCGTAATCCCGTTGAGGCTGCTCTTGTACTTTCCTCTTGCTTGCTTGGTGACGCATGCATCGCGTATCGCCTCGACGTCAGCATGACTGGTACTCCGCACTGGAGCAGAAGCGCGTTGCGAGCCTCCATCACTCATGTTGCTGCTGGGTCGATGTTCTTTGTGTGTTGCTGTCAAATTTTAGCCAATGAAGGACTTGATGTAAGCGCCGGCGGCTCCCACTTACGTTTGCTCAGAAGAACTGTATGGTAACATTCGCATAATGAAAGCCAGTCAAAGCCCGTGAGGAAACAAACATTTCCTGCAAAATGTCAGTTGTCCACGCCGACGACTTCGCAGGAACCCCTATATGCTACTTACGAAAGCAAAGGAATCAATGTTCATGCGAGTCCATAACTATGAAGTTAAGCTTACTAAGAAGAGATTGTTACCAAGAACATGTCTTTTGACTGAACACAAAGCCTGGACGATATCTTTGGTGCGTGAAGCTCCCCACCCTTACAACACGGCTACATGAATTCATACAGTACGAAAACTTTCCCTAGCTCGTCTAGTTTACCGCCAAGGCGATCACTTGCTGCATTCGTTTTATTATGGTACCTACTTATTATTGCCGTTTGCAGATATTTTGGCCAACGCATGCTTATTATCTCGTTAATAATCTCGATTTTAGTCTAGCAAGCTCTTAATTGAGACCTAGGTCTGATTTATATATCTCGCCAGTACAGGTCTCAGATGGTCTGTTTCACGCTTTGCTACGACTTGGAAACGCAGAAATGCCATTCTAGACGGGCCAAACCGAGTTTCTAGGCCTAAAAGCGGCCCCCACCAAAGCATAAAGCTAAATCATCCCTCGCCTATCTCGTGTCCACTCATATTAAGAGACAGGCGTGGTCTATTCTAGAGGTCTATTTTAGAGGGCACGTATTTGCAGCGGGCAATAAGCTTAGTCTTTACCTGTAGTTTAGTTGTTGTTGATGTTCTAACCTAACTAACATTGAGCTTCACATTTAGCTCAAGGTTGCCGCCCTGACTCGCTCGAGGCACCCACAGTAGCAGCGAACCACCGCCTGTGCCCGGCAGACCGAGCAACCCGGGACGCCACCGGTCCAGGTACAGCGTCTTGCCGCCCAGAGCGCTCACGTTGGAGCTCCACGTTGCGCTGCCACCGGCCGAGACGTCCACTTCGTCCACCTTGTCTCCCGCCGAGAGGATGTTCACAGTCACGTCCTCCGTGTCGCTGCTCTGGAAGTTGATGGTGACGGTGCCGTCGCCCTCCTTCGTCCAGTTACCGAAGCTGCCGTTGAACGCTTTGCCCACCGCCGAGAGCCCCAGCGCGTCCGCCGCCGGACCGTCGTCGATCTCACCCATAAACTTGGTCGGCCCACAGATCGTCTGGAAGTACTCGCCGATCATGCTGGTGATGCCCTTGATGTCCCACACGCCCCAGAAGGCAAAGGCCTTGTCTGCCACGTTGTACGCGTACTGCTCGGCCGTGTAGAAAGTTCCGTTGTCGCTCGTGCCGGACTTGATCAGGTCCTCGACGATGACCCCGAAGGTCATGCGCAGCGTCATTCGAGTAGCGTACGCCGTCGTCTCGTCCGACTCGGCCACGAGCTCCTTCATGCAGTTGTTGGTGGCGATCGGGATCTCGTTCAGGACGAGGCTCGACTTGCTGATTTCAACTCGGAGCTCGTTCTCGGACATGTCTGGGTTCCGCTTGCGGAGAGCTAGCACGGTCATCCACGTGCGGTCTGCGAGACGCTTGAGGTCGTAGCCACAGGTCGTGTTGGACTTGAGAGCAGACGTCAGCGAGGTGATCTCGGTTTCCGTCACGTTGGCGATCACTTGGCCCAGCAGAACCCTCTTCATGAACCCCTTGAACGAGTCCCAGCTATCGAGGATCGAGTCGGAGTTCACCATCACCTCCCTGGTCACGAGTTCGGCTGTGTTGAGGATCTTGTCTGCGAATCGGACGTTGGGCTTGACGATGATGCCCATGCAGCTGGCGATCGTCACGGGCAGGTCGAAGATGAACTTGTCCGAGTAGTAGAGGATCAACAGCAGCTTGTCCTGCGGCGTCTGCGGGTCGCTCACCTTGATGTTGCGGATGAACTTGGCGAACTGCCGCACGAAGATGGACAGGTCCTTGACGCACCGGAAGGCGGTCTGGACGGCCTTGGCCATGAGCTTGAACTGGCCGTAGAGGTTGAAGGCGCCCATGGCCACCGTGGCTTGCACCACGACTGCGACCTTGGTGACGATCTCGAGTGCGCAGTCGTCGTTCTGTCGGATGCACTCCATTCCACACTTGACCGGGTAGGCTAGCGGACACTGCGCCCAGCACATGCCCATTTTGTGGTTGAAGTCATGCGGACATGTCTTACCGAAGTGCGATTCGCGGTAGCACGCGGTGTTTGGCGACTTCGTCAAGGGGCCGACCCAGTTCTTGTACGTCGACTCGATAGTGCTGACTGCGGTTGTCCTGTGGCCGAGTAAGAATTCTTCGATTGTGGACCTGGATGCTGTCGCAGATATCGTAGCGCTTGGGGTTGGAGTGGAGAGGTCAACGCTATCATCTGACGATTCATCGAAGTCGAGTTCGGGCGCGGGAGCGGCCACAGTAATGAGCACAGCCAGTAGAAGATAGATCGCGAGCGTGTGGTTCATCTTTTACTTGGCACAGAAGTAAAACTGACGAGCCGGACAACGAGAAGTGAAGAGGAATGGTAGGTGTGCCAGGACTGCCGGTTTGCTGCAACATGAAGACCAGTCGCAAGCTTCGGGTTATTGCAGTGTTTTGTCCATGGGCGTTGTCGGTACGTTTTAATTTTGAATGGCACAGCGATGAGGCAGTACAGATCACCAAGAATACGGAAAGCCTTTTTGCCGCGAAAGAGAACTTCTCCTTCGTTCTTCCAGCGAACGACCGAATGAAATACACGCGCTTCACGTTTTTTTAATCACGATGGCGAGCGACTTCACGACAAACCGACCGACAAGTAATCTGCCCTGCCAGCACGGACACGTCACCTTGGGATCACGAAATCAATGAATGCGATACGCTTTAAACTCAGCGCGGCAGCGACAGTAATCGGCCTTTAGAGCGGCAGCTACATGAGACCAATATACTTAAAGTACTGTACAGTAGCATGAAAATGAAAGCAGTGAGCCCGGACAACAATTGGGTCGGGCTCATCGTCACCCCGAGCAATCGCGAATCTTACACCGGGAAAGCTTGCCCGTTTGAGATTCTCACAGCAAACGGGGCTACACAGCCCACCGTGAAACGTGGATTATTGGTTGCAAGCCGGAGCCAACCGTTATTTATTTTAATAAAATATACAAAGAAGACAGATACACTGTAGTAAAAATACTTTAGGTTTGTATACAGAAGCTGTATAGTAGCGTTTTCACTGTACCGAGCCAGTCCGCGATCCAGACTCTGGTTCAGGACAAGCAGTTGATGACGACCATGGTAGAGACCCTACGGTAAACTCGCTGTGCGCACCAAGAAAAGGGTAAAAACGTTTAGGGAAAATAGATCCTATAAAATTTACACGATGGTACTATACTATGAGAGTACTACGTACATGTAGTAGGTTCTTAGGAATGAATCTTGGAGGCTACCAAGGTTGTACAGTATAACCCGGTGCTGTAATCCATTCGACCCAACTTAGTGTATTATTGTACCGCCGTCGGAAAAAGTGATCCAATACGATAACTGTACAATAATTACACAATCTCCACATGTTATTTGCCAACAACATGCGCACAGCCAAACTTTTACCTCAAGAGCTATATCTTCAATGGGACTAGAGAGAGGGACAGCCGAAGGTAAAACATCGGCTATAGGGTTGTTACGATTCAGACTAAGGTCAGTTATCCAATATACCTCATCATCATCATCTTATATCTTCAAAGTAGTATATTATATTTTGCCAAACAGAGTCTTATTATTTCATATTTTTTTTAAATAATTACAAATAATATTTCATTTTTTGTCAACAGTGGGACACGGCTTATCATTTAAAAATACAACGCGTAAGGCGCGACACGTGACATGAGCGTTCGCGTGGTCGATCTCCCCCACCATGCAGATAACCTCTGCAGCGACGGTGGTCGCCAATATGGATCCATGCCCTTATTTATTATAAAAATAATAACTAATGTTGATATTATTTTTGTCAATTATTACTTATCAGTTTATAATCACAGTGTCAAACACATCATTAAATAAAATGAATGATTTTGAACGATTTAATTTGATTGAACTATTTTTATTTTTTCGCTATCATTTCCAACAAACAAAAGAGCTCATTTGTTCTTTGCTGAAATGATAGTGCAATTCTTTGCGTATCGACTAGTGTGAAATGGACCCATCGTTCACAATCAAAACAATATGGATATTAATACCACCAGTATCTTCCACAAATCATTCGCCCAAAGATCGCAACGGGTGGAGCGATGCTTCGCGTGACCGAGTTCACGCCGCTGCTCGTCCATGACGACGACAGCCTGCGCCCCCCGCGTCGCCGCCGCAGCGTGTGGCAGTACGTGCTCGCGGGCGCGCTGAGCCTGGGGCTGCTGAGCCTCATCAAGCAGGAGGACAGGGCGGGGGACCCCCTAAACGCTGTTGTGTCCTTCGACGCGACTTCGCCCCAAGCCGGCAGTGATGACGTCGACGAAGTGGCGTTTCTGGCCAGCATGGAGACCTTGAAGGACCCGTCGGTGGACCCTTGCGTGGACTTTTACCAGTACGCGTGCGGTGGTTGGCTGAACAGCCATGAAATCCCATCGGACCGTCCAAGCATCGACTCGTCCTTCTACGTCGTGTCGGAGACCAACAAGGACACGATCCAGAAAGTGATTGATGCCAACCCGCCTCAAATTGGACAGTTGTACCACTCTTGTCTCAATGCGCAGGAGGTGGACCCTTCAGCTGCTCCATTCGTTGTCCAGCTGATTGAAAACGTCCACAAGGTAAACTCCACCCTTGCTTTGCTGGAGTACGCAGGCGAGTTGGACCAATCTCTGGGCATCAGCTCGTTCTTCCGTCTCTTCGTGGGGGCCGACCCGGAGGACCCTTCCACGAACGTCCTCCAGCTCGCCCAAGGTGGACTCACGCTGCCCTCAAGGGAATACTATTTGGAGCAGAGCAAGGTGGACGCCTACGCGACGCTCTACGTGGACTACGTGACCAAGTTGTTTGCCGTCGGGGACCTGGACAAGCACAACGCGAGTGAGTTCGCCCAGGCCGTGCTGGACACGGAGACGCAATTTGCCAAGATTTCTCTGCCCAACGCGGCGCTGCGGAACCCGTGGACGACCAACACGGCGTACCCATTCGCGGAGATCGCCACGAGGTACCCCTTCTTGATGGCGTACTTGAATGGGATCAACAAGCTGGAGCCGTTCCCAATGCTCCATGCAATAATCGCGACGCCGGACTTCTTCGAGGCCCAGAACGAATTGTTCAGTGACGAATCGTTGCTGCCGCAGCTCAAGAATTACTTGAGCTTCCATCTGATTGACTCGTTTGGCGCCGTTCTGGGGGAATATTTCCGTCGGGCGAGTCACGAATTTCACGGTAAGATTCAAGGCGCGGGTGCTCTGCTCCCTCGCGATCAGTTCTGCGTGCGGCTTACGACGACGTTCCTGGGGGATGAGCTGGGTGAATATTACATGAAGGAGGTGTTTGGACCCGATGCGAAGGCTGCGGCGCAGGCGCTCGTGGCGGAGATTGAGGAGTCGTTGAAGGCGCTGCTGATGACGGAGTCGTGGCTGGACAAAGTCACGTACGATGCCGCGGTGGATAAGCTCAACAAGGTCAAGAATTACATTGGAGGGCCAGATGATGTCCCGCCACTGCCGTTTGAGCTGCAAGCTGACGCGTTCTTCAACAACGTGAAGAGCTTGATGCAACTCAACGCTGCGGCAACTATTCGAGCCATTGGCAAGCCGGTGGACGAACAAGCCTGGGATATGTTCCCTTCCACTGTGAACGCCTACTACGACCCAAGCGCCAACAAGATGGTGTTCCCCGCAGCCATTCTGCAGCCGCCGTTCTACAGCGCTGAGCACTTCCCGGCTGCGGCGAACTTTGCTCGGATCGGGATGGTGATGGGCCACGAGTTATCGCACGGGTTCGACGACCAAGGACGCAATTACGACGGTAACGGGGCGCTCCGGTCTTGGTGGACTCCGTCCGTCTCTGCGGAATTCGCTGAAAAAGCCCAGTGCTTGGCAGCGCAGTACTCGACGTTCCCGGTTGTGTCGATTGAAGACGGACATGTGCTCGGCACGGTTAACGGCAACCTGACTCTGGGAGAGAACATCGCTGACAACGGAGGTATTCACCTTGCTTACGAGGCTTACCACCTCTGGAAGAGCACGTTTGCACCTGGGCCGCCGTCCGAAGCACCTTCCCCACCAGCTGAAGCTCCCCCGCAGACCCCAGAGCCTGCCGAAACAACTCCAGCGCCAGCACCTGAGCCCGTGGAGACTCCTGCAGCTCCAGAGCCATCCCAACCGAACCCCAACGAGGATATCCCTGCTGTGACGCCTGCTGCAGTGGTCCGAATTCCAAGCGATCCGGTGCCTCAACCATCGGAAACTGGGCCAGGCGAGGAGATTCCCGAGGTGACGCTGCCTGCACCCGTCTTTCCTGTCCCTGACGCGGTGACACCCGAGCCAGCACAAACCGGGCCGAGTGGGGAGATCCCTGTGGCCACTCCGTCTCCACCTTCTGTCGTTCCTGAGCCCCAGCCTGCTGGCACTGGACCCGGTGAGGTGATCCCCGACGAGACATCGCCTGCTCCTGCCGCTCCTGCACCTGAAGAAGAGACGCCTGCCCCAACAGAGCCCGCGACGGCCCCCGTGGCGACGCCGCCTCCACCACCAACTGATCCAACCCCTTTGCCAGTAGCTGACGTACCGCCGCCGACAGTGCCTGTCGTGCCAACCCCACCGGTTGTGCCTGACGTACCTCCCCCAGTGGCTACCGAGGCGCCATCTGAAAAGCCTAAACACAAGAAGGACAAAAAGGAAAAGGAGGAACCTTCGGAGCCCAAGGAGAAGGAGCACGATGACAGGCAGAAGCATCGCAAGGGTGAAGACACCAAATCGGACAAGACTGAGACTGAAGAGGAGGAGAGCAGAAGTAGCAGTGGCCACACGCATTCTTCGGACAAGCACGGCGAAAAGAAGGAGAAGGACGTGGAGGACAAGAAGACACATGAGGGCAAACACAGCGATGAGAAGCATGAGAAGGAAGATAAAGACGAAAGGTCGTCAAAACGAGAGCACTCTGATAAGCGCGACGAGGAAGATGAAGGTGGTAACAAGCATGGAAAGCACCGCGATGACGAGGGTGAATCCACGCACGAGGACGACTCGAAGAAACACGCAAAACATGACGAGGATGACGACGATTCAAAGGGTCACCACAAGGAGGAGCGTGATGAAGACAACGAGCATGACGAGTCTGACAAAAAGCATCAGCATGAAAAGGTCGACGAGGATAACCGTGATAAACACGAACACAAACGTGACCGACGAGAAAGCCACCACCGCCGTGACGAAGAGAAGGATGAGGAGGAGGGCCATGATCGTCATGAAAGCAAGCATCATGGCCATGGAGAACATGACGATCGCACGGAAGAAGAGGAATCTGATCGCCACGGTAAGGAAAAACACCGTCGGGGCGATGAAGAGGAGGAGGAAGATAGCAGACGCCATGAGCACGACAAGCACGACAAACACGAAAGCAAGAAAGAGCGTCGCGAAGAGCGTCGTGAAGAACGTAAGGAGCGCGAGGAGCACAAGAAAGAAGAAAAAGAGGCTGAAAAGGGGAAGCACCGCCACCATTCCGATGAGGAGAATGACGACGATGATAAGTCGAAGTACCACAAGAAGAAGCACCACAATCGCGAAGAAGAATGTGGCGACTGCGAGGAGGAGAAACACAAACGACACCACCACCACCACAAGCACGACGAAGAGGAGGAATGTGGCAAGCACGGCGACTGTGGTTCCAAGCGCCACAAATGGGCTCTCTCCGCCAACAAGTACCCGTTCTCCAGTGGGGACATGAAGATCCACAGCATGGTCCAGAAGCTGGCCCGAGCCATCGTGCAGCCAGGCGACCCCGTGGCGGACGATCGCCTGTTCTTCACAGCTTTCGCCCAGAATTGGTGCGAGAAGCGCACGCCTGGATACGCGGAATTGCTGCGCACGATCGACCCTCACTCGCCTGGCAAGTGGCGCGTGAACGGTCCCCTGATGAACTACGACAAGTTTGCAGAGGCCTTCTCGTGCCCCGTTGGCGCCCCCATGAACCCCGAGAAGAAGTGCGTCATCTGGTAAGGGAGGAGGTCACTGGACGTTCGGGTCATTCTACCGCCAAGAGCTGCTCTGGAGAAGTAGTTTGATGTACAAGGAAAAGCAAAACAAAAAGGAGGGCCAGAGTAGTCTAAAGAATGTGTTGATGCATGTATTAGCTATGAATGAGGAACAGCAATGGAATCTTGCTGAAAGCATGGACGTGTTGTGGTCGCTTGAAAATGGATGTATAGGGAGAGAAAACCTGGGATTACTGTGTTCTACAGTATGAACCAGAAGAGCACCATATCATGGGCATGCCGTTACATTGGTGTCTCTTCATTATTTTGCTGAATGAAGCTCCGAGGAAAAGATGCAGGAGCGAAGGCCATCCAGGAAGCGGAGTTCGCCGTACTGAGTAGTATTGCAGTGAGGGAGCAGCACAAGGCGAAACTTCGAGCTTTGCTTTCGATAATTGACCCCCAGGCATGGCCAGATCCAGATGTCCGAGCCAAGAGTTTGATGAAAAAGTCCAAGAAAAACGCACGAGAAAAGAATTTTGAGGTAGCAGAGGGCAAGGAGATCCACGTGCTGGGGGATTTGCTCTTGCTCACTCGAGCGGCGTCCGTGGATGTGGTTGAGAGTATCAAAGCCTGGCGGCAAGTCGTTCACGGTGGAATCCCTCGTCCGTATATGTACGAGAACGAAAACTATTTGCTGAGCATGTGCGAAGACGTGGATTTCCTCGACAAAGTTGGCGACTTGGTCGAGTGGCTGGGCTTCCGTCTCGGTCGCAATCCGTTCATCGTCGACGAGGCCCTAGACGACGTTGTAAGCTCACGACTCGGTATCAGTGTCCACAAAGCTCGGTCATTGAAATATTGGCACTCTACAAGCTGGCGAAAAAATAACAAGCTGGCATCGAAGCAAAATGGCTCGGAAGTAGTGGACGCTAAACTGAAGCAGAGTGCTAAATCTCAGTGGCAGAAGCAGCCCCCTCCTCGGCCTCTAGTGAAGCCTCTCGCTAGCATCAGCCCGGAAGACGACGTTGTGGATGGATCACGCATTGCTGCGGCACAAGAAGTTCTGCTGGAAGAAGAGAGCTTCCACGGTCGACTGCTGGCGCTGAAGGCAGCGCAGGAGTATGTGGATCGTGGTCCGTCGATCTTTGAAAATGGCGATGTGGGGAACATTTCGGAGGCTGCATCGGTTTACGACGCAATTGCAGATGTAAACGCGAGACTAAAGTACGCTCTACGCGCCTTGTGGCTTGAGAATTTTGGCTTGAATAATGTATTTTCTGTGATGCTTGATTTGATTTAGAAAAGCGGAATTCCATTCGTCGCTTCTTCGACGAGAGCGTGGACAAGTAGAGCGCACGCTTGTAGACGTAGACAACCAGGTAAATTGTTCTGGACGTCTACTTTAGCACTGGAGTTGTCTGCGACTCATCAAGGCTTTGCTTTAAGAGGAAATGGACCGAGTTTCGCCGTGATTGCGATCGCACAAAGGACCATCGCGTATGGTACGTGCGACCCCTTTGCTACGTTTGAATCTATAGTTCTAACCTGTTTTTGTTTTTGTGCGTAGGCATATTCATGATATGTATCGACAAGAAGCCCTCCAGACATACGCCAAACTGTCTGAGAGATTAAGGCGTTGTCTGAAAGCGCTAAGGGAGGAGGATGTTCGATTTGAACGTGCGTTAGATCTGCACAAGGGTCGGATGCGTGACTTGAGGCTTGAGAAGGTTGTGCTTATTGTACCTTGCATCACTTTTACTCTTTTTGGATCGCTAATAAAGTTGAGGTGGTTTGGATTTGAGCAGGACAACCAGCGTGCAGCTAGACACGAAAAAAAGAAGAGGGAGAATGCTGCAAGACACCGAGGAAGTCGTAACATCATCCAAGAACGGGGTTCCAAGCTTCGACCAAAGAAACTTATTCCTAAAAAGCACCTCCAAACCGATTCAGAACAGCTTAACCAAAGTTTGGAGCGAAGGGATAGCACGTCCTACGAGGATATCCCGCTGGAGCTTCAAAATGACATTCACATGCTAGCGAGACGAAAGTCGAGCAGCTCTGGAAGGAATCAGGACACTCCTGAAATTGAAGAACGTCAGCTGGAAGAGAAGAGGCTGAAAGCGATCTACCAGAAGCGCGCGCGTCTTGAACAGCAGGCTCGGATCGCAGAAGAAAAAGAGAAGGCGCTGGATCGCAGACGAGCTGAGAATGTGGCCATGAAATGGGAGGACGCACTATCTCGGATACTGGAGCAAGAAGACAAGAGAAGAACAAAGCTAAGAGCCCAAAAGGCAATGCTGGATCAGGTGGCATCCTGTGCCATCTTCAAGTGCACGCACGAAATGAATGGGAAGAGGTTTTTAATCTCTGTTTACACCCGGAACGCTCGTGGATACGAGTTAGAAGGTCTTCGCATCGTGGCGTATGATCCCAGATCGTCCGCTGCATTCACGATGGTAATGACACTGCGCGAGTTCAACTCGCTTGGTTATGGTCAAACCAGTGAAGGATTGGGGGCGTTTTGCAAGTGGCTCTGCCTGTTGTACGAGAAGCGGCGGCGACAGTTCCGACTCGTCTGGTCTGGAGCGCCCTGTCCTCCTCCACTTCGAGTGCGTGAACACGATCAATCTCTCATTTGCGTTCACAAAGAAGGCGTTAAAATTGCCGCGGACAGCTACGCACTAGTGGCGGTATACTTGAGGACGGACAACCCGTCCGTTGTGCGATTTGTAGTGGGCGCTTGGCATGGACACGAGTTTCTGCTTACGGAACACGCTGTAAAGGCTCGTGACTTGATTATTAATTCTGACTTGGACGCCCAGTGGAGAGACCCTGGACATCCGACAATTGTCTGGAAGCACAACGCCCAAGCGTTCAAAGGTGAAGAGGCGGTTAGTTCGACAAGTGGAATAGGAATTCGTGTTTATTCGAGTGAAATTGTGGTGAACCGAGTGCGGTATTCCGTCCGCGTGCACGACACAAACGAGAACGAGTACACTGTGGAGCTCACTCCAAAGCCGAAAAAGCGCGAGACGCTATCTTCGGGTACCCACCGATTAAGTCTTCACAAGCGCAGGATAAACCCGTACGATGTTCAGCTTTCATCGTCGAATTTTGCAGATTTGTTGTCTTTGACTCGCTTCGAGCAGATTCCGTCTCGAAAGGCAAAGCTCAATGATGACGATAGTGATGGTCTTGAGTGGAAAGCTACTGTTTCCCCCAAATGGGCTGGGAAGCTGGCCAACTACGTTCGAGTCTTCCGTCTCGCTAAGTACGCGTGTAAAGTCGGTGGTGTCTTCAGCTTCATCAAGGTCTTTGTCGTCCAGCAGAAGGCCGAGTTTCGTGCTCATTTGCTACTGGAAGTCACGTGGTTAAGCCCTACGAATATATCGTCTCTGTGCTCAGTAGGTGGGGTGGAGGCGCCACAGTCAATACGTATCCCTGTATCCGAGTACCTTCGCTGCGTTAATGCGTCACGTCGTGTGGCAGTTGGAATGCGGTACGAACACGAAGGCAAAGACGAGTGTACCGCTTGTTCAGCATACACAGCGGCTCGAGAGAGACTCTACCACGGTTCCGTACCCGAGAGTGCGTTTGAATACGCCACGAGCTGCTCCAATTGTGCTATGATCCAGTATCAGCGATTGCATGCGATTAAAGAGCTCGTCATTCGTGCGGGAAATTCTGCATCCGAGTCAGTGGAGTTCATTTATCATGCCTATTGTAACGTCTGTAAACGCTTGGCCCCACCGATTGTGCTGGTGTTGGGATCTGCATCTACAGGAGCAACTCCGTGGTTATTATCACTCCTTGGACACTACTTTTCGTGCTTTGACTGCATTCAGTACGGGCTCTTTAAGTTCGTCGAGGGTGATCAAGGTCAAACGATCAGTGAGGAGGGGCTTCACGTGCGGGATACGCTTCTGCAAACGACTACACGGGACCAAGTCGTCGTGCTCTGTAACGCGGACTGCGGAGTTACAGTGGCAAGCGCCAACTTGTTCGTGAATGAATTGCACTGGTGGCTTTATCCAGATAACAGCGAACTCCCCTGTCACGTAGCGTACATCGTGGCCGACCAGCACGAGCACAGTGCAGATCCCCTACAGCGTGACTACGATCTTCTAGAGGCCTTACAGGCGCTTCATCATGCGGCATGTCAAGTGGCAGAGCTTGGCCCAGTGCATCTGGAGGATGCAGGAGATGAAGCCACCGATCGTGCGTCGGCTTTCGACGCTTATCTGGTAGCAGAGGCGGTGTTGGTGGAGGCCACGCGGGTGCTGCTACATCCAGACTACCCGTGGCCGAAGCCCCGTAAGATCGTTGGCGCGTCCAGTTGGAGCGCGGCGTGCAGCTTCCTACTCGATCCGGTTCAACTGAGTGCGAACCTGCAGCAGTGCGATGTCCTACAACTGAGTACAACGACGGCGGAGGTGCTGGCGGCGTATTTCACACACGCGAAGTGGCCCCACGACTACCCGAACGTCCGACCTTTCTTCTACGGGCTCTTGGCGTTCATGCTGCACGTGCAACACGTCCGACAGATCCTTACTCTGAGAAGCGGCTCCCTGCGCAACGCATTGACTGGGCACCTCGCTGTCAATGAAGGAGACAATACTACGGAGCAAGAAGTACTAGCGGAGAACACCAGCGTCTTGGACATCTCACACCAAAGCCACGACACAGAAGTATTGGAGACACTGACGTTGTGAAGGTTAGCACAGCAGCTACTATAATAGTTTTTCCTGACTATCGTTCATTGAGGTTTTGTGGTTATTCTACGCGGGTACTATTTCCTTCAGGACTAGAGGAGATCGTCGAGAGATCGAAACGAGGGTCTACGCAGCGACGAATAGTGATCGTTGGTCGAGTCTGTCGGGGGTGCAGCGTCCTCGTCGTTGTCGGCCGTGGGTTCAGCCTTGTCGCGGCGCTCTTTCTTCTTCTTCGAGTGTTTGCTGCTCTTCTTCTTGGCGACTGGAGCTTGCCCACCGTCCCCCGTGTCGATCCACTCGTCGTTCCCCGCCCCAGCGCCAGCATCGTCTTCTTGCTGTCGGTCCTTCCGGTCTCGATGGCGGTGGTGGCGATGGTTGCTCTGTCGTCCTCCGCTGTCTCCTCGACTCGAGGACCTCGTCTTCTCCGTAACAGCCGCAACGGGTGGAGGGGTATGATCGAGCTGACCCAAACCACTCGGAGCTCCTCGGGAGTTGCCCCCCGAGCCATTAGTCCGTCGGTTCTTCTCCTGTCGCGAGTCTTGTCTTGAGCCTTGTCGCGACTGCAATCGATCTCTCGGCTGGTACTCGCCTGAGAGTGGGGCGAGGAGGTCCTCCTCTGCTGGGAAGTAGTGACTCGCACCGGGGGCTTCATACGCACTGGCGATTTGGGGCTGCTCGTGGTCTTCTTGAGGCTGTCGAGAGACTGAAGGTCCTGTCGTTTTGTCCTTGTGCTTCCGTCGCTCCTTGCCGCCGTTTGAGCTGTTGTGTGGACTTACCCCTCGCGTGACTGCCTTGGAGTCGGGTCTGCTTGTATGTACTGCGCTCGGAAGGCGACTGGATGTTGCGGGCGTGTGGTTTGCCATCAAAGCTTCGTTATCGTACGGGATGATGGCTCCAGCGTGGGCGCCCTGAGAAGACTGACGAGATATGCTGCTCTTCCTCCGCTTGGCACTGGACGAAGATCCAGACGACCGCACTGTCGTGTTGCCAGCAGCTCCAGCGCTGCCTTGTCGAGTATTCCCTTCGTCGTCCGATATGACCTCAGCCCCTCCAGACTCAATGCCAGCGCTCCCTCCTCCGCCTCCCAGCGGCAGCGTGGGCAGTTTGATCGTGTGGAAGTCGCTACGAGGCTTCAACTTCGGCAGATTCCACTCCTCCCGCTCTTCACTCCACACAGCGCGTTCCCACACCTTGACCAGCTCGTTCTGAGGTAGAAAGAGCTCTACGAGCTGCTCCAGCAGCTTGGCTTCCTTCGTTTGCTCTCGGATCGTGTCCAGCATGTTCTCCCGCTCTCGCTCGAACTCGCTGTTGAGGTCCGCGATCTCTTGCCGCGTGGCTTCGAGCTTGGCTTTGTACTTGGCCTCTTTCTTTCTTGCTGCAGCCAGACTCGCTTGTGCGGCTTCTTGTGCTGTCTTGAGCTCCTCTTCCACCTGCTGCTTTTCCAGCTCCAGCGCTCGTCGCATGGCCTCGTTCTTCGCCTGCTTCTTGGCTTTCTCTCGCAACTTGATCTGGGCTCGACGGTACTCCACCTGCTGCTTGAGTAGGGCCACCTCCGAGTCGGCATCGTTGCCTCCGCTGATAGACCCACGCGTAGAGGAAGACCCCGATGCTCCACCGAGAATATGACTCTCGATCTTCTTGAGCTTGGCATGCAGCACCTCCTTCTCGCGCATGTAGGCCTCCATCGCCACCTGCGTCTGCTCCAGCTCCTGGCCGATGCGATCACGCTGGTTCAGAATGGCTTGGTTCAGCTCGCGCAGCTCGTCTCGCTCCTTGACGTGAGAGTCGGGGATCACCTCCTTCACCACGACTTCGACCTTTCTGGCGCTTTTCCGCTGCGCAGCCTCTTTCATCATCGCTTCCGCCTTGGCCATCATCGCTTTGGCTTGTGCGTCGACCTGCGCAGCCTCCCGAATCGCCAGCTTAATGGCACCATCGTCCACTTTAGAGCCCCCACTGCCTGCTATTGCACCGTTACTACCGGCGCTGCGTGGTCTCCCCGGCGTCATTTGTTGCTCTTGCTTGCCAAAGAGCCCCAAGAGAGGTGGTAAATTACCAAGAACTCCAGAACTTTTCCGCTTCGAGGCTGCTGCTGGGACTTCAGCAGCAATTGGTGCGTCATTTACCGGATCCACTTGCTGCTCTTGACGCTGGTCTTGCATAGCCTTCGCCTCGTCCATCATACGCTTGGCGCGTTCGAGCATTTCCGCAGCTTCCTGTTGGTATTTGGTGATTTCTTCTCGCTCTTTTGCCAAGGCTTCGTTGCTGTTTGGTCGTGAACCGCTGCCACTGCCAGACCGGGGCGAAAGGGGGCGAGATGGAGTCCCCATGCCGCTGGAAGTCCCCAACTCGCCGCCTCGTGACTGGGACTGCGACTCGAGCATTTTGCGTAGCCGCTCGATTTCTTCCTTGTACTCACGCAGCTTGGCGTCTTTCGGGTCCTCGTTCACCACAGGTTTGTTCTTGATGTTCTTGGCGCGATTTGCGTAGCGTAGTGTGGATAAGGTCTCGTCGTAGTTGTAGTCCGCGGGGCTTACAGCGGCAACCATGAGCGTCTTAGTGTTGCCACCAAGGGAGTCCTGTAACAACCGGGTGAGCTTCGAGTCTCGATACGGAATGTGCTTGCCCTTGCCGTCTACAAGCGCTGAGATAACGTTGCCCAATGCCGAAAGGCTCAAGTTGATCTTGCAGCCTTCCTGGAGGACACAATAGACACCATTTGGATAAATAACGGGAGTACTTAAGTTGAAAAGGTCGAGGTGAAGGCTTACCTTCAGACGATTCCCCGTTGCACCAGTTTTACTCTGACGCTCGCTACCTGCCAGATCCACCAAGTTGAGCTTTCCGGCTTTGAAATGGTCTTGGCCACCAATAGTTTCGTTCGTTTCTACAACAACCGTGAAGATGGAGTGCGATCTTGAAGAGCCTTCGTTCTGGCACACAATTCCACGAGAATTAGCTGGAACTAAACCACAATACTGCTGATGTGCTACCAACTTACCATCAAGGTTGCGCCGACAGTTCGGTTCTTGAATCCTCGATTCATCACGTTGTTCATCGACTCCACATCCCTCACCACAACTTCGGTGAGGTCTTTCACGTAGACCGTTCCGTCCGCCGACTCCTTCAAATCCAGTTTCTTTTTCGCGTCATCGTTGAGCAGATCACGAATGTCCTCGTTGTAGATTTCCAGGTACGACGCTCGCACCATGTACTCTCGCGTCGTGTCGGCGTTGATCGTGTCGAAAATGTGGTCGAAGGAGAGCGGAATCACGCCGCGTAGCTCTGGAGGGGAGTCCTTGCCCTGCATGGTATGCGTTTTACCGCATCCAGTCTGCCCGTACGCGAAAATGGTGCCGTTGTATCCATCGAAGATGGACTCCACGAGGGGGTAACCAGACTCGTCGTAGAACTGCCGCTGCGACGTGGTTTCATCGTAGACCGAGTCGAACGTGAAGGACTTGATCTGGCCGTTGTCGGGGCACTTGAGGGAGATCAACGCGGCTGCGCCGTCCAGAGTTACGATCGACTTTCGGCCTTCCACGAGCTCCTTGCCGAAAAGTGGCCGACATCGCACCACCACCTTCACCGTCTCCTTGTCTTTGCCATTGCCACCCGAGGGTCCGGCTGTCTCGGATGCATCCATGTGGCCACCTTCAAAGCTCTACCAGCAGTTGCAATTGTTTTCCGAGCGGGCTAACTCGTCGAGACTGCAAAAATAGGGACCAGCCACACCGTTGTCATGCATGCGCTGTTCATTTTTAGCCGCCGATGGCAGAAGTATGTCTTGCACCCAACGACATCTCCTGCCACCGCTAAATAATTTTCAATTTCCCTTTAGCTCATTTTGGATTCCATCCTCCAAGTTTACAATCTTGAAGTGGGCGGCTTGGGGCTTGTTTTCGGGTGTCCCGCGGATGACTGTGAGGTTGCTACTGTCCGTGGGCCCTTTCACTGCGACCCAACCTCCGAGACCAAAGTAGCTTGCCAAACAAAACAGAGGGGTGCTTGGCTTGGCCTCGACCAGGAACTGCTCGTACGAGTTGAAGTCCGCGCCCCGCACCTTCAGATTCCCATACCGGTTGATGCCCAAAAAGTGACTCGACGTCTCGCTTTGGAAGCCCCACACATCACTGTCGTCGCCCAGTGTGTAAGCTCGGAATGTACAGCCTTCCACCACCACATCAGCACTGCAAAATAAGTAATAATCAACAACAGTTAGTACACTACGGAGCCACACACTCGCCACGTGAAGAGCAACCAACGCACCTCAGCAGCGCTTCCCCGTCCACGTCCCGCAAGAATTTCCCCGTCTGCACCTCCTGGAATGCGCAGCGGAAGCGATGCACCACAGGGATCTTCCTTCCTGCGATCGTGTTGGCCTGAATGCCCACCTTTTTCATGTCGTGGTGCACCCGACCAATCTTCGAGTCCAGCCGATCCAGTTGCTCATTCTGCGAGTCCAGCGCACTGCCAAGGGCGAGCGACTGCTCCTTCAGCTCCGCCAGTTGCGGCTCCAGATCCCTCAGGAATTTATCATGTACTTCCTCTACAGAGGAACACTTTGCAACAGCAGTCTGTTGTTGCCTTTGTTGTGGTCGACTCGGCCCTCCACTTTGCCAATTCTTCTCAAAACTTCGGGACCTATCTCCACCTTCTGGTCTCCTCTCATGGACACTTGAATAATGCGTCCCTAGTTGCTCTGGCGACTGGAACATCACCTTGCACTCGGGACAAATAAATCCCATAGCAATCTACAAAAGCGTTAATATATAAAATATGAGAGACCCTATTTTCCACGCCGACATAACTTCGTACCTCTGCCGCGTCCTTATTGGGCGAAAGTTGCGGCGCCGCCGAGAATTTGTTGTAGAGCCAGCCGGACCACGTCATGCCGCGGAGCACGCGCTTGGACATGTCCACGGTCGCCTGCGTCTCGTCCAGCACGCGCTCGCTGCGCCCGAGCTGCTCCGCCTGCATGCTGAGCGTGTGCGCCGTGCTCCTCCCCATCTGCAGCGACTCGGCCGTGTCCCGCAGCGCCTGCCTGTGCCGCCGCTGCCACTCGAGGCGCGACTCATCATCATCTCGCTGCATTCTTCAACCCACAGAACTTGGGACTGGGTTCTGATTGACTGACGTTTATTCAAGCGGGTTTCGGTGGTCGACTATACCGTTGACTAGAATGCTATACTTGATATATAGGATTGTTTATATTGATACGAGTCTGTGTACTTTAATATGGATACAGCTCGAAAAAGGCAACTTCAACTATCTTTAGGCACTGCGACCATGTATATAGTGCTCTCGGTAACGACTGCGCAGAAGAAGACGGAGACAATGGGTCGCAATGGCGTCAAGGTGATCATCCGCACGAGGCCGACCGCGAGCTTCGCGACGCACCAGCTGCAGATCGACCCGGATGACAGCACCATCACGGTCTACAGCGGCGCGGCCGCCCTCGCCGCGGCCTCCGGGGGCGCGTCCCCGCCCAAGACGGACGGCGGGCCGTCCAACCGCAAGGACTGCTGGCAGTTCAAGTTCCACCAGGTGCTGCACAACGCCGGCCAGGACCGCGTCTACGAGGCCATCGCGCGCGACATCGTGCATGGCGCAGTGGTGGACGGCGTCAACGGCACCATCCTGGCCTACGGGCAGACGGGGGCGGGCAAGAGCTTCACCATGATCGGGGACACGCGCAACTACCAGCACCGCGGCATCGCCCCGCGAGCCATCGCGCAGCTCTACGAGGAGGTCGAGAGTCGGATTGAGCTCCAGTACACGATCCGCGTGTCGTACATGGAGATCTACAACGACCGCATCTACGATCTACTGGAAGGACAGCAGGGCGGGGACCGGACTAACGGTAACGGTGGAGCTGGGGGCGGCAACGGGGAGCTGGTGGTCGTGGAGGACGCGCGCGGGACGTACGTCCGCGGACTCACGCAGGTCGAGGTGCGCAGTGAGCAAGAGGCTTTGGACCAGCTCTTTAACGGAGAGCTGCAGCGCACCGTGGCGGAGCATCAGCTCAACAAGCGCTCGAACCGCTCGCACTGTGTGCTGACGTTCCACATTGCGCAGAAATCTCGAGCTGGAGGAACGGAGAGAGTCACGCTGAGTAAGCTGCACCTGGTGGATCTGGCTGGAAGCGAGCGACTCAAGAAGACTCTGGACGGAGAGCAGGCGGGGGCAGGAAGCCCTACCAAGACGTCGTCGTCCTCTTCGAAAGCGGGGTCGGCGCTGTCCACTATCAAGAAGGAGTCCATGTACATCAACCAGAGCTTGAGCTTCCTGGAGCAGTGCATCGTGGCGTTGGGCTCCAAGGAGCAGCGCCACATCCCGTACCGCCAGACCAAGCTCACGAACGTACTCAAGGACTCACTGGGGGGCAACTCGAACACGCTCATGTTCGCGTGCATTTGGGGCGAGGGGCGACACCTTGAGGAGACGATTTCAACGCTCAAGCTGGCGCAGCGCATGGTGCGGGTGCAGAACGAGGTCGCCACCATCGTGGAGACCGACCCGGCACTGTTGCTACGCAAGTACGAGCGACAGATCCGAGAGCTGAAGCACGAGTTGGTCATGCACGACGCGCTGGTTGAACGCACAGCCGTTGTCTACGACGAGCACACGCCCGAGCAAAAGCACCAGCTGATGCAGATGGTTCGCAGGTATATCGACGCGCCGACTCAGGAGATGGAGGACGAAGCACTGCGACTTACAAGCGTGAACGAGATCCGCGAGCTCTTCCGTCAGTTCAAACTTTTGTTCAAGAGCTCTGGGCTGGACTCGATGGGTGGTGGTGCATCTGGGATGAACGGGGTGGGCTCGCATGGAGGTGCAGGGAGCGCGAACAACTCGACAAGATCAGCTTCAGCGGGGTCGTCAGCGTCGCGAACTCAAACTTCTGCTGGTTCTCGCGATGATCCTCGGATGCACGCAACTCACGGCCCCAACGGCGAAGAACTGGTCGGCGAGGAGGAGCCTGGAGCAGTTGGGTTCCCTCTTGGTCTCGTACCTGGAGCAGCAAGACCATCCACGATGGACACGAGCAAGAATAAAAACTATCGCGGTGCGGGAGGAGCTGCGGATGGTCCCGGGGGAACCAGTCCGATTGGTAATGGACAGCGAAGTCCAGCTGCGTCGCGGTCGCCTAGTGGAGCCGAACTCCCGGGTGTCCCCGACAATAATGAAGACGACCGCGGTGATGATGAAGGAGGACTCTACAGCACCAGCAAAGCTGGAGGTCGAAGCGGAGAAGGTGCCATGCTATCACAAGATGCCGAGACGCGCGCCAAGAACGACGCGTTCCAGTTCTATCGGTCTGCTGGCCCAGGGCGGAAGCTGCACCAGAATCTACAGGACGAGAAGGACAAATTGTTCGACGCTAAGCAGCGCGTCAAGCAGGTCACGCGGCGTGTGAACGCTGCGAAGGCCCAGATCGACGCCGTCCGTGCGCAGCTAGAGGACAAGCGCAACCAGCGAGGAACGAATGATGGAGCTGCGGGTAACCGCAAGAGTGGCGCCAAGCAGATGCCGCAAGAGCGCGACGAGGTTGTGGATGAAGAGGAATTTATCCTTATGACAGCGGAGCGAGAGGCCAAGCGAGACTATCGATCACTTTTCGGAGACCTCAAGGACGCCAAGTCGGAGCTCGAGTTTTCTCTTCGCAGTGTGGAGCTGTTGCGCCGACGCCTCGTGCGTGAGTTTGAGGACTGGTACGAGGAAGAGGGCCACGCTCATGCACTTAGTAAGACCTCGGATGGAGCTGGGTTTGACGCCTTGGCGAGATCAACGTTCAGCAAGGATGATAAGCTGGATGATGGCGAGAAATTCGATCAGATGGAGGTGGATCGAGTAAGAGCCCAGGACCCGGACTCGTTGGCGTTCTTCCAAGCCCAGAAGAAGATGCGACAGCAGTTAGCAGGCTCAATCGTGCCAGCGTCACAGCGAAAAGCTAAGCGTTGACAACAACGAGGGCAACTCTGAGAAATAGCAAATACAGAATCATGACTTCTCGATTGTGACGTCTTAGTGAGTAGAGTTGTCTAGCAGCCGCACCTGTGGGTCACTTCGCTTACTACTAAAAGTCCTCCGATCCTCCGGAACAAATCAAGCAGCAGATGATCATTATCATCTCCTCGAACGTCAGACTGCCGTCGCGTTTCTTGAGCTCATTCAGCTTGTCCGAAAAGGCTTCGCCTGACACTGAGTCAGAGGTCGTATCGCCCCCCCCCCCCACGTTTTCATGAACTCAGTCAGGTCAATGCCCGACCCCGACTCCGACGTAGTTTTCGCAATCTCGCTGAAGTCAACGCCCGATCCACTGCTTGAAGTGCCGCTAACTTGCGGGTGTTTCTTCTTCCAGTCGTCGACCAATTGAGCACCTTGCTCGTTCGCCTACTTGACCAAGTTTTCATCCAATTCACCGTCGTACACGTCGTCCGTGCTCATAAAACTGTACTGGTAATCGTGGGGCACTGTCCAGTTTAAAGCCCCCTCGACGCAAGTCTTGTTCAGCTTGCTCAAGTCACCGGCGCCCTGAGCGAAAGAGGTCAAGAGCGACAGCCCGCACAAAGTATCGGCCGTGTTGCTGTCAAGAAGGTTGCCGCCCGCAGTGTACTTGAACGTAACGAGCTCCTTCTTGTCGCCGTCAAGGGCCCCGAGCAAGGCCTCCGCGTACTTGCTGGGCGTCACTGGGTCCAGTTCGCTGCCCATTAGCAACACGCTGGCTTGGTCCGGGATCTTAGCGGCCTTGTTCCAGTACTCATCGCGTTCGTAGAGAATGTCGTTCCCGCTGTAGCCGTCAAGCTGCTCGACCTTGTCGCAAGCGGACGAATTTTCCTTGGAGAAGGCGCAATACATCGGAGCCTGCACGTAAGCTGCAGCCGCACTGGTCGTCGCGTCCTCGAATAATCCTCTAAGCGTTGCCTCCGACTGCGTCGGAGACTGCCACGTTTCCGAGAAAACGACGAGGTAGTCCAGTGCGCTCGAGGATGCCGCATCCGCCTCCGTAGGAGCGATCAGGGCGTTGGCTTGATTTACGAGGTAGGTAATCCTGTTTGGGCTGGGCTATCAGCACTTCGTCGCTTCCTATCCCAGTATACTAGGACTACGCATAGGCTGGGATAGCAAATTTACGGGGGCAGCCAGAACTTTCACCACAGTAGTAGTATTACGACGACTATCAAGGCGTGCGAGCGCAACCTCAAAGCTTAACTACTCGTCGCCTCTCTTGCCTAGCAAGTGAGAGGAAGAACTATCAGCTTCATGGGCGACCTTTATGAGAAACCTGGAGCATTGAATATCTTGTATCATAGTTAACGTTGCGTTTTGTTTTCTTTGCATTGTTTGTACCCTGAAAATTATCTGTAGACCACGACTTCTAGCGCCAAGATGCGCGCCGTATACCCCCCCCCCACCCCCCACCCCCAGCTGCAATATCGCCGCACGTAGCGGTCGTGGGGCCATTAACGTAGACTACGTTACGTAGTCGTAAGCTTTGAAATTTAAGGATTTCTAAAAAAAATAGTATGCTCAATGTCAAAGTTTGATATAATTGAGGGCTATACTACAGACATAGAGTAAGTGTCTCCTGCGGTCACACATTCGGTCTTGTAGCTACTGCACTGGTTTGCGGGCTTTGGCCCGCGGTGTTCGCAGTTCGGTCTTTTTTTTACTGTATTCCGAAACCTGCACAGTAGAAAACTTTATTTACTACTACTAGTACTATGTAGTAGCGCTATGCTTGCCGCAGAAGAGCGTTGCATGAAGACGTTCTTGAATTTTAGCGCTTGCTCTAATTTTTGTACTGTAAAATATGATGCTTCCATTTGCTGGATGGCTTACGCTGCTCGATCTGCCGTGGCGGATCTACGTGAACTCACACTATTGGGCTGCTACCGCGGGAGTCCCCGTATGCGGCGCTGCAGCAGTGCGCGGCGACGGGCGTAGTCAGCCGTCATAACCGCAAATTTCATTTCATTGCATGAACTCACACTAGCGTTACTGCTATTCATGGTACATACTGCACAGCTTCAAGCTGCCAGACTGAGCTTCGGTTCATGTTGAATGTATAATGTGTTTATTTTCTGGGGTTATTCGGGCTATATGTCCAATTTTAACGCCTGCAACTTGATTTTGTAGAATTGCTATACTGATTTCAATGCCGTTTAGGTCTCCTCACTTCAAAGTCGACTCTCAACAGTCTGCACCCACGACCATTAATCAATAGCGATAATTTTGTTGTACTCAACGACGGTTTATAGTTGCTGCTGCTGTGGCGTCCGACATGCACATACAGATATCGTATCTTAGAAATGACAGCCACATGCCTAAACTAACTTAGCCGATACGACGGCGACCTACCTATTGCTCGCTTGCTCCCCCGATCCGGTCGATTCCTCACAAATTGGATTGATTGACTGTTCACCCCTCTTTATTATTGCTGCTGCCTGGTTAGCTTGTCGCCGAAAGCATGCTTTGAGCTGTAATGAGCGCTGCTATGCTGTAATACAATTGCTGTACAACTGTCATTGCTGTTGTTTCAAATAGCTCTTTAACCGATAATGCAACATAAAACCTTATGTTGCATTATCCCCCTTAGATTTGTCCTAGGAGATAGGACCAAATCGTGTTTTGGTGTGGCACACACCGGCCGTTTTTGTCCTAGGGAGCCCGAAAAAGGACCAAAATGACTTGATATTTGTATGGGTTGTTTTTGACCCCCAAAGGTGTGTCTTATAAGGCGCATCGGGCAGGGAGATCGGCGCTAAAGATAGCTCCAGCTTAGACCATACTGAAATCAAGTCAAAATTGTCCTAGGCTACGACAAATCGGCAAAATTCGATGTTACAAGAGACAACTTTTCAACGGCTTATATCTCGAGAAGGACAATGGAGGACGCTAAACAGATAAGACCACCAGGACAGCTAGGACGGGGGATTGTGCCCATGTAGTCACATGATCCTATTTGTTTCTAGTTATACGGAGCGAGGCGCCTAACTTTTGGTCCTTCCATTTGTCCTACGGACTGGGCTAAGTGGGGTTATTACGGCTGCGAAGCAGGCGCAGGAGACGCCAATGGGTAATGAATCATTACCCATTACTAATGATAAAAAGCCTGCTATAAACTAAAAACAAAACAACTACAGATACGGTAAAAAGACCCCTATCCTAGCCATTGCGGGGCCCTAGTGCGGTGGCTAGGTACGTAGGCCGGCTGCTTGGTTTAGTGGTAGAATGTGAAATTGCACAATAGTTGTGGTCCCATGGCGCCTATCAGCGAGACCGAGGTAGACACTCAACTACAACAGTCAGCCGAAACCACGTCTCGAATTCAGCGTCGTAGTGAACCTGATAGTGGCGAATTATGGCGAAAAACGCGCGACCATGTTAGTGTAGGGAACTTGTGGCTGTACTGAGCAATAGTTCGCGAGATAAAGGAAAAGCAGGGGGATAGGTACGTACGTAGGTACCGGTTGCTTTAGAATGCGAATGGCTGAAGGAAGTCAAGTGACTCGAGATCGGACTGAGTTACCAGCTCCAGTTACCGGGTCACCAGGAGAAAGACAGCCAGTGACAAAGGACCACGATACCGGCCTCAGTTTACTGGCTTCAGTTACCGAGGCGCGAATTAACCCGATTTGGGCTGCCTAGCAGCATGACCTATCGGCCACTGCTATACCAGTAAAATATATAGCTACAGAATCATGTTTTGTATCGCTCTCGACCTGTAGGCCCTCATGTACCTACACGTACTCATCTGATACTACGTCGCTCATGATTAAGTCCGGGCTCTAGCATCGGCCTAATCAAAAACAATAGTCTAAAACTTCATACGGCTCCGCGGGGTCTTATCATTTTCCGATCCAGATTCAAAATCGTGGACAGGATGATTTTCAAGCGAAAAAGCTTCTTTTTTCTTGGGCAGAAGAAATCTTCTTGGTCACGAACAGGGCAATCTTCAGCGGTGTCTGCTTTTCCTCAAATAACGTTTTCACCTTCAAAATCTATATCAAAATAAGCAGCCCTGTAATGAGCATGAACCCATATCAAAATCAAGAGACCCCGCAGCGTCACGCAATGCCACGAGGAGCTCCGATCGCGCCAATGCTGCTGCGTCTGCTGGGCCTGCTGCTGCTCGTCGCGGGCCCCACGAGTGCCGGCCACCGCCCCGAGCTGCTGCAGCAGCTGGGCGACAACGTGCCGGCCATGTCGCTCGTGAGCGTGTCGCCGCTGGCCCCGCAGGCCGCCAAGACGCGCGTGCTGTGCTGGGTCAACACGTACCACGCCAACCACGCCAAGCGGCTGCACGCCATCAAGCGCACGTGGGGGCGCAAGTGCGACAAGCTCGTGTTCATGAGCGACGAGGAGGACCTGAGCGTCCCGACCGTGCACATCGTGGCGCCGCCGCTGCACGAGACGCTGTGGCAGAAGCACCGCGAGATCGTGCGGCTGCTCGTGCGCGAGTACAGCGAGCAGCACTTCGACTGGGTCTTCAAGTGCGACGACGACACCTTCCTGCTCATGGAGAACCTCAAAACGTATCTCGACTCGCCGCAGATCCGCGCCATCCCCGAGGAGGAGCCCGCGCTTTTGGGCCACAGGATGACGCTGCAGTGGTGGGAGATGCAGCGCCTCTTTGAGCCCTTCGAGGAGCACAACCCGGACCACGTGGCGGCCATGCTCAAGGTTCGAGACGAGACGAGGAAAGATGGAGGACTCATTTACACCCCCGGGGGAGGGGGCTACGCCATGAATTGGGCCTATTTGAAGAAGCTGGAGGCGGCGTTCGACGAACCGTTCTGCCTGCCGAACGAAGTGGTGCCCGACGACTGGGCCATCTCCTTCTGCATGCGCCACTACGGGGTCGTGCCGCTGGACACGAGGGACGAGGAGAAGCGAGAGCGGTTCCATCAGTACGACCCCAACGATCTGTACACGCGGCCTCACGACGAGAACGCGTACGATCACAAGCTCTTCACGTCCATCTACCAGGAGAACAACTGGTTCTCGGACCACAACGGCATCGGCTGGCAGAACGGCAAGAACTGCTGCGCCCCCGACACGATCAGCTTCCACTACGTCAAGCCTCCGCTCATGGACTTGTTCTACGAGTTTTACTACGGAGAAGAGGAGCGCAGTAGTTAGTGGCTAGAGTGTACTTACGACCTACATGTAGATAAACGTGCTACATTAAAGCTGCACTAACAACTCTCGACTACTACTTTGTTGGTTGAGCTGGACGCCGACTAATCGCAGCTGTACGTACTGCATCCGAGAACTAAATCAACGTCGCCTAAGTTGGAGCGCAAGTAGATATTCCCAAATGCTAAGCAGTTGTTCGTCGCGGGGTCACAATTGATGCTGCCATGTTTCTCAAGCCCATCAGCTGAATCCTGTACGCGGATGCAATACTACCGTTAGAGCCTTTGTGTAGGGGGTACCAAATTGAAGTCCCCCCTTACCGCTGATTCCACGACGACGTCGCTCGAATAGTTAGTTTGGCGAATGGACATGGCCCCGTATTCGGACCTCATGTAGTACATCCCTGCGAATGTTTGCGTCTGCAGGCATATCCGTAAAACATCTACGAGTCTGTGAAATTGGAATAGGTGTCGATATGCCATACTTACATTCAGCTGAATCGTGATCTTCCCTGAAGCGGACTCGACGTGGATCGTGCCGCTGGCTGTAATTTCCTTGAGCTCGACGTCTCCCGACACCGCCATGACCTCGAGTCTTCCCATGAAGGCCGAATTCCCCTTGAAATACAGAATAATTAGCGATCCATGACCTCAAAGCACTAGATGGACAAGTCGCTTACCTCCACAGTTAATTCCGTGCCGGAGATATCCCCCGTTTTGCTTCTCAGGGAGATCCAATTTGCTTGAACATCGTCTACTGATATCAAAGCAGACGAACTTTTAGCTTGGATGTGGCTTCTACCTGTATTTACAGAGCTACAGTACACATCGACAGCAATACTCGAGTTAAATAACGTTCCACAAATGTTTTTGACAAAGCGGGCGCGGTTATTACCCGTGGATGTCGGACAACACGAGACTGCTCGCTCCAGTTTCGACTAGAAGATCGCACTGCGAGAGCGTGACATCCGTCAAGCTGACGATTCCTAGAGCCGAGTGCACTTTCGCCAGTGATTCAGCGACTAGCGTATCGCTAGCATCGATCGTCAGACCATCGACGGTAATATCGCCTGAAGTTGTTCCCAGTAGAAATTCGTCTCCCTGGATCTCAACGTCTGAGCACAGGATACTCGACTGCATGGTCGTGATGCTAAGCCCCTGGAGCGTCATAGTATCCGAGCCATTCAATATGACGGACGTGTTGGTGTTGATGTGAAGACTGAGGCGCTGGTCTTGGGGTAACTCGACTTCCATTTTGGAGCGCTGCAATATATCACTCAGGTTAATGAACGCCGGTAGTGAAAGTACTAGCTGCCACGCACCTGGCACGATCCATCGATCCACAAAAATTGAGTTGTTTCCAGCGGCCAAGCGTCGACACTGAGAGTGCTGTTCTTAGTCTCCGTCTTGTACATACGCGTCGCTGCAATAGTGTCCCCCTGCGCGCACGAGTGTTAGCGAGTGAGTGAGGAATACCGACGATCTTCTTCAATAGTTCCTACCTCTGATCCAAAAAAGCCGATATCCATAGTGCCTGTTTCAGTATTGGCGGACGAAACGATGATTTCACCGCGTGTAAACGAGTTTACCACTTCAATCGTGTCAATCTGCGCTTTGGTGCTGGAGTTCACGAGCGGAAAACTGGCCGAAGCAATACGGGAATCGATACTGCTACACTTGGCGACAAAGACCACATTTGCGCACATGACGGCGAGGATGAAAGTCACAGCTAACAAGATGAGCACGACGACAACTCTCATCGCAATCCGCTGACGTCTTGTCGATTTCTCGAAGAGATTTATCCACTGCAAAAACATAATCATCACAACTAATGGTAAATAGGTGACGAAGTCTGCTAGAAAATCACGTGACCAACCTGCTGAAAGAACGAAAGTGGCGAGTCTGCTTCGGGGACGCTAGCGTTCACATCGACCGGATCGAGACTGACAGCAGTTTGCTGGAGGTCTTTAATGCTGCGCTTTGCGCGCGCAAGGCGCTGCTTCCATGAAGCTGCGTGACGCATCAGTGACAAGCTCATACCCGCTTCGGATAGTACAAAGAGCCCTGATAGGAGCCCCACGTAAGCAACCGCGTTCAAATTGGAGCGCATCGCCGCTGCAAACCGATTGCGGTCGTACACCACTTGAGACGTTGGGGGCAGCAGGATGCGGATACTTTCCCAGTTCTGGAGGATGTTGTCCTCTACGTAGCTGCGTCCAGCGAAGCAGGTGATTGCCAGCACCACTGAACACGCTCCGATGAGGGCCGACAGCAAGTAGCAGATCGACAGAAGTCGGCGATACTCAAAGTTTCCTCCCACAAAGGCAAGAAGCGCTACAATTAATAGCAGAACCCCGCTGGCAAAGATTGCGAGGCCTGCGTATGGAGCCGAGGCCAGCGTTCCAGTGTCGACGACGTAGTTCCCACCAATAATGAGGAAAAGGGAGAGCGGGAACATGATAACGCTGAAAATCTGTGCACGAGACGAAGTGGTGAGTCTCCGCTGAGCTTAGGCAGGCATTAGTTGCAGCTATTTACCTGGAGGAACGCTACAGCCGCGCGTCGCTCGCCTAGTAGTCGGCGTAGATATAAACTAAAACACAGGTGCGCAGTAGCATCCACGATGAGAACTGTCGCTGCAATTTCCAGTATCCTCTTCGTCTCAGTGAGTAGCTGGTACAGCAAACACGACACACTCAACAAAGGTAATAGTGTCTCCGACGAAAAAGTTGCAAGACGAACCTTCTCTCTGTTCTCAATATCGCGTAGGAGGAGCGATTTCTCGAGGTATGCCGCGACCTCGAGCTCGACGTCTGCAGTGAACAAGAGGCACAGCCCTCCAAGGACTGAAAAGCCAAAACAGGACCCGATTCCAACCATGAAGCTGGCCACTGCCGCTGGAGTCGATCTGCAAACTCCCTGTCAGTACGAAACATTCATTAGAAAGCTGAAACAACTAAAGGTCAACTGAGAGAGCGAGAACTTACCGTAAGTCCACAGAGAATACTCACCACACCGACCGCGCAGCTGAGAATCAGCGTAGTGTGGTGAAGCGAAGACAGCGCATAGAGCACAAAGAGAGCAGCGGTGCTCGCTAACTCGAGGAGGAGAAGTAAAGCGCTACAACATCTAGCCTTGCAGGTGAAAGATGGCAGCGCTAGAAGATCGTGAGGCATTGGGCTCTCTCTCCACACGAGAGAAATGATGAATGCCGTGTGACACATGAACGCGTTTCATGTTGCTGACACGGGACAACGCTCGCTATATTTTTGTTTTCTGCAGGGTCTCACCACTCTGAACTGCATCTTCAATCCGCAAACTTCGCTGCATGCTTCACTGCTACTACTATCCTGATAGTCTGCATCCAACATGGGCGACTGGTACATGGACAATCTCTGCGTTCTCGCGGTGGTGCTGGGTTGCAGCCCCGTGGTGTTCGTGCTCGCCTTCATAGTCATCAACATGCGAGTACGACGGAAGTTCGTCGGCGCCGCCGCAGAGAATCGAAAGACGTCGGACACACCGGAAGTTGCGTTGATCAAGGCTCACACCCGGATGGTTCGGCTTCTCTCAGTCGCTGGCATCCTCCTGCAAGTGGTGCTTCTCGTGCGGATCACGCGACTGTCGTCCACCGCCTCGTCCTACTCGCTCGCGCTCATCCGGCCGGTGATCAACCTGTGCGTGTTCATACTCGGGTTCATGACCAACACCCACGCCGCCTTTCGTTTGACCTACTTGCTGCTGCTCGGCCAGATCGTCGTGTTCGACACCGTCGCCGAGGTGTCGTTCGCCATGGTCATCGACTGCTTGCAGACTCAGGGCATCCAGTGCGGCGAGATGTCGCTCTCGCTGACCGTGCTCCAGTTCCTCAAGCGCCGCGAATTAGCCAGCCTCTTCCTGAGCCCGTGGGTGGCTCTGGAGACCGCCTACCTCTGCGTAGCCATCGGCTTCTGCTCGTCCAGGTACTCGGCGCGACGGTTGTCACTGTCCCGACCCACGTTCAACCTCCGCGCCGCGCTGCTCGCACACTTTCCCGTTCATCCGCGCCAAGTATCGAACGCCGTAGCATCAGCAGCAGCAGTCAAACGTCCTCGCTTTGCTGTGTAATATTGCAACAAAGCTCACTTCAATTTGACTTTCGCCCTCATCCTAAGATCTCCAAATTTCTTACAGTCGGGTTACCGCTAGTGCTTCTAGTATCTGGTAAGCTTAGCAAGACCATAGATGGGCTTCCAGTTTGGGTTGTTTCTCTTGTAGTGCTTGGAGTACTTGAACCACATGACATACAGTGCAGGATCTGCGTCTTTCAAGACTTCCAGCGACTTAGTGTTCGTCATTTTCAACGCAAGTTCTGGGTCCAGGTTGTACTGCCTGATTAGATCATCGGGAGTCGCCTTGAGGTCCTCGTCAAAATGCCTATTGGCGTTGCGTGTAAAATTCTTTTTGGCTTTCTTCAGAGTAGCGAGATAGACATCATACTCGGCTGGAGAATCTGGTACAGACTTGGTCAGCTTTACCAGCTCAGCTGCATCAGCCCTCAGCGATTGCTCTGCTTTCTCCGCGCTCGAAGGTGTTTCAAGCTTCTTCCCCCCATCCGAACAGCCGAGCAAGAACTGTGGAAATCTTGTCGGCCGCCGCGGTATCTGGTCTCTCTTCATCGTCATCAGCAATCGCACTGGCCCTCAGGAACCTGGCGCCTTCGCCGTCAACCGAAGCAAATCCAACCGGGCCTGTGGGAGAAAGAACCGTGGCGTCCGCGTCGATGGAAGCCAACTGGAGGATTACCGCTAGAACGAGCAAGATGAACCCGAACTGCATGGCGGTGCGGCTGGCAGGACTTGGGAGCAGGATAATAATCACGAAATCTTGCGCTAATACGGAATGTTTGAGGCCGTCTTACCCGTATGTGCCAATTTGATATCCGTGGCGATGACGTTGTCGGGTGCTGCATATGCAAATTGCTGGTTGGAATGACTTCATCTCTCTTTACGCACCATACATTCCCCAGGCTCTCACTCTCCCCAGGAGTGACAGCTGTCAACACTGGAGGATTGGCTTTCAACACTGAAAAATTGGCCTTTGGCACTGAGGGGTTAGGAAGGTCTAAAACACTGAAAGAATCACTGAAGGGCACTGAGCCATTTATAATGTACTAAGTTTGAACGGGTCGCGAGCTATTCCCGGGTCTATTTTGCTCTCGTCCAGTGACCACAGTGCGTTTTCTAGACTTTGGCCGCACTCTTCAATCGCAATCGCCTCCCTTCCGCAGAGCCTAGCGCGCTTCATGTCCATGGAGACATCTCCACTGGATTCCTCTGACCCGAGCAGCCAGTCCGAGTCGAGCGTAGCGTCTAGCACCTCCGAGTCAGATCCATCCACTGAGTCCGAGGTAATTCACCGACAGCTATAATGAATTCTGCCAGCTTCTCTAATAGAAATCCGATTCTGCAGCAGAGCGCCCTTGAAGGAGACTCCCTTGAGGGAGATACATCCCAACGCGATCGGCAGTCACGTCCTAAATGGAAGCATGTCTGGAACTCGGCTGATAACACTGGTCGGAGATACGCAGACGTGAAACAGAGACTGCCAACCCATGCAACTGCTAAGAACGATCAATACGACTGCACGATGCAACACGCGCTTGTCGGTCACTACGAACTCGCCTACACCGAACACAAAATGCGCACTGTTATTACAAGATGCACCTCGACGAGGTGCAGGTTGAGCGGTGTAAAATGTGCTTGTCGGTACAAGATTAACCTGTGTCAGTCAAGCGACAACGTAACTATTGTCCAAGAGGAAGCCACACCAAGTTGGGCCCTGGCACGGATTCTCCAAGAGCTACGCGAGGTCTAACTGACGAAGCAAAGGAGCTGGTGCGCGAGATACTACTTCAGAACCCCGGTGTAGCTCCACATGTGGTCTTCACACATCTTAGCACTGTATTGCCGGGCCGAGTGCCCTTGGAGACTCAGGTGCAAGGATATCTAAAACGATGGCGCGCAAAGAACAAGGACGACTCGATGGAGCCTGTCATCGATATTTGTGCTAGATCCATGTTCGAGCTTGTGGAATACGTTGATCAAACTGGCGAGAAGTTATTGGTCTTCTGTGATTCGAGGTTAGAAGAAGGTCGCCGGGTTCCTGACCTGGGAGACGCTACAGATGAGTCTCCATTTCGTTTTGGCCTCACTTGTTTTGCATTGTTGGCGAACTACATCAACGTCCAGCAAGATCCGCGGTACTCCATGTTGACAGCACACATAACATGGTCAAGATGAAGTATAACGTGTTCATTCTCGGGATTTCGGGCAGTTGTGGTCATTTTTACCTGTGGTTTACTACTGTGCTTCTCAACGCCGCGCGGAAGATGTGGCTTGGTGCCTAGCATATCTAAAGAGGGTCACTATGCAACTCTTTGGTCGTATTGCACCTTCCACCGCCTGCGGAGGCACAGACTGCAGCATGTGCGACTGCTCTTCAATCCAACTCGGTGTCACTACCAGCTCAATCTGATCCACCGGCAACAATGTCCCGTCGGGTCACGATTGCGAGGCGGAGATCGAAGAAATCAGAAAAGAACAAGAAGTGTGAATTTTTTTCGGAGGATGTAGCTCAGCCGATCAAGTCCGCTCACACTTTGAGGATGCAATGGGAAGAAATGCCAGCGAATGGGTGGCTGGTCGGCGCAACATCGAGAGCATGTCAGCCATAGCGGCCTGGCTCGCAGCCAAGTCTCGTAGTGTCAAGCGCCAAGCCGTTGACTGGATTGCCACGGAGGGGGGTGAAGCAAGTCGAAGACTAGCCTCTGCGTTTAACCACAGTAGCATAATCTGCTAATCCATCTTGCTGGCGTTGATAGTGAAAATTACTTGCGTGTTCACTTACTGTATTTCAGTGATCGTCCTAACACTACCAGGTGCCTCTGTAGGGTACTTTATAATATTAATAGATGGTATATTCTACGTTATCTAGCGCGTATCAACAACCGTTATTGTTGGTTAGACGAGGCTGTATGTTTATGAATCACAAATTCTACATTTTATGAGGTTCTATTGTCGTGCCACCAGTTCTAGCGAATGTCATTCTCCAATTTGCACGCGAGTGACGAATGCAGTCGCTTTGGTATTTGTGTATGCTCTTCAGCTTTCTCGGTAGCACGATCGCTGCTAGTAATTTGGACTTCATCGGGTACATCGAGCTGTACTCCAAGACCCAGTACGAGAGAACGTTCTCCATTCTCAAGATCACCTATGCCAGTCAGTGCTATAGTTTGGCCTGCGACGACCTGGACAACCAAGCTGCGTCGGTCGCGTGGAACCAGCTGCCGAACTCAACCTCCGACACGCTCATCTTCTACAGCGAAGCCAACTGCACAGGCCACAAAGCGTCCGTTCGCCTTGACAACCCCCGCCGAGGGGTTCCCGATTTAACATGAAAGGCACCGTGTCGTCGTTCATGGTCAGGACGAAGGCGACTATCGCCAAGCGAGGCCATGCAACTGGGTGCCTGGCGCTGGCATGTATCTACAGGACCCAACTCTACCTCGCTTCCTGTGATCTGCATGCATTTGTGTGCTAGCTGCGAGTCTTATGGGAAAGTAATGCAGACGTGAGTGAGTATAGTTTTTTATGCTGGTCAAATTTTAGAGGCTTAGTGTCGTTTAATGGCAAGTTCACTTCAACTTGACCCCGCCCCGTCTCATGTACCCTCAAAATGACACTAATCCGGGGGTAACGTCACTGTTTGTGCCTCGTTTCGGTCGCATGCAAACTGTCAGTCAATTCGCCAGCGCAATAATGGCGACGCAGACATCAGCGCCGATGGCCACGCCGCGGCGCACGTTCCGCATCCAGCTGGACGGCAGCGGCCCCGCGGAGATCAACTTCAAGCAGCTCGTAATCCAGAGCAGCCGAGACAGCGCGGCCACCAACGGCAGCAGCAGCCAGCAGAGCGGGGCGTCGCAGCCAGCAACGCCCAGCGCCCCCAGCAGTGTCAAGTCTCCAGCGGCAGCCGGCAAGGCGTCGGCGCCCTCCGCGCGGCCGCAGCGCTTCAACATCATCGAGCACCTGGAGAAGCGCTACGGGGGCGGCGCCGTGCTCAACGACGCGGACGACGGCGGCGCGGGCGGTGGCGGCGGCTTCGACCGGCGCGACGACGATGACCTGTACGACTCGGAGGACTCGTTCATCGACGACACGGAGCTGCAGCAGAACATCGAGGACGTGCGCGGCCAGACGCGCGTCAAGACCAAGCACTCGGGCTTCTTCGTGAACGCCGGCGAGGAGATCGAGACGCTGGAGCGCGAGGACGCGGACAGCGACGACGACCGAGCCGCCGCCAGCGCCAAGGCCAAGCGCGGCAAGAAGCGCGCGGTGGACGGCGCGCTGCGCTCGTTCCTGGACGAGCTGCCGGACGCGGCCAGCGACTGGCAGCCGACGGAGGAAGTGGTGAAGAACCTGGAGGTGTTGCGCACGGCGGTGCGGGAGTGTAAGTGAGGGAGTAGAGAGGAGAGAAGGGGGAGGAGTGAGGTCTTAGCGTTTGTTACTGTTGTTGTTGTTTGCAGTGGCGGAGGCGGCGCCGATCCCGAAGGTGTTCCCGAGATCGCTGGATGAACCGCTCAGAGCGGTGGACAAGCTGGTGGTGGAGGCACACCCGAACAAGTGGCGAGTCACGGGATACTTCGCCACGCTGATGACGTTCTTGCCCTACACGAAGCAGTATCTGAAGGTCAGTGTCGTGGAGTGCTGTTTTCATGTTGCATGGTGCTGGAGTTGTTCTGATATTGTGGTGGATTGCAGTCTAATATGCTGCGACTGGAAGCTCGCGATGCCGCGAAGAACGAAAAGGAGAAGCTGGACACCGCGCTTGACGTTGCCACGAAGCACATTGCAGCGTATGCGACTCGAGCAACGGCGGAGCCTGCTGATCTGCTGAAGGATGGTACGTAGACGACAATCCACGTTTCTTTTGTGAACAGGGTAAGCTGACGAATGTTCTTGTCGCTTGCAGATATTGCGAAGGACAAAGAATTGGGCACCAAGCTCCATGCATTGCTGGAGCTTCAAGACGAGTGGGTTTCTAAAGAAAATGACTATCGGTAAGAGACGCTGATGTGGGGTGGGGGTTGTGCAGCGCAACCAGGTCTAACAACACACTGATTTTGCAGTCAAATGCTAAAGACCGAGGACAAAAAGCACATGAAGGAGGCGGACTATAAGCCGCTCAACCAGCGCCAGGAACGCAACCGCATGTTCAACAGGGTATGCATGGACTGCAGATCTTTATTTCCTTCTTGCAAACGGCTAACGTAGTGCTAACTTGTACGCAGATCCTTGCACTATTCCCTGCTGGCCTGACCGACCTGCAGACATTGCGAGCCTTGAATAAGGCCGCAAAGGTCAAGACAGCCAAGAAGCCTGCGCAGCCCAAGACCCCGGTCAAAGGCGCCACCGCAGTAGCAAAAAAGAAGGCAGTCGACACAGCGACTACAGGGGCAACTGCCCCCGTGAAGCGGTCAATTAAGCCGTTCAAGTCACGAATGATGGACGATGCTCCGCCGTTCGTAGAGGCTGACTTTGACGAGGTAGAACAATGAATAGAATGATGCCGGACACAAAATACGACTAGTTTATCCAGTTCGCAGTCCTTTCCCACCAGTGTGCATGCTGTCCTGGATCATCCTTCACTCGCTGTCCGACCCAGAAGAATGCTTCCGGCGAGACTTGCTTGGTCGGCGGCGCGGCGAAGGCGAACGAGACGACGATGACGAGCGACCGCGAGATTCCGACGACGATGAAGACGGTGAGCGGCGCGAGCGACGGCCACTAGCATACAACAACAAACACAATGATATGAGTGGGGTGGCACCAAATCAAGAAGGTCCAGTATGGTGGTTACCTGCGTTCCCGTCTCGGAGACCTCTCCCTGCGCTCTGGGCGACGGTCGCGCGATCTCTGCGGCGACCGAGACGGCGATCTTTAGCACAACAAAGCAAATAATATACACACAGCTCGATTAACCTCTGGGCCCGAAGCACAGCAGGATAAAAGAAACACTTACTGGCGGCTACGACGGCGCTTCACCGACGGCGACCGAGATCGATCTCGTCTCGAGCGGCCCCGCGGAGAGCTCCGCGATCGTCTCGGAGGACTGCGCGATCTTTTCCGTGGGCTCGGTGACCGTCTACGCGGACTGCGCGAGCGTCTACGTGGACTAGGAGAGCGCCTGCGTCTGCGCGGGCTCCTCGACCGTCTCCGCACACTTGGAGAGCGTCTTCTGGGGCTACGGAGACGGCGCGGAGGACTGCGTGGCCGTCTCTGCAGACTCCTCGAGCGTCTCCTGGGCTCCTCCCTGCGATTGCCTCGCTCGGGGCTGCGTCGTCGCTCCGTCTTGACAACAGCAGCAGTCTCCTCCTCCCGCTTCTCGTCCGGACGGGGCCTGCCTCTTTGCCCGTCACTCTTGAGACCTTCAGCGGCCGCGCGCTTGGCCTCCAGCACCTTCTTGAGCTTGTCCTTGTCGCTCGCGAAGCGCTGCATCTCCTGCTTCTTCCTGTCCAGGATGGCGCTGGGGATGCCCGTGGGGTTGCTCTGCGCGCTGAGCAGCAGCGTCCAGAGCTCCTCCGTGAACTGGCCCGCCTGCTTCTCCAGGAAGCCCGTGAGCGCCACCTGCAGCTGGCGCGGGTCCAGCCTCTCGTCCACCTTGGGCTCCAGCAGGTTGATGGCCATGGACACCACGATGTCGTCCTCGAAGCCCAGCAGCTGCGTGAGCCGCTCCGTGACCCACTGGTTCACCACCTCGCGCTGCACCTTGCGCATGTCCACGCGCTGATCGAAGCACTTGGGGAAGCTCATCGCGGCCAGCAGCTTCTTCTCCTGCGCCAGGTGCCGCCCGTCCTGCGCCGCGCTCGTGCCGCGGATCGTCATGGTCTGCTATAGTATGTAAGTGGTTGGACCGATCCGAATGTGCGTTTCGTGGAGAATTGCGGTGAGATTTGTGCAAAATAGTGGAAATTACTGAGGAATATACTGTAGGACGGTTTTAACTGTTAGCTCGTTGTAGAAGTTGAACTTTTGCAGCGATGCTCGCTCGTCTTGGCCTGATGCATGAGGCCGCGACTGCGAGCAGCAGTGGTGCAGAGCTTGCGGCGTTTCTAGAGAAGGAGGCGGAAGACGCCGACCCGAAGAAGAGGAAGAAGGCGCTGAAGCAAAAGAAAAAGCCACAAGAAGGAGAAGATCTCCCAAAGCTGTTCATGGAGCTGAAGTGGTCCGAGCAGCGGAAGATTGGGGCTAAGGCTCCGGTGCTGCGGCAAGTGGAAGGAGACTCCATCAACCAGCGGATCCGCCTCTATCGACGCACGATATTTTTCCATATCCACTGTGAGGGGCCCTGGGTGGTTTGAGATTCATGGCTTGAGCCCTTACTGTGATCGTTTTGCATGATGCAGCCAAGCTGGAGCATAATGGCTACATCACACAACGACTGCGGCTGAACAATCAGAATCCCAATGGCAAAGACGTAAGCCTGTGCTTTGCTCCAGGGTTTGCCTATGACTTGCTTACCTACTTCTGTAAACAGGAAAAGGGCCGAACTGCACTGCATTACGCTTGCAGACACGTGAGTGTGTATGAACGATTGTGGGGGTTCTGGTATTGTGATAAGATATCGTTATCATTGTGCAGGGTGCTGAGAATGCGGTGAGGACGCTTCTTCACGAGGAAACCACGATCGATGACCCAGACGTATGTCCTGCACTCATCATTCCTACATGTACATGTCGAGGCCATGCCAATTTACACTGTGCTCTAGTTGGAAATGCGCTGGACCCCTCTGCACTACGCTGTAATGGGAGGTCACGAGAACATCGTGGAGCGCTTGGTGGATAAAGCTCCAGTGCGACGGATCACGATCAACCGCAAGGACGTATGTGGTCATTGATTTTTTTTACCTTTAGGCACATTGTCACGGTCATTATTTTTTTCGCTGCTTCATCAGAAATGCGGCATGACACCCCTCATGCTGGTAAGTGATCCCCAGAGCAACATATCTTGTCGCTCAACGCAACTCACTATTGGCTGTAGGCCTGTGGAGAGGACCATGCAGGTGTCGCTAACGTGCTTCTTCGTAAGAAGGCTTTCATCGACGAAACGGATGTACGTGTCTGAGTATGAAATGAGATCTATTACACATCCATGTAAGCTTACAAATGAGCTGTCTCTATGCTCAGAACGATGGTTGGAGCGCACTCCACTATGGTGCGTATCATTCCTTATCTATTCTCTGCAGTTGCCTCGATTTCATAGCTGGTCGCTACTTGCTCTAGCCGCTGCAAACGATTCAGCCCTGGCTGCCGAAGTGCTCGTTCAGTACGACGTCAGTCTCAAGACTCGGACGGAATCCACGAACGAGACAGCTCTCGAAATGGCCGAGCGGCTTCGTTCACACCTGGTGGCCATTCTCCTGTACGAAGTGACCTACCGGAAGCCCCAGCCGATTGTCTGAGAATCAAAATCAATCGGAAAAAAACGTCGAATTAATTCAAGACGTTCTTTATCAGCGACTGCGTGATGATCGGGAGTGCCACAGCTAGAATGTCGATATCCGGGTCCAGCTTCCGCCCAACCGCTTCCAAGACCGCGATGGACACGACAATCGAAGCGTACTTGCCCTCCAGTTTCACCTCGTGATTGCAGCAGAGCTCCATCACCTGACGTAGCAATGCCCCAACGTGCACCTTCTTCAAACTAAGCCGCCAACACAGCGCTTCGTTCACAATTCTCTCCATGCCCGTGCAAAACGACTCGAGATCCTTGCACTTCGCCGGCACAACTTCTCCGTTGGGTAGTACTTTACCCTTGCTTCTCGCCACGATGAGCTCACCCGCCTTGTATCCGTTGCCTGTTGCTACTGCGTGGAAGAGTTCGACAAAATTACGCAGATCTTGTTGCTCAAGCTTGGTCACGATACCGGCGTCGATCACCACCACACCCGCATTGCGAATGGCCTCGGACCGCGACACACGGGTGTTTCTGCCCGTGCCTTGCTCATCAAATAGCAGATTACCTGGGTGCAGGTCTCCGTGGGCGAAGTTATCCAGGAACACCATCCGGAGGTACGCTTCGAGCACAACACGTGCAACAGCCTTCCTGCGCGGCGGCTCCATCTGTGCGAAAATCTCACTGAAGCGCAGCCCACCTTCAAAGCTCTCCACTAAAACATTTTCCGTCGTGTAGTCCATCAACGGCACGGGGAAGCGAACGCCCTTGCGGTTGCGAAAGTGTTCGCTGAACCGTGCCAGATTCTCGCCTTCAGCCCGCAGATTCAGCTGCCTCTCCATAAGCGACGCGAACTCCGTCACGCTGTCCTTCCCACCCAGCCACCGGAGCGTCGGCACGACTTCCAGCATGTCGACGAGCCCGCGCAGCAGCTGCAGATCCAGTGCCACCATTTGCTTCACGTGGGGGTGGATCACCTTCACCGCCACTTCCTCATTCGTCGCCAAAATGCGGCCTCGATACACCTGCGCAATGCATCCCGAGCCAATGGGCTTGCTGTCCACCTCCAAAACCTCCCACCACTTGTCACCGAACGCCATCCTCAGCGCGTCCTCTGTCTGCTCCCACGAATGCATCGGCGCGTGCTCGTGGAACTTCTCGAACCGGTCGCAAAACGAGGCCGGGAACATGTCGCGACGCGTGCTCGCCCACTGCAGGAACTTCATCACGGTCGGGGACGAGAACTGCGCCAGCCACAGTGCCAGCTCCCACCACTGCTCCTCCACTCGGGGCAGCACCGCGCCAGCTGTGAAGGCCACGGGCGCCGTGAGCGCCAAGGGCAACGACAGCCCCAGCAACTTGGCGAAGTGCAGCGCCACGCGCAGCAGCCGGCGCAGCGTCTGCACCAGCGACTCCTTGTCTTCAATTGTGGGCGATGTGGCCAACACTCTGGGGAACACGCGCAAGAGCTCGGCATTGCGGCGGCTCCAGGCATCGCGCGCGAGTCGCGCTCGGCTCTCGGCGCTGAGTCGCGACTGCAGCGCGCGCGCTTGGTGCGGGACCAGCCGTGGCCACGTGGACAGCTGCGGCTTCTGCACTGGGCGCAGCAGTCGGCGACCTGCCAGGGATGAGCGGGGCGCGCGCCGAGCCGCAGCCGCCGACGCGGCACCGCGCAGGAACACGAGCGCCATCGACCCCGAAAGTGTTGTGGTTGACGTACCGCTGTATTTCGGGGCCCATCTGATCTCGACCGGTACAGCGTACCATAGTGTCTGGTAAACTTGCCTTTCATCGAAGGGTGTCGATGCTGCGGAACGCGGCGTGCGGGCGGGCGCCTGCGTGGCCGAACAACGACGCGCGGCCGGAGCTGCAGACGCTGCGGGGTCGTGTGCTGCGCCATGTGCTGCTGTGGCTGCTCTTCGGGCTGTGGATCGTGGGGCTGGCGACGTTCATCGGGCTGTGGCTCTACTCGGGCTACTGCGTGGCGCGCTCGGCTTGGGGCACGGTGCAACTCGGCAGCTGGACGGGAGCCACGCCGCTGCCGTCCACTGTGCAGGTGTATCTGACTTTGACGGCCATGTACGAGGGCTACCACTTGGTGACGCGGCAGTCGCAGCACCTGTGGCCGCTGATGCGACGCATGGCCCGCTACGTCTTCCTGCGCTACCCGTACTTCCGCCTGAGCGTCGTGGTGTTTGAAGAGCGCGAGGAAGCGAAACAAAGAGCAAGACGCGAACAGCAGGAGCCGGAGAAGGAGGAAGACGGCGATGAAAGTGACGGAGACAAGCGCAGCACTGGACACTTGAGTGTGGGGGCGGCGGCTGCAGCAGTGGAGGAGAACGACGTGACGCCATTCGTCGAGCCGAATACGCGCGCGCTGTTCACGTTCCACCCACACGGCGTGCTGACCTGCGGCTTCTCGCTCAATGGAGCCCACCACATGGCCTTTCAACGCGCTGCGTGCCGCTGGATCTCGGCCGAGAACCTCTTCTACTTCCCGATCATGCGCGACATTCTGCACTGGATGGAGTTTAGCAGCAGCACCAAGGCGAGTATGCAGAGCATTATGCGCACGGGACAGAACCTATGTCTATTACCCGGTGGCTTCGAGGAAGCCACACTCTTCCAGCGGGGCAAGCACCGCGTGTACATCAAGAAGCGCTTCGGCTTCATCAAATTGGCGCTGCAGCACGGCTACGACATCTACCCGGCGTACACTTTCGGCGAAGAGTACACGTACCATGCCTTCCCGTATCTGCAGTGGCTTCGACTAAAGCTGAACCAGTTCCGGATCCCTGGCACCGTCTTCTTCGGCCTGCCCATGTGCTTCTTCCTGCCGCGCCCCGACGTCGACCTCATCACCGTCGTCGGCAAGCCGCTGCGCCTTCCGCACGTTGAGCACCCGAGTAGAGAGCTGGTAAAGGAGTGCCACGACAAGTACGTTGAAGCACTGCGAGACCTCTTCGACACGTACAAGGGCGTCTACGCGGTCGACCCGAAGGCCGAGCTAGAGCTATTCTGAGCGGTGAGGCCATAGGCTAGATGCAATAACGCTTAATAGAGAACGCTACCGCGAGTCGTTCACTGCATGCGTGCTGAAGGCAGACTGCTGGAAGTCATCCACTTCAACTTCAGTTTGTGTTGGGTTCGTGTGGAGCGCAATCACGATATGCGACATTCGTAACGGTTTGCGGCTGCAATGGGCTTGACACTCTGCAAGTGTACGTCGCCAGAGCAATGGCCGACGTCTCCAAACTCCGCCATGCCGCCTGCGGACGCACGCCCGCGTGGCCCAACAATGACGCGGTGCCGGAGCTCACATCGCTGCGCGGGTTCGTGATGCGGCGCTTCCTGCTGTGGTCGCTCTTCGGGCTCTGGATCTTCGGACTCGGGGCGTACATCGTCATGTGGCTCTATTCGGGCCTGTGCGTGGCTCGCTGGGCAGCGTCGGCGGTGCAGAACGGCGGGTGGGCGCAGGCATCGCCGCCACCCGTGGCTGTGCAAGCCTATCTGGCGTTCACTGTGCTGTACGAGGGCTACCACTACGTCACGCGCGACTCGCTGCATCTGTGGCCCCGGATGAGGCGTCTCGCGCGCTACATTCTGCTGCACTATCCGTACTTCCGTCTGAATGTGACCATCTTCGAGGAGAGAGAACTGGCCAAGCAGAAGCTCAGGGACGAGGAAGAGCAGTCCAAGGACAGCGATGATGCCACGGCTGATGACGACGACGATGACGAGCAAGATGGCGCTGGCCAGCATCTCAGCGCGGATGCAGCGGCCAAGGCGGTCGAGGAGAACGACATCTCGCCGTTCGTGGAAGCCGGGATGAAAAATCTCTATGCGTTCCACCCGCATGGAGTGCTGACCTGCGGCTTCTCCTTCAACGGAGCGTATCACATGGGCTTCGAGCGCTCTGCGTGTCGATGGTTGTCGGCAGAAAACCTCTTCTGGTTCCCCGTCGTTCGCGACATTCTCAACTGGATGGAGTACAGCAGCTGCGCAAAAGCCAACATGCTCAAGTTCATGGGCAGCGACTACAACGTGAGCATTATCCCCGGAGGCTTCGAGGAGGCTACGCTCTACCAGAGAGGCAAGCACCGTTTGTATCTCAAGAAACGCTTCGGCTTTATCAAAATCGCGCTGCAGCACGGCTACAATGTGCACCCAGTGTACACATTCGGCGAGGAGTACACGTACCACGCATTCCCGTATCTGCAGTGGTTTCGTCTGCAACTGAACCGGTTTAAGATTCCTGGCACTCTTTTCTTTGGTGACGCTATGTGCTTCTACCTCCCCCGAAACGATGTGGACCTCATCACTGTTGTGGGCAAGCCGCTGCGATTCCCCCGCATCGAACGCCCCACAAAGGATGATGTACAAAAGTACCAAGCGCAGTATATGCAAGCGGTTCGGGATCTGTTCGACAACTACAAGGGTGTCTACGCTGTCGATCCGAATGCCACGCTAGAAATCTACTAAGGACTCAGTGGCGGAAGGCCACGCTTCGATCACTTTACCGTTCCATCAAATCCATGAATACAGTTATCATTTGACCAGTCAAGCAAACGCTAGTCTCAGACCAGTAAGTACCGGCTGTCTAGATGCTTTCGGGATACGAAATGAGATACCACAGTAATTCCAAACGTCCGGGTGAAAAAGCATGGGAGTCAGCCTCGGACGAGGGTGACGGCCACAATTTCCCATGCGCTGCAGCCGTGGAGACGGGTGCATTGCATGTGTTTATTACGGTAAAGTTATTTGTACAAACGAGGCTCGAACGCTCGGGGATTTCAAGATCCGGCGTTCCAGGCTTCGTCCGGCAGCGATTGCAGCACCTCCTTGACCACCTCATACGGCGCCGTCGTGAAAAGCGAGGCCGGGTACACCGCCGCGCCCCACACGGGGTGCACCAGGATTTTGCACATGCCGGCGCTCAGACAGCGGTAGCGCAGCAGCAGCTCCACGCCGTCCACCTCGCTGTACACCTTGTTGCTCGACAGCGTCAGCATCTGGAATAGCAACCACAACAGCAAAGGCAACAGTGATCAGACCAGGCCAGAAGCAGTAGAAGTCCATGGCGACTGTACGCACCGGCAGTCCGGAGCAGGGGTCGATGAAGTCGGCCCAGTACTTCTTGGCGATGAGCGCGTTGGCCACCTGCTGCGCGAAGGCCACGAAGGTCTCAAGCAGCCGGTCCTTCTCCTTGTCGGCGTCCACGCCGTACTGGCTCAGGTCCATGAGCGACTTCTGGCACGTGAGCACGGCCAGCACCGCCGCGTCGCTGCCCTTGCGCTGGAACTGCGCCGGGAACACGTGCTTGAGCTCGCGCAGCATCAGCCGCGGACACGCGTGCACCGACACCTGGAAGCCCTCGCGCAGCTCCATGGGGCGCAGCAGCGGCTCCAGCCAGCCACGCACGGCGCGGGTCGGCACCTGGTTACTAGCGGTCGCGGGAATAGGCTCCACCTCGACCTCGACCTCGCCCATAGTGCCAAAATGTCGTTATGAGCCAATCGTTCCGGCGGTGCGGGCGAATTTTGGCCAATCGTTGTGGGGAGTATGTATCCATGTACCTGTTTTGTGGTACTGTCGGTGGCACCATTCAACGTCCGTCAGTCAATCAATCCACTGGAGCTGCGCACACTTTGGCCGTGGACGATGGACGTGAAGCAGGAGGACGCGACGATGCAGGCCGAGGCGCAGGATGAGCGCAGCCAGCAGCAGCAGCAGGAGGAGATCAAGGTGATCGTGATGAACTACGGCAAGTGGAAGGCGCCCAAGGCGCTGAGCGACGTGCTGCATGCCAAGGGCGTGCAGTTCTTTAAGGTGCAGAAGTCGCGGCAGCTGTCCTTCGGCTTCGTACACTTCCGCTCGGCCGAGGAGCGCGCCGAGGCCATGCCCAAGATGCAGGCCATCGACTGGAACGGCGAGCCGCTCGAAGTCAAGGACGCGCTGCCCAAGAAGAGCATGAAGCCCATGCGCACGCGCGGCAAGCGCGACCGCGACGGGAAGGACAAGGCGGACAAGGACGAGGAGAAGCAGCCGGAGGAGGACGTATCTGAGCGTGACGTGCGCGACGTGGTGACCCCGTGGGCCAACGTGCCGTACGAGGAGCAGCTGGAGCGCAAGGAGGCGGAAATGAAGAAGGTGCTCGTGAAGATCGTGCGCCAGACGCGCAAGGAGTTCGGCAAGAAGGAGAAGCGCGTGGCCCAGGCGGACCAGCGCAACAAGAAGCGCAAGATGGAGAAGGAGAAGCAGGACGGAGAGCAGGAGCAGCCCACTGAGGCCTACGTGGACGACGCCAAGCCGAAGTACGCGACCAAGATCCCCAAGTGGCTCAACAGCCACGGTTCGCTCTACGTTGTGGCCAACGACGTGCTGTACTCGCGCGCGCACGAGGCCGAAGCAGGCACGCCCTGGACGCGTGTGGCGGATGCCACCGATGTGATGGGCATCGTGTCGTTTGGCAGTGACCTGGTGGGTGTCAAGACGGACAACGTCATCTACGCGCTGAAGCCGGACTCGGCGTCCAGCGACGGCTTCAAGTGGGAGAAGATTTGCAGCGGACCTAAGTCGCAGATCACGTCGTTCGCCTCGCTGCGTGGCGTGCTCATTTGCTGCACCAATAAGGGCAACATCTACAAGCAGGAAGGCACTGGCCGCTTCGCGTCGGGTGAATGGAAGCTTCTGGGCAAGGTTCCTGGCGCCACTGTCATCGGACTGCACAACGGATTTCTTTACGCGATCAACCCGAAGGCCGACACGCCGTGGTCGCGCGCTCTGTTGGATGGAGCTGCGTTGGAGTCGCTGACGTTCGAGAAGTTTGATGTTGCGATGCCGCAGGCGCTTGGTATTACGTCGCACAACACGCTGTTCATCCTGCTCACCCACAAGACTCTTGAGTACGTGCAGCCGGACGGCACGATCAAGGCGACGGTGCCCCTGACGGCCAAGGTGAAGGGTGCGACTTTCACTGGATTTGCGAGCCACAATGGCCTGTGCTGTCCGATGGACTCGATTCACGCCTCCCCTGTGACGGAAGGATACCGCAACAAGTGCGAGTTCAGCTTCGGTTTCGACAAGGAAAACAAGCCTTGCGTTGGATTCCGCCTTGGTCTGTTCCGTGAAGGCTCCGTCGTTGTCAGCAAACCTGATGAGTGTGTGAACGTGTCCAGTGAGATGAAGGCCGTGTGTGCTGTCATGCAAAACATCGTGGAGACGTCAGAAATCCTGGTGTACGATGTCACCACGAAGTCGGGCGTGTGGCGCGTGCTGACTGTGCGTCAGAGTGTTAACACCGGCGAACTCATGGCCATGGTGCAGGTGAACCCAGCTGGCAAGACGCCCGAGGAGCGTGCTGCCCTGAAGGACCTGCTGGTGGAGCGCCTGACCGACGAGAACAACTCGTTCAAGATCACGTCCTTCTACATCCAAGAGTACGAGGGACTGTCGGCCCCGTCGGACAATGACCCAGTTGAGCACGTGTTTGGCAAGACGAAGCTTGAGGAGCACCTGCTCGGCATGCGATTCGACGTGTCCCCGAACGCCTTCTTCCAGGTCAACACGCGTGGAGCCGAGGAGCTGTACTCGCTGGTGAAGCAGCATGCTGATGCCGACGAGCACACTCTTCTGTACGACGTGTGCTGTGGTACCGGCACCATTGGAATCTGCGCGTCGAAGGGCGTGGCCAAGGTCGTCGGTATTGAGATCTGCAAGCCTGCCACTGATGATGCTGAGGTGAACGCGGTGCTCAACGACGTCAAGAACGTGAGCTTCATTAACTCGAAGGCCGAAGACGTGATGAAGGACCTGCTGCGCAGGAAGCGCGAGGAGAGCGAGAAGCACCTCAACCGCGTCGTGGCCATTGTGGACCCGCCTCGCGCCGGCCTGCACCATAACGTGCTGCGCGCACTCCGGGCTTGCCCGCCGGTGCAGCGTATCGTGTACGTGTCTTGCAACCCGACCAACTCGCTGGTGCGAGATGCCGTGATGCTCTGCGGCCCCAGCACCAAGGGCATGCAGGGCGAGGCTTTCCAGCCCGTGCACGCCGTTCCTGTGGATATGTTCCCGCACACGCCGCACTGCGAGATGATCATCGTGTTCGAGCGCGTCAAGACGGAATAGATGAAAGCGATCGATTTTTCTACATAATAGCATTGCTCATTGTTGCCGGTATCTCTGTTCTTCCTCGAAGATAGCCTGTAAGTCGACCACAAAATCTACATGCAGGGTATGCTATGGCCACGCGTGGAGACACGGTGCCAAGTAGTTCCATCTCGTGCATCAAACGTTCAGCTTCTATTCTATAGAGAAGGGCTATCACCTGCAGGTTCTTACTCCTCTTCTTCAGCATCGTCGTCGTCGTCGTCGTCGTCTTCTTCCTCCTCGTCGCTAATCTCGAGACCCTCGTACGCCTCTTCCTCCTCTTCGTCGTCGTCATCGCCGAACTCCATCTCGTCGTCTTCAGATTTCCGCTTCTTGCGCGCAGGCTCATCGTCCGCAATCGGGATGTCCTTGAGGCCGTCCGCGCAGAACAGCACGCTGTTGAGTCTCTGCTTGGCGTAGATCGTGTGGCGATACTTGCGCGTGTTGATGTCAAAGATGTGCACCATGCGGTCGAGTCCCACCGCCGCGATGTAGGGCAGCGTCGGGTGGCATGCGATGTCGCGAATGGAGCCCACGGGGCCCGTGCAGCGGCCCATGTGCTTGAGCGTGCGCAGGTCCAAGATGTCCAAGTTGCCTGCCGTGTCGCCCACGTACACCCGCGTCTCGTCGGGCGACACGCAGAGCGACTGGATGGGGTTCTCGCCGAAGTTGTCGAGCTGCTGCACTGGCCGCCGCTTGGTGTTCGTGTCGTAAATCCTGACGTGGCGGTGGCCAGTGCCCACAACCACTCGGTGGCCGTTGCTGTTGCCGGGCGTGGACAGGAAGCGCAGGTCCTTGACCCACACGGGCACGCGCATGTCGAGCTTGTCGTGCGTGACGTTCTTGGCCTTGAACAGCACCTGCTGCGTCTCCAGCGACCACAGGTTCAGGTCGTGCTCCTTGCCGCCCACGCCGATCGCCGTCTGGTTCGCAGCCTCCAGCCTCATGATGTTCAGGTCGCCGCCCACGTTGAACGATGCGGGCTTGCCGGCGTCCTCCAGCGTGCTGCGCACCAGCACGTCGCCCGTGTCGGAGCACTGCACCACCGAGCCGAACTTGTGGATAACGTCGAGGCCCACGCAGCGCGTCCTTTCCTGCGCATTGTCGGGCGTCTCCCAGGACCAATCAGGCTCCCGGGCGGCGCTCAGGCCCTTGCCGTGCGACGCCTCGTAGCTCTCCACGACGCCGTCGGCGCGCGCCAGCACCACGTTGCGCTGGAAGTTGGCGGCCTCGCGCTCGTCCGCGTACCAGCACAGACGCTGGATGCCTCCGGCGCGCGCCTGCGGTTGAGCGCGGCTGGACAGCACGCGCTGCTCGTTCTTCTCCAGCTCAATGGACTTGAGCAAGCCGGTCTCGTCGCCTACCAGGACGCGCATGTTGCCGCAGTTGTGAAATGGTTGAATGACACGGCTGGCAAGGAGCACAAGAGCGGGGATTGGCGGAAAAGGAAAAGGTAGTGGGATGTGATTGGATAAAAGGAATAGTGCATTTTTTGCAAGCGTTTTGAAACATTTCCGAAAAATATGAATTGTACTTGCCTAAAATGCCACCCGTTTTACGGTCGAGACGGTCCAAATCAGGGCACAAAACAAAAGCGGAGATCGACTCGAATTGTGCTCTAGAAAACGCAAAAGGGGTCGATTTGGCGTCGTTATCCCCAACAAGAAAAAAATAAGGATAAAAATAAGGATCAAATTTGAAGAGCTTCGTTTAAAGTGTCCTCAAGGACAATTGTTAAAATCTTACGTTAGTATGAAAAAATAGCGTGTCTTCTTGCTGGTAGCACAAGGATTTAAGACACCTAGCGTTCTAATGCCTTCATATTCTTGTTGCAGAACTGGTATGCTGACGCTTCGGCAAAAACGATTTTATCCTTAAGTTAAGGATAAATCTCTGGCAGCCCGGGATAATAGCGCTCAGGCTAGTTGGAGGCGTAACGATCGGCGACGCGCCTTGTTCGCCAAACGAACAGTTGGGGTACGGCGATTAGGAGGGTCCAGGGACGTGGAGCGCTTTCGTGATGGCGGGGGCGCTCGGTTTTCATTTGACTTCGTTGAAATTAATTCGTCCGGAACCTGGCAGGGATCAGGCAGTGTTGGGGCGTTGTGGAACTTGTCGAAACAGGACTGCCCTCCTGCCCATCTTTTCGCTCTACACAAGGTGACCTTGCAGACGTCGCACTCGAAACTTGTCTTGAAGCCTTGGCGACTGTGATTGCGATTTTCAATGTCGTGATTTGAACGACAACAGAGCACGCAGCGGAGCTGCGTTGCATTTACAATCCGGATCTGCAGAATGGGTCAGTACATCACCAGTCTATTCAGTATCGCCAAGAGCGTACCGATCGATGCGTGTTACGCTTTGAAAGACGAAGGTCGATCCACTCCTTCTGCGTGTTGAAGAACTTTCGCTTGTTGTACGAAAACGAATGCCCCATTTCGATCACGCTCGTCTCGATCGTGTTTTCTTCGACCGGTCGAAGCGGCTGTTGTACAACTGGTCGCTGAGAGAGAGCAACAGCAGCGTCCCGGCAGAAAGCGCCGAAGCTCGGTAGATTCTGGCGGTATTTTTGATACGACTTGTATGAAGTGCAGAGTGTGCTGTCCATCAAGAAGTCGTGGGACTACAGCAGTATCGTTAGTAAATTATTTGCCTTCTGTATCGTATTGCATCGCTGTTGGAGCACTCAGGTGGAAGGCGTCTTTGGGGTTAGAAGGCAGATTGCCAAGTGACTTGTATTGGTAGCTTAGAGCAGGATCCACGTAGTGGACCACACCATTGTACTGGATACCTGGCCTGGGTACCTCCCCCCAGGCCCAGGACCTGTACGGTGATACAGACGAGTGTGGTGCTTGAACCTGGCGGTTCCAACACGCTTACCTGCAGTATCAGATATGACTGGTGCGCGTTGTACGCCAGGGACATCAGCATACGGAGCCAAATTGTTGCGGTCGGTGAAAGTCGGAAATGTTTAGACTTCACATTTTTAAGTAGCGCAAGTACACATCAATGCCTCCTTTGACGTGGTTCCATAACGCAATCGAAGTCGGGATGATGTGTTTGGCCGGGGGAAGAGGTTGCTGCCTCTCCTTCGTAAGCGTGACTAAAGCTCTCCAGAGCGCTAGCGTTTGCTCCAATGTCACCATATCCACGCAGTGACCACGAGGACCACCTCCAAAACGAGGCATAACGCCATTGTCGGAGTATATCCACATCAAGTGCTCCGTCATAATTGTTTTCAAAGCTGCGTAGTATATCCGAGACACGTCGGACCCCACGACGACGTGGACAACGCGGATAATTGAGGTAGAGGACGCGTACACAAGGAAGCCATCGCTAATTCCTCCACAAACGACGCAGTGTTGTATTTGGAGTCGGTGACTTGGGTCAGGCATCAAGCTGTTCAAACGTCCACCGAATCCCATTGTCACCAAATCCACGGTCGTAAAAACGCCGCACGAAACTGCTAGCGCTTTCTCCTTAAGCACTGTGCGTGGAGTTGTTCGGGTTTTATACTCCATAATGGCGTTGAATCGTCCGCGCCGAACGTGAAGAACAGACGCAACGTGGTCAGGCGAGAACGCTGCGACGGGTAAGTCCTTCCTACCCAAAGAACGTTAGAATACAGCGAATAGCTACAAAACATCTACGAATGGACACAACCGTTCTTACCTGCACACCAAACCGTACGACTTCAACTGCTCAATATGGAAGGCGGAGTGCTTGTCCAAAAACTGTTGTACATGCGCGGCAATATTTTCCTCATTGGCCGAACCAACTTTCATGTCTTGCGTCGAAAGTGGCGCCATGAACCAGGTCGTCAAAAAGGTATCATCAATAAGACATCAAGAACATTGAGGTGCCGCAGGATCTGTTGCTTCTTCAGTTTGAACACCACAAAGCCGATTGACTAAATCCCCTTTCCTCCCTGACACGAGTAGCTGTGCGTCACGGCACAAATTCTGAAGTTCCTCGCATGTCTTCTTCTGTAGTTCATCTCTGGACAGTTGCAGCGCTCCAGGGAATCCACAACTGTCATCAGGACCTCCAGGAGTTGGTCGATTTGCTTTTCCAAGCGAGAGTAAAAGAATCACAGTTTCCACGTCGGGATCAGATCCAGCATGAACGGGTAAGTCTCCTTCAGCAACATCGCCACCACACTGAGCAAAGACTCTAAAAATCTTTGCAGCGACGGACACAGTAATACGCAACTTGCGCAACAAAAACCATTCTGGTGTACGCTGCGAATGAGTCAATAACTCTACGCAAGCTTCAAATACGGCAAATAAATCATCAGGAGCTTGTGATACTTGTTTGACTTGACGCGGAACGTAAGTCCAACAACCAGGACCAGCACTAGCCATTGTAGTTTAAGCCAGCGCTACCTTTCCGAGTCCCGATCGGTAAGCAAGTGCGTGGGCGTGGGTAGGTACTTCGCCAGTAGTGGTTGGCAACCGTTTGCTTGCCCAGTAAGCGGCACGTTCTCCTTTCTCCAGAACTAAATGCTGATTTTGATTCGGAGATTTCCCGAAGGTAAACGGAAATTGACCAGTACGTTGTGAGTACCGATGATACTGCTTCCAGCATCAAATATCTGTTGGTTGACTGCATTCGACTGGTAACCTCGGTCTAACGCGTGTACAATGCCTGACAAGCGTATCTGGCTCTCCGTGGAGGCACCACATAGCGATCGCTGCAGAATCCGAACAATATCAACCGTCGACTCGCCTCGAGCGGCAATGTGTCCGCCAAGAAATATACCAGTGACCAGCGATACCACACTGTGTTGTACAGGTCCATACCTGCAAAGCAAAATACGTATTAGACACCCAAGAAACCATATCAAAGCGAGTGTAAGCATTTATTACCCTTTCTTTGGATTGCGCACGTGAGCAAGTCCCGTATCATCAACAGCGCTGGCCCGTAAGCGAATGAGGTCATCATCGAGTGAGGCTATGGTTGTCCCAGCGACGAAGCCAACGTCTGCACACATGCGCCGGACTAGCTCGGCTGCGTGCGCGATATCTCGATCCGGACTAAAAGGCGCTGACCATTGGCTTGCACTGGAAGTTCCACTACTACCCGTTGTCCCCAAAGCTGCAAGCATAGCTCGATATTTTGCGTATGGTAGCGATTGTTTTGCGGGTGGGTACTGCTCCTGGTTCTTTGTATCGTAAAAGAATTCCGGTGTAACTCCATGAAAGCTCAACCACAGCTCGACTTCAAGAAATCTGAAAATGTCGTCAATAGTCACAGCCGCGGAGTCTTCCAAGTTGCAGTTCATTCGACTCTGGAGCTTGGCCAGAATCGACGTATCCAGCCACGTGTAGAGTATTCGAGATACACTGATACTGCCAACGTAGTGCTGAGTAGTACCGAACATGCGCTGTAGCAGTCATTTGACGACGATATCGACCTCGTCACGAGCCTTCTCCAACAACAATGCGTCGACACCATCTACCTCAACATGCGCATTGTTGCGCTCAACATATCGCCAAATACCCGCCTCCGTCTGCTCACCATCGCTATCAGTGTCGCTGTCGGCGTATGCCCAGGATATTTCGTCATCAGATGAATCGCTGTCTGACATCACGCGAAGAGGTGCTTGTTCGTTCGGAAAGCAGGCGTTGCCGTGGAAGCCGCCTAACGGGTGCGTGAGCGGGAGCGAGCTTTAGAGCGTGGCTTAGTGTTAGCTGTAGCCGTAGGGAGATTGTGCGCGTCTGCTGGAAGCGAAGAGAGAGAGAGCTTGAGATCATGTTAGCGTAGCAACAGGAGAGTAAGCTCAAGAGCGCATCAGCTGCAGATGGAGTCTGCTCGAGAGAGCACCAGCTACAGGTGTGGTGAGCCTGAGAGCACGTCAGCAGCAGGAGAAGTGCACTAGAGTGTGTGTCAGCTCGAGTGCGGGTGAGCGGTTCTTCAACTGACCATCATTCTCTTTTGTCCTTAAGATTTTGTGTTAAGGACAAAAATAGCTGCGATCTGAATATCACAAAACAGATTTGGTCCTTTTTTTAAGGATAAAATTTGTTGGGGTTATGTTCAGATCTACCAGGAGGTGTACCTCGAGCCCTGTTTGGATTGCCGTAGCTTGAGTTATTAGCCGGTCTAAATAGATCAATCTCCTCCTTTCTTTGACCTCTTTTGTAAACTGACCTCATTTATTTTAACTCGTGGAGATCTCCAAGTCAAAACGACAAAACAGGTACGAAGCATAATACTTCCTAGGACACCAGTGGCTTAGCAGGCGGTCCCACTTAAAAGGAGCACATTTGAATACGAACCCTCCCTACTTAAATGGGGTAATGGGGTATATACCAGGTGATATATTGTATGGAATACTGCGAAACGCAACGAAAACAGATACATACAAACTTTAATGCCAAACACAACGAGATGTATTGATACGTTTACATCAGCGGAAATTGCCTACCTTGTAGTAGGACAATTTACAGACAGAACACCTACGTGGGTGCTGGAACGCCTAAAGCCACCAACATATACTATGATAGTGAAGCGTATGCTCTTCTGCTGCTCTCTGGGTAAATCCCAAACTGACCAGCCTCCCACGTCTTGCCTGCCCGGTATAGACAGTCCAGGAAGACTGAGAGCCAGTGAAGCTTGAATAGATAAGGGTTAGGGCCATATGGCTGAAACCCACTACATATGCTTGTTTGTTGACAAGGTCCAAGAAGCGCAAATAAAACATGTACTACGCATTTTTTAATTGACAGTGCGGTTAACTTAGCTGTTCAACCCCACCCCACCGTGAAGGTGTGGGCTCGAGCTTGCCGCAGCTCTGCACTGCTGCTTTCAAGCCTCGCCCCAATAAGAATCGGATGATCTTTTCGATCAGCTACCACTAACTTGTTATCGCTTCCAACGGTTGCGTCATTCTGTTTGCTTGGCTTAGACTTAAAGCATAAATGGGTAGCTACCTCAAAATATTATACAGTCAGCGATGGTGCGGTCTAATGGATGCAAATACATGACTTGAATGTGGCGGCACGGATGTAGTATAGTTGAAACGAGACCTTCACACAGTAGTTATTGAAGTCGATGGTCAAGCTATAGCCAACGGATTGTGTCACGCGAATATCGACCCAAAAAGACCCAAGCAACATGCGGCTGATTAATATGTTATCAATGTTATAGGTATGTGTCGATACATCAATGACTTGTTCGCTAACAACTAATAGCGGGGCATGCGTTTTATAGTGGTTTGCATCTGAACCCGTATCGCCATAAGAAATCTGGGTAAATCCAAAGAGCATAATGCGGAGTCAGTCGGATGCCATTACCATTTAAGAAAACGTCAAACAAAAGAATATTAATGAACCTAAGTACGAATCGCGATTTAGGCACACCAATGGAAAGAGGGGCGTCTTTTCTTTCATTTGAGCTCACCCACGCCTCCCATGAGTTGAAACCGACGACGTTATAGGCCCTCAGAAAATTTATCTCCCTTCCCAGAGCAAAAATGGATATTTTTTTTGGTGAAGTAAAGGTAAAATGGGCCGGTGGTTCGAATGGTACTCTCGGAATCGCCCATTTCCAAGCATAACGTGCTCAAATCGCGTCTTAAAGTTATTACCCCGAGTTAGTGACACGCATATGTCTATAAGTAACAATTTGTTTGAGAAATGGATGGAAGTATCATTTTGATCCCCTTAGACTGCGGCAGCTTACTCGCTGTTTGTCTTTCTCTTTTTTGTCGCTGCACTCGTGTTGCCTTCGTTTCTTCCTCGGCGGTCGCTGTTCTCCTTCGCGGCCTTTGCCATTGCTGCCCGATGCTCTCTAATCGCTGATTTAGCGTCGTCCTGCTGGTCTTGGCTTGGGGCAGTGTAGATAGGATCACCCTGAAACTCATCAGGGACGTACGGACGGATCTTACTGTTCATCTCTGTCTTCTCCGCGTTTAGTGACGGAGGGCTCAGGTCTTCCAGGAAGTGGGTGAGCATTCGCTCCACCTTAGTGCTCTCTGTCAGGACCTCGTCAACCTTGCGCCGTAGATCCTGCTCAACCGGCTCGTCGTCTGGCCCATTCTTGCACTGCACTACACCGGGTTTAGTCGCCTCCATACTAAAGATCTGGTACTGCTGTTGTAATGGGCCTACTTTGGCTCACTACTTTAGCTTACACGTGTGCGCACGTGTGTGAGGAAGCTTAGCTTAGTTTAAACTAGAGTTAATTATACTCGGACCTCCGAGTATAGATTAATCTAAATAAACGATCCAAATAATGTTTTGGGTTAAAAGGAGAACTGCTATTTTTGTTTTATGCTTTCTGACTTCCTCTAAAATGTAATATTCTAAGTTAGGAATCTGCCAACGGCTGGTTGGCAGAATTCCAATGCTATGCGTGTCGCTCATTGGCTAAAAGATGCTGCTTTCAGCCAATGGGAATCCTAAGTCTCTATGGACCACCCGTCGTGGTGATCGTAAATGTATGTAGCCTTTGGTGTGTCTACACCAAGGTCGAGAAAGTCTTTCGAACCTCTAACAGACGTCGTGCCTGTTAGAGTTACAAGTGACTGTAGCCACTTGTGCGTGTAACCCTACCCCAACTAGCTTCTTGTAAAGTTCCGTCACGAGCGGCTTGTAGCTCTTGAAGAACTCGTCCACATGGGGGCGAATGTGGCCGAAGCCACGGTCGGAAGATTTCTTGGTATGGCCCTTCACAAAGAACTTGTAGTCGATCTGGTCAAAGACACCCATCCGAACTTAGGCAAGAAAGAACTTGATGACGTGATTGTTCTTGTTCTGGCCTGAGCAATTGTCCGCGTATGCTTCTTGCCGGCAGGGAGAAGCACAGTGCGAATAAAGTGCTGAAGCATTGAGTTGATCTGGTCGCTTCTTTTTCCACTCACAAATTCGTCGTAGACGTAGTTCGTCTGCACTCCCTCGTTTTCGTAGAAAATTCCGAAGATGTTCACTGCAAGCAGCGAACAGAAATACCACTGAGACGGAATGGTGGTGACCGAAGGAGTCGTCAAATTCTGCGAAAAATCCATAACAATCACTGCTGCTTCCATCGCTTGCATGGACGGCAGCTTTGTCCTTCTTGTACTCGCGTCTATAGATAACAACAAATCAAAATGTTACCAATGGTCAAGTGAAAAGTTCTTGGTAGATCAATTTGATGTCTATGTCCTCGTACTTCATTCGACGTGCTGGCTCCGTGTGTTGGCCCAGCTCCTCCACTTGTTCAGCAGAAGCCCCGCGATGCATCCTCGACTGGTAAATGGTGCACAAGTCACACACACATTGGACTGAGCGGAACGGATCTTGATGTTGGGGCAGTGGACGGACAGCAACTTGCGGAAAGTGGAGCGTGCAGGCTCACAAACGCGCAAACCGAGACTCACAAACTTGTGCATCTCGTCGTACAGAGTCTCCCAGGTAAACGTAGCAGGTAGCAGCGTGTAGTCTTCACGACTGTAGTACTTCTCCACCATACCGTTCTTGGTTTTCTGCATGCGCACCCTCACGTGCACCATCTCGCCGACTTCAGCAGCAAACTCCTTGAACCACTTGACCAACCAAACTAGATAGATCTTCGAAGTATTCTTGTTGAGCCGATTGCCGTGCACCTTGGCAGCAATGTTGCCGTCACGCACGCGCCTTTTGTAGCGCTGAATGGTAAGCGGCTGCACGCCGAGGCATCGGGCAAACGAAGGACGGCGCACGCGCCCAACGAAAGGTAAGTAGTAGTGAAACTTCTCGCGTTCACCATTACCACGACGTCTCTCGGCTGTGTCTGTCTGCATCAGCACGCCGAGAAGCGTCAGGATGCAAGTCGTCTTCTCCGGCTTGGATACCTGCCCCAGCGAGCACGTCAACCACTCCAACTCGCCCGCTTTGCCTTGCAAGCAGCGCCGCTCGCACACGTCGTCTTGAATTAGGTTCGTCACGCACTGCTGGACATCAACGTCAAGCAAATTGATACTGATGTCCTCTTCCTCCTCATCAGCCTCGCTCTCTGCGCTCTCTCCGGTCACATCTTCCTCACCAGCGGAGCCATCGTCATCACTCCAGTCCTCGTCGTCGCTGTCGTCGGGCTCTTCGCTGTCTGGCTCCTCGCTCTCCTCCTCGCCAGAGCTAGCGTCATTGAGCACGGCGTCAGCGCCCGCGGTGTTCTGCGCAAGTTGGACGTCGACTTCTTGCGACGGACAGCTATCCGACTTGACAGCGCCGCACCGGTCGAAGGGGCACTGGGGAATGGCGTGGGGGAATGCGTGGAGCGTGTCTCCGGAGCAGAAGACTCGGCGGAGGCTGGCCGCGTGGGTGAGGGTTCGTGGAAGAACATCGTAGCTGGACACTGGTATCTTCTTGTGGTCTCAGGTTCTTGAGTGAGCAAGCTCAGTTTAGGGACAGTTTGATTTTCAAAACACAAATCGGCCGTTTTCTCGAAACTTCATATAAGTACGAAAGTCGATGGCCTAACTTTAAACGCGATTATCTCGATAACTCTAAATGGCGCATTAGTATCATTTGGTTCTGGGTTGTCTCATTTAGGCGCACGCATGTAAAAGGAGCAGGAACGTCTACTGTATTGGGATGCTCTATCTTGTTATCTGCAGTGCACTGAATATTGCAAGCGCCCTGGTTGTTGCCCCGTTCTTGAGCCGATTTTTATTTTTTGAAAATGGGTTCATAGAGCATACGGATAATCACTTGAGGCACATTCTCGCTGCGTCTGTACTCACCACATAACATTGCTAGCTTACATTAAGATAGCATAATAATTAGTTGGATATAGCAAATTGTCAAACGACATTAGTTGCATTAGTAACAAGCCAACTCCGGAGGTGGCTTGTGTTGAAGCAGCTAATTTTGAAGTTCATTTTCGACACTAATCCAGTGAAGATTCAGGATTTTCAAGAGAAGTTGGAATGAAGTTTTACTCCGGAACTGACGCAAATCAGGTTTCTGTACGGAACGGAGGATGTCACCACGATTGATATGGTAAAACAATAGTGAAATGACCTCGCCCCGTTTTTGCGGCAAGAGCACTTTCAAGACTTCATGTGGATTCCTTCAACACCAGTACTCAACCCCCAAAAGCTTCTCAAGTGCTGTATCGATGCCGTTAGTCCGGCTACCGAGAAAGCGCTTAAGGAGGTTCACGATGCTCACAAAAAGTGTTTGCCTGCTCAAGCCGCTCACACGACATTTGCCAAAATGATGAACGAGTGGCGCATCAGCTTGAAAAGGTGAAAAAAAACAAAGGTAGCATTTATATGTGAAATAGAGTCATCAAGGGAAGGGAGAATCCGATACTTCCCGGCGAAGACAAATCCGCGTTTAAAGCGTCAAAACCGTCGGGGTATAACAGACGATACCTCATTTAGGGTTAGCAATTGAAAGGAGTGTATAGCCATGGATTCCTAGTGTTTCAGTCGCTGTTTTGCTGATAGAGCTCCATGTCATGTTAGGTGAGTAGGGTCCAGACGACTTGGAGCAAGACGACGACGACGACACTGAAGTAGTGTCTACGGAAGCTGCGCGGATATACATCAGCAACCTGACCAGTTAAAGTGGTTTGTACTTGTGGAAGTCAGACGAAAGGAAAGTCGTCTAGAACTCTTCTGTAGATTTTGTTTTAGCTTTTTGGGTCGTCATGGTGCACTTGGACGAATGTTGTTCTTATTAGAAACGGAGGGCGTGTGGTCGCTTAGGTCGAGTTAGAAGCGTATATTGGGCTGAAGACGGTTATAGGCTTGGTCCCAATAACGACATCGAAGAGTCCTGGTCTGACAAGATGGTTCAAGGGCATGCCAACTTTAGTGCAACAATGAGTCGAGATCGTTTCCAAGGGGTTCAAACCAAGCAGGTTTGCTATCATTGCGGTTCCGATCGAGTTAGCAGCGTTGATGATATCAGAGTTCGTACCAAAGTTCGAACATTGGTCAATTGGTTTTTCAAGCGAAGCCTGACAACTGTGGTGTAGCGGGATCGGCCAAAATCTGGTTAAGGCCTGATCGAGCTTCCCACCAGCGCCCAGACACCGACTAACGGAGGGGTCCCCCAACGATCCGTGATCGGCTGAACTTGTTCTCACCTTGTGTACCCGTCGGCGGGCTGGATCTGCTCTCTCGGGGCTCCGAAGATGCAGCACTTGGTGAAGATCGAATGTCTTGGCGTGACGCGGGGATAGTTTGTGGAGCAGCGCGGTAGTCTTCGCTCTGCGTCCAATTATATGCTCCGATCGAGGGTTGTTCGCTGCGATCGGTCGGCCTGGAGTTGATCCAAGGCCTGTAGTTGCCTTTCCGGGTGTGTTCCTTCCTTTCCTGAGTTGCTTGCCGCTTCCTATAGCGGGATCGAGGTCGATTGAGAGACGCAGCGATCGCCGGCCAAGCAGTACCCGGTCGATCGAGGACTTGCACACGAGAGAAAGATCACTAGAGTAGGTCAAGCTGGCCAATGTATTAATCCAGTCTTAACCGTACCGCCCGAAGTGTCAACGCTTGCCGAGGCCAATGTAGTTCCTGGGACTTGACGACTTGAGGGTACTTGTGGTCTTCTGTGCAAATTGCGTTCTGATTTATGTTTAGCTGGTGTCTCTCTACCGCTACCATCCTACAACTCCACAACCACTGGATTCTTGTCCTGACTTCGTCCTCCATGTGCATCCCATCGTGGTCGATCCCCCATCCACGATCAACCCACGATTGACTCCCGATCCACGATCGACTCCCGATCGGCGATCGGCGATCAACTCTCGATCGACGACTTGTGCCGGTTGCCGCACGCCGCCGATCCATCATCTTCCGTCCTCGGCCGTCTTAGATCTGCGAGATCTGTCGTCGATCAGGGCTTGGGTCGACCCCGAATCACGCCACGATCATCCACAATCCGGCTTGCCACACGTCCTGCCTTACGCGCCGGCGTCATCGGGCCACTTGAGATCTCCCGAAGAACTCCCTCTGATCCACAGATCCTTGCTGCCTGTCTCTCGATCGCTGATCTCCCATACTTCCAGTCGATCGGCCCTGCCGCCTTTCTCAGAGAACAATTCTTATTCAGCACTTCTCCACACAACCTCGATATTCGCTTTTCTGTGGTGTTCGCTTCATGTTCATTTACTCTAGGATAATGGTTCAGGCAGCACGATGCGGTCCAACCCTATACTCAATTATCCCGAGTCTATGACGTTCCCTTAAAGCCCATCTTCAAGCAAACGCCATCCGTACCAAGTCAGAATCTATGCCGGCGTTCTGTATGATAATGATCGCTCATCAAACGAAGTTATGCCGTAGTATATCAGGCAGGCGCACCATTTTTGCGACAATTGATATTTTTACACGCGACACAATTTCGTGGCCGTGGTTCGTGTTATGGTGGAGGGTGACGCGCGAAAGCCTACCACCGTTCGGAAAGGCTCGGTTGGTCATCTAAATGTAGGGGAAGTAGCATATTTCATTGCTTCAGTGAAGGACATACCACGAAGATCTTGGAAACGCATCGCTAGTGTAGGCACTGTCATCGATCAAGGAAAGCTCACGCTCATGAGCAAAAGAAGTAACAACCCCGCATCCTCATACGAAGTATTCACCGTCACTTAAGTTTTCCGACCAAACTGGATACGTTGTCTTTCGGGGCAAGAACTAAGTTTTGTTCCGGACCAACTATTTGGCTAAAACCCCAAGCGCACGCGTCTTTAGTGCTAACAGTAAAACATCACATGTTACCACGAGCTGTATCCATTTTTCCGATCGCTTGTAAGCACATTATGCTCGAACAGTCAGCATGGCCCCTGAATACAACATCGGCATGGGCGGATTAGCTTGTGTGGACCAACTTTGTTCCACAAATACTACCTTGTGGAAGTAAATGTGCATCTCAATGAGTTTATCCATCTGGGTGCTGGAATTGTGTGGAAACGGAGCACCTTCCACGTGATATTTCAGGCGATAACTTGATTGATATTCTTACGTAAAACAAATTGTAAAACCGCGGATGAAAAACTGGTTTATTGTCTATGTAGTCGTTAAGTCGGCTAATCCACGCTTTAGGTATACGAAACGTCTCGTTAAATACCGCACTGCTTATTTTACCGTAGCTCACTACAGAGACGATTTTACCACCCGACAGGAAGCGTTGCGAAAGCCCAGCAAGCCCTGAGCGATCCAAAAATGTATGTCCCTTGACGACACGCCAACGCCTCAATAACTCAATGCCCGCATTAGCCAATCTGATGTTAACACACCAAGAACCAGAGAATTCAGTGGAAATTCGACTCTTCAGAAATCCAAAGCTAGCATACACGAATCCACATTTTTTGCCTTTGAGGTTGTCTTATTAGGACCTACGCAGATAAAAGAAGTAAACGATTTTGCTTCAGAAACCATCGCTTTTTAAATGCGAAGGCTGCAGTTAGATATTGTGGCGATGTACAAACTTCAATTTGGAAGGCGTTTGTGAAACTTGACATCATTGTTTTGCTCTTGGGATGATACACAAGCGATCCTTCGTTAAGATGAGCAAAACGTACCGCTAATGGGTTGTGGTATATCATGTAATCTTTTTCCACCACCTTATCATTATATCATAGATTTTTAACTCTGATATCCAGAAAGCATATTTCTACAATGTCTATACTTTCCGCACAGTCAAGTTATTATAAAAGCATGTCCCTTTGACGTTCGCTTCTCCAAGATTTTAGGCGTAAAGGATCCCGCAATCCGACTCATGTAAACCGCAGTAGCATTGATGTTAAACTAGCAATTGCCCGAGAAGATCTGATTAAGAAGCACTACAGAGGATCACGGACGAGTGAGCAAGCCCGTGAGTAGTGCATACACGAAGCAACGTCAGAGAGCGATAAATTGTAAAGCAGTGGTTGATGGTTGCTCACCATCACCGCATGCATGGTATGAATAGAAGCGCCAGTCATTGGCATGCGTTATGCTGTCAGACCATCATTTCCCTTCTACCAGTTCTTTTTCTCCACCTGTTGGTGATGTCTGTTTCTTCGCATCCCCTTAGACGATTCCGGGGTGAAACATTCCGCCTACTCACTCAACATCTTCTACATGTCATGCGCGATACACAGTCCTTTTGATGACCTAGGGCCACACTGCTCCCGCCAATCCACGCAACCCATCCACTTTAACTGGAAATACGTGGCCGATAAACGAGGGTTCTATGGTGCCATATAAATACAGCCATTCCCGCGTTGCGAGTTATTGGCAGCTCCCCGGCTCTCCCGCTTCGCGTTCGTGGTCTGGCTGCCGTGCCTCCAGCACCTCAGTCGCCTCCAAGTCCCACATCCCAAGTCATGACCCCTTCTCCAATGGAACTCTTCCAAAACTAACACAAACGCTGTCACAAATCGCAATTTATGTGCCAAATATGTCCTCGTTTGCGTCGTGTTTGCTACAACCGATGATACCGACCAAAACCATCACATTTGAGTGCTAAATACATGGCTACACTCACTTATCGTCAGTAACAAACAATGCGTAAGGTGCACGTACAATCAACTTGGGTGGTAGTAAACACTCAGTCTCTTCCGCTGGCTCTGCTGTCCACGGCTTGGGCGCGCTGACGTAGAGCTTGAGAGCGCGGGCGTGAACGCTCAGCATGAGTGGTGACTGGGAATTGAACCAAAATAATGGTACGCTTCATTTGCGCTCGACGCAATTTGTGGAGACGTCAAATTCGTCTCCACAAATTACGATGGATTTGCTACGAGAAATACGCCATGTTTATGACCGTAGCAAATATCGAGTTTGTGTGGGTTTTGGTAGAGCTCCAATCTCGACAACGTCTACCTCTATGTCAACCGACAGTGCGTCAATTCGCCGGGGACCGCTCCTGTCGCCGGTGCTCTCATCACGAGTCCGGCGTCAGCACGAAATAATCGACGTAACTGGTTACGAGGAAGAAAACGGCGTCCTGATAGAAGCCACCCCGTGCCCGATTTGCCTGGCGCCCCCGACAGCCCCAGTGAACCCTTTTCGTGCCTCCATGCCATGTGCAGGGAGTGCATTTCCATGCACATGGAGCATGCGCTGGCGGGGGAAGAGGAGGCTCAGGGAAGAGGAGGCTCAGTGTCGGTTTTACCGCGTCATAATGATATGTTTTGAATGGAGCTGTTCCAACATACAGAAGTGCTTGGGTCCGCCAGAAAACTTGCTATTTCCACGTCAAGCAGCGGTGGCGATGAGTACTTAAACACAACCGGGTCATGGGAGCCCCACGTGTGCTTGACCACGAAGCCAGGAAGTGCGTCTGTTTGAAAGACATGGTGGCGGTCGTAAAGTTGACACAATTCGTCATGACACAGTTTGTGGAGACGATATTTGCGTCTTCGCATATTGTGCTGGGTACGCAGCCCTATTTTTGTGCTCGTGACACATTTATATTTGTGTTGTTTTTGGAAGAGTTCCAATGGCTCGTAATTTATACCTTTGTATTAGTTGTAATATTTAACTTCGTACGCTTCACTATATTTTACAATAAACGAAATGATTTACTTTGCACGACTCGTAACCATTTACTTCACCCGAGTCGTAATATGTTACTTTATACGACTCGTAAAACTTTACTTTGAACGAGTCGCAATAGTTTACTTTGAACGAGTCGTGATATTTTACTACTTTAATTTGTACGAGTCGTAATATTTTGCTTTGTACGACTCGTACTAGTTTACTTGCCGAGTCGTAATATTTTACGCTGAACGAGTAGAAAGTTTTACTTTGCAAGTCGCGTAAATTTTTAGCTGTGTTCGGGGCATATAATTTTATTTTTTACGACTCGTACAAGTTCGGTTTGCATTAGACGACCTGTTTGAGTGTACTATGAAGCAGGAATATATTTGAAGTCGTTGGCACCTATACTACTTTTGTTACTGTGTCATGGCGACACTCGGCGAAGCTGCTGATCCGGGTTGAGCTGATTTACGCTTGTGCTTTGGCTTTGATCCGGACTTCCTGCCTCTCTTTCCCAAATCATTTTCTTGCGCAATTACTTCGGGTATGTGGAGAGCCGTGTCCTGTTGAAGACCCGAAGCTGTGAGGTGCGGGGCGAACTGGAAAAAATATGTATTGTGGTAGGTCGCCGCCGTGCGCGGAGGTGTCAAACAATTCCATAACATGCATTAGGTGGTGAATCGCATGTCCACAGCTCGTCTTGTCACCTCCTGCACGTGCACTCCCTGTCGTGAAGATTCACGGATCCCCACATGTCTGAGTGATCCGGTCCCGTGCTTACGTCGGTAAAACGCACCATGTACTGGTCCTGAAGGCACGGCACAATGTGCAAACGCTTTGATAGCGCGGGGGGTCTGAAAACCTTAGCCGGAGTTGACTCGGCATAATCAGCGCGGAAACCACCCTTCGTAGACGCCTTCGTCTTCCGAACGACGCGCATTAGATTTCTCGCCCTCACGTGTAAATCAGGCCCTGACAATGCAGCTCGCTCCGATAACGAGTATCAGTATAGGCAGAAGACACAGAGTCGTTTCTATGAAAAAATGTTGACTATCCATGAATTACAACATGCTCCCAATATATATTTCTGTTGTAAGTGGAACAACCCCTATTGATCATTGATGCGAGACCAAATAGCCATGGCCGGCAACGCAACATCCCCATTTCTAGCATCCGACATAAAACTCAGCCAATCAGCGATGCAAATTGCATCAGCTAGATTCGTTGATTGGCTGTTTTCGTGGGAGTTGTACTAAATTGACAATTGACAGGTGTCGGATGCTAGAAGTAATATACAGTATATTCCATCGTAGCAGCTGAAAACTCGATCTTGCCAATGCACTCTATCCCCGGCAGTAGCTGCAGCGGTACTCAATCTTGCGACGAGATGACCACGATAGAGTGTAGGGGAAGCCGCCCAGGGGGATCAGGCTACGTTCATGTCGAATACCGGCGCTGTGTAGTAGTTACACTTCCATTGCTCACTTGCGATCAGCTTTGATTTGGGGATCTTGGTGTTGGTGGTGCTGGGGGGAAACGCTAAAACATGCCTATTTCGGCGAAGTGTTTGCAAAACATGTTGTCCACTTTAAAGCATGCTTGGGTACACTGTACCAACGCCGGTGCACTACTGCACGACCTTGGTGATCCTAGGACATACATTGATATATGCCATCGACGCGCAACCACTACATCAACCTAATGAGGGCAGCTAGTATGTATACATTACACGCGAGTCGTACATCCAATACTTGCTGCCACTGATACACTGTAATGAAGACGTCTGCAACATCATGCACAACTTTTGCTGGTGCTTCATTTGTACAAGAAGTCCTGCACCACTTCACTATATATCGGTAACTCATGTAAAACGTGTGAGCCCCCGAAGCACTTATAAGTGGCGCGATAAATCGTGCTATCATTTTTAAGAATGATCTGGTCTTCATGTTGCACTTGACTTGCCAGCGCCTTGGCCAAAACCGATGGGTCGGCCAAAACGCTGCTTCGAAAGGAAGGTAGCTGCGAAAGCTGCCGAGCTGTTGGCTTGGGTACCTAAGTGCAGTTCATGTGCCCTAGATCCAGCGAGCTGATGTACCAAGCGTTGCTGTTCTTGCGCTGGTACAGCTGCACGTACATTGGGCACGATTTAGACGAGCATGTCAGCCGCTTCCGACCACCTCCGCCCCAAGACAACGACGACCCGCTTCTTAATGGACAATGCGTAGTCTTGAATAGCCTCCACCGCAGCGCTCCCGTCGTGGAAGGTCATGCCTTCCTCGGGTGGAGGCGCCATCGTGCAGACCGTCGAATTACGGAGAACATGTACTTCGCCCTATCGTTACCAATCATTACCAATCGTCCAATTGTCGATAAGCATGTTTTAAAGTTGACATCATGTTTTGCAAACACTTCGCCGAAATAGGCATGTTTTAGCGTTTCCCCTGGCGCTGGTCACATGGTGCTGAGTTGTTGATTTGGGTGGCGGCGATGCCTTCGTCGGAGACACAGTCATCGGGATCCCTGTACAACGTATTGCCGTCAAACTTGAAGAGGTGTCCACTTGGAAGCGAGATGCAAAACGGATAGCTGCGACCAAACCGTGCCAACTACACGCGCCAGTTCAACATCCAAGACGTACGAATGTTTCATAGACCACGTAGGCAAGATACCAGCCCAAACCGACATAAACGCTCCCACCCGGACGCGCCCCTTTTCTCGCGCCCCTAGCGCTATTCACAGCAACTGAGCACCTTCGCTGCTCCACACACACGTGCCTGCAGGCCATGCGCTACTACCAGCCTGTCTAGACCCGCTCTACACACTGGACGGCAGCCACCAAGACTACATGCCTTCTACACGAGCTGCCCGGGCATATCCGTACCATTCAAAGCTACATGCCGACGCGCACGCGGTCCGGGAGCATAAATTACCGCCACGGCGGCACCCAGCATGTGCGCGAGAAATAAATTACCGACCGCAAAATGCAGCAGCAACAGGCCTTCTCCACCAGATCGGCGGAAGTGGTGGATGCGGCGCTGAATCTGCACACCCTCTGCAACAGAGAGATAGCGCGCGCGTTGGTATCTGTGGGGTTTGAACCCACGCAGACTGTAACGTCTAGCGGATCTTAAGTCCGCCCCCTTAGACCACTCGGGCAAGATACCAGCCCAAACCGACATAAACGCTCCCACCCGGACGCGCCCCTTTTCTCGCGCCCCTAGCGCTATTCACAGCAACTGAGCACCTTCGCTGCTCCACACACACGTGCCTGCAGGCCATGCGCTACTACCAGCCTGTCTAGACCCGCTCTACACACTGGACGGCAGCCACCAAGACTACATGCCTTCTACACGAGCTGCCCGGGCATATCCGTACCATTCAAAGCTACATGCCGACGCGCACGCGGTCCGGGAGCATAAATTACCGCCACGGCGGCACCCAGCATGTGCGCGAGAAATAAATTACCGACCGCAAAATGCAGCAGCAACAGGCCTTCTCCACCAGATCGGCGGAAGTGGTGGATGCGGCGCTGAATCTGCACACCCTCTGCAACAGAGAGATAGCGCGCGCGTTGGTATCTGTGGGGTTTGAACCCACGCAGACTGTAACGTCTAGCGGATCTTAAGTCCGCCCCCTTAGACCACTCGGGCAAGATACCAGCCCAAACCGACATAAACGCTCCCACCCGGACGCGCCCCTTTTCTCGCGCCCCTAGCGCTATTCACAGCAACTGAGCACCTTCGCTGCTCCACACACACGTGCCTGCAGGCCATGCGCTACTACCAGCCTGTCTAGACCCGCTCTACACACTGGACGGCAGCCACCAAGACTACATGCCTTCTACACGAGCTGCCCGGGCATATCCGTACCATTCAAAGCTACATGCCGACGCGCACGCGGTCCGGGAGCATAAATTACCGCCACGGCGGCACCCAGCATGTGCGCGAGAAATAAATTACCGACCGCAAAATGCAGCAGCAACAGGCCTTCTCCACCAGATCGGCGGAAGTGGTGGATGCGGCGCTGAAACTGCACACCCTCTGCAACAGAGAGATAGCGCGCGTTGGTATCTGTGGGGTTTGAACCCACGCAGACTGTAACGTCTAGCGGATCTTAAGTTCGCCCCCTTAGACCACTCGGGCAAGATACCAGCCCAAACCGACATAAACGCTCCCACCCGGACGCGCCCCTTTTCTCGCGCCCCTAGCGCTATTCACAGCAACTGAGCACCTTCGCTGCTCCACACACACGTGCCTGCAGGCCATGCGCTACTACCAGCCTGTCTAGACCCGCTCTACACACTGGACGGCAGCCACCAAGACTACATGCCTTCTACACGAGCTGCCCGGGCATATCCGTACCATTCAAAGCTACATGCCGACGCGCACGCGGTCCGGGAGCATAAATTACCGCCACGGCGGCACCCAGCATGTGCGCGAGAAATAAATTACCGACCGCAAAATGCAGCAGCAACAGGCCTTCTTCACCAGATCGGCGGAAGTGGTGGATGCGGCGCTGAAACTGCACACCCTCTGCAACAGAGAGATAGCGCGCGTTGGTATCTGTGGGGTTTGAACCCACGCAGACTGTAACGTCTAGCGGATCTTAAGTTCGCCCCCTTAGACCACTCGGGCAAGATACCAGCCCAAACCGACATAAACGCTCCCACCCGGACGCGCCCCTTTTCTCGCGCCCCTAGCGCTATTCACAGCAACTGAGCACCTTCGCTGCTCCACACACACGTGCCTGCAGGCCATGCGCTACTACCAGCCTGTCTAGACCCGCTCTACACACTGGACGGCAGCCACCAAGACTACATGCCTTCTACACGAGCTGCCCGGGCATATCCGTACCATTCAAAGCTACATGCCGACGCGCACGCGGTCCGGGAGCATAAATTACCGCCACGGCGGCACCCAGCATGTGCGCGAGAAATAAATTACCGACCGCAAAATGCAGCAGCAACAGGCCTTCTTCACCAGATCGGCGGAAGTGGTGGATGCGGCGCTGAAACTGCACACCCTCTGCAACAGAGAGATAGCGCGCGCGTTGGTATCTGTGGGGTTTGAACCCACGCAGACTGTAACGTCTAGCGGATCTTAAGTCCGCCCCCTTAGACCACTCGGGCAAGATACCAGCCCAAACCGACATAAACGCTCCCACCCGGACGCGCCCCTTTTCTCGCGCCCCTAGCGCTATTCACAGCAACTGAGCACCTTCGCTGCTCCACACACACGTGCCTGCAGGCCATGCGCTACTACCAGCCTGTCTAGACCCGCTCTACACACTGGACGGCAGCCACCAAGACTACATGCCTTCTACACGAGCTGCCCGGGCATATCCGTACCATTCAAAGCTACATGCCGACGCGCACGCGGTCCGGGAGCATAAATTACCGCCACGGCGGCACCCAGCATGTGCGCGAGAAATAAATTACCGACCGCAAAATGCAGCAGCAACAGGCCTTCTCCACCAGATCGGCGGAAGTGGTGGATGCGGCGCTGAAACTGCACACCCTCTGCAACAGAGAGATAGCGCGCGCGTTGGTATCTGTGGGGTTTGAACCCACGCAGACTGTAACGTCTAGCGGATCTTAAGTTCGCCCCCTTAGACCACTCGGGCAAGATACCAGCCCAAACCGACATAAACGCTCCCACCCGGACGCGCCCCTTTTCTCGCGCCCCTAGCGCTATTCACAGCAACTGAGCACCTTCGCTGCTCCACACACACGTGCCTGCAGGCCATGCGCTACTACCAGCCTGTCTAGACCCGCTCTACACACTGGACGGCAGCCACCAAGACTACATGCCTTCTACACGAGCTGCCCGGGCATATCCGTACCATTCAAAGCTACATGCCGACGCGCACGCGGTCCGGGAGCATAAATTACCGCCACGGCGGCACCCAGCATGTGCGCGAGAAATAAATTACCGACCGCAAAATGCAGCAGCAACAGGCCTTCTTCACCAGATCGGCGGAAGTGGTGGATGCGGCGCTGAAACTGCACACCCTCTGCAACAGAGAGATAGCGCGCGTTGGTATCTGTGGGGTTTGAACCCACGCAGACTGTAACGTCTAGCGGATCTTAAGTCCGCCCCCTTAGACCACTCGGGCAAGATACCAGCCCAAACCGACATAAACGCTCCCACCCGGACGCGCCCCTTTTCTCGCGCCCCTAGCGCTATTCACAGCAACTGAGCACCTTCGCTGCTCCACACACACGTGCCTGCAGGCCATGCGCTACTACCAGCCTGTCTAGACCCGCTCTACACACTGGACGGCAGCCACCAAGACTACATGCCTTCTACACGAGCTGCCCGGGCATATCCGTACCATTCAAAGCTACATGCCGACGCGCACGCGGTCCGGAAGCATAAATTACCACCACGGCGGCACCCAGCATGTGCGCGAGAAATAAATTACCGACCGCAAAATGCAGCAGCAACAGGCCTTCTCCACCAGATCGGCGGAAGTGGTGGATGCGGCGCTGAAACTGCACACCCTCTGCAACAGAGAGATAGCGCGCGCGTTGGTATCTGTGGGGTTTGAACCCACGCAGACTGTAACGTCTAGCGGATCTTAAGTCCGCCCCCTTAGACCACTCGGGCAAGATACCAGCCCAAACCGACATAAACGCTCCCACCCGGACGCGCCCCTTTTCTCGCGCCCCTAGCGCTATTCACAGCAACTGAGCACCTTCGCTGCTCCACACACACGTGCCTGCAGGCCATGCGCTACTACCAGCCTGTCTAGACCCGCTCTACACACTGGACGGCAGCCACCAAGACTACATGCCTTCTACACGAGCTGCCCGGGCATATCCGTACCATTCAAAGCTACATGCCGACGCGCACGCGGTCCGGGAGCATAAATTACCGCCACGGCGGCACCCAGCATGTGCGCGAGAAATAAATTACCGACCGCAAAATGCAGCAGCAACAGGCCTTCTCCACCAGATCGGCGGAAGTGGTGGATGCGGCGCTGAAACTGCACACCCTCTGCAACAGAGAGATAGCGCGAGCGTTGGTATCTGTGGTAGGGTGGATAAAGCCGCTTCTTCGGGGGTTAGGAAGGTAAATGAGCTCCATAGAGTCAGTAGGAATGGATGATAGGACCCAAAGGAAGATAGACTTCGAGATAGGGACGAACTTAAGCATAAATCAGAACCGAATTTGCCTTGTGCAAAGCAAGCGCTTCCTCCCTCGCCTGGAAACGGGAACGACATTGGCCCTGCACGGTGTAGAGAGGTTAGCGGTAGAAGATCTAGTGTTGGTTTTAGGACTGGAGTATTACATTGGCCAGATCCAAAACCTTCTTCGTGAACTACTGTCAAGTGCAGATCCAAGATCCACCGGCGTTATCTGTTTAGCCGGTGCATCCCTCGCTTCTCAACTGTCAACGACACCGTCATTGGAGGAGGCAAACACGACCTGTGAAGGCAACGTAAATGACAACGCACCGAAAGGCAACATCCCGGCCGGATCCAGACAGACCGCCAGATCCAAGACTACTGGATTTGGAGTACTACCGCGAGCAGAGTGAAGATTTCCGCGCTGCTCTATCCACATCCCCGCCCAGACTGTTCTCTCTTCAAGGCTCGGACGCTGCGGAAGATACCACAGGAGCAAGATCCAGCCCTACCGACGGGTACACAAGGTGCCCAGTTCAGTACACAGATCACGGATAGTGATGGTATCCAACCAAGGGCGTTGAAAACGTACCATACATTTATTAAGTTAATTTATGTTTTCAAACCGAACCGGAAGGTTGAAAACCTAATCACCCAGCAGTTGACCTCCTCAACAGTAGACCTGTCCTAAATAGAAGCCCCATTCAGCGCGGCCTCAATTGCCAGAGGGAGACTCCAGCTCATCCCAGCGAAGAACTCGGCTTCGAAGCGATCTCCGCACTTGCGCCTTACCAGCTCGACCACAGGACAGGCTACCAGCTCGACCACAGCTCAAGCTTGATGTCACAGCCCGGGGATCCTCGGACGTCTCGAGGCCAGTCTCCGCTTCCAGCCCCCCCCCCCAACAATCTGCATCGCCATCGTTTCCAGCGCAATGGGGATCGCCTGCTGCACTGGGGTGGCAGCACCGTGTCTCTGAGTCACCGGTGCTCCACGAGGAGAAGTCAGAGGAGCATCCGTCGTCTCAAGCTTCCGTGACCGAATCGACTCAGCCACGTCACCATTCGACACCGTCGCCAGCTCGATCATCGCAGCGCTCTCCTTCCCGTTGTTCAGGCCGCCCAGACCACCCCGTATGGGCAGACTTCGAGAAGAAGCCGAAAGCGAACGGCAAATGTCAGACACTGTCAACAGCGAATCAACACCGCTCAACCTGGTCGCTTCATGGTGCCCCATCTCGTTAACTGCAAGGGCACCACCTTTGGTTCGTCAGCAATGGAGTGAATATTTGCGCGCGGAGGCGCAGCGGAAGCAGCAACGAGTCCAAACCGCTCCGATTGAGGTCAATGCTGGTTGCCCACCTGCTAACACGACGAATGCCAGCTCGACTAGCGCTGCGTCTAGCACCCCTGGGCACCGATCAATGACGCAGGAAGAATTCGTTTCGCGCTTCTGCAGATGATTTTTGGGTGTGCGTTGTCCTTTGTTCTCGTCGAGTCACCATTTTTCGCCAGTTCGTTGGGCTTTAGCGCCTGGAGTTCGACTACCATCGCGGCACAAGTTGGCAGGCCCAATTTTAAACAGCATGCGCGAGAAATGCAGACAATATGTTGTGGCGCGGATTAAACAACAGACCGTGGTGTCGATTGTTACCGATGGGTGGAGCGATACGAATAATGCCAGCATCATCAACTTCATGATTGTTGCCCCGGGTATGCCTGCGTTGTTTTGGTCGTCCCTGCCGACTGGAACAGATAAGCACGCGGGTACATACATGGCAAAGGAGTTGGAGCGCGTGATCAACGAAGTGCAGACCGAGACTGGCGCTGTTGTTGCTAGCGTGATGACAGACAACGCCAGCAACTTGGTGAACGCGTGGGGACGCTTGAAAAGCAAGTTATCAATATTTGCCGGAGGATGCGCTGCTCATACCATCAACCTCCTCATTCAAGACGTGTTTAAACTAGCGTTCTTCAAGGAAGTCCGTGAGAAGTGTGTGGCTATCACCAGATTTGTTCGCGATCATCATGCACTGCTGGATGAGTTTCGCGTTGCATATTTCTATTTTTAAACGGGGGTTTTCAACCTTGCGGGTAATCAACTAAGATTTGAAAACGTTGTCGACGGTTGTTTTCCACCGCTAATCACGGATCATCGGGGGACCCCCTCCGTTATTCGGTGCTCGGGCGCAGTTGGGAAGTTGGATTGGCAATCTCGCAGATTTTGCTGATTCCGCTGCACCACACACAAAGACTCTAAAAAGTGGCTCTATATGTATTGCACACAATATATTACCCCCCCCCCTCCGCTCTTAGAAGTAGTATATGGCAACATGCGCTACCCTGCCCCGTTTTATCGCTTGTTGTATATACAACATGTTAAAGACATTGAAATACACGCGGTTAGGCTTTAGGTTTGCGCAGAAGGAGCAAAATATTTCATGGACAGGGCACTACGTCCCAGAAGAGACAAACATAATTGAAATCGCTGGCGATTGCTAATGCCCGATCCGATCATTTATTAGCGCCGTAAGACGGCTTCGCTGCGAGGCTTGTCACGACTATAATTTATCCCAGCACAGTCGTGGGAAGCCTCGCTGTAACGGGGTTACACGAGAGGTACCCGAAGGGTTACGAAGTGGGTATACACTGTATAACCTAAATCAATAGGAGAATCAGTACATGGCTTCAGAGCCACTGATTGTGCATATGACTAGGGTTCACTATGCTAGCATAGTGAACCGGATAGGCGGCTTTGCCGCAATAAAGGGAACTACATTCAGTTTGAGATTCACACCGTTAAGAGTTAAGGGTTGACTCTTGGAGTCCGTAAGGTGTACGGACTCGTACGTTCTGGTATTAGAACCGGCTATCTTAAGCTGAGACTCTGTGAGTCTGTTACGTCTTCCTCTGACGCTAAAGCTACGGCAGCCCCGCTGCACTCGCAGTGAAGACGTAAGTCACAGTTACGCGACTGGAGGTCCGGATTGCCCAAGTGTGGCAACTAGCTCAACGTACGTCGCACTACGAGCGACACCAGCTAAAGCAATTCAAAAGAGGAGGTTAGCCAAAAACAATATATGTTGCGTAACGAAGGATTGCATGATAGAATTGTATCTTGCATCATTAAATTTTGTTGGCAATCAATAATGATCCTAGCATAGTTGTGTGGCATAGTGCCCCCGGGATTTCCTGAATTCGACCTGGGACCAAAATTGGCAAATCTCGGTACACCCCGAGCAGACATCCATGCGGTTCCGGCACTAAAGTGTGCACCTACGGTACTGTCCCGGAAGCCGGAGCGCAGCGACAGCATGGCCCTGACATAGTGAAACTAGTATGTAGCAGATCCCGAAATACCCATATGCTTAAGCAGGCCCGGTGGCCACCCGCCGGGCGGAGAAATAATTCAGTCTAACTTTTCCCCTCAAGTGCCCAAGTCGTCTTCTCGGCCAAGAACAACAAGGACAAAGGTCGCGGTCTCTGGACCTGCGTTTGTAGACTCGCTCCAGGTAAAACTCTCTCTATCACATTTGTCAGAGTTTCCCCCGCGATCCCAGGCATTCCATATCTGTTCCCCGGAGTGCGGTCTAGCCGGCACGGGTAGAAACACCCCATATCTCTCGGGTCTCGCCCCGAAAACTACTTGCGGCCGTCGCCGAGGGAGTCTTGCTCCGAAAGACTCAGTGTATATTCAGTTGCGAATCCATCCCGCCCCGGGAACCAGGTAGCGTCCCCGGGCGATTGTTTGTATAGCTATCAACTCAGCGTACTCATAAGGTCGGGACTTCCAGGAGATCCTCAGTGATTGACCTTCCCTCTGATCTAAACAACCGATTCGAAGGGGGTACACAAGGTGAGGTTACTGACCGAGCCTCAGGACCCCTTGGTTTCCCATAGCGAGTAAAGGCCCCGGGAACTCACGGCCCCGGATAAATCCCTCGCCCGGACGGGCCGTCTATCTACTAGGAGATCGCTCTCTCTCTAGTTCCCTAGATTCTCTGTCTAGGACGCAACCCGGGAACGGGGGGGAGGGGGGAGCTCAAGGCGCTATATCACAGTTGGGCGAATATGTTTGCCCTTGGGCAGGTCCAAATAAAAAGGACAAAACCATATCCCGTATATACATCTTGTTGCAATTACAGGACTGATCGACGGTGTATCTAACTACCACTCCGTCTCAAAACCAATGGCAGGTTTAGTCTTCACTCGCCCTGTATGTGGTGGTGAAGGTGTAGCAAATGTGCTTATGAGCGCTGTGGATAATTGCCGCGGTTTAGCAGCCGCCGCCGTTTGAATGGACGCGACGGGTTGAGTTCTGGGAGCCTGCTTGACGTGCGTACACCATTGGAATCAGCGTCGCCGGACGCGTACATTTCTACCACTAATAACTAAAGCTTTTTGACCAGAGCCCCAACTGCCTCCACCCGCCCACCACGCCAAGGCCCACGATGGCGACCACGACCGGCACGACCAGCACAGCCACCACGATCTGCACGACCCGCACGACGGCCACAACCAGCGCGCCGGCCATAACCAGCACGAAGGCCACGACCAACATGCCCACGGCCACTGCCCCTCGCAAGAAGAACCTGACGGAGCAGCAGCGCCACCAAATACTGTGGCTCCTGGCTCGGGACTCCACCGGAGGCAACTCTCGCCACGGAGCCATAGGTGCTGCCGCCGACCAGTTCGAGGTACAGCCCCGTACGGTGTCACGGATCTGGCAGCGTGCTGTGGCATCCGCTGCGGCTACTGGTGTTTTACAGGTGCCATCTCGTAAGTGCGCCACTGGGCGTAAGAAGAAGGACTATGGTGCTGCGCTCGAGCGGCTCCGTGAGGCCGCCCCTGAAATGAGGTCTACTGTACGTTCTGCTGCGCCAGTCGCTGGGGTACCATCCGCTACGCTGCACCATCGGGTTCGTGACGACAGCCTCCTCCGGGTGGCTACGAGCGTATCTAGGCCGCTGCTGACTGACAGGAACAAGCTGTAGCGACTTCAGTTCAGCTGCGCCCACGTCGACCCAGCGACGTTGCGGTTCAACGGCATGTTTGACAAGATTCATGCGGATGAAAAGCTTTTTTTTACCTTACGAAGGTGAAGAAGCGTTTCATCGCACTACCTGGTGAGCCAGTACTAGCGTTTAGGCTTCGCAGCCGATACCGCATCGTAAAAGTGATGGTGCAGGCAGCGGTTGTACGCCCACGGTGGGATGCCCAGCGTTGCCAGTACTTCGATGGCAAGCTGGGCATTTGGCCCTTCGTCGAGTTCCTTCCTACTGCCCGTTCAAGTCGCAACCGCCCAGCTGGAACGCTGGTTCCGCACGATGTACCTGTCAACAATCAGAGCTACCGGTCAATGCTCATTCAGCAGATCCTGCCTGCGATTGCGTCTCGATGGCCGGGCCAGCTCGGTGAGTCGCGTGTGGTGGTCCAGCAGAACAACGCGCCACCCCATGTTCCCGTCGACAATGCCGAGCTCCAGGAAGCAACCCAGGCGGCTGGCATCAACTCGGCTCTGCAATTTCAGCCGCCCAACTCGCCCGACATGAATGCCCTGGACACGGGCATTTTTCACCCGATTCAGTCGCGCCAGCAGAAGAAAGTGCGCACACTCCAGGAGCTGATCGTTGCCGTGAACGAAGCCTACTGGAAAGTTCCCCCCTCTACGATTGACAAGGCTTTTTTAAGCCTTCAGTCCATTATGGACCTGTGCATTCAGTACGGCAGTGACAACGACTTCCAACCCACTCACTTGTCGAAGACCAAGCTGATCCGTGAGCCTGCCTGTGAGATTGAAGTGCTTGCAGCGCGCTGCCGCGTTTGTGCAAGAAGAGCTGTTATCACGTCAGCAGGCCCATAGTGAAACCAACTATAGCTTCTGACTTCTGTTTTGAAACTCGAAAAAGAGTTGCACCTTCCATTTGTTTTGAGACGGAGTGGCACATACTGGTACATAGCATTGCACAAGGTGGGCAAGAGATTATCGCCGATCAGGCTGGTTCATAGAAATACATCGTACTTACTGCAGTCTATAAAAAATCTAAGATTAGCCCGGTCTTAACATGGTGTATTTAACAACGTGCTAAGAAGCTCGTAAGAGCGGGGGGGGGGATATATTTTGCGAGATGCATACATAAAGGGGGGATCGAACTTAAATAGTTATAGTACATAAATAGGGTGCCTACAGAGTTACCTTATTGCATAGGTCACGTCACAAAATTTTCCACCAGGGCGCGGCCCAGCGTCGTCAGCGGGTAGCGGGGGCGCGACGCAGACTATGAAAGCGGAAGACTACTCAACGAAGATCGTGCGCCTGAGATTGAAAGTCCTGCCAACAACCTTCCGAAAAAGGGAGATTCCGACGTCCAACAACCTGTATTCGGGACCCCCAACTAACAACTTCCCGAAATCGCGGAGCCTGACCGCCTATCGCTACGTGTCGAGGAGCCCGACCAAGATTCTTCTGACAACCCCGATATGGTCACCTCCCTATATGAACTGTTCTGTGGAGACGACGAGTTACCCCATGCTGTCATATACATTCTGGATTCTCCTGTAGCGGACAGAACTGACAGTGAGGTGATATCCTCTATTAGCAGTGATGGCGATGCTGTATTTGTTGTTGGAAGCATCTACTAAGTACGCCGTATGACTGTTGATATGCAGCGGCTGTATCTAATAATGGGTAGGTGGGAAAGACCGACCTGGAACCTGGCCCGTCACACCCCGATCGAGTTGATCAATGCGTTTGAAGACGCAGAGCTCAATTCGGCCTGGCCCGAATATATTTCGCTAGAAGAGGGACCTCAAGGACGTAGGGCGTTTAGATCTCTTCAGTAGGACATTAACTGCAATCAGCTTTAACTTTAATATATATCATGATAATTCTCTTGCTACTAACTTGTCTACTTACAGTCAATATACGTACAGCTAACAGTGAATTAGTGTCTAGTAAACTTTACTAACAGCAAAACGCCCCGCACTAAGCAGAACTAACTTCAGGGATACGTCAAACCAGGGTTGTAATCGCTCTTTAACTCTGAAATAAATACGTAGAATAATGGTATCGCGGCAATTTGTGAAGGAGGCCATTATCCGCTTTAACGGCGATGCCGCGCAGTATTGGAGCTTTGCAGCAGACGCAAGACCTACGTCAAGGCTACCAGAACTAGCAGCAGTGATTCTCTCTATTGCTGTAATTACAGCTACCTGCGAACAATACTTCAGTGAGCTCTAGTATTTGCACCGCGATCAAAAAACAGGATAGGATGAAAATTGACAAGACACACACATTTTCAATTGTGCGCAATGCCGCTTGAGGACCCGACAAGGCTGAAGATGCAACGAAAGAGTACACGACACTCAAGCGCATTGTCGTCGCGGCAGAGCGAACACGCACCGAAAATTGCGACTCTGTTCCTGCTTTAACGTTGGTCGAGATAGAGGAAAGCCACGTACTTGAGCACCAGGACACGCCTAGCACAGAGACACCAGCGTAATGACAAGACGTCTTGATGTTATGGATTCAGACGTAGTCGCAAGAAGAACTGATCCTGCCAACGAAGAATCCAAGACGGATGGGGATCCGCTGACACATCACAAGGAGGTCGAACAAAGCGTCTACAACGGATATGAAGAGGATACCCCAGAGCCCGATACAACATAATTTTTGTGACAATCGGGGTTCTTCTTGCACAAACTGAATAGCTACTTCTTCGAGTTCCAGGACTTCTGGAAGTAACGACAAAGAAAAGATACAAACGGTACTGTCGCTGTCGAACCTTTCTTTTGCGCGATTCTTTTCACACGAACATAGAAATGGGCGCGAATGTTCTCAAAACGAAGAAGCGCTGGGGGCTGAACGTGGCCATCTTGGCGAGGTGTGGGCTGAGCAGCCTTCTGGCACGATCGCTTGCATCTTGAAGGTGCGCAATCGAGAACACGTAGAGCATATATCTTCGGGTTTGCGGTGTATAGCCAGCTGCGTCAGGTTTGTATTCGACGAGCCTCCACATCGGAACGGTGTGTTGCAGCTGGTCGATGAGCGGGTTTGATGTCTGCGGTGAGGGAGCAGGGTTGTGGCTAATCCCCTCGACTAAAAGTTACAGGTATGTCGAAGTAGGAAAGCCGGGGCTTGGTGGGCTTGGTACATTAGACTCAACCCCTTCTGAAAGCGGCCAAGCATTCTCCTGGTCACTCAGACTGTGCTTCCTCTGCACCACGAGGGCCCCCAACAACTGTGCTGCTGCTCTTACCGCGAGCTGGGACCCGCTCACCAGTATTGTCGATCGCCCACCTTCTGATCAGTTCTCTGTCGAAATGGCGCAAAAACATTAAGGGTTAGCAAAAGAGGAGATAACGGAAGAGATAGGAGTATGCGCGACATCGTACTGCTTTTCGCTCGACTGCCTCTTTCTGCCTATATGTCTCCCAAACATAGGGGTAGACCCAGAACCAAAATCGGAGGGGGCCGGGCCAAAACCGGGGGGGGGGGGGGTAAGTCCATTCGGTGGCTCGAAAAAAGGGGATTAAGGCGATCTAGCAGCTCAGAAATAGAAATGGGCGGGGGGTAAGTGTGATAGCTTCCCAAAATCTACGGGGGTGGGGGCTACTTTGTATGTGGGTCCGCCCCTGCCCTAACACAATGGATATCGCCTACAACTTTGCTTCATTCATTAGTGAGAACAGGAGGACAGAGACTCGCTATTCTCACTATTCTTTCCACAGTGGTCGAACAATCTCCAAGATTTGGTAGTCTCGATACACCTCCTATGGGGAATCACTTGATACTGACTTGATAGCTACCCATGAGCCCGATTTAACCGTCCTATACTATGAAGTCCACACACAAGCGTTTTGATCTTTCCTTGGATCGTCGTGAGTTGGGGTACCAATTTGTAGTTGTCTCTGGTCCAGGTGGTCTGATTTCGGCCCGAGACCGAAATTCATCTCTGCTCTCAACGTAGACTTCCCTAAAGATCGACACGAAACTTAGTTGACGAAGCTCCTTTTATAGCTAAGGGGCACGTCCGATCCGATACTTCCAGCTGAATCTTGCAAAAACCGCTTCGTTCCAGAACGCCACTAGCAGCTCTCACTTCCAAATTATTGGCGGTTTTTGCTTGTGCAAACTATCAGAAAGAAGTCCCCCATCAGTTTGCTTCCTTCAAGTCACCTAGCTTGATTTTTCGCTGTGGCGATTGGATTGCGCCCCGGGCTCTAGTTTCGGAAGTTAGATATAACCCCGGACAGCCCGTGTAGGATGCATGTAACCTTGCGGCTTCCGCCCATAGGCTAATCGGCTGTTCTTGATCACGGATAAATGATGTCTTATTGACGGGATCGTCCCCACGCTGCGTGCTATTCTTCATTAACCTGTTCGTTAGGAACAAGAAGATTTCGACTGCGCTTCCAAGTCTGTGGGAACTCTCCACTACATGAGACGGCTACGTTGAGACTGTTGTCAGACGGAATGAAGCGGGCGACCAGGACGACTGGTTCGCAGTTTTCAACGTTCGCTTCAGCGACTTCCGGATGAAACCCTTGCTCGATGTGAAGTGGAGGCTTCATGAGCTTTGCGCTGAGCGAGAGGTCGGGCGTCCCCTGCCTAAGAAGGATTGTCTATTTAGTATGGTAACTCCCCAAGGGTGGCGAAGGAAATCTAAAACTCCCCGAGGCTCACGGAAGAATACCAATTGCTATTACAGACGCCTTCGGTCGAACAAGCGCCCCCGTAAGTAGTGCTATCTGAATCAATAAACGTAATTGAACTTATACAAACAGGGCTTCTCTCATATTATTTCAAAAATAAAAAACCGACCGTGTCTGGAGTGATAGCAAAACCTTTCAAACGCTAATGGTTTGTGTAGCCTAAAATTCCACATACCGATCTATAATCGCTCCTACTCATCCGAGCGCAAGTTCGCTGTAGTCGGGCTAGTTGTTTTGGTGCTTGTCAGGCTGGATGGTTGGAATCTTGCATTTGTAGTGCAGCAAATGTGCTAAGCGATTACATTTCGTTAGGTTCTGGGTGAGCAAGGCTGCAACCTTCCTATGCTCGACCTCCGATGGAATCGCTTGAAGTAGACGTTTGGTAAGGGTCAGAGAAATGACACTTACGACTGTACGACGGTGCTTGCGTTGGTGCTGTAGATACTCCTGCTGTCCGTATCATCCTACTACGGGCTGTTCACTGCCCAGTTAGTTTCGAGATGCGAGTGTACATTCTCGTGACGTTTCGAGTAATGTTGAGCTTTGTCGAAAGCTGGGCTCAGTGCCTGAACCGTGTAGATACGGCTGGTAGGCGCGGTGGCTGTTGTTTCGTGGTGCTGCCGAACGTCCACTAAACTTGGAAGGCTATGCTTGCCGGCATCTATTGTATAGGAGTTAATGGCGCAACACCCCATGTTTGTAGCGAGTTGATGCAGTACCTAATATCTGTACCAAGCTGCGCTGGCTACTTTACTCTGTTGCTGTACTGAATTGACCCTGACTGCTATTCTCGGCGTCTGCACCGTGGTTTCTGACCGCTATACCCAATATAGATGACGTTGGCGAACACCACAATAATTTCTCACGTATCTCCACTTCACAGCTGTCTCAAGGACAATAATATTTGTAATGGTTGCAGTAGCCTCTTGGCGCAGCTTCACGACTTCAGACCCACGGTTAGTGCAACCTTCGGGAAAAGAAAAAAAACAAATTATTTCCCCTGTAATAGCGGTGATATTTTTTCCAGCAAGTTTATGTCGTCTCCGGGCATATGCACGGGGACTCAGCTTGTGCATTAACAACTCGACACAAGCAGATATCATGCTTTCAGCAGTTGTTTGTCCCTTCGATCGGGTAACGCCCCAGCGACACACGATACAGCGGTGCTTCTTACGATTTTGTTTCTCTTAGCTGGTGCAACCGGTCCACGCCCTGTACGCTGTTGTTGTATCGTGGTACACAAATTGGGGCTGGAAATCCAACATCCTTATTGCCAACAATACCCGTTACAGATGACACAGCAGACGCATCAGCATTCGAGACCATGCTGACAATGTTTCCGTCGCACCGCGAAAATGCAACCATCTTGTGTTCAACTGAAACAGCCTGCCAAAACTCTCTGCGCACACAACTATCGTCGGTTGCGTATGTCCAGGCAAATGTTTGCTGTTGGCGCGAATTATTCATCGGTCGTACAGGCCTTTCCGACAAAGTTCTTGCAAGAACTGTACAGATATGTAATAGGTATCCATATTGACGACGCGGTTACATCCAAAAAGAGGGAAAAAACTTCCAGTACAAATTGCCTAATCTTAGACACTCTTTCAAGCTTTTGTACCAATCATTGTGCTTCTTGTGCGCTTATCACTCCGCCGAAGCGGTCCGCAATACTGCTTTTATTGCAATGCAGTCGAAAGTCGAGGGCGATCCACGTATACGAACAGCAAACAACGTAAAGGCGGAAGTGGTATTTCTCAGTTGGCTTCATGGGGTAAAATACAACAAGATGCCGTCCGTTATGAGAGCGACATGACACGCTTGCTCCATCCTGCGCTACATCACGTCCAACGACTACGTTCTTACTGACCGCCACTTTGCGCATATTCAGTAGTGGGCAAATTCACGCTGCCGCATCAATGTCCAAAGTCATAAGAGTAGCGTTAAAATTCAGACATCGTCGCAGCAGTTTGAATTTGTTGAGACTCATAATGCCATTTAACACTGTCGTACTTCGACCGAATATCAAGTCTTACGCCTGGGGTCCCCAGCCATTCGAGTATTCACCTTTGTCATCTAGCGCCATGAAAAGAAGTATGCTGAGAAAAGAGATACCATCAGCCCCCGCAGTGTAAACGACCGCGTAATTTCAATGCCTTTTACAACGGCATCTTCGTTCGTCTGGTACAATCCTTGACGCCAAAAATACAATGGTAGATCGGCGAAAAAGGCGGAGCTAGCCGAATGCTCGAATAAATGCCTAAATTCTGGGAGCACGAAGGTTGTAGTGGATCTGTCATGGTGATCGAAGAGATTTTGTGGACCGTCGATCTGCGACTTAGGATCGAAACGCATTTTCCTGATTGCTTCTATATCGGCCTCGAACTCAAATTCCTCGCAAATTCCTCTAGTTTCCGAATTTAAAGCATCGTCGACGTCAAGCTCATCGACTCAATCCGGCTGGACCAACCAATTCCACGGTGGGTTGTGCTCTAGTTGCATTAAGGCTCGATAATTGTCGATTCCGCTCTGAATTACCTCCCCCCCCCCAGTTGCTCGACGGCCGACTGAAATTTTGAGTCCGACCACCCGACTTGATTCAGTGCCGCGAACCCCACTTTCTTCGGCCGACCGCACAGGCGACCAATTGTATAAGCAGATCCAATCGTCTTGTACACCATAGCTTTCAGCCAAACTTCCTTTTCAGGTGCAAACACTACAGCGGGTGGAAAAAGTCAGCATCCACCCAAAAAACGAGACACTATATTGATCAATATGAAAAACGTCGCTAATACTTAGTGTGGCCACCTCTTCGTCGACGCACTTGTTCTAGGCGCTTGGGCATCGACCAAACACGCTTTCGGACCACATAATCGTCAATACTTGTCCAAATCTCTAATAGCCTGGTCTTGAGCTTGTCGATAGTCATCACTGGATTTCAGTAAAGCTCTTGCTCCATAATGAACCACATGAACCACAAGTTCTCTATAGGGTTCAAGTCTGGACTTTGCGGCCGATGTCCCAGATAAATCAACTTGAGGTCGCGCAAACACCTTGCAGTCAGCTTTGCCGCGTGGGCGGGCGCATTGCCATGAACAAACAGAGTTTTCCCGAAAGTCCCAAGGACAGCTTTGTATATGGAATCTTCGTTTTCAGTAGCAGTCGGTAGTACACCCCATTTACGGACTGATCGCAAAAATACATTTTGCCAACTCCATTTGCCGTTATTGAACTCCAAACCATTAGCTTGAACGTAGGCAGCACACATCGCGAAGAAAACGCCTCATGTGCACGGCGCCAGACCGCCACACGACCCTATGTTCCGTGTAATTCAACACCCGCTTCGTCACTGAACAGCTCCAAAACCCTTCCGTCATTCTGCCAAACTTCTTAGCAGATAAGTAGCGTCGTCGGCGGTGCTTGATGCTGAGAAAAGGCTTTTACGTGCTGGCCTTCCGTGAAAACCAGCATCATGGATGCGGTCTCGGATCAGATGGCGTGAGACTGGCACCCCAACTTCCTTCGAAACTTGAGCAGCCAACGCAGCGGCGCTGATGAAGCGATCATCCTCGACAGCACGCAAAATCCGGCGGTCATGGCAAGGAGTAGTTAACCGTGGACGTCCCGAGCGAGGCGGTATCTTGACATAACCGTGTTTCTTGTACTGGGAAACGATTGACTGAACGCTGAGGCGAGGAATTAGGAGATGCCGGCCTATTTTACGCTGGCTGAGGCCGGCTTTCCACTTTACGATAACACGGAGGCGCAGATCGTCGGAGTATTGTTGTCGGGATATCTTTGGGGGCATTTGTCTTGTGGCTAAACGATTCAAAACTGAGCCGCAGTTGGCACACAAGCACACCGCTCCTCTTACTGCTGATCACCAGCTTGTTTCTGGCCTGTGATAGGTAGTTAAAGCGACAATACATCGTGATTCGCGGAATGCTGGATTGGCCTATCAACTTTCTCAAAGCAAGTCCCGAGGAGAAACAATAGCTTGGGCAAGTTTGCAGGAGACATGTCGGAGTTGCCGAGCACTTGATATTGAAGTTGATCTGTACAAAACCGTGGGTAGATGCTGACTTTTTCCACCCGCTGCACCAACTGACCGAGATACAGGCCAGATATATATTTCAGACGGCCTCCTATCGACCCTCTTTTCTTAGTGCGCTGAAGCCAAACTGTCACACTTTGTGCTAAGTTTTGTATACCAGGATCAAAATGGGATGTGCTATGTACCTATTATAGAGGCCCCTGTGTGTGCTACATGTACTTGCTGTGTACCACATGTGTTTGCTGGGCACATTCGGGTACGGTGTACCGTTGTTAAAATTTAATCCTCTCAAATTACATGTAGTACTGTATTATGATCTGAACATGTGTATCGACGACAGTCGCTGAACCTTCCTCATAATGCAAATCAGACATTTAGTTGGAGGCAGCACTATACTTACGTAGTGGAGTATGGATATCTGAGGTAAATGCTGTAGAAAATTTAGGAGTGTGGTAGTGGGCGCACCAGCGTCTGTACAGCTGCCCACCTTTTTCAGCTCGGCAGCTCAACTACATCTAAGCGAAGGTATGCATTACGCTCTGTTTCACAGCAAAAATTGACTTAGTTGATGCGGTTGATATATTATTGTCAGTAAATCACGACAAGATACTGATGTATTTGCCACGAGGGGGTGGGAATAATATTATCAGATTCTTAGTACCCAATAATTCAGTTATAGGTGGCTTGAATTGTCTATATTTAACAAGCCAAACTATGGTATACCGACGTGCGCTCTTTGTCCGTTAACACTGTGGGTGACATTAGTCACCTAAATTATATTCGAACAAGACCAGCGATGCTGCAGAAGTTTTGGTTAGAGGTAAGCCGATGCCATAAAACTGTGGCTACTATTGAGATCATATACTAAATGCTTATGACTCACTTTAAGCTTCTTTTTGGGATCATTCTGATCCAGAACGAAGTGTAATATGATGTCCAATATTTTATTAGTGGGATGGTTTCTGAAGCATACACAGCCCATGTGAGAATTCAATGTGCCTATCGATATATGCAAACCGTAAAGCTGCTGTTCGGCTGTCTCAGCACAGTAGCAGTTTGGGGTGGCAAGAGGCCTGCTGCATTGCCAATACAGCAGCTTCCCTCGCTACAGTCTGAAGGTATGATAGCTATCTCCATCAGAGTACCAACATTTTCGTGACTTACTCTTAAATTATACGCAGCGGAATGCGGGTCTGTAAGACCTGATAATTTAGTTTTAGCTGAGTTGCTCGGCACTGGATTCGCCATCGCACTTGGTCGCCCGTGCGGGTAGCCCACCGGGTTCGCTGCAGCGACGCGACATCTCAATCGCTACTGTCTATAGCGCTTTGTTGAGCTGACGTTTTTAGGCTACAAAATTATGGAGGTGTTTGCTAGGTTTACAACAGTTCATATCGCAAAGTGATCTGACTCTTTCTTTCATTTTTAGAACTCTGCACGGAAAATACATGTATACTCAGCTTTGTAAGCGAGTCGCGTAATCTGCAACTGCAAACAATGCGTCAGCCAAATAAGTTAAATGCCCAGCGATGGCGCAGTCGTCGGCAAGAGAAAGTTCTCGGGGGGGGGGGCACTTCCTAATTGAGCGCTTGGTTTGGAGCAACGTGCGATTTTCGAATTGCCGCGCCTATTCGACGATGCATTTCAGTACCGCATTTGCCTCGGTTCGTTTGCGATAAGGTTACCGAAATGTAAAATAAGCATAATCTACATTGTAGATCAACGTGAAATCGTCGGCGACTAAGAGTTTGTTGTAATTGGGAATTACGTAGTTATAGACTTAATTATCGGAAGTGGACGGGGGCCGCCGTCACTTTAATGTCTCTACCTTGTCTCTGCCCCCGTCCCTCAGATATCTTAATTATCTGAAGTGGTTACTTCCGGATAACAGACGATATCAGTACCCATCCACTCGGGACCTCGTCCACTCGGCATTTTGCAACGCGGTGGACAGCAAGCAACAGAGGCGACCCCAGTCGTCGCTGCGCGCCGCGCATGCACGCGAAGCTGCACGAGAGACGCCAGGCCGCCACTGTGCTGCTACACAGGGTGGAGACGGCGCTGAAGGCGGCGGGAGCGCGTGAGGAGCAGCACGAGAGGCGCCAGGGGCGTGAGAAGGTCGCTTACTAGAAGACAATGCTACGTGAGCTATGGGCAGCCGGACGAGATTGCCCAGGGCGCGAAGAGCGTGCCGCCCCTAGCAATCGAAAGGTATGTGACGTGTGTGAACACCGCTTGAAGGAGGTGATGACCCCGTAGATGGTGGGAAGGCGGAATGAACTGTTTAAACGACGTGGAGTGCGAGGTAATGCTAACACAGAGGAAACGCTTACACAGTGTTGCTATATATGTGCAGATAGCTCTGCTGGATGCGAGTACGCGCCACAGAGAGCGCTGTCAACCGCGATGCGTGCGATGACAAGCCGCGTACTGCGCGGACAGGTGAAGATGTTGCAGCCGGCGAGCTTGTGGTCTAGAAGTGCATGATGCTTGAGGCGCTGCCTTGCTGGTCATCAAAATATAATGGTACGAAAAAGGAGGTTGTAAAAGACAAATAGTAGAGCTGGCAGTATACTAACAAATCGACTGTTATTCTGACTAAAGATATTTGTTTAACCTGTCGCTCAATGCATTGAGGGTAAGTTGTGCTTGAGTGCGGTGTGCTTCCAGCACAAACACGGCTTCGTCGTGACTAATATTCTGCTGTTGTGCAATAACAGAGACTCGGTCGATGATGCGCTTACGGCGAAAGAAGGACCGCTTTTCTGCTGGTGTATTTCGCCAAGCCGAGCCGTGCAGCTCTTCCAATCCCCGTACCGCTGGACCGCCATGGATTCCAAGCGTCCACTCTTGCCAGACTTGCGTCACTGTCTTTAAAGCGCGCACCATTTTTTAAGTAGCCGGATGTGCGGAAATATGATCGCCTGGCGCCGCCACAACAGGATCCGACGCGCCAGCGCCTCCCCAGTTGACTGTCAATCGAACGGCAGCAGCTCCCGATGTAAGTTGTGTAAATGCACCCTCCAAATTTCGAACTGCAGTCCCAACCTCGCTAATCTTGCCGTCAATATATGCTAAGGCTTGCTGCTGCTGTTGCTTTAGATGGTCCATGAGTTCAGGAACTACTTCGTTTAAATGCATTACGTTTGGCGATTTCTCCACGAGCATTTTCTCTTTCAGATCAGCAGCAAATGCATTGAACCTGCTGGAGTTAAACAAAGGGTGTTACCATAACGTGTCTGCGGGATGCACGGCATCTTGGAGAACGACAGTGCGCAGGTAAATGAGCAGCTTCAAGAAGTCACCAGTTGCAACATGTGTAGATTTTTGCTTCATGTACGCTTCCATGTATTTTTCTACGAAAGGAAACAGCTCGAGCTGAAGACTTTCAGGCGGCACGACAGCAGCACGCTCCAAGAAAAAAGATCGTCGGTCTGGTGAGAACCCTGAACGCGAGCGCATGGCATCCCGCGGTAACGCAGCCAGGTAACATCCCAGCATTCCACCGCCCTAACCTTCGTATTTGTGATTCTGCTGCTCCAGCTAGTTCGGCCATTCTGGGCCCGGACCAACGAGCGGCATGCGTCTTTGCCTTGGAGTGCATGCCGAGAGCAGTGAAAGCTTTCACAGTAGCGTCATAATGAGCGCGGTATGTCAATACAGTGGTGGAATTTTTGCCTGACTTGAGTACATTGATGTCGTACCTTTCTTTTGGCTCCAAAAATTCGGAACAGCTTCGTTCTGAACACCCCATCTGAAGAAGAGATACAATCCAAGAGCTCCAATCGGACACACTTCAACGTTGCGGAGCCGGATATATGACCCAAACTCACGCCGACCGTACTGATTGGTCTTGCCTTGTTCCAATATTATCACAAGAGCTCGGTAGTCCATGTAGCCTTCATGTTCTAGAATCACGCTGAAAAGATCGGGCAGCTCTAGATTACGTGCAGACTCCCCCATCAGCAAGCATGCATGACACAAGAAGTGGCTCATGCGGTTGCGTAAGTCACCTCCGGTGTTCAGATTCATGTAACCCCGAGAAATCGCAACCAGATCATCTGTAGTACAGTACCCAACTAGTAGAGACCCCACACCCCTATCGACGTATTCACGCTTGTTCTTCTCGTGTTTTTCGCGCTTTAGAGTAGACAGGAGAGCCTTGATGAGGCTGTTGCGAGGGTGAGGATGTGCGTTCGCGCCATGGCTGTGCTGATCGTTGTACAGGTCCGAAACTGCGTTTACATACATCTCCACAGTACCAACACCAATCTTACGCGTCGTATTTTTCACCCGAACTTCTCGATCAACTACTTCTTCTTGAAGAAATAGATGCAGCTTTGACGCCGTCACTGGGTAGCGAGTTGTTTCATGGAAACCCTTCCGATCGCACCATGCTTTGAACTCTCGCTGCTTTGGCGCGTACGCGCGTGTTGTATTTGCAGGTCTTGTCTCGCGACAGCGATCAAGTGTTGCATTTGCGCTCTCTTCGAGCTCCACTTGCAGACCGGGCGGCTCCATTGCACTCTTGTTGCTCAACGAATATTGTCGACTATTTTAAACTGCAAAAAAAGGAAATGCCGCTATCAGCGACGGCTGATCATCCGCCAGGGACGACGTCCTCGTAGCATAGTGCAGCCAAATACAGCGGCCCCTAGCTATAAGGAGATAACCACGCACTATTCTACACTGCGCGACACAATTTTCGGACACTCACATTCTGTCCATATCTCAGCTTCTAGAAAGAGTTACAGCTCGCTATTTATATATGCTGTACCTATCAGATCAATCTATAGCTGGCATGTGACACGGAGCTAGATTATTGAGCGCGTAGATAGGCAAGTATACAACTGAAACGATTTCGGGCCGCGACAAAGTTTTCGGACAATTTTTATGCAAGTGTCTGCCAAGGGTCGCCTCCAAGGATCTCCGGTAGAGCTGTTGTGGTTAAGCTAACTCCCCTTAACTAACCTCAACTCTGAAAGTGTAACTGTACCTCACCTCTACCTGCGCTAACCTGCGCCAATCTCCTTCTGTGTGGTACACCCAGTCCAATCGCCTACTCAAACTACTAGTATCGGGAACTGGTTTTTCGCCCAAGTCCAAGGCAAGAAAGCGATACTACCTACTGTAGCAGCCATGGCGTCGCTGGAGGCCCATATCAAGAAGCAAGTGGAGCTCTACTTCTCCGACAGCAACTTACGTCGCGACCGCTTCCTGCGCAAGGAGACCAAAAAGCGGGAGGGCGGCTGCGTGCCCTTCACCTTCAAGAAGCTGGCGGCGCTGACCGTGGATGGCGCCGTGCTGCAGGCCGCCATCGTCGACTCGGACGTCGTGGAGATCAACGAGACCAAGAACGCGCTGCGCCGCAGAACCCGCAGCCCGACCCAACATCGAGTACGCTACGAAGACAGTGTGTCACCATAGCGCAGATGACGAAGGTGATGACAATGAAGAGATCCACGACTCCGTGGGCTTCGGCGACGCCGTGGGCAAGATCCTGGGCCAGAACATGGCCGATGACGCGCAGCTCATCATGACCAACCGCACCACCGCGCGTATGCGTGAGATCCCGAGCGAGAAGAAGGAGAGCAAGACGGCGTGACTCAGCGCCGCCGAAAAGCGCCAGTGCGACCAGAAGGACATGACCGTGCCCGATCACACGACGGCCTTGCAGGACTGCAAGCTGCGCATGATCGCGAAGAAAATAGGTGCGCCCAAACACCCTCTTACTGAGAGAGGGTTTTATTTGCGGAGTTGCTGACCTTTGTGGGTGCTTTTATGGTTTATTATTCTTGCTAGTGGTGGCGCTGTCCAATCTCATTGAGAAGCATCAGCACCAGAGCGGCAATAAATGCGCCAAGAACGACAAGAAGGTGGAGGAGATACCCAAGGACAACTTCCTGGAGCCGCCCAAGGTCTCGCAGCAGAAGTCGACGGACAAGTCTGCTGCTTCTGCTGCTGCGAAGAAGAGCTCGACAGTTGGCTGCCATGCCTGCACTTCTTGCAATATGCATACATAGCATTGCTGTTATCAAACGCCTCATCCGAGAGATACCAGCAAGCGGGGTTGGGGACAAGCTGCACAAATTGCCATAAGACAGGGCGCCGCTGACGTCTCGTCGTAAAAAGCCTGAGAGGAGGGGATTCAAGTCGTGTATTGTGTTTCAAGACAACTCGCCAGCGCTTAGCGAGTTCTGAATTCGGGTCACGTTCCGGTGGCACTTGATTAGGATGCTGCAGTTGGCTGGTGGTAGGGCTTCGTTTGGATGCGCTGGCTGTCACTTCGGGGCGCGGGCTTGTCCGTGTTTTCTTTCGCTTGGTACTTGAGGATTTTTTGGCACTCGATCGATTTCCCCGAGGCCGCTTGCTGACGGAAGAGCTGGCAACTGACACGCTTGGAGTTGTCACGCTAGCGCGGGCTTGAGGTGAGGTGTAGGCACTGCGTATCTGATCGTCACTAGCGTTCAAGTCGAGCTCTGCAGAGCTTGCTTTTCTGCTTGAGTGCCGTCTTGACACAGACGGGGGATCTTGGGTTGGCCTTCTTAGAGCTGTGGCTGACACTGGAAGATGCTGCATTTGGAACAGTTGGCGGGACCCCGGGGTCCCCCATCCAAAATAATCGGTATCGGCAGTTATTTATTTTTATCAAGGGCAGCGTTGAAACCACCGAGGGTCTTACCATTTTCGCTTAAGCTTCGTAAGTAAATGGCACGACGCCGCGGAGGTGGCTCCCAGAGCCTGAGACCGATACGTAAAAGAAAAAAAGCCTCTGATCGGAAGACAGCAGCGTACAAGCGGGCCGTAGCCATCCTGGGAGAGGAGCGAGTTCAGCAGATCCGTCGGGACTGGGACTCATGGGACACAAGCTATGGCGGAAAAGAGTGGCAGCAGTCGGAAGGTGTCGTGCTTCAGCTTCTACAATTAGGACTCTCGGAACGTGTGATTAGAGCGATCATACCGGTCGGTGGAAGTCGCGTAGCAAGACTAAGGAAGGTGCTAGAGGTTGGAATTGAGTCGTTGCACACAAGGCGCGCAAAACTTACACCCTGGCACGCATTCACGGAGGACGATGTTGCTCGTTTCAAAGCGCATTGTGCTACGTGGATATTGGAGGATGGGTTTACGTGCGCCCACCGACACCCGCGGCAGTACTTCACTGAGCCCAAGCTGACGTGGAAGATTGTACACGCTCGCTATGTGGACGATATCGCCCGAATCAACCCAGATGCCCGCACACTAAGTTACTCCCACTTCATCCAGTACAAGCAGGACTACTTTCCTGGTGTCCGTCTAAAACGAACAGCGGAGGATATCTGTGACTGCTGCGTTCGCCTAGATATTTTGTTTCAGCAGCCCGATATTTCTGAGGAAGAGCGCGAGGTTGTACTACTGGAAAAGAGAACTCACCTTAACGAAGCAATCGCTCAGCGGCGATTCGTCCAACTTTGTCAAAGATTATACGGCTTTGCATGCGCCTCAGCAGATTTTATCTGATCAGGTTATCCCTCATACAATCGACGACGTTGCTGCTGACGACGAAACTGACCTGGCTGGTGATGCAGATGCGACCGCAGAGAGAGTCTACTGTCGTGTTCAAATTCAAGCAGAAGATTATGGAGGTGGTATTTCGATGCCGTACAATGCTCTTTGTCGCCCATCAGCAGATTACTTCAACAGCAACCTCATGATCCAGAATTTTGTAATTGCAGACATTACGAATGAGCAGAACAACGTGTACTTTTAAGAGTACCTGAACTACTATCCCGATGTACCTGAGACGATCATGAACGCAGCTTCACCTTCTAGCGCGGCGGTTAACAAATCTACGTCTAAAACCCCAACGAAGCGGAATCCTGGCCGGACTAAAAAGAAGAAGGCCGGCCTGAAATCTAACCAGCCATCTATCCTGCAGTTATTTAGCTCGTCAACGAAGTAGGCGAACGGAGAGAAGGAGACTTGCTTTTCCTTTAGCTAACACATACATTTTCCAATACATCTGATAATTTGATACCGGTATGTGATGAGAGCCAGGTGGGACCCCGGGGTCCCGCCATCCTTTTCATTTGTCTTGGCTGGAGTCGGAGGAAGCCGCGCCAACCTGGCAACCGGGTCCGGTGAGCGGAGCTCTTCCATGCTCCCACTTCACTTTCTTGAATCCCGCCGGGTGTCGAAGTGACCGCCGTTGACGGGATCAAGATTTTATAACTTGGTTTTTGTATGAGGATATGAAGAGGTTGGGTGGGAGGCTAAGGTAGGTTCGGAGGTCAGCAGAGGCTGTTAAGAAAAAGGTTGTTAACGGAGGTTAGGTTAACTCAGGCGACAGCTCTAATCTCCGGGACCTTGGCCTTCCTGGGGGGAATCCTCCCTCCCGAGGGAGCCCAGGAAGGAGCATGGCGGCTGCAGCGACGGCTTGCGCGTGACCATGGCCGACGACGGGAGTCGGCGCAGGAGCAGCTCGCGCGCGACGACGGCGATTACGCTCCAAGAGGGCGGCGACTCTATGGGTCGTTGCCACGGTGGTGGGAGGCCCAGCCTTCGACCACTCTTTCAAGCTCGCGGCAGGCGACCGCGGTTCAAGCACTCAAGCCACGCCTCCACGGAGGCATTTGGGCGGTGTCCCTCGGGATGCTGCCGTCATGCGATGTTGGAGCCTAGGCTCACGCATCCTTCAGCACGCGCCGGACGAACGCGATCAACGCTCAAGTCAAGTCTCCATGGGACAGCGGCCGACGGCCGCACAACAGGAGGTGCAGGGCCCCTGTCCTGTATCTGCCGACCTCGTGGGTGGCGAGTACGAACCACCTGACCTCGCTTGAGGTTGCGCTTTGCACTAATTTTCAGACTCACCCACCAGACTCTGGTCCAGAGAGCCCCCTCCCTAGTGACGCTTTGCACAGGTGAGGCCCCCGGTCTTTAGTAGTCGTTAGCGATCGTATTAGCTAAGTGACAATAATGATCATCAATTCAAAAACAAAAACAAACGGTTTGTACGGGGAGCGGTAAGTGCAAAATATGAATAGATTAAACGGATCAAAAGTGACTTCAGGTGTTGGTTTTTACTTAGAGCTGGAGCATCCCGTTATACAAGCCGTACGAGTACACGATCCAATCGTCGGCTCTAGTAACGGGGACCAACAAGATTGAGCTGTGGATTGCCACTGGCAATTTGGCAGCGGTTCGACCGACCCCACGATCCCCGCGTCAGCTCTGACAACAAGATTAAACTGACGCTCGTAAAAGGAAAAATTTTGCATGAAGAATCCGACTGTGTGAAGCGTTCAGCGACAGAGATATAGGCTTTTTGAAGGTCGACCATCGAAAAGGATTATATCCGTGGTACGTCAAGTCAAAAGGTGACCCCTCTTGACACCTAACTGGTACATTGTCCTGAAACCGATGTGACCCCGGTGCCGCACTGGGCCCTCCAAAAGGTTTATATGCGTGGGCAAGCTAAACTGGTAGAAAACCCATTACACCGGTACGGCCGCGGTGCCGCACTGGGCCCTCCAAAAGGTTTATATGCGTGGGCAGATTGAACCGGTATGAGTCAGTAACATATATCGAATAGTAGGAGTGAAGTAAAGTCAATGATTGAAGCGGACGAACTGCTGCAGAAGCATACAAAGGTAAACATTTTCATTTTCTACAATCTACAAACAGATCTCGAGCAAGGCTCGTTTTATCACTGTGTATAAGCACTATCTACAGTTTTGAGGTGAATTACCGGGCAGACGCTGCGGCTGCGAAGCAGGCGCAGGAGATGCCCGTGGTTCGTAAAAAAAAAACTCATAATAATAGAAAGCGATTATACCAAAAACCTCCTATCCCCGGAGCCCTAGTAATAATATAGTAGTCGAGATCTTGGGCTCGATGATACTAGTACTTTAGTATCCTTTTATCTTCCTCTAATATTACTATGGTAATTCAGAAGAAAATCGTGTTACTGTCAATCCCTGCCTGGCCACCGCCCTAGCCGAAACAGAACCTTAAACAACGGCAAAGCGACAACGTGATAGCGATGACTCTGTTCCAGGTGAACTTTGCCAAATATGACTAGACAGATCTACAATATACGGTAAGTCCATCGGGTCCTCATAAGAATAAAAGTAGCTTCTACATGCATATCCTAAAGAACACTATAAGTTATAGTCTATAATATAGTCTATAACTCAAATAGTTACCGTACCAATGTTGCGCCAAGCCCCAACAATGCTTACCCACGGACGCGAAGCAATCATAGAGCTGCTTCTCACTACACCCATAACCACTATTTTCACCACTATTTTTCCTTCATCACGAAAAAGATAGCGTAGAGCATGAAGTGTCGGATCATCGGCATCTAAGTGTCCTTCCCATTTCCAGATTTCACCACCAACAAACTCGGAATGCGCTCTGCGTGGGCAACTTCATCAGCAAACAGAAAGTAGCCAGGTAAACATTTTACCAGTCCTGCCGCAAATATACAAAGCGGAGTCTTGACTGTTCATGTCGTATGAAGCACGTTCCGTTTGTCAACCCAGCCTTCGAGCATCCTTATGCTGCTATTCCACGCGTAGTTTATCGTACGGTCATTTTTCGCGGCAAGACTACATGTAGTATTGATATTGTATCTTCTAAACGACGCACGATGCTGCATATATTGGCGATTTACTCTAGCATTCTAGCAATCTACGAGGAAGCCTTGGGCTCGGCAGCGAGGGCGCGCTCCAGGTCGGCGATGATGTCCGGCAGGCCCTCGATGCCGACCGAGAGGCGGATGAGGTTGTCGGAGATGCCGATCTCCTTGCGGACCTCAGGGGGCACAGAGGCGTGAGTCATAATGGCGGGTGACTCGGCCAGCGACTCGACGGCACCAAGACTCTCCGCGAGCGTGAAGATCTCGAGGTTCTCGAGGAAGGCGCGGGCCTTCTCGAGGCCGCCACGCACGTAGAAGGTGACCATGCCGCCGAAGCCCGACGCCTGCTTCTTGGCGATCTCGTGCTGCGGGTGCGACTTGAGACCCGGGTAGCACACTTTCTCGACGGCAGGGTGCGCCTCCAGATACTCGGCCACAGCCTGCGCGTTCTTGGCGTGGGTGGCCATGCGCACGTGCAGCGTCTTGAGACCTCGGAGCGCCATGTAGCAGTCGAACGGGGCGGGGACAGCGCCGATGCCGTTCTGGATGAAGCGCAGCTTGGTGTTGATGTCCTCCGAGTTGGTGATGACGACTCCGCCCACGACGTCGCTGTGGCCGTTGATGTACTTGGTGATGCTGTGCACGACAATGTCAGCGCCGAGCGTCAGCGGGTTCTGAAAGTACGGCGACATGAACGTGTTGTCCACCACCACCAGCAGCTCGTGCTTCTTGGCGAACTCGGACACGGCGCGGATGTCCGTGACCTTGAGCGTCGGGTTCGTGGGGCTCTCGATCCAGATGAGCTTGGTCTTGCCCGGCCGCAGCAGCTTCTCCACCTTGGCCAGGTCGCCCATGTCCGTGAAGTCGAAGTCGATGCCGTACGTCGGGTGCACCGTCTGGCGGAAGTAGCGCTGGGTGCCGCCGTACACGTCGTCGATGCACAGCACGTGGTCGCCCTGCTTGAGCAGGTGCGTCACGGCCGTGGTGGCGGCCATGCCCGACGAGTAGCACACGGCGAAGCGGCCCTTCTCGCACGCAGCCAGCGCGCGCTCCAGGGCGCCGCGCGTCGGGTTGCCCGTGCGCGAGTACTCCCAGCCCTTGCCGAACGAGTTGGGCTGGCCGCGGCCGGCCACGACGCCCGGAGACGCCTGCGCGAAGGTGCTGGCCAGCGTGATGGGCACGGCCACGGCGCCCGTGTGCTCGTCCGGCGCCTGGCCCTCGTGGATGGCCGTGGTGCCGAAGCCGTGGTGCTCGTCGACGTACTTGGAGGCGGCGCTGCTCATGCTTGGAGGAGGAGAGAGGAGAGGAGAGAGGAGGGGCTTGTGCTCGAGGAGGCAAGATCGAAACTGACGTCAGTCGGGTTGCAGTGCACTGCGCTGTGGACGAACGAGAGGTGCCACATCGCGCCACATCAAAGATCTCATTGGCCACGTACGCGGCGCAGAAATAGTCCGCAAAAAGTGTCTCGACTCGTCTACGGCCCTCGGCGGCAACGTGCAACCATCCGAAGCCTGCTCCGTTGACGTCATGCACTAGGATCTGAGTGCAGGTGTCCGACCAATGTGTGCAAGCTTCGGCTTGCACGCCAGAATCCATTCGTCGACAGCAGCGTTTACGTGTTGGAGGCTCGTTTCTGCTGCTCAAGATTCGTTCACAAATCGGCCGCGCGTGCTTCAAGGTGACTTGATTCCCGCCCCACACCTACTGGTTCATTGTTCAATACCTGCCTGTAAAGGTTGCCACCCATGGCGCCTTATTGTGGAGGTGAGCTGGTGCCGCTTCACGCGGCAACCACTGTACTCTATCCGCCTGCTTTTTTCGCTGGCACTTGGAATGGAAGCCAACACGACTTCCCGAGTTCAAGTTGAAATGCGCTCATTTTGTCATGACTAAGGAAGAGCAAGCTTTGTATTGCTGCCTGGTAGAGCTGCGCGGGAGGATGTGCAGTTCCTCGTTGAGCCTGAAGAGCGACCGAAGATTCCTTGGCCGGTATTGAGTACATATATAGAGCAATCTTCGCCTTCAGTGACCATCCACGGTGCCAATTTGGACGCGGATCGGAACTCCCAGCATCCGTTCGCTAGCCTGCACCTGCAGCTCAGCTTGACTTAGCACAAACTCGATCTCGTCGGCCACAGTGCGTACCGTCTCGCTAATGCGGATGTCGTCTTGCTGAGCTGCGCGCTTGAGCCAGTAGAGCGCCTGCGAGTAGTCCACACCGGAGCCTTGGCCGTGTGCGTGCATTTGCCCCAAGGCGTACATGGCTTGAGCACTGCCGAGTTCGACAGCCTGTTGGAAATACTCACGCGCGCGATCGAAGCTCGGCTCAACGCCTCGACCCTGCGTGTATAGCAGGCCGAGGTAGTAGGACGCATCGGCCACCTGGTGTTCGTGCGCCTGCTGGTACAATTCCGCAGCCTGTTTGAAGTTCTGCCTCACACCACGACCGTACTCGTACATGACTCCAAGATGAAACTTCGCTTGATCACTCCCGGAGGTCGCAGCCTCCTGCAGCAGCTCCACGGCGCGGTCCACGTCTTCAGCCACACCGCGTCCTTCATTGTACATTCTGCACCGATAGCTCGTAAGCATCACCAGTTGATCAACCGCAGCATGATAGAACTTACATGGCGAGCATCCACTTGGCATCAGTGTGTCCGCGTACAGCACTTTTGGCGAGCCACGAGGCACTCAGGCTGTCGCTGCGGGGAACGCCCTCTCCTCGACCGTACAGCACGCCCAAGGCGAACTCGGCGTCGCGGTGGCCACGCTCCGCCGCTCTCCCCAGCAACGTCACCGCAGCACTCAAGCTTTGCTCAACGCCGTGGCCGTAGAACTTCATCATCGCCAGGAGGTAGAGAGACTCGGGCTCTTCATGCTGAACGCCATGCAGAATTGTCTGCATGGCGCTTGCATCGATGGGGGATCCGCGCGGTGTTGCGACCTCTTTCAAGTCGTCTCGAACGAGGGATGCACCAACGCAGTCAGTTATCTGCGTAGCTGCAGCCAGTGCAAGGAGCACCAACGCCAGAGTCGATTGTGCTGGCATATCCGACGTGACTCTTCAAGATTTAGGGGTCAAATCGGAGAGCCCGATGTCAGCAGTTAGCGACCCCTACAAGAAAGCGTTCGATCGCTGTGGGGGTGGCTCCCCAACTCTCGACGACCGGCAGTGGTAGGTAGCACTACGGGTTGAGCTGCTGTTATACTCCTCGGCACGGCTAACACTGTAATGTTGAGTGCATTGTAGGGTGCAGTTCCTCGATTTACTTGTGGGTGTGGGCTTTTTGGGCGATGAGCTGGCCGAGCGGTTCAAGCGAGAGGTGAATTGAGAGGATATTTGCAGGAAAAAAACAATGCCGTAACGTAAATCCTTTCACTTTGATCTTTGCACCAGCACGAGGGCAAGCTTCACTCGTTCGAGTCCTTCCAGCGAGACCTTTCCAAGTGTTCCGACACTTCCACTGCTGGCTTTCAAGTTGACAGTTTTATCGATGACCTGAAGAAAAAAGTAAGTTGGGTTTTGTGCAGCCCAAAGCTTAGGAGAGACCTACTAACGGAAATGAGTGCTGTATAGACTCAATTTCTCCGGCAGGTGGTAAACACACAAGACCAAGACCCTATTGATGTGAACTTCTTGCACCCGGTCGTCAAGCAAGCAGAAACGTTGAGACGGAAGCTGGCCGAACTAGAAGAAGTTACAGGCGATGTACTCGCGTCGAAGTGGATACAGGCAGATTTCTCTGGTTCTGACGGACTTCGCAGTGAGTATGAGCCCGCATGCCCCTGGAAGTTCCAACACGCGAACGCGCGCAATCTGCGCGTGGAAGACCGACAGAGGGCACGGTACCAATTGCGACTGCACCAATGTGATGAAAGCACCAACCGCGTTCTAAAGGAAACCTTCTACCCAGTCCTTCTGGGGTTTCGCGAGGTGCAAGTCGGGATGGCAACGCTTGAGTCTCGAAATGACAGCAAAGAGCCCGAACTAGCGATTGCAGTGATGATTCGACGGCAAAGCGCCAGCGAAGAAGCTATTGAATGGCTTGATAACTTTGTGGCAGCTCATCGGCAACTATCACTGTGTCCGTACGTGCAGCAGTACCTCGGCAGCGAAGATGTCGCTGGGACGAAGCAGGAAGCTTTGCTCATGGAAGACGTCACGACCCGGCACTACTTCGAGTTTGTTCAGGTAAGTGTAATGCCTAATAATCTATCGGCAAAAATGAACTCATTATTGCTGTCTTTGCCATACTCAGGCGCGAAGTTTACCTGAAATGCTCTCAGACGACGGAAACCTCGTTGAACCCTCTTCGCTCTTCAAGCTATACGCCCGAGAGCTTCTTCTCGCAATTATCGACTTGCTGGAGCAGTCAACGTACCAGCTTAACGCGGTACGGTCCGCGACTTACATAATACAAGCTGTATCGCTGTTATAACACTGTACCGCATTGTGAAACCAGCGTATCCTCCCGGAAAACGTCATGATTTCGCACTCTGGACGTCGTCTCTTTCTTGGAAAGCTTGACTTTGGATACTACATCGATCCGTTCCAAAGGTAAGTCGCAATTTGTTTCGTGTCCACAAGTAAACTATTTATTTATGCTTGGTTTATCGTCTAGGAACACTCTCTCAAAGGTGATGGAGAAAAGAGAGGAGACACTTCTCCAAGACTTGGCAGTAATCCTTTTTTCGATGCTGTTTTCTATCACTCTGCCTCGGAACTTGAATGAGTTCCGCAGTCAGTACCTTGGATGTCGAGACAGCAAATTTGTGTTCAAGTATCGCATCAACTGCAAGTCCCAGCAGCGGCTATCACAAGCGAACGCAATTTGTGTCTCGTCCAGCGACACGTTTGCCATTATGCTCGCTGGAGACAACGTTTTCGATGAAATGTGGAGCTGTCGAGTCTCGAGTAAAAATTTGCTGGTGTGTATCAATCGCCGCTACTCGCCCGTAAGTATCTGATAGCGTTACCTATAGAAGTTGGTTCATTTCACTAACTGGCAAACTGCCCTCAGATGGAGTTCCATTTTCAGGCTAAGGCGGAAGGCGAGAGCACCATCTTCTTTGAGCCTCTGGGGTGTTCTGAAGCTGGTGCTTTCTCCTTGTCAGTGGTTGTTTGCCGAGGAAACTTCCGCCTGCATGAGAGCAAAATTCAGGCAAGTTATTCAAGCTTGATGCAGGTCGTATAGGTGTTTACACTGACATTGATCATTGTGCAGACTCTGATCAGCGTTTGTGCTGTTGGAGCCGGATCTACATCTACGCCCATACCTCGGGTATCGACACGGGTATTGCTCGAGCACGAATTATTTCAGCCTCTATCGAAATCTGAGAGCCATCAAGCCGAACGAGAGCTACTCGAGCGGGTATAACACACCTGCAAGTAAAACTACTTCCGGTCTATGATAGACAAACCATACATTTCAATTGTTTTTACTGCACTTCTGTTCCTCCTGCTCTAGCACCTCCACTTTCTACCCACACACCCACACAGTCCTGCACTTCCGCCTTAGCCGCCCCGCGGGATTGCAGCAGCCTGCACAAGCTCACGACCGGCATACTGAATCATGACGGTGGTGGCCCGAGCGATCTTCGGCCCGTTGCTAAGCGCCTTGACATTGCTGGTCGTGGCCGCCGCAGCTTTCGGCATCTCCGTGATGCTCAGACCCGACTTGGATACAGCGTCCGGGACCTTTGCTGGGAGTGCCTTGGCCTCCTCGACGAACGCAGTAGAAGACTCGGCCAGCTCGGGCACGGAGGTCACTGCAGTCTGCACATTATCCACCAGTTCAACCATAGCATCGCGGAGTTGAACCACAGGCGCACGCAGGTTGCTGATCTTGCGCAGATCCAGCTCGTCGTCACCGTTCATGATCTTGATGGCTCCGTTCTCGTCGGTCGTGATTCTCAGCGACCTCATGTCCTCGACCTTGGCCAGCTCCGTCAGGAGGACCTTGGTAGCCTCACTCAAGCTCGTCACGTGCGCCTGGATCATAAGGAGTTTGCGTAGCGTGAAGACCGCGACGTTCACGTCACGAACCAGCACATCGAGCTGACCGCGCTTGGTCACGAGCAGCCGACCACGCTTCTCCGCGAACTCGCAGAGCGGTTCACTCGTCGGAGGCTTCTCCAGCGCCGAGTTCAAGTCGGTGACAGCATGGTCGGTGGTGTCAAAGGCCTCGCGCAGCTCGGTATTGGCGCTGAGCTTCTGGTCCCGCTCCTCCGCCGTGAGAACTTGCATCTGGTCCTTGTCGTCGAACTTCCACAGCACCAGCGCCACCCGACCGGCGTGATCGACCGTGAGCCGCACTTGGGTCTCGCCCTGCAGCGCTGCAGCCGCCGCCTTGAGGTTCTCTTCGCTCTCTGCGATACTGTTGTGGATCTCCACGAGCTCGTTGAGCGGCGCGGCCGCCGACTCGAAGAACGCGTCGAAGTCCGGGATCTTGGTCTGGCGCAGCTCGATCGGGTCCAGCTCCTTGTCCGCCGGGTCGCGTGGCACGCTCACGTGCTTGCTCACGCCGGCACCGGAGCAGACTTGGCCCATGGTCTTGGAGGAGTCGGGCGACTGGAATAGGGGCTTCTTGCGGGGCAAGAAGAAGGTTGGGGAGTGAGTCTGTCGAGCGTGGCGCACGATAGTCGAAGGTGAGACGGTAGAGGTCAAGCATAGCGACACGGCGGCACAACCTTTTCCACTGTTATGGTCACGTGCAGGCGAGTAGTGTGCGTTTGCGTGTGTGTCATGGGTTCAACGTGTCCATATTTGACGCGCCGCGGACAGCTGGGACCTTCATCCGCGGCGTCTTATGCCGCCTTTTGCGTTGCAGCAAGCTGGAACCATTCGAATGCATGACCAACACGATGCAATCTAGTCGACCAACGGTCTTCATTTTGCCGATAGCTCGAGTGGGTGAAGGTGGGTATTACATGCACAGCAAGACTGCAACCACTTCAACGTGGTGCAATCTTTTCCATGATGGCTACAAAGCATAACCAAACCGTACCCCCACTGTACCCCAGTCACGGTACCCAGTACTTCCCATCACCACCGAACGAATAATGGCGGACGAAGACTACGAAGACGGCGAGATCCTAGAGGAGGGCGAGGAGGTCGAGCAGGTCTCTCCTTCTACCCAGTCTGCTGCACCTGCGTCCGGCGCTTCTACCGACGCGCCAACCATCTCGCAGCCCGCTCTACCGCCTGTAAACGAGGCTCTACTGCCCACGCCAGGTAGCACCAACCCGCGCAAGCGGCTGCACTCGACGCTACAAGACGCCAGGGTGCCAAGCTCAGCCTCAGTATACGACAACCGCCCACCGCTGACCCACCGCCAGCCAGCGCGCTACAGCAGCAGCAACAACAGTAACAACAACAATGGCTACAGCGACCGCCGACCCCACGAGCACCAGGACGACCGCGTGTACTCGGAGGATCTGATCGTCAAGTACCCGAGGCAGCAGCCGCACAGCCGCGTGCTGATGGACTTTGGCGCGTGGATGGCGGCGGCCAGGAGCAGGCAGCGACTGGACGTGGAGGAGGTGCAGAAGCTGGTGCTCAACGTGCTGCGTGGAGGCAGCAGGAAGGAGAAGGGCCGCGTGAGCCCCTACCTGCTGCCGTCCCTGATGCCCGGGGCGGAGCTGCCCTCCAAGGTCTGCGTGGTGCTGCTGGCCAAGATGCACCCGTCGGTGCTGCAGAAGTACCGAGCCAAGCTGAGCTTCTTCGACGCGTGCTCGAGCGTGCCCGTGATGCTGACCAAGCAGGAGCTGAACCAGATCCGAAGGTCCGAGGCGCCGCTGCCGGAGCTCATGTACAAGTTCCCGAGACCCACAGTGGACACGCACGAGCTGTCGACGGACGAGCTGTTCTACGCCCACGAGCTGACGTTCCTGATGAAGCACTCGGCTGGGTTTACGGACGAGCTGGTGTTCCTGCCGACAGGCAGATTTACACGCAAGAGTCAGCCGCTTGGAGGGACGTGGGAGCTGGACGGAGACCTGCTTCATCTGAAGTGGAGGCAGCGCACGACGAAGGCGGCTGCGGCTGGGCCGGAAGAGACACCGACGGACCAGGATACGGTGATGGAGGACGAGGAAGACGATGCGTACACGTTGGACGTGCTCGTGAGTCAAGATGGCAGCATGCACGAGTTCAGGACGGACCCTGTCACGGATGAGACTTATGCCCACAAAGTGCCCGAGCATTTGGCCAAGAAGCGGCGCGGCGACGATAAGCCACGCTCCATCTGGCTATCGCTTGCGAAGGCGATCGCAGTGGACGTGCCCCGATCGGCCGATGGAGCGCTTATTCTGCAGGACAAGACACATGTGAACGGCTCGTCGAAGCAAGAATCACTGCCCACAGAAATGAACAGCAATGGCATTAAGAAGGAGGAAGAGGCCTTGAAACCGGAGGCGTTCCAGTATTACACGCTCTCACTTGAAGAGATGAAGCAGCACGGCTATCCGACGGATGTTGAAGAAGAGCAGCGCAAGCTCTTGGAGTCAACTGAAGGGAATGCACGGGACCGGTACGTAGCGACCAAGCCGCGACCTCAGCTTGCTGCTGCAGGTGCAGCTCCAGCATCAGATGGCGAAGATGACGACGACGACGACGAAGAAGGAGCGGCTATGGAGACGGATGAGACTTTGGCTAACGCTTCCTCGAGTGGCGAGTTTATCTACGCTTTGGACTGTGAAATGTGTGAGACGGACATCGGCATGGAGCTCACGCGAGTGACGGTCGTCGACGTCAAGGGCGCCGTCCTGTACGACCAGCTAGTGAAACCGCAGAGCACTATCATCAACTACCACACAGAGTTCAGTGGTATCTCCGAAGAGACGTTGCGGGACACAAAGTACATTCTGGCTGACGTGCAGCGGGATCTGGTGACTCGATTCATCTTCGAGGACACGATCCTCGTGGGTCACTCCTTGACAAGTGACCTGCGTGCCCTGCGCCTGGTGCACCCTACCATCGCCGACACGTCCATTTTGTACCCCCATCAGCGCGGGTTCCCATTCCGCACTTCTTTGAAGTACCTGACGAAGACGTATCTGAAGAAGGACATCCAGACGCAGGTCCAGGATGGCCACGACTCGGCCGAGGATGCCATCGCGTCGTTGGAGCTGCTGCTACTGAAGGTTCGTGAAGGACCTTGGTTCGGCATTCCCGAGTCAGTCTCTTCGAGCGGCGCTTTCGATTCCATCGTGGACAAAGCCTTCGCCTTGGAGAAAAAGTTGACCATGCTGCGCCTCCAAAGCTCCGATAAATCCAAACAGGAGACAGAAAAAGCTACGGCAGAGCGAAAACCATGGGACCTGTACGCCAGCGGCGATCTAAAGGCTCAATCCCAGAGCCCCTTCCGTCATGCCCAAGCAGTGAAGGCTAAAGCCGAGGAAAGCACTTCGCCATCGCCGGGCAGCGCGATCTTGATGGTCGAAGACTGCTCGTCATGGGAGGCTCTGAAGACCAGCCTGAAGAGTGCGCTGGGTGATCAGCCGAGTGAAGCCGCTCCGCAGCCAGACCTTTGCTGGGTGGAGATTGAGCCCCCGACTGCGAGTGCAGCGCTGTGCAACGATTTCGTCGGGAAGCACGAGCAGTGGATGGCCGAGCAGCAGACGTACTGTGAAAAGGTGGACGCGTTCCTGCTGCAGGTTCGCGACGAGGTGCTACCCAAGGGCACGCTGCTGCTGGCGCTCCCGCAAGGCGATCTGAGTCTGCTGCGGTATCTCAAGGGCCTGCGAACGCGCTCCAAGTGGCGTGACGCTACGCCCAGCAGCGACGATGTAGCACCGGAAGAGCTGCACGCCGCGGTGGGCGACGCGTTCCGAGGTGCCATGGACAGCTGCCTGTTCCTCATGCAAAAGTGAGAAGGCAGACAGACGATCGGTCGGGTGTTCGACAACGATAGAAAGCAAAGCTAGGTAAGCTGCGGCTCGAGGGCCTAATGAATGAAAACAATGTGACCAGCATCGACCATGGACGGATGAGATAGCTCACTGAACGCACTGGAGGTGACAACGCGGCGATGCTTTGAAGCGGCACTACGTAACGCGCTGGCTTCAGGCGTTTTCCAGTCGCGCCTTCCTGCGGGGGGGGGGCGTGCAGATCGTGACTCTCCTCCAGCCCCTCAAGCGGCGACGTATTGGCTCCAAGCTGCTTGCCCTCGTTGAAGACGCAGCTAACTAATTAGCGGCATGGCGAAGATCGACAACGCAGTGCTGCCACGCGGGACTTCCGTCTCTGGCAAGGTGAAGCACGTTCAAGGTGAAGACGAGTGCGTGAATGGTGAGCCGGAGAACCAGCCCGAGCTGGCAGAAGCGTCCGTGCAAGATGAGTGTGATGTCGACAATCAGCTGCTGGACGACTATGACGACAACGCGGATGTTGAAGCCCTCATGGAGCTGGCTGAGGCCAAAGGGGTGAGTCCTCTGCTGATCACCGCGCAAGCGGGGCTCACAGAAATGACCAGTCGGTTGCTGGAGAGGAACATACCGGTCAACTGGAGGTGCCAGGACGGCACATCGGCTTTGAAGCTTGCAGTTCTTCATGGTCACTATGCGATTGTGCGCGCCCTGCTGGACGGAGGAGCGGCGGTCAATCTGTCCGACATTGCGGGGCAAACGCCGCTAATGATCGCTGCGCAGGAAGGTCGGCCAGACATAGTGTCTTTACTGCTGAACAGGAAGGCGAGTGTCAACTTCCGAAGCTGCACGGGTGCTACGGCGCTGCGTTTGGCCTGCGAGAACGGCGAGATGGCTGTCGTGCGAGATCTTCTGTACAGTGATGCGTCGGTAGACTTGGCCGACGACGAGGGCTTCACCCCGCTTATGGTCGCAGCTAGAGAGGACGACGTTGAGCTTGCTCAATTGCTGATAGATTGGAGGGCGAACGTCAATCGAGCGTGCATCAACGGAGACACGGCCCTGACCTTGGCCTGTGATAAAGGGCATCTGGACGTGATGCGAGCACTTTTAGCTGCCGGAGCTGATGTGGATGTGGGGAACGCAATCGCTTGGACTCCACTCATGAGGGCAGCGCAAAAAGGTCGTGTCGAGGTTATCCAGGTCATGCTGGACGAGCTCGTGAACATCCGTCGACAGCCGACAAATCCATTCTCACGTCCCAGTGGAAACGCACAAGGCGGAGACCTGGAAACCTACATCCAGCTCCAGCAACAACGGGAAGCAGCGATCAACAGACAGGGCCCCAACAAGGCGACAGCATTGTGGATTGCTGCCGAGCACGGGCAAGAAGAAGTTGTGAGGGTGCTGTTGAATGCTGGGGCCAGTGTCGAAATTGGAGACGCGATCGGGAGTACCGCTCTGATGATCGCCGCTCAAGAAGGACACCTTAATGTCGTGGAGCTGCTGCTCGACAGAAGGGTAGACATCGATAAGCAGCGATCCGACGGAGCCACTGCGCTAGAAATCGCCTCCAGAGCTGGCCACTTGGAGGTTGTTCGAGCTCTGCTGAATGGGGGAGCAGCGGTTGGTCAAGATGACGACGAAGGCTGGACCCCGCTTATCCGAGCCGCACAAGGTGGCCATGTTGAAGTTGTTCAGCTGTTATTCGACTATGGCGCGTCCATCGACAGGCAAGACCACAACGGGGGCACAGCTCTGAGGATTGCTGCGCTCAACAACTACTTGGAGGTGGCGAAGCTTCTCCTAGACTGCGGCGCTTCGACCGACTTGCCTGACAATACCGGCTGGACGCCACTCCTTGCTGCCGTTTTCAACGACAACCTCGAGATCGTCCAGCTGCTACTGGGTCGAGACGCGAACATTGAGGCCCGAGTCTACAACGAAGCTACAGCCCTGATTGTTGCAGCTGAAAATGGCTACGACCGCATAGTGCGTCCACTCCTCGCTGCTGGGGCAAGTGTCGACGCTGTCGATGACGAAGGCTGGACGGCACTGATGTGCGCTGCCCACGAAGGTCGGGGCGACATCGTGCGGATGCTGCTGGATGCAGGAGCACAGATTGATATCCACAACTTGGGCGGCTTCTCCGCCTTGGTCATCGCGGTGGGACATCGTCGCCTGGAAGTAGTTCATCTGCTAGTGGAGCGTGGCGCGGACATTCAATGGCACGACTACGCGTCAGGCGCAACCTTGCTCTCGGTGGCGTACGGGAGCGGCAGTGCTGAAGTTGTCCAGTATCTTCAGCAGCAAAACCACCTACGCAGAAGCTGACCACAGTTAGTAGACGTTTAACAAGGAGAGTCGGTAGATACATGTATGTGCACATGAGCTAAGAGAAAACTAGATTTGAGGATAACGAGTTTGTCTGGACTTGCCTATCTTCTGTGGTTACCGTAACCTTAATCCGAGTCCTCTTCATCGACCGTGCGTCGCTTCTTGTGGCTGCGGATGACCACTTCTTCCTCTTCTTCTTCGTCCTCGCCCTCATCAACGCCAGCGTCGTTGTCGCTCTCTGATCTCTCTGCTTCACGCTCACGCTCCAGTTCACGCTGGCGCTGACTGCTACGGTACTCGTCAAAGCCGCCGCCAGGCACGGGGCGGCGGGCGCCAGACTTCCGGTGCGCTGCCGAGCTCTTGCGCTTGCCGAACTGTTCCTTGATCGCGCCCACGTGTTCGTCATCGTCGTAGTCCATGGCGTCGTAGCCTTCCTCGAGGAACTGCGCATCCATACGCGACGAGCGCTCGCGGTCGTACTCGTAGCCCTGGCGCGCCTTCTTGCGGTTCTGCAGCCGGAGCTTCTCGTCCGTGATCTTCACACGCTGCTCCTGCTCGCGCTCGCCGTCCAGCTCGGAAATGTACTCCTTGAGCTTCTGCACACTCTTGTTGTGCTTGGCGCGCATGGACATGGTCAGGCTCTTGTGCGACTTGCTGGCCGTCGTCATGGGGCGGATCGTGAACTTCTCCTTGAGCCGCGCGTGGGCCTCCAGCACGCTCTCCTGGCCGGGCACCACGTCGTCACTGTCCTGGAAGTGCGGACTGTCACTGGCCATCTCGTTCACAAACAGGAACGAGTTGGCCAGCTTCTGACGCGACAACGTCAGCGCCTCCTTGCCCACGAACATGGAGAACGTGCCGTCCTCCCACTGCACCAGCTTGGCGTTGGATTCCCGCAGCGGCAGCTTGGTCTTGTCGTCCAGCAGCACTCGGCCCGTGGCGTTGTCGCGCTTGTAGCGCCAGCGCACGTAGTTGCGGTACAGCGTCTCGTCCGACGGGTTCTCCATCTCAGCCCTGATGGCCTCCTTGGTGTAGGGCTCCGGCACCAGGCGCAGGATGTTGGGCATCTTGCTGATGAAGTACTTGGCCGTCTTGGGGGCCCGGGGGGTCTTGGGCAGCCACATGTTGTCCGAGTAGCCGTTGTCCCCGTCGGCGCCTCCCGCGGCACCGCGGTTTCCTGCGTCGTCGCCGAAGAGGTCCTCATTGTTGCGTCCGCCGTCGCGCGCGGGGGATTCCTTGACACCTCTAGATAGTCATAGTACACGTTAGTGACAGAGACAAACTATTATAGCCTTGGTGTCGCCAACGTACGAGGCCTTGAACTCCTCCTCCTCCGAGTCATAGTCCGAGCCGAAGAGGTCCTCCATCTCCTTGTCCTTCTCGTCCTTCTTGGGGGACGTCACCCCCTTCTTGTCGTCGCCCTCTGTGTTGTCATCGTCGTCGCTGTCGTCGCTGAAGAGCTTGTCCGGGTCCGCCGGCTTGCTGCTGCTGCTGCTCTTCGCGGCGTCGCCCTCCGACTTGAGCGAGGACCCGCCCAGGTCGAACTCGTCCTCGCTGCTGCTGCTGCTGCCCGACTGGGCCTCCGGGGAAGACATGGCCGCGCGCCCAAAGGAGCTGCCTGCTGCCTGCTGCTTGGCCCAAAATGGGCTTGAATTCTTAAAGGAAATATAGTTGGTGTGGCCCACATAGAACATTGGCCGCAGAACTCGAGCATTATACGCGGCGCCGCCACCATGGAGCAGATCATGCAGATGCAGGACGACATCCACAAGCTCAAGAAGCTCATGGACTCGGTCTTCGATAAGATGTACGTGGCTTCTCTCTTTGAGCTTTTCAATGGTGCCATTCGCACCACCGGGCAATGAGTAGAAGGCCCATAACTACGCCATTGACATCACTTGACTTGGTGTCTCAGCGAGAACCAGTCGGAGGAGCGGCCGTACGACACCGCGGATGCCTACGGTACGAGCGCGGCGTAGTGGTGTCGTCCATACTGATATAGCTAACCTACTGATGGCGGTGCACTGAACTGACAGCGGACAAGGACCGGATCGTCGAGATGCTCAACCGCCTGAGCTCGAGGGTGCGTTCGCGCCTGGAGAGGATCAACGCAGTGAACGAGCGTGTTTCGCTGACGACTCGTCACCCTGGTGGTCTGTGTGTATGCGCGTATGTGTGGAGTAGATGGCGGACGCGGACATGTCGAACCTCACGGCGACGCCGACCAAGGACGCCACGGCCGAGGACATCGCGGAGCTCAAGCAGACCATCAACCGCATCGAGGCCGAGCGCCAGAACATCAACCGCCGTGCCGGCGCGTCTCTCAAGGGAGTGTTGTAATATATTCATTCAACATGGGGCAGCAGCGCTGCTGCGCGTGCTATTCACAACGACGCGAGCCCTGCTAAGAGCTGCCGCCCCACTAATCTCAAATGCACCCCTGAAATCTAGCAACTTGATCGATTATCTCCATGCCCTTCGTCGTCTGCACGCGTGCGTCCCCACCGATCGGACGCGGTATTCCACGGGAGCTTACTCGTTGAAGTCGAACTCGTGCGAGTTGGCCCAAATGTCGTTGGTGATCTCCTTCACCTCCTCCTTCTGGACACCGCCGTTTACTGCCCTCTTCGGAGACTGCGCTGACTCAGGCGGGGGCGATTCCAACTTTGTGCGCTTCAACGGCGGCTCTGAGTGACTGTGATTCACGATAGCAGGGTGCGTAGCAGCGATCTTGTCGAGCTCGTCCCGCTCAATCTCCTCGACAATCTCTTCCCACAAACCTGTCGTCTTCAGGTAGATTTCCAACGCCGACGTGCTTTCGAAGCGGTCCTCTCCCGACACTGCTGTCTTCGGGTTGGCGCTGGGCTTGAAGTAGTCGTACTCGAACCGGCCAGGTCGGTAATACCAGCCGCGGCTGATCAGCTTCTTCAAAATTGTACCAAATTTGACCTTGGGCATTCTAGCCATCCTCTCCTCAGCTTCAGCAGCCTGAGCAGCCCTGGCCGCCTCAACCTCAGCCTGGTACAGGCTCTGAGCAGGAGGAGGAGTTGCAGCCCTTTTGGGAGTGACCTTCTTGGCCTTCTTCGGCTTCGCCTTGGGCTTCGTGGCAGCAGCTGGAGCTTGTTCCTGAACTGGAGCGCCGTACATCGCCAAGTTTCTCTTTCTCGCTGCTTGCTGCTCCAGCCGCTGGTGGTGTCGTTCCAGAGCCTTTTCACGCTCTTCGTTCACCACTTGCTCGTGCTCTTCGCGGAGCTCATCCTCAATGCGCTGCCATGTGCCGCTCACCTTAAGGAAGTTCTCGAAACTCGCCTGGGACTGGAAGTAGTTGACATCAACCTCCTTGGTCGCTTCCGTGAACGTGGGCGCGAAGTAATCGTATTCGAACGTTCCGTTCTTGTGGTACCAGCCTTCATCCTGCAGCTTCGCGTACACGATTCCGAAGGAGCATCTGAACTCGGGCGGATTGAAGTTGAATTCGTCCGCCTTGCTGACGTCCGAGGCCGTGTCCGACACAACCTTCTTCTTCCTCTTCGTCGCTGGCTTCTTCGCGCCGGCTTTGCCTCCCTTCGCCTTCTTGGACGATGCGCTCTTTGACAACTTTGCCGCAGACGACGTGAGCTTGCGCTTCACGGTGGTGGTTGTCGTACCGGGCGACAGACGCTGAGTAGGCGTAACGAATCTCGAGCCCAGGCTTGAATTCGAGGCAGTGCGCTTCACAGTCTTCACCGCAGGCGACGGAGTTTTGAACAAGGACGTCTTTACCTTCTTCAGAGCTGGGGCAGCAGCCGGAGGAGGTTGCACCGCACGCGGCGCGAAGGCGATAACCTGGTGTCCCTCAGCCGAGTCGCCCAGCTCAATGTCGCCGACCTCGACCGCCAGACATTTCAGCACAGCGCGCTTCTTGGTCTGGAAGATCGTCTCGTTCGGCAGGAAGCTCTCGAACTTTGTGTCGGGCTTGACGTACCACGTCTCCGGGCCGCACGACATGGTGAACCACCCAAAGTCCTTCTGGGCAATGGGCCAGAGCAGGTCCCAGAGCTCCTGGTCCTCGTTGTCCTCCTTCTTCTCACCGGTGATCTGGATGAACTTCCAGCACGCCTTGATCTTGGAGTCGAAGACGTTGATGTTGGGCTTGAAGTTGAAGAACTGCACGCCTGGCATGGCGCAGAACAGTGTGTTGTGGCCCTGGGCGATCTGCCACCCGCCGGACTCCACCAGCTTGGCCACCACAGAGAACACCTTGGTGAATTTTCCCTCCGCGCCCTTGGCCCGGAACTCCTCAGGTGTGTCGTCTTGCGCGTCCGTCTCCGGCTCCGCCTCCTTCTTCTCACTGCTCTCCTGCTTCTCTTCGCGGCTCTCCTCCTGCTTCTTCTCGTTGTTCTCCTCCTTCTTCTCAGCTTCAACCAGCCGGTCGACAAGCGGCGCCGGCACCACAGGAGGCCGCGGGGCCTTCACGGGCGGCGAACGGGGCTTGGCAGGCGAGCGGGCCTTCAGCGGGGAGGAACGCGGCTTGGCGGGCGAACGCGCCTTCACGGGCGACGCGCGCGGCTTGGCCGGCGACCGGATCTTAGCGGGCGACGAGCGCACCTTGGCAGGCGACGTGCGCGGCTTGACGGGCGACGCGCGGGCCTTGGCGGGCGACGAACGGGCCTTGAGGGGCGAGCTGCGCGGCTTGACGGGCGACTTGAGGCCCGCGGGGCTCATGGGCGGCTGCGGCGCCTGCTCCAGCTCGGACTCCTTTATCTCCTCGTCCGCGGGCTCCAGCGGCGCCAGCAGCTGCGTCGCGGGGAAGTCCATGTCCTCGTCGGCCTCGTCCTCGGAGCTGCTGGCGCTGGAGCTGGAGCTGCTGCTGCTCGGGTTGTCCTCGCGCTTCTCCTCCTGCGCGGCCGCGGCCTCGGCCTCCACGCGCGCCACAGGCTCCACCACGGGCTCGGCGCGGAAGCTGCCGGTCAGCAGGTCCAGCGCGTCCATGGGGATGGCTGCTCAGAACTGCGGGCTTTGACGCGCTTCTCGCGACGCGCGCTATTGTTACCCGCGGTGCAGTCTTAGCGGGACGCATCGGGGACCGCGCCCCAATCAAAACAGGGTGTGTCCCAAATTAGCTGGTCACCGCTGCCCATTGGACAAAACAATTTGGCGCGAAAACCATGTGTACTATACATAGGATATTTAAACAGGTATCCGGAGAGGTATACAGTCATTTTCCCGCCAAAGGGTTCAAAAGCTCTCCTGGCCGCCGTCGAGCATTCCGCAATTGCAAGCAAGGACGAGGAAGGACACCCCCCTCAAGGCTTAGCAAGCTAGCTACTGCACCGCACCGCAGCAGCTACCGACCCAGCGGGGACTTACTGGACCATGGCGCCTTCCAACGACGCGCGCGCCGCGCTGTGCTGGGCCAAGCTGCGCTCCATGCAGGTCTTCTGGCCCGCCTGCGTGTACAAGAGCTACTCGGCCGCCGTGGCGCACACGCACGACGTGTGGGCGCTGCGCAACGACAAGCCCGCGCTGGATGACGAGGACCGCGTCCTCTACTTCTTCGGCGTGGGGCCGCGCGCCTGCCACGTCGCGGCCGCCGGCTCCGCGCCCAACCTGCAGCTCTGCGTGGCCCACGAGGACGACCTGGCCGTGGCCGACTGGGCGGCCGCCGAGGACTTCCCCGAGCTCTGCGCGCAGCACCAGGTGCCCGAGGACATGGCCGCGCGCGCCCAGAACAACGCGTGCTTCCTGCGCGCCTGCGAGGAGGCCGAGACGTACGCGCGCGACGTGCAGACGGACGAGCAGGCCGGCGAGCTGTTCGTGACGCTGCTGACCATGGCCAAGAAGGCCCACAAGACGGGCAAGGCCGTGGTGGCCCGCGAGATCATGGCGTCGCCCTCCACGACGCCCGTCAAGGCGGCTCAGCCCACGCCGCAGCAGCAGGCCGAGAAGAAGAAGCGCGACGTGACCAAGCTGCTCAAGACGCCCGAGATGACGACGATGGTGGCCAAGTGCTGGCAGCAGATGCTCGAGGCGGGCTGGGAGACCATGACCCAGGGAGACGGCCAGGTGCTGTACAAGATGCCAGGCACCAGCTTCTTCGACTTCGTGCCCAACGTCAACCTCTTCGACTCGCTCGAGAAGGCCTGCGCGTGCTACTTGACCGAGTGGGTCAAGTCGGCGGCCGTCGAGGCCAACGACAGCAAGGAGTTCTCCGAGATGACGGAGTTCATCTGGCCCATGGCGGCCGGCAGCGGCTGGGAGAGCATGTCCACCACGACCGAGACGCTCTACAAGAAGAAGGACATGCCCTTCGACCAGTGGGTGCCCAACGTCACCATCTTCCGCTCCAAGGCTCAGGCCGTCGCCAAGTACTTGGAAGAGTGCGGTTTGATCAGCTCGACCCCCGAGGAAGAGGACACAGCCGATACGGTGCAGGACGCCGCTAGCTCTGATGCTGAGATGGAGGAGCCCGAGCAGTCCGAGTCGGAGGCGGAGGAGCCTGAACTGTCCGAGTCCGAGAACGAGGAGATGGGCCAGGCTGCCGAAGCCGAGTCTGATGATAACGAAGACGATGACGATGAGGAAGACAACCAAAGCGAGGAGGAGGAGGAGGAGGAGGAAGAAGTAGAGGTGCCCGTGAAGAAGGCGCCTGTTAAGACGAGTGCACCTGCCAAGAAGACGACCAACAAGTCTACACCGAAGCAGCAGCCCACGAAAGCTGTTTCAAAGGAGCATGTCAAGCAATCCAAGCCGGTCATGAAGCAGAAGAAGGAAAGCAAGCCCAAGCCGGTAATTCCTCCTTTCAAGCTGCCATTCGGCAAGATTGAGAGCGAGTTGAAGAATCGCGGATGGTACTGGAAAAGCGGTCTTCAGTGGAATTACTACCAGCCGTACTGCAAGACGAAGAATGCTAAGTCCCTGGTGCCCAATGAAGACTTTTTCCGTGGTCGTGAGGAACTTGAACAGTACCTCGAAACCAGCGGACTGTACGCGCACATCCGCGAGAAGCTGGAGGAAGAGCACATTAGATTCTACATGGGCGATAGCGAGAGTGAGAGTGAAGGTGAGGAAGAGATCGTCCGTCCGGTTAAGGCCACCCGGCCTACCTCGAAGCCGCAGCCTAAGAAGGCGCAGCCGAAGGAGCCCGCGCCGAAGAAGGCCCCGGCGAAGAAGGAGGAGCCGTCTCGTAGCACTCGTGGACGCTCCAAGTCTGTGAGCCGATTCCGTCGTGCACGCTCCAAGTCAAAAGCACGCGGTGGCTTGTCGTCCAAAACTACCCTCGCGGAGGTGAAGTTTGGCGAGATTTGGCGTGTTCTCTCCGAGGAAGATGGCTGGCACTACCGCTGGGGCAGCATCGAATGCGATTACTTCAAACCCCACTGCGACACCGTCAAGGACGGCATTGCAGGAGAGGACTACTTCCAGAGCAAGGACTTGCTGATCGAGTATCTACAGACCAGTGGCATTTGGGACAGGACAGCGGCGCGTGTGAGAGCTCAGGCTGCCATGATCTCGAGTGATGAAGACATGGACGACAGCGACGTTGAGACGGCTACCCCTGTCCAGAAGAGGAAGCGCGAGGAAAACACCCCTGCCCCGCGTCAAGGAAGCAAGAAGTTTAAGGATGCATTCCGTACTCCGGTTGACAAGCGCTCGACTACCGTGTACTATCTCAGCTCCGATGATGAAGATATGGGCGACACTATTTCCCCCGATGCTGCTGGAGTCAAGGGCAAGGAGAACGCGGGCAATGGAAGCGTGCGTCAACCCCTGCGAAACCTCGCTAACAGCTTCACTCCATCGCCGAATGTTGCGAGGAAGGAGAAGCCGATCCAGTGCTCTGCCGATGGTGACGTTACGATGGAGCCTGCCAAGGACGACTCGCCGCACGCGGTGATTTTGAACGCGATTCAGAAGCTGACGTCGGCCTACATCCCTGCCAACTTCCGCCATCGTGAGAAGGAGTTTGGTGAAATCCGCGCCTTCTTCCGTGATTGCTTCGAAGAGAAGGAGAAGACTAGTATGTACATCTCCGGCGCACCGGGTTGCGGTAAGACGGCGTTGCTGAAGTCTACGGAGGCTGACATCAACGAACTCTACCGGGTATGGATATTTGTCACACTTCACGGTGTATTATGGACTAACTTTCGTTTGTGTTGCTTATTGACAGGAATGCTGCCCCGACCAAGCCGACAAGAAGCCTATTCGTGCTCACATCAATGCGATGGCCCTTGCCAACTCGTCCACACTGTTCAGCAAGCTTGCCAAGACGTTCACGAAGAAGTCGTACTCCAGCGAAAATGAGGCGTTTGAGGCCATCGAACGGGCGACGAACCGCCAGCTCAAGAGTTCTCGAACGATGTGAGTCGCCATTCCTTATTGTTTGGTTTGAGATGTGATCACTAACACATGACAGGATCTTGATCTTGGACGAGATCGACATTCTCCTGAAGAACAACGGCATCGAGAACGACCTGTGTCGGCTTTTTGAGCTTGCGCACCGAACTTCTCACAGCTTCATTCTTGTTGGCATTGCCAACCAAGTGGACTTTACGGAGCGACACCTGCCGTTGCTGCAGCAGCGTCTGTCAGACTGCTCACCGCGCGTTGTCATCTTTGAGCCGTACCAGTACCAGACCATCGAGAACATTCTGACCGATCGCCTTGGCGGACCGACGGAAGCGCCGAAGATGGTTAGCATGCACGGCATCTCCTTCCTAGCTCGCAAGATCGCGTCTACTACCGGCGACATCAGACTCGCGGTCGACACCTGCCGTCGTGTGCTGCAGCACAAGCTGGAGCAAGCGGACAAGGAAAACTCCGAAAACCCGGTGGACGAGAAGGAGTTGGCGCGTCCGCTGCCGCTCACCGACACGCTGCGTATCATCAAGCATGCCTTGGAGTCCAAGAGTGCGATGGCGATCCGGTCGCTGCCGCGCAACCTGCAGATGATCCTCTTCGCTTCAACTCGGCTGCTGATCGTGTCGGCCAACCGGGCTGCTGCCAATGGCAGCGAGGCCACGCCGCTACTCAGCGCGAACGAGCTGTACACATGCTACTGCGAGGTGAGCAAGGACGCGGGGGTATTCAAGCCGCTGGCTGAGCGCGACTTCAGGACTGCGCTGGACACGCTTGGCGAGGAGGGCCTCGTGGCGGAGGCGGAGCTGCGGAAGCACCTCGTCAAGCTGCAGTTCAGCACCAGCGAGCTGCTGCAGAGCTTCCGCAAGGACCCCTTCTTCTCTCGGCTCGTATAAGCGCTCGGCGTCCGTGGTAGATGTCGTGGCAGCAGATATGCAGCCACGTCCTCGCTGGGGTATTTACAAAGACCTGATGATAAAGTTGCCTCGTAATATACTAAGCTTTGCTCGTTGAAGGTGCTACCCAAGCAATGCCGCCATGGAGCTCACGCCTGTCCACGATTCAAGCGGTACAACAGGAGACACGCAGATACATGGATCCCTCCCAGCTCGGATGAGAGCGGCGGGAGGATACACAGCCACATGGGGGTATCGTCACTCGTCATGGCTTCATTCATGTCGACCACCACTGCGATTGACGTGCAAGTCGTGGATCACGACTTGCACGTCAATCTCCACGACTCGTGGTGGTGCCACGGCTACCATGCTCATTGTCGAGACGAGGGTAATAATCAAAATTGTGGTAAATTAGTGGATCTACATCTCTATCGATACACGGCTGCCGCCCACGTTCGGTGGCGGAGGAATAATGTACTGCATTGTTTTCGGAGTGGTGCGGCTTGGTTGCTTGCTGGGAAGCCTGATTCATAACTTGACGCACGCGGCTGCTCCCCACGCTGCGTTCGCGTGGGGAACGATGCCCGTCTGCCTTTCAGTTGTTGAGCACGGAGCGCAGCCAGTGCTTCAGCGATGTGTGCGTGTTGGACTTGGCGATGAAAATGCGCTCGCTGCTCTTGCTGCTCTTCCGCTGCGAGCCGTTGCCGGACGATGACCACGAGCGACTCCGCGAAATCTGCGCGGCCGAGCCGGGCGAGTTCGACGACGACGACGCGAACGATTCACTGCCCGCGACCGCCATCTTCTGCTCTGATGTGCTCGACGTCAGCACGGGCTGCGTGCTGGCGTTGCGCGACAGCAGCAGCTTCACGGTCTGGAACTGGCTCATGCGGCTGGCCTTGAGAAGCGGTGACTCGTTGCCCACCGTCATGGCGTCCACGTTAGCTCCGTGGTCCAGGAGGCAGGCGGCCACCGCCGTGTTGCCACGCTGAGACGCGAGGTGAAGTGCCGTGCAGCGATCGTGGGTCACGTCGTCCACCGGCACCTTGCCGACTTCGAGCAGCAGCTTCACGCAGGCCAGTTGGTTCTCCTGGGCCGCAATGTGTAGTGGCGTCTCGCCGCTTGGGCCAACGGCTGTGCACTTGGCGCCCTTCTCCAATAGAGTCTGCACCACGACCTCTTGGCCGCGAGCGCAGGCCAAGTACAACGGCGGAATGCCGCTACCATCCTGGGCATGCACGTCGGCACCCATCTTGATCAGCAGAAGAACCGTCTTGGCGCTGCCGTTCTTCACTGCCGCATGCAGCAGCGAACTTTGTGAGGTCTTGTCGCGCGCATCCAGCAGAAGTCGGGTCTCATACGTCTTGGCCAGGCACTTCAACAGTCGGTAGTCGGGCAGGTTCACGGCGTCGAGCGCGCACTTCACGACGCTCTGTCTGGAGGTGGCGTTCTTGCCGTCGCCCAGCAGCACACGGATCAGCTCGGTGTGCTCTGCCGCCGCTGCCGAGCACGCCTTCTGCAACGTGGAGCTCGAGATCAAAGGAACGTACGTCCGTTCGTTCGCCTCGGCTCCCTTCTTGTGGAAAAGCTGGTGCACCGGGCTGGCCTTCTTCTTGGCATCTGCGTTCGCGAAGCCTACCAGCGCGCGGACCACATCCGCGTGGCCGCGACTGGCCGCCATCACCAGCGCTTCCTCGTCAATGCGAGCGCCGTACTGCATCAGCATTTCCAAAATGTCCGTCTTGCGGTTCTTACAGGCGAGGCCGAGACATGTCCGTTGCCTCCGCTTGCGCGCCAGCATCGGGTCCACGCTGCGTCTCCTGTGGTTGCGGATGTGGCTCGACAGCGTCTGTCTGGTGCCGGGCGTGGCGCTGCCGGCTCCGTTCGGGTCCGCGTGGCGCTTGAGCAATAGCTTGACAATCCGCGCGTCGCCCGTTTCGCAGGCAACTTCCAGTGGCGTGCGGCCGCACGCGCAGCTCGAGTTCACGAGCTTAATCAGATCTGCGCCGAAGTAGAAGCTGAGCAGGTGCTTGAGCGCCTGCAGCTCTCCTCTCCTGCAGGCCGCGTGGATTGGGGACGGCATGTCCTTGACGTCGTCCGTGGGCTTGAGGCTCTGGCAGCTGCACTGGTCCCTGGGGCTGGCCGCGAGACTCTGCTCGAGCTCCTGTTCGGGCTCGGTCTGCAGGAACGAGACCTTCTTCTTCTTCTTGACCTGGAGCTGCTTGTCCTTGGGCGCCTCGCTGTCCTCGCTGCTGGCCGCGCTGCGCTCGACGCCCAGCGGAGCGGCCATGAGGCTGGCCGATGCAGCCCGGTTGCGCAGGATGGAGGTCGGGCTCGAGTGGCGCGGCGGCGACTCGAGCGTCACGGGCTCGGGCGCCGTGCGGAAGGCCTTGCGCAGCTCGATGGTCTGATCGTCGAAGTCCACGCAGTGGCGCTGGCGCGAGAGCTCGGCGCGGCGCGGGGCGTTGAGCACGCTGCCGGCCGACTCGAAGTCGCGCATGGGCCGAAGTTTCGCTGGCGCGGCCGGCGCGGCCTCGAGGTCGTCGCAGGACACGAGCTGGAGCTGCATGTATTCTGCTGCCGAGGGGGAGGAGGAGCGAGTGGCCGGGCTAATAGTTCCTGTATATACAAGCGCGGCGCTGCGCTGCTGGGAGCGAGCGAGTGAACGAGGCCTGGGAAATTGCGGAGTGCGCTGCGAAGCCGCTGAAGCTTACGCCAGGCCGCACTGTTGTATCGGGCGGGAGGTAGGATTTTTTTTGGAGCTTCGTTTCAGTATGCTGTCTGGACTCGGCCGAGAATGGCGCCTGCGCGCAGAGTGCAAGCGCGGCGGTGGCCACACGAAGGCGAACACGGCGGCGTCTACTGGCCCGGCGGAGGGAGAGAAGGCCGCTTGCGCCGATGCAGCGGCGGCACTCGGCCGGCCAGCTATTCTCCAGCGCGCATGTTGCCGCGGTTGACGAGCAAGGGCTCCACTGCAACGCGTGCATCTTGGCAGTGCACAGCCCGGGCGAGGATCACCTTTATTTTGGAAGGGGGATCCGCCACGCTGACCACCGCGCACTCGGATTCACTATAGTGCCCACGCCTGTCTACCGTGGCCAGTTGCTGCGTGAATCCGCCATCGCAACGGGCGACGCACGCAGAGCGCTGGCGGTGCCGCGAATGGCGGCCCGATACGGCCACAGCCCATGGGCGTGGCCATTATCAAGAGCCTTGATTCAAGACCGTAGCCTCGGCCGTCGCTGCTGCTGCCGGTGGCGGCGTGGGCAAGCCGCTGGGTGTCGGTGCCGCATAGATAGGCTGGGCGGACTGGCACCGGGGCTCGGGGCGCGCTGACCTCACCGCAGAGAGAGAATGCTGCGCGCTGGGCGTTTTGGGCGTGCCGGGCGGCGTTGAACTGCCCAGCGCTGCTGCACTCCACGGCATTCGCGCGCGCGAGCGAGCGAGCGAGCGGCCGAGCGGTGCCGGTGCCGGTGGCGGCCGAATGAACGGCCGGCCGGCTGGCGCGAAGTCGGAGAAAGCGGGAGGATAGGATCGTTCGTTGTCCTCTTGTCGGTCTTCGCAGTGCTCTCGGTGGACAAGCAGCCTGCTTGAAGCAGGCAAGGCGAGGCGTGTCCGTCGTGCTCTCGTCGCGGACACGAACGGAATATACTCCGGCCGCCGCCGCCCAAGTGGCTGCGATCGGATCTGGGCGCGACTTCAACCTGTCGACGAGCGAGCGGAGGAGGAAATGGGTGGATCCACTGCATGTATTTGGTTGGGCTCCGATATTCAGAAAACCTGCTGCCGCTGATTTTTCAGGACGAGCTGAAGCGCGTGCTGCAGCACGCGACTCGCTGGAGGTGAGTGAGGACAGCCGCAGCAGCTGCAGCGTCGAGATGAAGCAAGCGCGGCGACGCCGACATCTGAAAGGATGACGATTGCGAGCGCGGGCGGTTCAACGGGTGGCGCGTGCTGGGTAGTGGCAGAATTGAATATGCGAGGCGTGGGCCCGGGGTGGTGTAGGTGTGGGCAGCGCGGCGACCGCAGCTCGCAGCTTCCTCGCCGAAGCTCAAGGGCTCTCGCAGCCGCGTTAAATCAGCCGCGGCCGCGCTTGCCGCAGTCTGTAGGAGTCCTACTAGGACGCCCTCGTCGCCGTCTTCCTCCTGACTCAAGTGACGTCTAGACCAGAGCGCCCGGAGCGCTGCTCTGTGCGTCGCTGGTCATTGCTTGTGCGGCTGGTCATCTCGGCCGCCGATCGCTCGCTTAGGCACCGGCACGAGGTTTACCGGAGCGGTGCCATTCTCGTTACGGTGAGGCCCCGCTCGGCCTGAAGCAGCCATCTCATGTCGGCCTTGCGCTCGGATTAGTCGAACTAACCGCAGCGCGGTGCACGAGCCCGTCTGTCCTCACTATCCACTGCGGGTCTTGCCGCGCCACTGCGTTCAGGAAGCACCGGTGCTTTCGACCGCGCTGGACGTCGAGACGGCAACGCGCTGACCCGCGCTCGCTACATCAGCGCTCGTGCCGGCAGACGCTCCACGTTGACGGACATGGTGCCCGTGATTGCGTCCCAGCTCAGACCAGCGTACACCACTCTGCAGCAGAGAGACAGCAGAGTCTGCTGTCTCCGCCGCGGAGTCGGCGGGTCTGATCGGGTGTCGACCGTAACACCGGAGCCGTTAGCTACCTGCACCGGCAATTCGGGCCTCCGGTACGGGCCAGCCACGGGCATCAGTACATCTATACCTGTACAATACATGTATTGTAGATCTGCTTGGTGAGCACCTGGTGCTGCTGCAGGCAGTAGCATCGCACTCTCAAGGCGCGGGGCCACTGACACCCGGTCAGCTCTCGGCCCTCTTTGCAATAGAAACAGGACCCTGACTCTATTTTTGGCACGAACCGGACGCCTGTGCTGAACTTTGTGTAGCCATGTAGCAGATACTGAGAACTGGTCCGCGGAAATAGTCCGCTGCCGCCTGACTGCTACAGTATGCCCAGGCTGGGCAGCCCAGGGCCAACCGAGGAACTCACATACACTCCACGACAAAAAGATATGGACACCACCAAAAGTGGCTGTAACTTCGTCATTTTTTATCGTTTTAAGGTGCGGTTTGGACTAGAGTTGCAGAACACGCTGATAAAGATCGACACGCTGCTAACACGCGCGCTTTTGCGCTTCTTCAGGTAGCTCACATACAAATCACTGGTTCTGCCCAGGTGACAAAACTTATGGACAGCTAATCCCCATACAAAATCCGTTATTAACCAAAACCCCTTACAAATTATACGACTTGGACTTTGTATGGGGCGACAAAGGAACCAGTCTCACGGCGATACTCGCGACGTTAGACAAAGATCTAATGGCATTATCGTGTACTAGAAGGCGTGTTTAGTAACCTGTAATAAATGCATCGACCATCGCACAAAACTGAGCAAGTAGTAAGTGACTGAAATTTCGAGTGGTGGCTACCATGTATCATCTGATGATTTGCGAGGCACGTTCAGTTGCATCCTAGTTAGTGTCAATTTGTAGCTCTGTATGCTGCTATCTGTTGGATATACGATTGTTTTCTTCATTCTAAACTGTTGGTCGATGATATATGGCTCAGTACTAAGGTAGAGTTGAGAAATCATGGGTTCCTTTGTCGCCCCATACAAAGTCCAAGTCGTATAATTTGTAAGGGGTTTTGGTTAATAACGGATTTTGTATGGGGATTAGCTGTCCATAAGTTTTGTCACCTGGGCAGAACCAGTGATTTGTATGTGAGCTACCTGAAGAAGCGCAAAAGCGCGCGTGTTAGCAGCGTGTCGATCTTTATCAGCGTGTTCTGCAACTCTAGTCCAAACCGCACCTTAAAACGATAAAAAATGACGAAGTTACAGCCACTTTTGGTGGTGTCCATATCTTTTTGTCGTGGAGTGTACCAGTCTGCCTGGCTATTAAAAGAGTGCAAAACCATTTGAGACGGTTTCAAACGGAATGATGCTTAGGCGCCATTTGGAGTTATCGAGATAATCGCGTTTAAAGTTGACCAATCAATTTTCGGAAATAACCGGACATCAAACTTTCGAAAGTGAAAAGCACACGTAAAAAGCGTAAAAACACTCTGATGTGCTTGCTTTTAGCGCGAGATTTCTGATAATATACAATATGTTAAAATTGAAAAAATATTGAGGTCACCCCCCCCAAATATTGTGCTTTGCAATGATTTTGCCGACCATTTTAGACGCTAAATATGGCAAAGCCTGCTCCTAAATATGTGTGAAAAAAGATACACGACCTGCTAAAATTATGCATAAATCCACCTCCTCATATATATATCGACTTGGGAGGGCCTGCCAGCAGCCATGCATTGGCCCAGTACACCACCGTCCATGATCCCCAGCATCCAACCTCTTATGCATAATTGCTGTGTGTGTAGGTGCTTGTGGATAAAAGCCGACCGAATTGCAGCTGCACAGCCACAATTGCACTTTCAAAAGTGCAATTGTGGCGCTTTTAGCGTAATTCTAGGCCTCCACCCATTTATGCACCTCGATTTATCTTAAATCTAGCAGGTGGTCGCTATAAATACAGCAAATCTCGCCTCATATTGCCAAAATCATTGCAAAGCACAATAAAATCGTGAGTTTAGGGGGTCCGAAAATGGAGATAGTTTTTCTAGACCGATGCCACTGCGCGAGTTCTTAACATTTCAAAGCATTCGATAGCTTAAACGAAGCACACGACACGCCTCTTTCGATTGATGCGGTTAAATCGCGATTCGTACTTAGGTTCGTAAGCATCTTTTCGTTTGAAACCGTCTCATTTGTCAGACCTGATGCGTTATCCATTCCTATCGAACCAAACTATTGTAGTGGGTTGAAGACCACACAGAACACTATGTGGGTGCTGAACCACCCAAAGTCCCGCCAACGTATACATGTACTATAAATGGCGCTTAAACCTTCTTGGTATGCTTTGCCCTCGACAAGGTAAATATTGAACTGAGCTCTGTAGAGCTCCTACAGGCTCAACTGCTTCCCCGGTTCCATTGTGTCTTGCCTGCCCGGGACCCGGGTTGGGGCAGTCCAGGAAGAGGATGGAAACCTGCGATACGTTAAGGGGTGTTGGGGTGAAACCCACCACATGCTACACGATGACGTATTGCGGGTTCTACTCGATGCGATTGCGGTTCGATTCCGCTCGATCGATTGAATCCTTGACAATTCACTTGGGTTCACTATGGTCTCATTTAAGTATAGTTCTCAGTACAGATTAGAGCATGAGAACGAGACTCCTGATATACTCGGATTTAAAAGGGAATCATATGTAGCAGAAACCACTTTATGTATTTTAGATTGACTCTAATAACTGATCTAATCGGTAAAACCGGGTACTAGTTGTTACCTGTCTCGTTCTCACGCTCTAATCTTTATCTGCTACATGGCTACACAAAGTTCAGCACAGGCGTCCGGTTCGTGCCAAAAATAGTCAGGGTCCTGTTTCTATTGCAGAGGGCCGAGAGCTGACCGGGTGTCAGTGGCCCCGCGCCTTGAGAGTGCGATGCGACTGCCTGCAGCAGCACCAGGTGCTCACCAAGCAGATCTACAATACATGTATTGTACAGGTATAGATGTACTGATGCCCGTGGCTGGCCCGTACCGGAGGCCCGAATTGCCGGTGCAGGTAGCTAACGGCTCCGGTGTTACGGTCGACACCCGATCAGACCCGCCGACTCCGCGGCGGAGACAGCAGACTCTGCTGTCTCTCTGCTGCAGAGTGGTGTACGCTGGTCTGAGCTGGGACGCAATCACGGGCACCATGTCCGTCAACGTGGAGCGTCTGCCGGCACGAGCGCTGATGTAGCGAGCGCGGGTCAGCGCGTTGCCGTCTCGACGTCCAGCGCGGTCGAAAGCACCGGTGCTTCCTGAACGCAGTGGCGCGGCAAGACCCGCAGTGGATAGTGAGGACAGACGGGCTCGTGCACCGCGCTGCGGTTAGTTCGACTAATCCGAGCGCAAGGCCGACATGAGATGGCTGCTTCAGGCCGAGCGGGGCCTCACCGTAACGAGAATGGCACCGCTCCGGTAAACCTCGTGCCGGTGCCTAAGCGAGCGATCGGCGGCCGAGATGACCAGCCGAACAAGCAATGACCAGCGACGCACAGAGCAGCGCTCCGGGCGCTCTGGTCTAGACGTCACTTGAGTCAGGAGGAAGACGGCGACGAGGGCGTCCTAGTAGGACTCCTACAGACTGCGGCAAGCGCGGCCGCGGCTGATTTAACGCGGCTGCGAGAGCCCTTGAGCTTCGGCGAGGAAGCTGCGAGCTGCGGTCGCCGCGCTGCCCACACCTACACCACCCCGGGCCCACGCCTCGCATATTCAATTCTGCCACTACCCAGCACGCGCCACCCGCTGAACCGCCCGCGCTCGCAATCGTCATCCTTTCAGATGTCGGCGTCGCCGCGCTTGCTTCATCTCGACGCTGCAGCTGCTGCGGCTGTCCTCACTCACCTCCAGCGAGTCGCGTGCTGCAGCACGCGCTTCAGCTCGTCCTGAAAAATCAGCGGCAGCAGGTTTTCTGAATATCGGAGCCCAACCAAATACATGCAGTGGATCCACCCATTTCCTCCTCCGCTCGCTCGTCGACAGGTTGAAGTCGCGCCCAGATCCGATCGCAGCCACTTGGGCGGCGGCGGCCGGAGTATATTCCGTTCGTGTCCGCGACGAGAGCACGACGGACACGCCTCGCCTTGCCTGCTTCAAGCAGGCTGCTTGTCCACCGAGAGCACTGCGAAGACCGACAAGAGGACAACGAACGATCCTATCCTCCCGCTTTCTCCGACTTCGCGCCAGCCGGCCGGCCGTTCATTCGGCCGCCACCGGCACCGGCACCGCTCGGCCGCTCGCTCGCTCGCTCGCGCGCGCGAATGCCGTGGAGTGCAGCAGCGCTGGGCAGTTCAACGCCGCCCGGCACGCCCAAAACGCCCAGCGCGCAGCATTCTCTCTCTGCGGTGAGGTCAGCGCGCCCCGAGCCCCGGTGCCAGTCCGCCCAGCCTATCTATGCGGCACCGACACCCAGCGGCTTGCCCACGCCGCCACCGGCAGCAGCAGCGACGGCCGAGGCTACGGTCTTGAATCAAGGCTCTTGATAATGGCCACGCCCATGGGCTGTGGCCGTATCGGGCCGCCATTCGCGGCACCGCCAGCGCTCTGCGTGCGTCGCCCGTTGCGATGGCGGATTCACGCAGCAACTGGCCACGGTAGACGCATGGGTTGTGACGGACGTTGCGAGCCAAGCATCTGCATTTTGACCAGTGGCAGCAGACTCTTCCGGTTTTGACCGAGTTCAATCACTTGTGTCGACTCGACAATGTAGCCACTGGTATACAAAAACCAAGATGTTGTCAAAACGCGTTGATCGGAAAACTTAAGTCGCTTTGTCTTATTATAGGCATTCTGGAGCTAAGTATCGTCTTACGAAAGAGCATGAATCCCAAACGGGTTTGCTGAAAGATCACGATCTTCATCTACAGATATTGCTACACTGCCTACGGTAATTAGTCTGTGTGCGGAAATAGTCTATGTTCGAAAATAGTCTTGGTCAGACTATTTATTGTACTGGTCAAAATTAGTCTGACCACTTCAACTTCAAAATTAGTCTCTCCTGTGTCATGCGGGTAAGGGTGCAAGGCTCTAATCACCACGACTGACCCATTACACCTTTTTCTCCTTTAGGGAACAACTTTTTCCTCCCGCTTGCTGCAGAGGCGGTGAAAGCCGTCAACCTTCAAAATGACAAAAATGGCATGTCCTATGCGCGTAAGGCGATGATTCGATGTGGACTTTCACTTGGAATCGATGGTACCTGGTCGATTGGCCAGCTCTACCCGCATCTTCAAGATATTATCGCGAAACACCGCGAGCACTTCGAAGGAAAGTCGGTCGATGAAAACTCCGAGTAAGACTCTTTCGTGTGTGTTGCTTCATCATTAGTCTTAGCAAAAATATAGTCTAGGTCAGACTATTTATTGTCTAAGAGCTATGACATTTGCGCGCTGCAAAGTAGCTTGCGAAGTGAGTTCATTAAGCAGTTAGACAAAGCTCCCTAACTACTTGCCTAACAGGAGGGCGCCCCGTGTAGCAGCGCCCTCCAGCTCCACAGCACCAACCACTGGCGCTGATTATGCAGTACCGCCGTTGACGCGGCGGCGATTATGTAGATGTAGTGTTGACGCGGTCCGTGCGTCCTGTCGGTCAAGCTGTCGGTGTCGGTCGGGCTGCAGGGTTGGCGTCGTCGACGACGTCAGGGCCGGCGTCGTCCTTGGTCTGATGTGTCCATTGTCTGGTCAATACTCTACAAGAGCAATGAACCATTCAATTAAAAATAGTCTAGGTCAGACTAATTACCGTAGGCAGTGTAGTCGAAACGTTCAAGTTGAAGTTGGCGAACCGTTTATGTTACGGTGTTCATCATGTTCGAGTAATATCTCTGCACTTTGGCTTACTGCACGCTCAGCTACACCTTCAGTAGACCTCCAACTTGGCTTCCGGATCAACGGCGTACACCGACTTGTACTTGTCGAAGAGCTTCTGAAGAGCTTGCACGTACTGCGCATGATACTTCTGCACGTCCTCTTTCGTCGGGTGCTCGATGCGCGGCAGCACCAAAGCCTCCCCCACGACTGTGATGAGGTCCACGTCGGTGCAAGGCAGGAAAAAGCACTGCGGGTGTCCATAAAAGATGACACCTGGTAGCTTGAACTGGTTCAGCTTAAGACGAAGCTGCAACAGGTATAGAAATGTGTGGTAAGCGTACTCCTCCCCAAACGAGTAGACGGGATGCACCTTGTACCCGTACTGCAGAGCCAACTTGATGAATCCCAAGCGCTTCTTGATGTACACTCGGTGCTTGCCACGCTCGTACAATGTCGCCTCCTCGAAGCCGCCAGGAATCAAGCATACATTTTGTCCCGTGGGCATGAACCGGTGGAAAGTAGCTTTCGCGACGCTGCTGAAGTCCATCCAATTGAGCAAGTCTCTCATGACGGGGAACCAAAACAGATTTTCCGCCACAAGCCATCGACAATCCGCATGCTGGAAGCTCAAATGGTGTGCGCCATTGAAGGCCCAGCCATTCGAGAGAACCCCGTGAGGGTGGAAAGCAAACATGGCGCGGTCGTTGGGCTTGACAAAAGGCGAAACATCATTCTCCTCGATCATCTTGCTAGCGATTGCGGGGTCGCACTTGGCCTCAGTGGGATCCGTACGCTGGGCTTACTTGGCTTTCTCTCGCTCATCGAAGACGGTGACGTTGAGCCGGAAATACGGGTAGCGGTGGAACGAGTCGCGAATCAAGCGTCTCATGAATGGCCATGGATGGAGTGAAGGTCGAGTCACGAAGTGGTAACTTTCGTGAAGTGCGATCAACCCCAGAAATATTTGCGCGGGAAACGGTAGCGAAGCAGCACCGGCGTCCGTAAGGTAGCCCCACATCCACTGTGCGACACAAAAGAGCGAGAAGATCCACATCACAGCGAAGAAGCCAATGCCGACGACCCACAACCCGTAGAGAAGCGAAAGGTGAACGCGCCGCAGAAATCGCCCACGTAGAGTTTGCCGTTCCGGTCGCGTATCGGAGTTGGCCCACTCGGGTCTGCGACCACATGCAGCGTTCTTGAGTACTTGGGTTGTCGACCTTGCGTCGAATTTACGAGTGGCGGAGCTTGTAAGATGGAGAGAAAAAGCTCACATGTCAATCCTAATGAACCCGAGGTGGCAAATCTCCAAGTGTCTAGTGCTTGCTTCACGGGCGGATGTACCTATGATTCATATTATGAGTGGTGCTCACGGCTCCACCGACTAAAATGTCGTGCAGTTTCATAAGATGGCGTGAGTAAAATCGAAAGTTGGTCACTGCAGTAGACTAGTGTGGTACAGTAGTGTCATGCTCACCACCAAAGCATGACGCGGGTCACTTCAACCGAGATACGTGTAGACTAGTCCGCGAGTGCCACAATAATAACGAAATCATCCTCTAGCTTGTTCGCTGTAGTAGCTGAGGGTTGTCTGGGCTACATGTTTGATGATTTTTTTGTTTTTGGGTTTTCGTTGAATGCCAACAACATGCAATGTAACCAAGTGAAACCCCGCTTCTTCCTCAGTATATTAATTGTCACTCTCAGCGTGGCAATATTAATCGACCAGGTCCCAAACGCCGCTCCCAATGAGGAGAGCCAATCATAAGTGAGATTCCAAATGACTTCAACAAAGTATGGACTGGTTTATCGGCTCCAAAGCCAAGAAAAAACCTTAAGGTTTTATTTTTGGCCGGCTGCGCAGCCTTCTCCGCCATCACACTTTCCGCCCCGCATCTCCAACACGACAGCGCGCTCCGAGCGTGCCGCACGCCTCCCCCTCCGACCACCCCAGACCCGAGTGCCCCCAGGCGCGCCCCACGCGCCCCACGCAAGGACCCGTCGAAAGCAGCTACAAAACCCGGCAGGGCGAGTGTTATGCTGCCGGTTTTGGTAGCTGTCGGCCAAGCACGAGGTCGTGCGCGCTCGCTGACGGTATGTGAGCGTTTCTCTATTGTGTATGACTTTGTATCGGGACTGACGGGAATCCATGCGCTGTGCTTAAGTTGTGGGATGGCGATGACGTGTGCATTTGCGCCTTGAATTCGATTATCCATCTTGTATGAATAGGAATGTATTAAGCGTTAATACAAACTGCGTGATCCTACGACTCCAAGTCTTTTTGCTTCCATTGGTGACTAGCTGGTGTGCAGCGGTCGACGATGCCACCGTTCGCTTTGCGGGTGATAAATGCTGAGCAGAGCGCGTCGTACGCAGAGCGGTGGTCAACGCGCAGCTTTCTCCAGCGCTTCCGTAGCGACCCCGCGGTTTTGGATCGGCCTTTACCGTCGATACTCCCAAGCGCAGCGTTGACCTTCTTGTCCAAGTCTTCCGCTAGCGTCCAGACACGCTGCTTCCACAGCCGATACGCGACGCCGTCCCGGTCCAGTGGCGCCGTTGGTACGTCTACCTCTCGCCCTGCTGCTATGATCATGGTGTTGACGCCTGCCTTGAGGTCAGCGCGAACAAACTGTTGTTTCTTTTGGGTTGCCGTGTGCCACAGCTCCAGTGTGTACCAGTTGTAGAAGCAGCCAGCAAGATAGTGCGCTTCAACGACGGTGTCAGTGCTCGCCTGCGGGGCCTGGCCAGCACAGCGACAAGGAGCAGGACCGTCAGCGCTGGTGGACTTGCTCTCGTGGACCGCGACGAGCTTCTGAAGTGTGCGCTGCATTGCTGCGATGGACGATAGCATCTGGGTGACGGCTGCGGCAAGTATGGTGGTGTTTCCATTGCTGCGTTCACCCAGCTGTCCGAAGTTCTCCGTTTGCCAAGCCGTGCGAAGCTGCCGACCCCAACCAATGCACGTGTCCAGCGAGAGCCGAGCTCCCAGCGCTACGTTGGTTGCGTTCAGAGCTTCGTGGAAGCGGTACAGGTAATGCGATGTGAAGCCTGTGGCAGCCTGCTCCTGCTGGACTGCCGTCGCGACGTCGTCAAGATGGATGAGCAGGGACGCGAGCGCCGCATCCAGGACTAAGGCGGCAACGTTGAGCGTGGTGTCCGTCAAGCCGCTGACGTTCTTGAAGAGCTGGCCGCGCAGGGTTAGCAGCTGGGCGTACTCGAGCGTAGGAAGAAGCTCACTCAAGGTGGCAATCGTGGGCGTGACGCATGGCAGGTGCGGGTCTCGGTATCCAGCGAGGACTTTGCCGACACTCTGGTCCTCGCGTGTCGTGGTACCCACGTACGCGAACGCCTTCGTGAGCGAGTCTAGCAGCCAAGCTCCCCGGGTCGAGATCCACTGGATCCCAAGCTGCGGTGAGGCGTTTGCATACGCTGCGGAGCCGCGGCGCAAGGAGTGGCTGCTCAGCCCTGCGGTGAGCGTCGGGGGCAGCGGGGCAGAGGCCTGGGCTTGGCGCTCGCAGACCATGGTAATGACGTCGTTAATATACTTGGACACGTTGGGCCTTCCTCTCACGCGCTTTATTGGTCGCTCGTTCCTTGGTTCAGCTTTCTCTTCAAGGTTCTCCCAGTAGAGTATAGCTTCGTCTTGGCTGTAGGTCTTCTCCCCTGGCAAATTCGATGCCGCCGCGTGCGGCACTAGCGGGAACACATAGCTGGAAGGCTCCGACGCTCCGACGAACAGCATTCCGAGGCCGTGCAGCATACACTGCTCCCAGTGAGTCGCGGCCTTGTAAATTGAGATGCCTTGAACCACCGAAGTCTTGATTCGAGCTAGATGCAGAAAGAGCTCCCCCGATGCCGCCATAGATAGCTGACTCTTCCTAGCAAAACAGGTATCGATCGCTCGACCAAACGTGTGCCACATTAACGTTAGTACAGCAGCGTCATGCAAACTCTTATAACCTGAGCCAACCCCCTTAATCGCGGTTTCCTGCACCAGAACACGCAAGTCGCTGAGCGTGCAGCCTGGAGCTTCACCAGTCTGCACGCCAGTTAGCAAATTTCGCTCCTCAATAGTTGAACCCATTTTGTCGCGTATTTTCGCAATTCGCTTGCTGTCTGACAAGAACAGAGGGTACCGCTCTCGGAGCAGGTTCACAACTTGGGACATATAGCCCACAGCAGTAGCCTTAGCATGACGGCCTCCTCGAGCACTTGGCTTAGTTTGCAAGAAAATGGAGAAGGCGGTTAGTAAAGAGTAAAGTTTTGACTTGGTAGATCATCAGGAATAGACAGCGACTTCGCAATACTAGCAATTGACTCCTCATTCATGTTAGCAAGAGCTAAGAATTCGCTGAAGCACTTCATCGCCGCTGCCTCCTGCCCTGCTGTCCCTTGCGGGATGTCAAGCCCTCTCGACGCCCGCTGCATCTTTTCAAATGGGAGAGGAGAGAAAGCAGACGAGTCACAGCCACCAACGATACAATCATGATTTGTATTGGGAATTTGCGGTCAAATATGAGTAATGCAACAATTACACTAAACTTTTGTGTTGGACATTATTCTAGCAAGACTGTAAATTCCCAAAATAATTGGGAAAATGTTGGGATACACACGAATCGATCGTGATTGGCTAAATTCATTGAAGAACTTGTCCTGATTGGATAGATGCAATGACAGAGAAGCGCAAGGAATGCCAAGTTGGGAGAAAGCTTCCTTATCCTACAATAACACCATCTTGCTGCATCTGCGTTCTTCTGAAAAATAATATTGACGCAAGCGGGGTTAACCCCTCTAATTTGATAACGAAGTCACTCACGTATTGCCTGTTTTCCTGGATGCTTAAAAAAAGCATCCTCCATAAAAAAGCATCCTCCAGGAAAACAGGCAATACGTGAGTGACTTCGTCATCAAATTTAAAGCATGATTGTGTCGTTGGTGTCGTGCTCATCCGCATGGAATGATGCAATTGCAACTAAACTCCAGCACTTTTAACGAGCAACATCATATACGCCCCGAGTTCCTTCATCGTAATCGATATCTTGTTGATTCACACCCAACGACTCAGTTTCGTTTCGCCCACTTTCGATTTTCCTTGGACTCCCAAAATGCAGCACACGTTTTCGCCCTGCTTCATCGTCCAAGTCGGAGACGCTCTTCTTGGGCACTCTGCGCGGGTGTTCGTGGCTTTGCTCGACTTCTTGGCGCCAAGCATGTCCAAGAACATCAGCTGGGACTACAACCCCGAAGACGTTGGTCCGATCGTTCCGGTGAGATCGCTTTCCCTATCCAAGTGAGCTTCCGTTTGATGAACTAAAACTTGTTTTTCTTGGGCTTTAGGAGTGGAGCGGACTTGCCCCTGACGCAAAGCGCGACTATCCTCGTGCGGAATTTGCGTAGACTTAAGCAATTTTGTAGTGAAGTGAAGAATATAAGCACGTGCGTCGTCTCTCTCATTAAAAGAATGTAAGTTCACGTCAACTCATTATCTCTTCGTTAGTTGGTAGATTTCCAGCGTAGCATTTGGGTCGACCACGTACACGCCCTTGTAGCGGTCGAAAAGCCCTAGCAGCGCCTCAACGTACTGGTCGTGACACTTCTTAACCTCTTCTCGGGTAGGGTGCTCGATTCGCGGCAGCACCAAAGGTTTGCCCACAACTGTAATGAGGTCGACATCGTTCCGCGGCAGATAGCAGCAGTTGAGCCGACCGAAGAACACGACGCCAGGCAGTTTGTACTCGTTCAGCTTCAACCGAAGCTGCAGCAGACTCGGAAACGCGTGGTAAGCGTATTCCTCGCCGAAAGTGTAGACCGGGTGCACCTTGTATCCGTACTGCAGCGCCATCTTGATGAAGCCGAAGCGCTTCTTGATGTACACGCGGTGCTTTCCTCTTCGGTACAGCGTGGCCTCCTCAAAGCCGCCAGGGATCAAGCTCACATTTTGGCCCGTAGCCATGAACCGCTGGAATGTGGCTTTCGCGACGCTGCTGAAGTCCATCCAGTTCAGAACCTCACGCAGCATGGGGAACCAGAAAACGTTCTCCGCCACAAGCCACCGGCATTCAGCGCGCTCAAACGTCATGTGGTGCGCGCCGTTGATGGCAAACCCGTTGGACAGCACGCCGTGAGGGTGGAAAGCAAACAGAGAGCGGTCGTTGGGCTCGACACAGGGCGATGCATCGTTCTCTTCGATAGCCTTGCTGGCCGCCGCATTGGTGTCCACAACCCCCTCTCCGGTAGTGCGTCCGGCCTCGCGCAGCTTCTTCTCCTCACGCTCCTCGAATACTGTGACGTTGAGGCGGAAGTACGGGTAGTGCAGGAAGAGGTAGCGCATCACGCGCCGCATGAACGGCCACTGGTGGAGCGAGAGCGACGAGCGCGTCAAGTAGTAGTAGCTCTCGTGCACCGCGGCGGCGCTTAGGAAGAGCTTGACAGCGGGCGGCAGCGGCGTAGCGTCGGCATTCAACGCGGCAGTCCAGACCCAGCGAGCGATGCAGAAGAGCGAGAAGACCCACATGCAGACGAAGAAGCCCATTCCGACGACCCAGAGTCCGTAGAGAACCCAGAGCTGGAGATGCCGCAGCATGCGGCCTTGCAGCGTGCGCAGCTCCGGCCGCGCGTTGTTGTCGGGCCACGCTGGCGTCCGGCCACAGGCAGCGTTGAGAGCGCTCCGGCAGCTGTCGACATGCGCCGATTTCCACGAATGGCGGCGTCTTGAGTCTGGACGTGCGTGGCATGGAGCTGCCTGCACCCGGTGATTCCTTTGCGGTGCCTCCACAAGAGACGATTGCGTGGATTTGCAGGATGCGGAACGTCGATTGCATCGGCCACGCCCAATCGACGACGTCCAGCTCACTTCAACGTGCACTCGTCGGCATTTCCACGTCGAAGCCGCGGTGGGGACGTGAACTACGGCGCACTTGGCATCAACTTGATCACCATTGATCGGCAGCAACCCGCCTCCATGTCCGAATGGCACGGGCGGGTGGAGGGCGTTCGCGTTGAAGTGTGGCATTATTTTCCTTTGGTGGGCACCGACCGTATCAGTAGCGAATCTACGCCCGCGATGGCATTTACACCGTGTCCAGTCGTTGAGATGGGAGATGCCCTCCTGGGGCAGCTTGCTCGGGCATTTGTGTTGATCGCCGTTCATTTGGCGCCGACGATGGCCAAGAGCATCAGCTGGGACTACGGCGAGGAGGAAATGGGCCCACTGGTACCTGTGAGTAGGTACAGCTATGATAGTAGCAGCCTGCCGGTGGATCTAATATCTTGCTCTGTCCGATGGCCAGGAATGGAGCAGTGAACCAGACACGAACTTTTTCAACTGGAGCGCCCGTCGAGCGGAGTTCGCATGAGTAGCGCGATAGCGGCGCTATCTACGTGAACCCTGTATGGCTAGTAGTAGGACGCAGTTCTCAGCGCAAAATGCTAAGCTTAGTTTGAGGGAAAATGCACGCAGTCACTTTGCATTTGAGTGAGATCTACGCCAACACCTTCTCAGAGTGTTGGCAGTCAAAAAGGTGTTGATCCACGACGTGGAGTCCACGTGTGCTGCAAGTTGCTGGTTGAAGCGGTTTGGACGGCTAATTAGGAGTGCCAATCTCTAATACAAAGCAATTTAGCTAAATCAGCATTTTTGCCCCCTCCGCCTGTTCTCTTGGCCCTTTATTATGGAGGCTAAATCGGAGCCTTCTTCTACGTGGCAAAATCCAAAGCTTCGTTCCCCCCAACACAATACACTAAACGACGCAACACATAGAGTAAGTAGAGCAGCAAGGATGGCCGAGCCGGACGAACTCTTCACGCTCAAGAACCAGCTCTGGGTGGGCAACTACCAGAACGCGCTGAGCGAGGGCGGCATGCTGAACCACCTGGGCGAGGCGCTGCGCCACGAGCGCGACGTGTACGTGTACCGCGCGCAGCTCGCGCTGGGCAACTTCCCTCTCGTGCTGCAGAGCATCCCGGACGCCGGCAACACGCCCATCGCGCTGAGCGCCGTGAAGCTCTGGGCCACGTACCTCAGCGGCCAGGGCGACCGCGAGATGATCGACCTGACGCTCCAGGAGTGGCTGGCCGACCCCACGAGCGGCGAGAACGCGCACCTGCTGCTCGTGGCCGGCCAGATCTTCGCGCGCGAGGGCAAGCTCTCGGACGCGCTCTCGGCGCTCACGCGCGGCGGCTCGCTCGAGCACATGCTGTACATTGTGCACCTGTACCTGCAGATGGACCGCCTGGACCTGGCCAACAAGACGGTGCAGGAGATGAAGCGCATCGAGGAGGACTCGACGCTCACGCAGCTGGCGCAGGCCTGGTGCTTCACGCTGCAGGGCGGCGACAAGGCCGACGAGGCCACGCTGCACTTCCAGGAGCTGGCCGACAGGTTCGGCTCCACGCCGCTGCTGCTCAACGGCGCGGCGGCCGCCTTCATGGCGCTCAAGAACCACGTCGAGGCCGAGCGGCTGCTGCTCGAGGCCGTCCAGAAGGACCCGAGCAACGAGGACACGCTCGTCAACCTGATCGCTGTGAGCGCTCACCTGAACAAGCCCACGCACCAGTACATCATGCAGCTGCAGCAGGTGGCGCCGGCCAGCTCGTGGCTCGAGAACTACGTCATGCTGGACCGGGGTTTCTCCGAGATGGCAGCCACCTTTGCGTAGACGATCGAGAGCACGGAGGAAGGACTTCGACTTGCGACTCGGGAGAAAATGCATTTATACGTGGTAAAACCAACTTGCAAGGAAACCAAATCTCTGTATACGTGCGTTCTGTTGGTAAAATGACCCCACTTCAAAAAAATGGCGAGACAAGAGCTCCTTGTTGACGTTTGGCTTTCTGTGTCGGACACGTGCTCCAGCTACCTCCTTCAGCGCATTATTTGTTTCTTGTATTAGTGTGGGGAGTGACAGCACTCGCGCTTGCCTTGCCTGCCGTCCGGGGATAAAACTCTAACGCGACAGCTCCTTGTTCATGAATTTTCGCTTGGCGAACAGCATCCACCACTTGCTCTTCTCTCCGTTCGGGAACACCTCGTCCACCAGGCGAAAGGCGATGGCTTCACGTAGCTGCTTGAAGAACCCGCGGATAGTTTCTACCAACATCCAAAAGCATCCGTCAGCAAAAAAGAAAACTTTACCAGCAAGCAACGCTCCAGAACAGCCACCAACCTGCTTCGTTCGCGCTCGACGGCGCGCGCACCAGACCTCCCAGAGGGAAGCTTGAGTCCCCGGGGATCGCGAATGAGTCCACCGCCGTCTGCTGCAGGATACGCGTGGCTATGGATAGGTGCAAGGATTAATGACAACGAGCACCGTTAGGGTTTCTCCCTTCTAGTCGAGTCGAGTCTTGCATGCGCACACGTACCGTCGGTCTTGGTGTTGCATCTGTCCAGCTTCTTGAGGCACAGGTGCACGAAGAGCGTGCCGTAGATGAGCACGCGGTCGGCGTTGCCCTTGATCTCGAAGTTGGTGAACAGCACGTTGGCGCGGAAGAGCGTGAGGATCTCGTCCACGATGTCGGACTGGTCCTCGGGCGCGGGGGGAGCGGGTCCTCGCGCGCGCGTCTTGATGGGCAGGATGGCGCAGCCGCAGGCCTCCTGCGCCTTCAGCTCGTTGAGCTCCGAGTGATACGCCGGCATGCTGCTCGATTGTCAGATCGGAGAAAGAAGCGAGTCTGCGACGCCGTAAGCTGATTAGGGAGGATGGTGTGGCACACCAAATTTGGTCGGATTACCTCAGGAAACTGAATTACTTACCGTAATACCGTACCGGTTGACGATACCGGTATACAAACGCTTAAAAATAACGTGTATTCACCAAAATATAAGCCCCTTCCGAAAAGATGCCCGTACCAAGAAATACCGGTACTTAACGGTTTCGTTATACAAATTCCAAGATGATAAGTTTTAACACTGATACGAAGCTTCAAGTTTCTAGTCCTGCGCTTTAAAATAAAGTCCGGACTCTATTAGGGTGGGTACGGTAGATTGACCCCAGCCGGGAAGGGATCAATGTCATTACACGATTTAGCCTCGACGATAACTGCTAATCAAACAGGCAGCTGGAACCAGATCGCAAGTCGTCCGAGGAAAGATACATGTCAAGATCATAGCGAGTAGTGATCTCACACGCCCACTCATCTTCATGGTCCGCTTCAACAACAGGTTCAAACTGCTTCTCGCGAAGCTCGATGCACATATTATGTTGTGCGAAACACACACACTGGATCTTGCAAACGCGAATGATGTCGTCCTCATTCAGCAAATAAACTCCGCACTCGCTCAAAATTGGGAACCGCCCCTTTACAACTCCGATGCAGTGTTCGATGTCGATGTGCTGGTTTGCTAGACGAAAATTAAACTCAGTGTTGTCAGGCAATAGAGCAGCGGGTCGCTTGTAGGGGTTTACTACGAAAGGAAAGCTAACCCCATAGGCACTAGAGAGGTTTCGCAAGTTAAACTTGTGGATGTTAGAGCCGTTCGAAAGATTTGACAGAGAGCGGCCATAGATTTATTCGGCCAAGTTCTAGAACGAGCTTTCGCAACTTAGACTTGCACGTCTGTAGCATTTTCAAAGATGAACTCTACTTACGTACAAGACCTTCTCGTGCTCGGCATGCTCTCAGAGGAAGAAGCGGTTTGTCTCCTCTCTGCTCGAACGTCGTCCACAAGCAACGTCCCCCGGTCCATTTCCTACGGCGATCGCTTTAACATCAACGCGCTCAACGACTACGAAACACGGTTCTACTTTCGCTTCTGGAAGCGAGACCTATTTCGACTCTTTGAAGCGCTCCGCCTAGACAGCAGCTATAAACTCCCAAATCGAGCTGTCTTCTCCGGTTTCGAGGGCTTCTGCATTCTCTTGCGCCGCATGGCATACCCGGGACGTTATGGAGACTTAAGCCGCTTTTTCGGGCGGTCCGCCCCTATTGTCTGCGTGATATTTAACTTCATGCTGGGGTTGGTGTACGACAAGTACAAATGCCTACTCACCATTGAATGTGGGCTACTTACATCGTCGCGATTGGAGGAGTACGCTGCTGCTGTGGCACAACGTGGAGCACCGGAGCCGAGATGCATTGGCTTTATCGATGGCACTGTGCGTGCTATTGCACGCCCAACGCGCAACCAAAAACAAGTTTACAACGGACACAAGAGGAAACACGCGCTAAAACATCAAGGAATAATGGCACCGGACGGACTCTTCATCGACTTTTACGGCCCAACGGTTGGACGTCGTCACGACTCTTGGCTTTTAAGGCAGAGTGGACTGCTGGAGCGCCTTCTGCGTGTCTTACATCACGACGGGGAACTTCCGTATTGCATCTATGGGGATCCTGCCTACCCACTCAAACCAACGCTGCACGTCGGTTTCAAGGGCTCCAATCTGAGTGATACGCAAAAGGCATTCAATGCGGCTATGAGTAAAGTTCGCGTGGCAGTGGAGTGGGGGTTCGGAGGGATCATTCGCTTATGGCCGTTTCTTGTTCTGAGACTGAGTCAAAGACTATATCTATCACCTGTGGGGAAACGCTACTTGGTCGGTGTACTCCTGACAAACTTCCGCAACTGTTCCAACCCCAACCAGATCAGCAAATTATTTTCCATTAAGCCGCCAAGCCTCGAGGAGTATCTTAGTCTAGCTACTACGAACTAGTCTTGCTGACGACAGCCTTTAACATTTCAATAAACGCAAGTCGCTCGTCTCGCTCAAGTTCCATTCGCAGCTCTTGCAGTTCCAGGCGTCGCTCCTCCAACTCAAGCCGCTTCTCCTCGTTGGCGACCTTCCTCCCTTCCAGTGCTTGAGCGACTTGGTCGCGGCGTTCGAGATAAGCAACCAGTTGCTGCTGCTGCGATCCCCCTTTTCCTCCTCCTCGGCTCATCCCTTCTAAGGCTGCGTCGCGCATAGCGCTAGCTTGCTCGTCCTCCTGCTGCTGCTGGTCCTTCTGCTGCTTCTTGTCGTTCTTCAGCAGCGCCTCTATCTCGCGCATCTCCAGCAGCTCCGCCAGACATTCGTCCTTCGGCGTGTACTCTTCACACGGCCCGCTTCGTTTCTCACTCGCCTTCTGCTTTGCCTCATACGCATCTACGAGCTGGTTGCAGCGCTCGCGGCAACGGCGACCGTCGACGTCCACTTCCAAAGCTGCAGCTACATCAGCCCAAGCCTGGGTCTTCTTCCCGTAGTCTTCCCCATACGGATTTCTCGCTTGAGCTTCCTGGATCAGTTGGAAGTCAAGCTCATCCGTAAAGCGGACCATCGTTTTACGACGCTTCGTCGGTGGGGGGGTTGTTGTGCGTTTGGCTTGGCTTCTCCATAGTAAAGATTGCTGGGAGATTGTAAAATGCTTACCCGTATCTCCTCAAGTACCAACGTGTACAGGGCGTTCTAGACGTTCTAGACGAGTCGAGAACAACTTGTAGACACACGTCTCTATAGAGGGGTAGGGAATGTATTGTCGCTAACTCCCACAAGTTGCTTTGCGAAACCTCACTACTGTCGCCCAGCAAGTACTTGTAGACACCAAAAACCTTGCGAGGGTCCGCAGCCATACCCGTAAACGAAAGAGAACGCTTGTCATGGACGGAACCCGGCAATCCGACCATTATATCATAGTAGTAATGTTAGATGTTGTTTTTTTAAAGAAACGATAACTCTCTGATAAACCCTAATGACTATAACCAACCTGATAGTAAGTGATTCGGCGCTTGTGGTCACAAATGACTTGTCCATTCAAGCAGTAAACTGCCATCGTGAGAAGTAGCACTCCGCATCAATTTTGGGTGCATACTTGAGATCCCATCAACGAACCCAACACAGTTAGGAAAGCCAGTCGCCAGTTGGACCTTGTCAGCCATCGTTTTACGCTCCGTTTGAGTTGGCCATCGAATGAAAGAGCTCTCCAGCGCCAAGACAGCCTCTACAACGCGGTCGCTAACAATTTTTACAGTTCCTAGCATGTTTGACAAGGGCAAATTAAATGAACGTAAGATAAGCAACAGATATTCTCCCACTTAAAATAAAAAAACGTTTAGTCACATACCTTCACCGATACCAAAGGGCTGTGAAATATTGTGGTACGACAGCGATTGCATGGAGTAGAGGAACACTTCCAGCTGAAGCTGCACTGGTGTTTCCCTGGCTTCCGCTGGAAAACAGGGTGTGGAGCTACGGAAGCAAGCAGGAGGCAGAAACCGTCGACACTAATTCTTAGATCACGACGAGCGCGGACGGAGCCCATGAGGAAAATCCGCGCTGGGTACCGCTCATCAGACTTCAGGACGGTGCTGCGAAACAAGTAGCGCGTAGCTAGTACCTGAGTAGCTACATTAATGTCATCTAACTCATCACCGCTGTCATCTTCGTCGCTTGAGTCTTCCAAAGCGGCATGCAGGATACGGGCATGCAGAAGCAGGTCTGTAGCTGTGCGTGTTCCTTCCTTGACCATGTCGAGTTCTGGAATACCACCAGCCAGCCAGCATCAGCTAGTCTATAATTGGATAAAATTCAGCGTAAGCATGGGGAGTGCAGGTTTCATGTCCTCACGGTTAGAAGGTTGCAGGTCAGCCATGATTGGCTAATTGACCAAACCTGCAACCTGCAAAACTACCAACCGTGAGAACCCCTATTAGGGGTTTATCCCAAAAACCTCCTATTCCAGCCTTCGCGGAGCCTTAGTATCCCTTAATATGAATGATTTAGCTCCAAGTTGGCAACGACCTAAAAACTTCACACACGGTGTGTGACCCCCCCCCCTGACAGGAATAAACTGAGGCTCTTATTTTGCTTATCTACACAACATACTCATGGTTTTGATAGATTTATTTATTGGTTTTATTATTTTTAAAGTCCTTTAAAAAGGACGGCTTAAAAGTACTGATAAAGCTTATTATGGTATCTACCTACTGGTAGATTCCGTGTCGCCGCCGTTGTCATTGTCAGTGACGTGTTCGTCCGTCGTACAGCGTCAACAAGGAATCGGATGAGCACTTACAGTTCCCATCCCGCTTTTTGATGATGCTAGGCAATATACTGTGGTAGTTTGTTTATGTGATTCGATTATTTTATTTTTGCGGACAATGTGAGCTACGTACTGTACAATGTTTATCCGTCACAAGTGCGGAGTTTACTGTGGTCGTGTAATCGTGCATTTATAAGCATGGGGCCACATCTTACCAACCAACAAACCAAATTATAAGCTTATTTCGCAATTTGCATCCCTTCCCACCAAGAACACTCCGCCATTGAACTCTGTGTGGCTAGTTTTGCGGGTTTTACCTCTATTGTTGTGATCACCCTTGTTTCAAGCTGCGGGGCTTCCGTCACGGACAAGGCCGGCGCTGTCAATCCGAACAATGCCTTTCTGTCTCGCATCTCACCTGCTGAACACCAGGTCATGCGGTTCCTGCGTCGGAACGATGAAGATGAGCTGGCTGATTCAGATGACGACGAGAGATACATCAGCGGGGGGCGATGCGGCCAAAAAATTCCAACGCAGCAAAATGAAGGTTCCAAAGGCTTGAACACAGTGTTCAGAACACTGCAGCTCTGGCGCGAAGGCTGATGACATCGCATCAAAATTCGAATCTGTGGCGGCGAAGTACCCAGAAGGCTTGAGCAAGACGGCACTGCAGCAGATTGTAAAGGTTGAAGAGCAGAGGATGGTGGATTTGAAAGCTGGGAAAGTATTATCATAGGCGACTGGCGATGTATTGCGCAGGGATGTAAAATTGTTTCCTGGTATGCAAAGGGCTCCTGTATCGACCTCACACGTGGGTCGAGGCGCTCAGCGCTACGAGGATGGCAACCGTTTGTTGGACTTTGTGTTGTGATTTCACGACCGGGATGAGATTACTTGCAATGCAAAAAAGGTGGAGTTTCAAAGTTTCTAAAAAAGGGTGGAGGTTCAATGCATGTATGTGTTCCGTTTTAGAAACGGCCATTTGTTGTTTCCAAAGCTGCCCCGGTGGGACATGCCATGAAGATCAACAGCGTGCCTGACATGGGTGACAGCCTGTACATGGGCAACGTCCCAGAGGTAGCATTCCGATGCTGAGGAACGTCCCGGAGCTGAGCAATCTCCCAAAACCTTCCCATTCATGCTATTTCGCCAAGGACAAACTCATGGTCGATCTTGAGAAGCGGCCTGCAATGCCAATGAACTGGAACGTGATGAAGCAGTTGCCCGTCACAGGCACTGATGGCCAGGTGACGAATCGCTATATGCCCGGCCAAATCATAGACTGGCTGGATTCCTCGGGCCCCACAGGGTTTTTCCGCTGGACGGTTCGCTTTCAAGATGGTCGTGAACTGCAGTTCGAACTCGTTCAACTCGCAGAGCTGCTGAGTTCGTCTGCCGCACTGGGTCTTAACATCACATGAAAGATCTTCTAGATTGAAGCTCGCACCGACAAGGGGTCACTCTAGCATATACACGTTGCACACACCACATGGCACACGCCTTCATTTCTAAAGAGAAAACTGCAAAAGGCGCACACTGGACGAGTTTTTCTGCACTAGCGGAGCATCACGGTCGCTACGCTCATGTTGCTTTAGAGGGTGACCCCCAAACTATGCTGACCACAGAGTTTTGGACGACGTCCCCACTTAAGGAATTTGAGTCGCTTGCAAATTCTAGCGCTTTATTTCCCCTTTCACGCTCCCCGATTTGCTGGCTATTTTGCAAACAACATAAGTATCATTCATACGTTGTTATTAACGGTAGACTGATACACCTGACCTGTGGTTCGAATGCCAGAACACTTGTATTTTACTTACTTAGGTAAGTGTAATAGCAGAATGTGCACACTGGCACAACGAAAAGTGAATAAGGGGTTAACTTTCGATGTTTCAATTTCGTGGTGTATTCATGTTCAGAGTGAAAATACGAGCGAATTATTCCAGTAACCTTTCGCGATCCATGTTGAAATTCTTCCTCCAGATGTCATCTACACCCAGCCGCAATGGCCAATGTTGCTGCCGCGACTATGACATGCACGGCTGTTCAAAGCTGTTAGTCTGCACGCGTAGGTAGATAACCTCATGCACATTGAGCGCAATAAGGAAACATATATAATGAACGATAACTAGCTCAAAATAATGTAGTTGAGCCCGATATCGTACCATCACACATGCATGTAGGGTATCAAAGCAGAGCTGTGACGCCCGAGATCGATCCAACAGAACTGTAATTGAGTGGGCTAATCCATTTGCTTAGTCGAACATCTTTTCATGAGCAACGCAATGAATGAATTAACGCAGACTTGAAAGGAGCAAATAATCAGCGCCTTTAGCGTGCAGGAAGGACTTGGAGCTGTCTGATTTCTTTAAAGCGAAGTAGTAGGCGAGCTCGAACGGGCCAAAAGAGAGCCATTGTTGTTACCAAGAAGCACCGACACGGACTCCGGCTCGTACACCCCAGCTCATCGTCCAGCTCGTCATCCGCGTATAGCCTTCAATGTAATTTAGAGAAGTTGCTGCTCGACAGTACCCGGTCCTCAGCATGCAAAGCTGCTTGCTACTTGGCGTAGCGTTGGCGCTTCCTTGAGGCTCTGCTTGTTGATGCTTGAACTCTCTGTTGTGCGCTGGTCAAGCGATCCCGAAGGGCCGCAGACTTCTTACCAACGGCCGCAGAGCGACCCTTCGTACGACAGCATAAGGTTTGAAAGGCAAATAGGCTTAATAAAGGGTCATAAGCGGGTCCAAATAAGTGTAAAATGTCACGTTTAAGTCTATTTCTGTTGTCCTCCATACAAACGGTCGAATTTGCTGTTTCATAACTTCGACCCTCTGGTTTTATGGCATCTAAAGATAGTGACGTCGGTTCAGCTAAAAAAAATCCGTGCCGATACCACCTTCCGATAAGCATCCAAATGTTGTTTAACCGAGGTATTTTTTTTCATTTTTTGGTCCCCGTGTGAGCGATTCTAAATTGTGACCCTAACCCATTCACAGAATTAATGTAAAAAGTAAAGCGGAGTGTAGATAAGAGACGTAAAAACTCCATAAAACGGAGTCTCATGATTATAGGGGGGACTTCGTCCCCAAAAAGACGCATACTCGGCAAAAAAGCGCATACCGAGTTTCTGATTCCACGTTGGAATCAGACGATCAAGCAACTTACACGGGCGCGCGCACACCGTCAATGGTTACAGTTCCTTCGCTTCCTACCTCAGGGAAGCCCGAGGACTGACACATCATTCGGCCGCAGGACTCCTGCATGCCTGACAAACTTGCGCAGGCTATGGGCTATCGGATGCACGAGTATGGTACGCAGCAACTATACCTCAAACTCCACCTCGAGCTGCGAATTCCGCATCAATGCTCAATGCATACACCTCGGTGTCATCTAGCATGCTCACACCGCCCTTGAGCCGTATCATGGAAGGCAAGCATCTCAGTCACGATGTAGCAATGCATGCCACCGGGTGTGATTTATGCTTGCACCAGGGTTCATATTAGGAAGAGTAGCGGTAGCACACAGACAGAGCGAGCAGCGTCAGCGATCCATCGATCGACATCTAGCAGGACGCTAGCTCTCAACCCGCCCACCACATCCCACGGGGCTAGTCCCTCACAGCCCTGGCTTGGAGTGCAGTTCAAGCCTTGGCTTCTACTCAAAATGAACTTTTCGTTTGCCCCCTACAATGCCGCATTGAAGGAAACCATTATGTCTTCCAAACGACCAAGTTGTGCTGGGTTGTCAAACCAACTCTGTGCTGCACAACTTGTGCAGCACAACAGAAGGGGAAAACGCTGTCGATTAGCTGGGGTTGTTCCAGAAAGTTGATAGTTGTAGATTGCTCCTGCACGGTGCAGGCTGCACCTAGCGGATATGTATGCTACCCTCTCTCTCTTTGGCAATTCGCCCGATGCTGGTCTTGAAAATTAGTTGCACTTCCCCGCCATGAAGGCATCGAGATGGTCCAGGTGCGCGACACATAAATAGCGTGCGTAAGTGCTCGTTGCCAAGTTGGTACATCGTGCTAATCGTTGTGTAAGTTGCTTGATCGTCTGATTCCTACGTGGAATCAGAAACTCGGTATGCGCTTTTTGCGTCTTTTGCAGAAAAACTCGTCCAGTATGCGCCTTTGCAGTTTCTCCATTTCTAAATGCCTTGAACCTCCACCTTGTTTTCAGATGCATTGAACTTCCACCTTTTTGGCATTGAAAGTAATCCACACCCTTCACGACCGGCTAAGCAGGGTGGCGGCGACGTTCTTCTCATTTCGAGCTCGAAGCCGCAGAAGAGAGACTGGTTGTTGCCGAAGGGAGGCTGGGACCATGGTGAAAAAGCCAGGGTGGCAGCGAGGCGTGAACTCTTAGAAGATTTGACTTCTATCGGCCGCTGGAATAATTAGTTTACTTACTGGTCGTGGCGGTTCTACAGGTTGCGGGAATCAAGCCGAAGATGTTACCCAAGACCGAATTTAAGAACAAGGACGGCGAGGGTCACGTCTACTATCCGTTCAAGATGACAGCCAAGACGGTGTATGATCAGTGGCCTGAAAGCATGCGCTATCGTATTTGGGTGAGTGGCTGGCTATTGCAAAATAATCTTGTGTTACAAATAGTTAATATTATTGTTTGCCAATTTCGTTAGGTCTCCTACGACGACGCGATCAAACTGCTGGCGAATCGCAAAGAGATGGTCGACATTGTGAACGCTGCGCGTGCAGTGAGAAATTAGATCGACAACTACTACTCTCTTTCGCGATTCTTTCTTGCTACCAGTAGTATGAGAAGTTCGAGGCAAAGTTTGCTATTACGAGTACGATTGTTTCAACCCCCACATACGTTAATGCAGGTAGTAGGTGCGCCCAATTCGCTTACCCTGTTCCAGAATCGAGTATCTGCAAGTAGCGAATGATAGAGCTCGCACGCCTTAACGCCTTAACACACGGAGGTGGAAGCTTGAGTGCTCAAACTTATTTCCAGGCAATGGAGTCGCAGGCTTATTACCCTTTACCGAGACGCGAACATGTAAATCATTGCATTACATTACAGGGGAGCAGGCGAATAAAGCCGAGGCTCTGCTTGATGTCTTTGATCTGCGGGTCAGCTTTGTTAATATCCGATAAAGAACCTATGGAGTCCGGTGCGCATGATCAATCTTGTCGCTCGCGTTTAGACCGTTCACGATAAACACCAACTACTGCACATGTACCGAGTTTACTTCGTCTTTGGGGTTCATTTTCGATCTCTTCGCCTCCGTCCAGAAATGTCATTGCTTTTCTTACAATAGCCCCCCCGTTCACGAGCTACGGTACAGTACCAGCACGTGTGTGGGCCAGGCTCGTCAACTTGCGGACTCCGTTGGATTCCAACGGAGTCTGCAAGGTATTCCAACTTGGAATACCTTCAGCAGATCAAGCTTGATCCGTTCGTAGCACGGGTAACTTACAGCTCATCGAGTATTGACGTGTATCTACTCCGAAGTCATACTCGGTGGTGATCCGATATCCGATGCTTTCGTTTTACCTGATCGGATTTTGATCATGTATCGGATTCCGATCATGTAAAACAAAAACAAAAAGCATTGGTCCCTTTGGTGCTGACAAGGCAGTCGAGTGGTCGATTTTGACACACTATAATAGCGCTGGAGCAGGAGCTGGCAGCGATCAAGATGGCCGCGCTGTTCTGGACGGACATGTTCCATTGATCGCCGATGATCGCGAAATGCACTTCAAGGCCGTAGTTGGGGAGAGCGGCACAGGCACTTGGAAAGGACCCTCATCAAGGCTTGGATACGGCGAGCCGCTCGTAAAGGGCGATGCAGCGCACGACGGCCGCAATGCGTCAACAGCTCCAAGCCTTGTCGACACGTCAGTCCGTTCGAGTTGTCGCCAGGTCGGTTGTCTGTTGCGCTGCTCTATTTCCAGGTCCCCAGATATTCAGGACAACAACTTGTTTGCTCGTCACACGCTCGTCTTACCCCGTCAACGGCTCGACGTACAAATAATATCCATCAGGCCCAATCCATTTCCACACATCAGCCGCGCGGTCATTTTTGGACTTGCGGCGGCACTTACATACTTGCCCACTCGGTGTTTTGCAGCTCCTCCCGCCTCGATCTCCACTCCTCCCTTGCAAAATCAGGGGCCCTGCCTCATCATTCGAGTCTGCGACAGGTGCCACTCTCTGCTTACGGGTATCCGCTCCCACGCACACAGGCTGCGTGACAACCAAATAGGAATTCGCCAGGCATAGCGCAGATCGAGACCATGGGCGGCGTGTACACGCGCGTACAGAGCATTTCGTCGCTGCGGCCGGGCGACCACATTTGCATCTGGGACTACAGTCGCTGGCCGTTCTCGTACCAGCACCACGGCATCGTGTGGGCGTCCGGGGACCAGCCCGCCGATATCCGCGTGTGTCATGTGTGGAGCCCGCTGCAGGGCTACAGAGAAGCCCAAGCCGACTCGTGCTTCCGCATCTCGACGCTCGAGGAGTTCCTATACAGCCGCAGCCTGGACGACCTCCGCCTCGTGGAGTATCACACGTCGGCGTTCCGAGACTTCCTGTCGAAGTGGGGGGAAGTCCATCGAGGCAAGTCGGATCTGCCCGAGGTGGTGCTGGCGCGCTGCAAGTTCCTGCTGGGCTTGGGCAAGGGGGACTTCAACATCTTCACCCAGAACTGCGAGCATGCGGCGCACTGGTGCAAGACCGGTCAGCAGTGGTCCAAGCAGACGCTCACGCTGGTCCGAGGCCGCGTGCCGTTCGAGAAGCGGCTGTCGAAGGAGGACGTGGACGCGCTGGAGAAGGAGATCGAGGAGATCAAGGCCGTCTCGCGCACGGTGGTGAACAACGTGCTCAGGTTATCAGGGTCCAAGGTGTACCTGCGAGTGCGTGGCAACGGATACGTCCGCATTATGGACGACGGGGTCCACGTTGACGTCGTCCCGCAGGGCGAGAACCCGGAGACCTGCGGCCGCACAGCCTTTCGTCTGGAGTGCTACTCGAAGCAGTACAACTGCGTCAAGGTGGCGTTCTACCACGAAGAATCGGGGCGCTACATGTTCAGTCGCTCGACCTTCTCGTGCTTCCGCGACTTGCGCATGAAGAAGGCCAACTGTCTGCGCGGCACCTCGGGCATGCGCTGGGAGTACTCGTCGGGCGGCCACCTCAACAGCATGAACCAGCACCGTCGATACATCGGCACGCGCGACGATGGCCTGCTGGTGGATGTGAGTCTGCGCGGGGATGCGTCCTACTTCGAGTTCGTACCGTGCGTCACGGACAAGGCCAAGGTGAACGGGCAGAGCGGGTCGTACGTGCCGCCGGATATCACGCTGATCACGCGGGCCTACAACCACGCCAAGAGCGTCGAGGAGACGAGGTCCATGAGCATGCTCGAGTTCGAGGAGGAGCAGCGCGGGCTTCCTGAGATGATCACCCATTTATGAGCAGGGGGAGAAGTGAAAGAAGCGAGCGCAGCTGATAGTCAGTCGGACAGTGCTTCGGCCGTGATCGATCAATGATCATGGTAGGGCACTGACCAGAGGCTTAGTACATTAGAGAATCATATCAAGTGGCACATCCCGTACAAACTTTTGTTTTGCATTGCATTCACGCGTCCGTCCTAGATACTTCTTGTCAGGCACGGCAACTTCAACAACAGCAACAAATCCGTGAGCTGCAAGTTCAATACCATATTGTGGAGAACATCAAAATTCTGCCAGCTCCTTTGCTGAAGTTGTTCGGAGCCACGAATGGCAACAAACGATTCACGGTCGCTTGGTTCGGAGCGAGTAACGGGGGCCTGTTTGACAACACCTGTCGTGCGGTGCGGTGCGTCGCCATCCGATGCTCCTTATGTCATGGCACCAGTCAACGGCGGGACGCGCCTCACATCCTGCCGCCGCCGCGCGAAGGCGTCTTGTTGTCGGTCGCCCACGAGCACGAAAGTCGCATGGCTGTGGATCCCGCGGGATTCCCGCTCAGGCGCGTTCTTAAGTTCCCGGGAGCTGGGACCGGGACGAACGGGACGAACGGGACGATACTCCTCGTCCGTCAAACTTGATTATTGTAAGCATTTTTTAAGCCCCCTAACTCTCGGGAACTACCGCGAACTACGGTGAAAGAAGAACATGGTCAAATAGCCCTTTCGAAACGTAACAAAGTGGTGCACACTTGGCGCGCATTAGTGAAGAAATGAAGTAGCTAGGGCGAAAGTCCCACGTCCCGACCACGCGAAAATGATGCGGGACCGGGACAAAACGAGCTGGGAAATAAACCTAGCCCGCTTTCTGAAAGCCAATCAAATCGCTCTATTTCGTCCCGGGACTTGGGACCGGGAACTTAAGAACGGCCCTCAGGTCTTCACTTGCATCATGGTGCCGCGCCGGGCATGCATCGTGTCATCGAGCGACGCCCCTGATGAAATGCAGACAAATCGCACTGTGTTCCGAGCTCTAACAAGCAAATTTATCTCGGGATCGAGTATTCTTAGGGGCAACTTCTTCACTGTACACTGACGAAAAGTGTAGGTTGCGGAGAACTCGAAAATACAGCGACCGTTGCCTTTGGCTGCAAGACAACACTTGCAGTTTTGGAGTCTGCTGCGGGCCCTCGTCGGCATGGCCCTGCTCGTTTTATTTGGTCTCCCTTGTCACCTGCGCCGCGGCGATGACGCCCGCTTGAATCTCGCTGGTTGGCATTGAACGTGCCTCGGGATTGGGCGAAAACCATGCGAAATGGATAATTTCGTGCACTTGCCTTGCGGGAACGCGGTCCAGCTGCCGGTCACTTGCCAATTTGCCATCGTCGCACACACTCACACAGGGAGAAGAGAAGACTCTACTTCCCAGACTCACTTGTTCTCACTCGAGTCGCCGATCGGATCTCGTCGCCTCAGCAGCCATAATTGTCCGTTACTCAGCGCCTCCCAGCGATCCAGTTCTTATCTGAGTTTCCGGACCGTATTTCTACCCAAGTTACAACCACTCGTCAATTGGAACACGCCAAGCTCGTTCCTCCACACAAAAGTCGCTACCCCATTCCGCATCCGGCGTGGCAGCAGGCAGCAAGTGCAAGTCGCCCGCCAGTATGAACGTCATCTACTCGTCGGTCAAGGATTACGTGAGCAACGTGTTCCACCAGGACTCGGGCTCCGGCGCCATCGACGTGGTGGCCGTGGAGCAGCCCGACGGCGCCCTGCGCTGCTCGCCGTTCCACGTGCACTTCGGTTCGCTGCACAAGCTCAAGCCCGAGGAGCGGCGCCAGGTGACGCTCGAGGTCAACGGCCAGGTCGTGGACCACGTGCGCATGAAGCTGGGCGCCGCGGGAGAGGCCTACTTCGTCCGCCAGGTGCACGAGCCCGTCGACGAGAAGGACTACCTGGCGTCGCCGCTGCCGAGCCCCATCAGCAGCATCGGCGACGCGCAGGAGCTGCTGGTGCTGGACGAGCCCTTCACGACTGCTGTGGCCAATAACCTCACGCTGGAGCCGGAGGACGAGGAGCACGCAGTTGCCACTGTTAAGAGGAGCGAGTCCTCCGACCGCTTGACGTGGGGCTGGGGCGCGCTCCCCATAGTGCGGGCGGGGGGCGATGTTGTGGACGATTCTCTGCCAATGATGGTCAAGAGCTCGTCCGTGTACTTTGACGCTGTGGACATTGAGGCCACTGCCGCGTTGTCTGCTGCTGGTGCTGTGGACTACTTCGACCACCCGTCCATGTCTCTGTGTGGACACTTGCTGGACGAGGCCGAGACGGAGGAGGACGTGCACCGCATCTTCTCGGAGCACATCGTCACGTTCAACTTCTTCCGAGCCAACCCGGGGACCATTCTGAGCGACCCGAACTTGCGCTTCCTGGTGGACGGCAAGCTCTCGCCCTACGACGCGGACATGCAGGCGTACCTGGTGTCTCGAGTGCTGTTCCCGTACTCTCCGCACATGAGCGTGGGCGTGGCTCCGAAGGTGAATAATGATGAGCAAGAGCGGGAGCGGGATACCTGCACTTCCAACGATAACGAGGCGGAGAAGAGTGTCAATATTTGTGACGAGAGCGTCAAGCCCCCTTCTGCGAGTCTCTCGCGCTCGAATCTAACGCGCGGACTCGCTCTGGAGCCGCTGCACGAAGTCTGCAGTGACGACGGCGGGTCCACGCAAGACACCGCGAGCTTTACCAGCGAGCCGTACTTCAAGAAGAGCCTTAAGCCGTCGCAGGAGGAGCTGCTCAGCATGGGGCTCCGAGTGGGGACCAACGACATCTCGTTCGTACTGCGATCACACGGAGCCGGCGAAGTGGCTCGCGTCAGTGCGAATCTCTACTTGTGGCCGGTTACTGCGAAGGTGGTCATCGCTCAGATCGATGGTGCGATCTCGAGCAGCGCCGCTACTGGTAGTATGTTCAAGCGCAGAGACCCCGCCGCAATGCATCCGGGAGCGGTGGAGTTCTACTCGCAGCTCGCGCGGAACGGCTACCGCGTCGTGTATGTGACTTGCCACGGTCTGTCACAGGCCAACATGCTCCACACACTGCTGCACAACAGCAGCGCGGAGGACGGGGAGATCGCTCTACCCATGGGTCCGGTTCTACTGTCTCCCGACCGCCTGCTTGCCACGTACAGCAACGAGATGATCGACGCTCAGGATTTCAAGGTTGCAGCTCTGGGCGCGTTGCGCTCGCTCTTCCCCCGAGACGTGAATCCGTTCTACGCGGCGTTCGGCACGACTCAAACCGACAGTATCGTCTTCACACAGGTCGGGGTCTTCTCGGGCAAAGTGTTCGTCGTGGACCCTGCAGATGGCACGCTACGGCACCGCTCGTTGCTGGGCTTCCGCGAGTCGTATTCAAGCCTGATGGACCGCATGGACGGCATGTTTCCGCCCATTTACTCGCCGACGACCCAAGTCCCGTCGTTGGCGCCGAACAACTTACAGCTCGTACTCCACTCGGTGCCCAGCAACCTCAGCACGGTCTCGCGGCTATCCATGGTCGACGACGAGGAGCAGCTCGTGTCGGAGGCCGTGGCGTCGCAAGTGCGGACACGAAGTCTCGCCGACGAGGCGTACAATGACCTCAACTTCTGGCGGATCGAACCAGGCCGCGTGTAGGCTCTAGCCAGCTACTGTATCCCCCCATTAACTATGCTAACTAAATTGAAATTGTCTTCTAGGATTTACTCGTTGTCGTGCGTCTCGAGCTCGAGGACTGGCCGTCCATGGTGGTTTTCCGCGCGCGGATCCAGGCGCAGAAACTGCCGACTGCTAAGAGCCCGACGGTTCATTATTCGCCTTCGCCTCCCAGCCCCAAGCTGCCACCCCGTGTCTATTGCCACCATTAACGGCTCGAGATGCGCCGTCGTCTAGTGAAGGAGAGGCTCGCGGCCGATGTATCGGGCCATCTCCCCGAAGTGGCGGGACCCTCAGCTCTGGACGAGCGACCGTCAAGTGGGTCGACCCCCCACCACCCGAAAGCCGTAGCATGGGGACCTACTCAGACCCCTCCGGCCGCCCCAGCCCCCAAGTATTTGTTTACAAGTCCTGTCGCCCCGCCGCGCGGTGGGTTGGACACGATGCGGTCGCTCGATCTGAGGGACAAGAAGAAGTTGCGCTGCATTTGGCTCGCACCCGACGAAGGTATGGTAGCAATTGCCAAAGGGGCTCAAGCGTTGAAATTCTCAGCTAATTCACGATACGCTTGCGTTGCATTGCAGGAGACCAGCAGATTGTGCGACCACCACCGCTGGACAGCATGCAATATGCCCAAATAAGTGTAAGTGAGGAGGCGGTTGAGAAGAAAGATAGTGTCATTCCTGACTTTGTCTATGTCTATGCTGGTGCTCAGGCGTCGATGTTCGGCCACAACGTCATGGAGAAGATTAAGCGCGCGGACAACCTCTCGGTGCAACTCGAACGCAGCGACCGCTTCATGGACGCAATGCACACCTACGAGCAGTCTGCTAAGATGCTCGTACGTTTGGATATCTCCATCATTTAAGTGTATCATCGACCGCTGACCTGACTGGATTGTAAATGTGTCGGTATGCTTCACAGCACCGCTGCATACAGAAGCGCGAGGAAGCGCCTGGTGTTATGATGGACGAACTCAAGTGGCTACGTATTGATTACGAAATTCGCTGTGTGCAACTCGTTGCACTTTGTATGTGTGGGGCGCGCAAGACGGCGGCCGGAGGGGATAACACGGCATTCCTGGTACGTACGTGTTAGGTTGCGACAGAGTTACCTGTGTTCATCACGTTCTAACCGCTCCTTGTTGCTGCAGTTGTTGAAGAAGGCGGAGGAATTGACCGCTCGGGACGGACTCCACTACTGTAAAAAGCACATTCAACGCGCTGCGGTGTACCAGAACATGGCGAATTACTACAAGAAGCAGAAGAAGTACCAGGCGGCGCTGCAGGCTGCCGAGAAGGCTGTGCGGATCAACGACAAGCTCGCCCTCATCGACCGGTTCCCTATCGCGTACTTCTTGCAGGCCTGTTTGCACGGATTACTGCAAGAACCGGCCAAAGCTGGCTTCATGTACACGGCGTGTCTTACGGTGGCCGAAGCGCAGCGGCCAAGTTCAGCCGGTAGTGCAGCAAATGAGAGCGCCCAAGCTGCGGAAGTGTTCCACACGCTCAAGGCCGCTACACTCCACAACCTGGCCATCGAGTGGGCCAACCTGAACATGCCCGACCAAACCCGCGACGCACTGGCCAGCGCCATGGAGGTGGGAGTTCACTACCTGCCCCAGACGCACCCCGTCGTAGTGCGTATCCTCGAAACCTACAAGGTCATGCGAGAGAATTTCCTGTTCCACAACAACCGAAGCGTGACTGCACCTGTGGCAGCTCCCCCACCTAGTACTGCACGACCGAGTGTTCCCGTTCGCCCTACCTCCCCACCTCCGTTGGAGACTGGCGGCAAACGCCCGTTGCCTCCACGCGCACAGAAGCCACAGCAAGAGGTACCAGGAGATGTGACGAGTCCTCGGACGAGACGACTATCGTCTGGCAGAACCCCTCGACCGGAGACGGAAGATATTACTCCAGTGCCACCGCCATCTCGACGTCCGACGAGTCCGAGTTCAGCTTCAGTGATTTCTCCCCGAGCAAGGGCCGTCAAACGACCGACAACAACCCCCGAAGTGCCTTCAGGACTGTCAGGACAGACCTTGCCACCCGGCGCCACACGTACCTCACATCTTTGGGCCGTACCAGACAAAATCTACGGCCACTCGTTGGGTGCGAAGTATAACCCCCATAAGGAACGCGTTCTCGAAGAAGCGAGGACATTTGGGCTCCGACGGCGAGCTGCGATGCGGATACAGGTACACATTAACCTACCTGTGCAGTGTTTGTGTGTGTGGAGTAGATGTTGGATGAACGAACCATTTTGGTGCCTATGTGGTTGCTGTAGAAATCGTGGCGGAGTGCGCTTGTGCGGCACCGAGCAGTAAGGCGAAAGGAGGAGGCGGCGACTATGATGCAGTGCACATTTCGGATGCATCAGCAGAAGGCGCAGTATGAGCAAGCATTGCACAAAATTCGGCGCACTCAAGCGGTTTGGCGTGGTGGACTTGCTCGGACGCACAAGAAGATGACGATCGCTTCTATTGTTCAGATTCAAACGACGTGGCGGGCGCGGAACGAGCGCGTGAAATATGCGATCAAGAAGATCCGGCTGGTATTGCTCCAGTCCGTTGTGCGCGGATTCCTGGCTAGAGCTGCACGGACCCGGATGAACAACGCAGCAGTGGATATTCAGACTCAAGTACGGAGGCATCTGTGCCAGCAGAAGCTTAACCAAATTCTCTCGGCCGCTGCTACCATTAATCGCGTGTTGCGTGGTATGCACGCTCGAAGGCAAGTGTCGAACGCGATCACAAATATTGTCAGCGGAATTTTGGAGAACGCTGTCGTATCTACGATTGCAGCTGATTTGGAGCTCCGTGCGTTGAATGCTGTGGTGGAAAAGGCGCTTGATGATTTTGTGGGGGTAGCGTTGACTGAAGCACTGGCTGATGTTGTCACGCTACTCGATGAAAAGGCTAGTGTTGGGTCAGACCTCGCTGATGAAACCTCAACTGAAGAGCTGGACGTGATCGATGAAAACTCCAAAAAGGATGAAGTTGGAGAAGCTAAATCTGCTGATGCGTTGATTGACGCAACGCCGGAAGATAACGAGCAAGCTGAAACTGAAGATATTGACGGTGGCATGCATACCTCTGAAGCGCCTGTCGAACCAGCAGCGGAATCCCCGTCCGATCGCCAATATGGCAATTCGTTCCCATTGGTCAAGAGTGAGTCTGATCGCGCAATTCTAGGCGCAATGATGAGCTCTACGATCACAAAATGTGTCGATGCGGCTATCGAGGGCGCTATCGATGACTGCAGCAGTGATGCAAAGTACCAGCCCCTTCACGACCAAGCCGCCACCAATCCAACTAATGCCCAACACGATAACTCCGAAAGCTTCACTACTCCAGAATACCCGGGTGCTCTGAAATCCAATGCAGATCTAAAAGCAATCAGTTCGGCTGCGGCCGACGTGGAGGCTGAGGCAGCGCCAGAGCCGGCGATGCCAGCCGAGCCCGCCGCTGTGAGCTCGACCGAGCCAGCGGTGGACGCCGAAGTGGATGCCGTGATGGCGGCCGTGCTGTCGGCGGTGTCGAGTGCGCCGGCGGTGGAGCCCGTGGAGTCCGTGGAGCAGGAAGCTGCGTCGGTGGAGGCCGAGTCCGTGGCCGTCGAGGCAGTGGAGACCGTCGCCGTCGTGGAAGCGGTCGTGGAAGCGGTGAGTGCGGCTGCGGCCGACGTGGAGGCTGAGGCAGCGCCAGAGCCGGCGATGCCAGCCGAGCCCGCCGCTGTGAGCTCGACCGAGCCAGCGGTGGACGCCGAAGTGGATGCCGTGATGGCGGCCGTGCTGTCGGCGGTGTCGAGTGCGCCGGCGGTGGAGCCCGTGGAGTCCGTGGAGCAGGAAGCTGCGTCGGTGGAGGCCGAGTCCGTGGCCGTCGAGGCAGTGGAGACCGTCGCCGTCGTGGAAGCGGTCGTGGAAGCGGTGAGTGCGGCTGCGGCCGACGTGGAGGCTGAGGCAGCGCCAGAGCCGGCGATGCCAGCCGAGCCCGCCGCTGTGAGCTCGACCGAGCCAGCGGTGGACGCCGAAGTGGATGCCGTGATGGCGGCCGTGCTGTCGGCGGTGTCGAGTGCGCCGGCGGTGGAGCCCGTGGAGTCCGTGGAGCAGGAAGCTGCGTCGGTGGAGGCCGAGTCCGTGGCCGTCGAGGCAGTGGAGACCGTCGCCGTCGTGGAAGCGGTCGTGGAAGCGGTGAGTGCGGCTGCGGCCGACGTGGAGGCTGAGGCAGCGCCAGAGCCGGCGATGCCAGCCGAGCCCGCCGCTGTGAGCTCGACCGAGCCAGCGGTGGACGCCGAAGTGGATGCCGTGATGGCGGCCGTGCTGTCGGCGGTGTCGAGTGCGCCGGCGGTGGAGCCCGTGGAGTCCGTGGAGCAGGAAGCTGCGTCGGTGGAGGCCGAGTCCGTGGCCGTCGAGGCAGTGGAGACCGTCGCCGTCGTGGAAGCGGTCGTGGAAGCGGTGAGTGCGGCTGCGGCCGACGTGGAGGCTGAGGCAGCGCCAGAGCCGGCGATGCCAGCCGAGCCCGCCGCTGTGAGCTCGACCGAGCCAGCGGTGGACGCCGAAGTGGATGCCGTGATGGCGACCGTGCTGTCGGCGGTGTCGAGTGCGCCGGCGGTGGAGCCCGTGGAGTCCGTGGAGCAGGAAGCTGCGTCGGTGGAGGCCGAGTCCGTGGCCGTCGAGGCAGTGGAGACCGTCGCCGTCGTGGAAGCGGTCGTGGAAGCGGTGAGTGCGGCTGCGGCCGACGTGGAGGCTGAGGCAGCGCCAGAGCCGGCGATGCCAGCCGAGCCCGCCGCTGTGAGCTCGACCGAGCCAGCGGTGGACGCCGAAGTGGATGCCGTGATGGCGGCCGTGCTGTCGGCGGTGTCGAGTGCGCCGGCGGTGGAGCCCGTGGAGTCCGTGGAGCAGGAAGCTGCGTCGGTGGAGGCCGAGTCCGTGGCCGTCGAGGCAGTGGAGACCGTCGCCGTCGTGGAAGCGGTCGTGGAAGCGGTGAGTGCGGCTGCGGCCGACGTGGAGGCTGAGGCAGCGCCAGAGCCGGCGATGCCAGCCGAGCCCGCCGCTGTGAGCTCGACCGAGCCAGCGGTGGACGCCGAAGTGGATGCCGTGATGGCGGCCGTGCTGTCGGCGGTGTCGAGTGCGCCGGCGGTGGAGCCCGTGGAGTCCGTGGAGCAGGAAGCTGCGTCGGTGGAGGCCGAGTCCGTGGCCGTCGAGGCAGTGGAGACCGTCGCCGTCGTGGAAGCGATCGTGGAAGCGGTGAGTGCGGCTGCGGCCGACGTGGAGGCTGAGGCAGCGCCAGAGCCGGCGATGCCAGCCGAGCCCGCCACTGTGAGCTCGACCGAGCCAGCGGTGGACGCCGAAATGGATGCCGTGATGGCGGCCGTGCTGTCGGCGGTGTCGAGTGCGCCGGCGGTGGAGCCCGTGGAGTCCGTGGAGCAGGAAGCTGCGTCGGTGGAGGCCGAGTCCGTGGCCGTCGAGGCAGTGGAGACCGTCGCCGTCGTGGAAGCGGTCGTGGAAGCGGTGAGTGCGGCTGCGGCCGACGTGGAGGCTGAGGCAGCGCCAGAGCCGGCGATGCCAGCCGAGCCCGCCGCTGTGAGCTCGACCGAGCCAGCGGTGGACGCCGAAGTGGATGCCGTGATGGCGGCCGTGCTGTCGGCGGTGTCGAGTGCGCCGGCGGTGGAGCCCGTGGAGTCCGTGGAGCAGGAAGCTGCGTCGGTGGAGGCCGAGTCCGTGGCCGTCGAGGCAGTGGAGACCGTCGCCGTCGTGGAAGCGGTCGTGGAAGCGGTGAGTGCGGCTGCGGCCGACGTGGAGGCTGAGGCAGCGCCAGAGCCGGCGATGCCAGCCGAGCCCGCCGCTGTGAGCTCGACTGAGCCAGCGGTGGACGCCGAAGTGGATGCCGTGATGGCGGCCGTGCTGTCGGCGGTGTCGAGTGCGCCGGCGGTGGAGCCCGTGGAGTCCGTGGAGCAGGAAGCTGCGTCGGTGGAGGCCGAGTCCGTGGCCGTCGAGGCAGTGGAGACCGTCGCCGTCGTGGAAGCGGTCGTGGAAGCGGTGAGTGCGGCTGCGGCCGACGTGGAGGCTGAGGCAGCGCCAGAGCCGGCGATGCCAGCCGAGCCCGCCGCTGTGAGCTCGACCGAGCCAGCGGTGGACGCCGAAGTGGATGCCGTGATGGCGGCCGTGCTGTCGGCGGTGTCGAGTGCGCCGGCGGTGGAGCCCGTGGAGTCCGTGGAGCAGGAAGCTGCGTCGGTGGAGGCCGAGTCCGTGGCCGTCGAGGCAGTGGAGACCGTCGCCGTCGTGGAAGCGGTCGTGGAAGCGGTGAGTGCGGCTGCGGCCGACGTGGAGGCTGAGGCAGCGCCAGAGCCGGCGATGCCAGCCGAGCCCGCCGCTGTGAGCTCGACCGAGCCAGCGGTGGAGCCCGTGGAGTCCGTGGAGCAGGAAGCTGCGTCGGTGGAGGCCGAGTCCGTGGCCGTCGAGGCAGTGGAGACCGTCGCCGTCGTGGAAGCGGTCGTGGAAGCGGTGAGTGCGGCTGCGGCCGACGTGGAGGCTGAGGCAGCGCCAGAGCCGGCGATGCCAGCCGAGCCCGCCGCTGTGAGCTCGACCGAGCCAGCGGTGGACGCCGAAGTGGATGCCGTGATGGCGGCCGTGCTGTCGGCGGTGTCGAGTGCGCCGGCGGTGGAGCCCGTGGAGTCCGTGGAGCAGGAAGCTGCGTCGGTGGAGGCCGAGTCCGTGGCCGTCGAGGCAGTGGAGACCGTCGCCGTCGTGGAAGCGGTCGTGGAAGCGGTGAGTGCGGCTGCGGCCGACGTGGAGGCTGAGGCAGCGCCAGAGCCGGCGATGCCAGCCGAGCCCGCCGCTGTGAGCTCGACCGAGCCAGCGGTGGACGCCGAAGTGGATGCCGTGATGGCGGCCGTGCTGTCGGCGGTGTCGAGTGCGCCGGCGGTGGAGCCCGTGGAGTCCGTGGAGCAGGAAGCTGCGTCGGTGGAGGCCGAGTCCGTGGCCGTCGAGGCAGTGGAGACCGTCGCCGTCGTGGAAGCGGTCGTGGAAGCGGTGAGTGCGGCTGCGGCCGACGTGGAGGCTGAGGCAACGCCAGAGCCGGCGATGCCAGCCGAGCCCGCCGCTGTGAGCTCGACCGAGCCAGCGGTGGACGCCGAAGTGGATGCCGTGATGGCGGCCGTGCTGTCGGCGGTGTCGAGTGCGCCGGCGGTGGAGCCCGTGGAGTCCGTGGAGCAGGAAGCTGCGTCGGTGGAGGCCGAGTCCGTGGCCGTCGAGGCAGTGGAGACCGTCGCCGTCGTGGAAGCGGTCGTGGAAGCGGTGAGTGCGGCTGCGGCCGACGTGGAGGCTGAGGCAGCGCCAGAGCCGGCGATGCCAGCCGAGCCCGCCGCTGTGAGCTCGACCGAGCCAGCGGTGGACGCCGAAGTGGATGCCGTGATGGCGGCCGTGCTGTCGGCGGTGTCGAGTGCGCCGGCGGTGGAGCCCGTGGAGTCCGTGGAGCAGGAAGCTGCGTCGGTGGAGGCCGAGTCCGTGGCCGTCGAGGCAGTGGAGACCGTCGCCGTCGTGGAAGCGGTCGTGGAAGCGGTGAGTGCGGCTGCGGCCGACGTGGAGGCTGAGGCAGCGCCAGAGCCGGCGATGCCAGCCGAGCCCGCCGCTGTGAGCTCGACCGAGCCAGCGGTGGAGCCCGTGGAGTCCGTGGAGCAGGAAGCTGCGTCGGTGGAGGCCGAGTCCGTGGCCGTCGAGGCAGTAGAGACCGTCGCCGTCGTGGAAGCGGTCGTGGAAGCGGTGAGTGCGGCTGCGGCCGACGTGGAGGCTGAGGCAGCGCCAGAGCCGGCGATGCCAGCCGAGCCCGCCGCTGTGAGCTCGACCGAGCCAGCGGTGGACGCCGAAGTGGATGCCGTGATGGCGGCCGTGCTGTCGGCGGTGTCGAGTGCGCCGGCGGTGGAGCCCGTGGAGTCCGTGGAGCAGGAAGCTGCGTCGGTGGAGGCCGAGTCCGTGGCCGTCGAGGCAGTGGAGACCGTCGCCGTCGTGGAAGCGGTCGTGGAAGCGGTGAGTGCGGCTGCGGCCGACGTGGAGGCTGAGGCAGCGCCAGAGCCGGCGATGCCAGCCGAGCCCGCCGCTGTGAGCTCGACCGAGCCAGCGGTGGAGCCCGTGGAGTCCGTGGAGCAGGAAGCTGCGTCGGTGGAGGCCGAGTCCGTGGCCGTCGAGGCAGTGGAGACCGTCGCCGTCGTGGAAGCGGTCGTGGAAGCGGTGAGTGCGGCTGCGGCCGACGTGGAGGCTGAGGCAGCGCCAGAGCCGGCGATGCCAGCCGAGCCCGCCGCTGTGAGCTC